TACTGCAGCCATGCCTAGTCATAAGGTCACCACGGGAAAGGGAATCCATCTTCATAGCTCTGTTCAGATCAATATAGAACCACCTGTCTGTTTGTTCATAAAAGGTCGGTCGACAGATATTCGCATCGATGTAAGACGTAAGTGGCCTCAGCGACCCCGGCCATGGACCCCGTCCTCTTCCTCATAGCCCGACAGATTTCCGAGGCTCACCAGTCTCTTCCGGATCAGATTGTAGCCGGCCACCGTCTGCATGCCGGTCCCTCTCACCCAACGTCGGTCGTGATCGTCCAGCAAATCCAGGCCTTCCTGTCGCCCATGAGGAGCGCGGTCCATGGCGCCAACCTTCTGGAGCCAGATGTCGCGGCGCGGAACGGGAGCCAGAATTCCATCCATCCAAAGAGTCCTATTCTCGGTGCTGAGTAGCTGGACGGCCCCGAGAAGCTCCGAACGGCCGGGAAACTCGCACCGAAAGGCTGTGGAGACAAACCCCTCCTCTCGCAGCCAGGCGGCGGCGTGCCTGTCGCGGGCGTTGAGACGGGTGAGACTCCACAGCAAGATCACGATCAGCAGGCACACGGCATCCCAACCTTTCTGCCCCGCGACGTACGTCATGGCGAAGACCTGCAGGATCTCCGCGAAGCGGAACCAAGTCAGGATGAGGGGGTGCGCCCGGCTGATCTCGACCATGGGCTTGTTGAGCAAGGAGTCAATCATGCCCCGGTGACCCAGATACAGTGTCCAGATGGTTGCATTCTCATGGGCCGCCACCAACATGCAACCGGGGTGGGTTTCACGATTGCGGAGGTACAGGGACGATCTTCTGACCTCGATGTGCTCCGCACAGAAGATGGAAACACCCGCGACCAGGAGGAGAACCCCCGTCCCAATGCACCCCAGACTAGCCAAGACGCCGCCTGTCCCAATGGCCAGGACAAGCTTCGCGGCTACCCGAAGGCGATGCGTCACTGTCCGTTGCAGCATCGCATTCGCCCCAGCCCGTTTCCCTTGCAGTGAGACGGAAACGACGTTCAGCTGCTGTGGCCGACCGGAGCTTCGCTTCTGATACACCAGGTCCTCGATTCCATCACCGCAGTACACATCGCTGCGGGCGCCCGCGGGACCCCGGGATTCGGACCGTGGGCCGAGAGGGAACCGCTGCTCGAGTTCCTTCTGGTGCTGGAGGATCCAGGCGTTTAGATCCTCCCGCGAGATTTCCGGCGTGTTGCCTGCATGGCGCGATGCCCTCGCGGCGACACTGACGGCCGCGGCGCTGTTATAACAGGGAAAGACACTGCCCCATTGGACATCGTACACCCGCAGGGGATCGCCCGCCGAGCTGGCAGTGTCCAGAAAGGCCTCCCGTTCCCGGAGGAGCTTTGCGATGCTGCCCAGCTCCCACAACTTAGGAACTATGCTCAGGGAAAGCCTTGCTCGGAGGGAGATCTCCCCCGCCAGGTCGTAGGCCGTCCGCATGTTCGACAGATACACGGTAAGCGGAACCAGGGACGCCCATTCTGCGACAATCTCGGGAATCTCCGGCAGATCTGCCCAGAATCTCAGAGGCAGCGTCCCGTGGGACCAGCTATCCTCCGTTCTTTGCTCCGATGCGTGAGGCTGTGCCGTCAGAATGGAAAACAAGATGACCGCGGCCAGTGCAGGCGCTAGGCGATCCATGGGGTGACGGGGCTGTAGGGCAAAGATGCGCCTCGAAGATGGGGGTTCTTATTGCCGATATGATTTGATTAGACCTTTATGGAAACACTAGTAGTCGCACAGGATCGAAGGGTATGGTGGGCGTGAAGAGATGCAGGATGGAATCACAACCACACGTTCTTACCCAAAATCAAAGAGGAAACCCCGTTTCCACTCGGCTCCCTGGATAAGGTCAGGCCAGCACTCATGCAGGCTTTGCTGTTCCCTCACATTCTTACCTGAAGTCCCCCAGTACGGGCCCACCAGACCGTATGCTACTTCACCTGGCAGTTCGCAGATCACCCGGTGTTTGCCTGTACCCGACAAGAAGGCAGAAACGGAGAACAACCGATAAAGGAGGGGACACATGAACGGCGAAGAAGAAGAAGAAGAAGAAGAAGAAGAAGAAAAAAACAAAAAAGCAAAGACCAAGCCGGCAGAGTCAGCTTAACGGATGGCCGGATGAACCCCGGGGCCACAACGACACGGCTGGGCGACTAATGCATGTTCAAGTTTTCAACAAATCAGGGCTGTGGCCAACACCCTAAGCCCCCTTTGCCTGGTCATTCATTGTCCTTACTTGGGTGGAACGCAGGGATCTTACCTGTGCCCCCTTTGCAGGGAATATCATCCTGATAGCCCACCCCCGCCGCCTTCCGTCTTCAGCTGCGTGTCTCGATCTCATTGACGCGCAGAAGTTGTTACCCACGCCATTCTCATCGAAACATGAATTTGAATTTACGCTGGATTCTAACCGCTGTGGTGTATCTAGCTCCATGGAGTCGCAGCCATTCGTCGACAAAGAAGAAGCTGATCGTCGACACCGATCTCTTTAGCGATGTTGAGTCAGTGAAGCACCTCCCCACCCCCTCTTTCTCCCAAATAATCCCTCAGACCCCGCTTACCATCTCCCCAGCGATACGGGCGCCCTTCTCCTGGCGTGTTCGCACGCAAACGTCAGCCTGCTCGGCGTGAATCTCAATTACCCGTCCACGTATACTGCCTTGGCGGCGTCAAGCCTTCTGGGATACTACGGCCATACGGCGGTCCCCATCGGAATCAAGCGACCCCTCACGAATGATACCTTTCTCGACATATACGCTTACCAGCATGGAGAGTACGCGAGCAAGGTGGCATATCATTGGCAGACGTATTCCTCACTCCCGTGGATGGATGTCACCGGTACATGGGACTCGGTTGAATTGTATCGCCGGGTTCTCTCGCAAGAGGATGACCAGAGCGTGACCATCGCGAGCATTGGTTTTCTTGATAATGTAAGTGCACGCATTGGCTCCCTCAACGCGGCACAGCCTCCCCTCATCTAAGCACTCCTTTCGCTAGCTCTCGAATCTCCTGGCGTCGGGACCAGATTCGCACTCCCCGCTTTCGGGGAGAGACCTGGTAGCCGCGAAGGTGTCTGAGCTTGCGGTCATGGGCGGGGAGTACCCCTCTGGCCATGAGTTCAACTTTTTCGGACACAACATCACCGCGGCGGCAGATGTTGTCAATACCTGGCCCGGCCGTGTCACCTTCATCGGGTTCGAGCTAGGGCGAGACGTCTACTCGGGGGGCCAACTCATGGTGGATGGACCGGAAAGCGACCCCGTCAATGCAGCGTACCGGTGGTATAAGTCAGTCGATCGGTTTCCCTTGTCTCCGGCACGGCTAACAAGGTGTCCTGCAGCGGGTATGATGTACCAAGGGAGTCGTGGGACCCACTCACGGTGCTCTACGCCATCGAGGGACTGGGAGACATCTTCAAGTATGGCAACAGCGGTGGCCATAACCATGTATTTCCTAACGGCAGCAACGCATGGCAGGCAGAAGGTGATGGCCATGCGGGACAGCATCGGTATTTGAAGTTAAACGTGTCTCCCGCTGCAGCAGGCGCCCTTCTCGATCGGCTTTTTCTGCGGGGGGCTGTCGCGGCTGCGAAGGACAGTGGATGCAGCAAGTATGAGCCAAGCTTATGCTCTTGATAATCATCTTGTCTTAGGTTTAGATCGGCAGGTACCTAAAGCCAATTAAGGCTGGTTGGTACCCACTGTAAGGTCCAGGCACAATGGCTCTGGTCTCTTCCAATGGCGAGTAGCGCAACACGTTCGATATAAGATCAAATATCTTTTTTTTTACGGTAGCCATCCGCTGATGTGTGTAATTTCCTTTTGATAGACTATGCATGGTTGCCCTCTTCCCGGTTAGAATTGAGATGAGTGATCATGCAGTATATTCGAAGCTCGGGAGGGGTTTGGAAGACAAAGAATGGCACGGCCTTCGATGGGTGAGGAGGAGATGATCAAAAGCAAAAATGGCGAGCTAGACGGAAGAACATATGCATCATGATAGCTCTGCGCGTATGGCATTATATATAACATGCCAACAATCTATAGCGAGTACACTCCCACATAATGCCGCACTTGTTACTCAATTGTCAACCTGCAACCTGATTCGAATTCCGACAAACACCGAATTCCTAGATCCTGTGAGAATAACGCATCTCATCAAGCGCTCTTCCACCGCTTATTCATTACCTTTTTGTCGAAGATGATGACCTCCCCTATGGGGCCACGCAGTGCGTGTGGGGCAGTCTTATTGCTCCCTTAACAGGTCAGTAAGCCCGATCAGGCAGCCGCAGGTATCCTCCAGGCACTCAAGTTGACACGAAGAGCATACGCAGCAGCCCATCCCACTTATCATCCCTAATTCTTGCTTCATCGAAACCGATATCCTAATGACTCTGTTTGACAATGGTCTCGCCTGTATCATTATTGGAATCACAGTCCCCCACGCTTTCCTCCCTGTTCACTGACACATCCTGGCTAGGAGCTCGGCATGGTGGCCAGTTTCCAGTTTCATTCGAGAACTATGAGACAGATCAATCGCAATTCAACGCGACGATACGGAGTCTGCCTCATCCTCAGGCCGCCAAGCTGCAAGCACAACTTACGTTTGGCCTCCTTGAAGCGGTGACCGAGGCCAAGCTCACCGAAGGGGACCTCCTCTGCACCGTGACTACCGACAACGATCCAATAACAAGTCGCACAGCAATAACCAGCTATCATGTCCCCAGGCTTCTCAGTGACTGGCGTTGTCGCATTCAAAAACTCAGTGACCGCGATCAGGCGCACAAGTGGGCTGGTCGAGTACAGACGACGTTCCAGCAGGCGCGGAGACTCCTAGAGACGAAGGTGATGCATCCGAAGGGACCGTTCAGCGCCGCGCAGCTCGACCACCGCGCCCACGCGCAGATCGTTATGCAAATTGGCGGTATCATAGAAATGCTGGTTTCGTCAAGCCATGCTTTTTCCCAATGGGACGTTCGGCCCCAGGGTTTCTCGTGCTCCTTTCTTCTTGAGCCACATTCTGTTATCAGAGATCACATGATGTCGAAGGGCTGGTGTCCGTTTACAATCAAGATACTCTCCGAAAGCGTAAGTATGCTGTCATATGCTGCCATCTGCGAGCCCGTGGTTCGTGAGTCGTCCGAAGACCATGGGCAATGCAGTCGGGAGGGCTGTGTGAGGAACAACATAGCGAACTCTGACGAGTACAGACCGGGGCAGCACGTGAGAAATCATTGCCATTGCCAGAACCTTGCTGCTGGAGATGAAGTCAAGGCGCTGCTCTGTCAGGGCAAGATTCCAGTTATCCAGAAAGGCCCGGCCACGGAAACGTGCTTGCGCCCAGCAGATGCTGCGACTACGAAGTACGTCGCTATCTCGCATGTCTGGGCCGACGGGCTGGGGAGCACTGCTGAAGTAGGCATTCCCTTGTGCCAAATCGACAGAATCTTGGCAAAGACCCGGATGGAAGTCCACGGTGGGACTTTTTGGATGGATTCCCTCTGTGTTCCAAAAGAGAGGCCCCTAAGGAAAAAAGCCATCGGTTTGATGGAACGGACATACAGGGACGCAGCAGCGGTGATTGTGCTCGACTCAGCTATTCAATCCTTATCGGAATCAATGCCGCGAGAGCTGAAATTGCTGAGAATTCTGAGCTCGGGATGGATGCAGCGGCTATGGACGCTCCAGGAGGGAGTCTTGGCAAAAACCATCCTCTTTGCGTTTGTGGACGAACTGGTGCGCTTGGAGAACCTCATTCCCGGATACGATGACCTCGTCAGCAACCCGGTGGCGGCTGATCTCGCGAGCGAACTGTTCAGATTGTCCATGTACAGAGGTGCGACGATGACAATTAGTGACATCTCTTGCGCTCTGCGCTGGCGAACAACCAGTAAGCCGGAGGATGAGACGCTGGCAATATCAGGGCTGCTCAACGTGCAAGCGTCGACCCTGGTCGATCTGTCCGCCGAGCAGCGCATGTCTACTCTGCTCCTGAAAGTTGGCACCATTCCACACAATATCATTTTTCTCCCTGGCAGCAAGCTCAAGAAGCCCGGCTTCCGGTGGGCTCCAGCGACCTTCATGGGCGCGAATTCGCTTAGCCTCAACTTTGGCTCGACAATGGCCCGTTGCAAAGACACGGGCCTTTGGGCAGAATATTTCGCTGCTCAATTTCCCACATTGACAGTGGACAGTCAGTCCACATGGTTAATCCGGGACGCTTCCACGACCCTGGTCTACAAGGTGGACGATCTGTCGTCGCAAATAGACGCCGCAAGGCCTGATGACCCCGCCAACTATTGTTGCAACATTGTATTATTGCAGAACGAGCCCCGTCCTTATCTAATGACGTACGGTGCAGCCGTCTGTGGAGCCCAGGAGCCAGTTGTGGATGTCAACGGCCAAGTGGTTTCTGTCCAAGTCTGCGAGTTTCGGAGCCGGATTGCCTTCCGGCAGATCTCAGAAGATGAGTTGCGTCAAGCTACGTCACCCTTGATCGTAGACGGCATACTTGGGCAAATGAGCGTTGTGCTCTCATAGAGGTCTTAGTCAATGCCCGCGAACGGGATCAATGCCAAAAACAAAAGGAGTGCCTTTCCAAGCTCCTCAAAGACCGTGCCGGGGTCTATGGACATATATGCCGGGCACAGTCCTACATGCTTTTGAGCCCGCCTTGTTGTCAAATCACAAGCCCAAGATCTTATGTCAATAAAAACATCATGATATTGATACATCTGTCAATAGAGGCTTTCCAGCGTGGTGTCTAATTAGGAACATTACAATCGAGCGTATTTCCTCATTCAGCTTAACTTCCTTGACTTGTTCTCACAACCACCGGAATGATTGCTGATCGTAGCCGTGAAATAAGAAAGCTTGGAAGATACAAACAATGCTGCACCAGACACCATCATCTCAAGAGCAATCATTCGAGCGGCATTCCTCGCCACCAAGCAATATAAATCAGTGCCATGGGCTGGGGGGAAATTCACAGAAAGATATCTTGCAATGCCTATTGGACTGCGTTGTCGATAGTCCCGCCTTTCTGGAAGAGGTCGATAAATATCAATCCCAATCAGACAGGGACTTGACCAACGACCCTGAATACCGACAAGTGAAGAGAGGTGAAGGGCCTGAAGATAAGATGACAGGGGCGCTAAACCCAACAAATCACAAAAAGAAAAAAAGAGAAAAAACATACAACAGCCGGGATTCGCATGTGGTCACCCACCATACTACTAACCGGCCGGCGTGTGGCTTAAGTACGGCTGAGCGGACGGGAAGCCCTGTTCTCCACACCCTATGGTCGTATGTATTAGTTTACGCAGAACATTTAACCTATATGGTTGACACTTGCTTAGAACTCTAATCTGGTGGTCACTAAGCCACTCGGTAATTTGTCAGCCCTGCATGCCCTTTGGGTGGTGGGACCAGCTACGCGTCAAATACTCGGAAGCTCCACATAGCCCAGGAAACTATTTTGAACATGCATATTTTGGGCTTCTGACGGTATCACCACCATGATTGCAAGAAAACCCAGAAACACTCCGAAGAAAACTCTGCAAGCCAGCTGATGTTGGCTGACTGCATATCTCACAGTTTTGCATCCTGTATGTGATGCAGTCCGGATGGATGATGATCTGATCATTAATTTAATCAAACGTCCCTTTGTCTAGCCATGTTGCATTGCACAACGCACGACTGCTACACTGATCTGCAGTATATATACCAAGAACCTGTAGTCAGCATATCTCCAGATCCAGCCCCTAGAGTGTTTACAGAATGTCTACCGAATGACGCAATGAAGGGGTCGGTCTAGTCATGCATCAGGGTGATCTTATTCCTTTTGAATCATTCAGGGGCGGTACGCGCATAAGCCATAAATCAAGGCAGGGACACAGCTCGGCTGCTGGGTCACATTCCAGTTCTGCTCTTCCAAGACTTGGCCAAGAAAAGAGCAGGGCTGGTATGGTATATACTCCACACAGTCGCTCTAACTATAGGAGTCTCCACTTTTCGTGGTGGGGCCCTTGAAATAACTCTATACTGTCGCTTAGCAGGACTCTACGAGTTCGCTTAGTCGCTTAGTGGGACTCTGATAAAACCGTATATGGAGAGAGAGAGAGAGAGAGAGAGAGAGAGTAGATGAGAGTCAAAACTTTTTAGCAGAGCTAGTATGCAAAATAACGTAGGCAGAGCTGGTATCAAAGAGCCCCCGCCAGGTCTGTGTTCCTCTGGAACCCTAAATTTCAGTCACCCACACCTGCCGTGAGCCCGTCGACAGGCATCGGGGAGGACCTATCGCTCAACAATCCTCACAATTCGCGACACAAAGTCATCGCCTTGTCGACTGCATCTTCCGCATGCACCAAACTCGTGTCCATGACTGGGACAGGGCTATCCTCCTCCCGCACAAGCAACCCTATCTCAGTACAGCCGAGAATAATCAACTCGGCACCTTGATCGACGAGAAAATAGATCACTTGTCGGAACATCTCCCGCGATTCTGGCAGGATGATGTTCTTTGTTAACTCGTCCATGATGACGCGCTCGAGACCCGCACGTTGGTGTGCATCGGGGATGAGAACATCCAAGCCATATTTCGACCTCAGCGGCCCAATGATAAATTGTCCAGTCAAAGTGGTAGAGGAGCCGAGGAACCCGATCCTTTTATATCCCTCCTTGTTGATTCTTCGACCAAGCGAATCGGCCATGTGCAGCATTGGTATGTCGACGGGGAGTTTCTCGGCAGCGAACTGGTAGGTATTGCAGGCGACAAGGTAGAAGTCGGCACCAGCCGACTGCAGCGATGTGATGTACTTGTGGAATTGTTGGCGGATCTTGTCGACTTGGCCCGATAGTCTCCATTCTGTGATTTGATGCAGGTCGGCCTGGATGACGACTATTTTGGGGCCCCGAAGACCGCCTAGACGGCGAGTAACTAATTCATTGATGACTTGATAGTAGGTGATTGTGCTTGGCCATGAGAGACCACCGATAATACCGATTGTCTTCATGTTGGGCAAGATGGGATTTATTCGGAACGGTGTGATCGAGTATGAGTCTGAGAGAGAGTGATTGAAAACAATGATCAAGAAGCTAGATCTTAGACATAACAGGCTTGCTTTATATTCCCCGAACCCGGCAATATCAATGTTTCTCTGTCCCTGAGGTACGTAAGCTGCCCATGGCCCATTTTAATGAAGGCGACTCATCAGGTATGCTTATGGTTATTTTGGTATTAGAGTCATTGTTTTAGGTAACTGAATTATTTAGAAATTTGTTGTAGAATAGTATCTGTCCTCCAAATTCTATAGCTATAATCATCTGAGCTATCAATAATATAGGTATTATCATTATAGACCGTCCAAATTAGAATACTCTTTATATATATTCCGAACAAGCGATTGTTGGGACCATAGGGAACGGTCTAAAAAGCTGCGGCTTAGTTGCGCATAGCAGGTTTCATATAGGGGTGTCTGCAGATGTCAAGCAAGGAAGCTTGACCTAAACAGTCGGCCCTCTTAGTCTAGTGGCATAGTCGGCTTGGTATACTAGTTATTTGTCAACGTTGATAGTATTGAGATCTGTATATTGGGATTCCTCTGTGAATGGTATCATTATTTTATCATCTGTATTTTCTTCGCAGGGCGAGAGGCCTTATATGATAATTCCCACAACATTACCTGCAGTTACTATGCTCAACCCCTTGTTATCACAGCCCCGTAGATCATAATATCTCCTAAACCCTTGCCTGGGGGTAATTCTGACCCTTGGAAGGGGGGAATAACAAAAAGAGAAGAAAAAAAGTAGCCTCGACTAAGCAAGCTAGCGAATATTCCAGGGGAAGCTATTCTCTAGTATCACAGCTACGAGTACACGTGTGCTATACTCCAGGTATTGATCCAATACATAGACTATCAGCCAAGGCGGACCTTATCAAGTAGTCAAGTTTACAGAAGCTCTTTATCTCAGGGAACTGATAGATTTGGTTTATTGTTCTACAGCCGTGTCCATAGATGTAGTCTGCATTGGAAGTATGACCAATTAGGGTTATGCATTGAAGTCAAGTACCGATCATAGGAAGATTTTCTTTACCATACATGGACCTGTTTCACTTGTAGTCATTTTTCGCCCTTTTATGAAGAATCCGAGACAGCAGTCGTGCTATACTGAGAGAATTTGCTCTTCTCGCGGAGCTGTCTCCCATACAAGTGAAAGACAGGTGGCACCAGACAGATGAAGGTAGAAAAAATGGCCAGAACAGAAACAGCCTTGTTAGCGCCCAGGTCGTCAAACATCCTCGGGGCAAAGAGTGGAAAAAAGGCACCGAATGTGACGCGGAGAAATGACAAGGCGGCATTCGCGCTGGCCGCGTGGTTCAAGTAAACGTCTGTCACATATGACGATAACACGGTAGAGAATTCATTCAAGCCAAATCCGACAAGGCATAATGCAAAGCTGGAAACCGCCCAGTGGACGGCCGGCACACTAGGTGGTATAGTCCACGCGAAAATCCACAGCCCGATAGTAAGTCCGGGTGCTGCGAACCACATCCCAAAAAGCTTGTGTTCAGGTGGCAGATTGTGCGTTTGTTTCTCAGCAATTGCCGTGGTCCGGTGGTCGTAACAGCGGATAAGCAGATTCCCGACAAGTGCTATTACTATTGTTAGGAGAGGGAGGCTAGAACTTTGCTCAGAAAAGCCCATTTTACGATAAATGTCTGGCACGGTGTCCACGAAAAGATAGAACAATCCATTCGCGACTCCGCTGATGACACTCAGCGTGAACATAACCGGCTCTGAGAACAGTAGCTGGGCTGGTCGAAAAAGTGAAATTCTCGCAAAGGTTTTCAGATCCGGCACATGGTCAGGAATGAAAGGTTTAAATTCCTGCCCTGTCTTCCTCTGAAGTCTCTCAGCGTGCTGACGGAGGAGGAGAGATGGCCGAGATTCTCTGATACATAACATCATGACCGCGAGGAGTGCTGTTACCATGGCAGCAATGTAGAAAACCCATTCCCTGCAGCTCGTCATTAGCAGAGATCTCGCTGGTATCTTTTATGGTATGATATATGCACGTACCAGCCGTACTCTGCTGCAATATATGCGCTATATACCGGTCCTAGACCAAGACCAGTACCAGTAGCGACAATGTACAGAAACACCATCCAAACGCGCGTTCGTGCCTTGAACATATCGGCAATACTCCCAGTAATGACCACGCTGGGAATTGCCGAAAGGACGCCCGTCATAAAGCGAGCTATACCGCTGGCGACGTGCGAATTCCCAACCCCAACGATAACACAGAAGACAGCATAGAGCAGAGAGCTAGCTATATATAGCTTTTTTCGGCCAAACGCTTCGGAGTACGGCGGAAACACAATAATGCCAACCCCTTGTCCTAGCTGGTATCTAGAATATTAAATGAGTCGCTGAGGATGAGGTAGGGAATATTTGCTCAATACTAACGATGACATATAAGCAAAGATCAACAACGTCATGCTGTGATCAGTTCCATGTTGAGAAGCTCTTGCAGCAGTCGCCTATAGAAAGTCAATAGAAGTCGGGAATGATGCCCAGGTCACTTACTCCTGATGTGCTGATAGCCGTTCTATCTCGCGTAAACACCACATGTTAGACAAGACTATTGTAAGAGATACGATGGGCACGCACGTGAAGGCCTCCAGAAGGAGAATCAATGTCATATCGTAAAATTTTCGCGCGCCACTCCAATGCCACGGATGAAGCGCACTACCGCTGGCCCATTGCACATGTTGTCCATCTTCAGTCTTTTCCAAGCCGAATTCGGCTAGGTTGACGGAGACAGTCGGGGAGAGCGCGTGTTCCATAACTCAGTATATACTTTACAACATGGAAGGAGCCCGGAATCGAATAGTCTGGTAGAAAATCTCCCTGGGCTTTTTGATGAGAAAAGCTCCGTAATGAACATTCAATTTATCCATTCAAGTAAAATATAATCATCAATCAAGCATAAACAACCCCTGAAAGCAAACTAGCTTTCGTAAGGAATGAGTAAGGGGGTGACATTGTTTTCAAGGGTTTGATAACTTCAACCATGGCGAATGCAAACCACATTTGACGCTAGACACTACTAATAAAGGCTCTATACACAAAAGTAATATGATAATGACATGTTCCAAGCTATATTCCGCGACGTTGCCAGACACTCTAGAATCTATATCGAGTAAGTCCGCAAATTCATGCGCAGGAATATTGTAGGGGAATCACCCAAGAGGTCGGATTGACTTCTGTTCGTTCTGTTTATAGTAACATGGAGTCTGGCCATTTGTTTGACTATTATGGCCCGAGAATATGCGTAGAAGATACTTGGGGTCAGGAGAATCTCTCCCAAAAATCCCTAAGTAATTTTAAGTGCATCGAACACCCCAAGGATTTCAGATTTGGTAGCCCCAGTCATGACGAGGCATCGATGGGGTAAAGCTGGCTGATATTTCCCATCCAAGTCACCTCCTCGCGTCCGTAGACCAGCCATCTGGGCTGCTGAGACGATCCTCCACTGTCTGGCCGCGTCAGCTTTACTCGCGCCCTTTTTCGCTGACTGCAGCTGGTTACTATAGGCTTATGTAGCTCGGACCCCCGCTGCATAAAATCAAGCTTATTTATCGTCAAGAATATGAGTCACCCCACAATCTCCACCACCGAAGATCGCTAGACCAGCTTAGTATGCTTGGGCTGATGACGTACGGCAAAGTATTTGATCCCCAGTAAAGACTAGTCAAGCGAGCTACCTATCACCATCAGCTCGCGCGCCAACGATGTCATGTGTAGGATATAAAGACTCGTCATCTGGATTGTTATTGAATTCTGGGTGGGCGTTAAGATATCACATATTAATGAACTTTCTGGGCCAACAATAGTGGGACCCTACCTAATCCAGCGCCGTTTATTGCTCACCCGGTGATTTTCTAGAAAGCGCGAATCAGGTTTCTATTGTTTCCGGAGTCCATAGTTAGTGGGTATCCATCGTCCTGACTGACCCTGTCTACACATTTGAGGCTGCCCCTGTTTACGACTCATATAGTCCCTTGAGCCAAGCCGCGTAATTGTTATTTCAAGAAGCCTATCTATCGACTGAAGAATTCAATAGATACATATAAATATATAAAAAGCCGCATGTACTTATAGAATGATTTATACCGGACTTTAATTAAGAACCTTAGATTGATAGCAGATGGTATTTAACTCAATGATACCGAGTAGTGGAACTTGCATTATTATTATGATATAGGGTTATGATGAAATTATCAAGGTTTGGATACGTTATCTAAATTCAAAGCAACATATTGCATGTAGTTACTCCGTAGACCAAACGTATTGGACCGCTTATATAATACCATAAAATGCCATAATAGAAGACTATTATTCAAGAAATAAAATCTATGTCAATGAATATGGTGTATCTGTGGATGGACATACCATGTATATTTCATAACGTAGAAGTTTCGTAAACCAAATCAAAATCAGGCGGCAGGAAATCGAGGGATCTTGGAAACTCCCAACTAAGGTGTTTCAAAAGGAAGATGTTAGAGTCAACATTCAAATTGTTTGAATAGCTTTCAAGGGATGTCATTCTTGTACAGGTGACGTGTCAGATGTCATTACGTGATTTGCCCTTGGAGAGATTTTAGACGGCCTAAAAAGTTATTACACATTTTTGCGTTTGGGTTATGTATATGCCGTGATCTACATACCAACTTGAACCACCCCCTTGATCTTGATTCATTGAATGCTGAGATCTGCAACCACTCCATTACCCAGTGCGGCTGTAGAAACTTGCCCTCATGCTACTCAATTTTCCTATCATTACTCGTCAACCAGATTTATCTTTACTCACATTTGAGTATATTATAATGTTCCGGCCACTGCGCCAAATTACCAAGCCGCATTTTGGTAGGGCTTATCATGACTGATAACTATCCCAACTTTATATGATTAAGGTTGAACAAGTCACTGCTGTGTTCTGCACACAGGCTGTAGCCGTGGGGTGGCTGGGCAAGATAACAAGGATTCAAAATGACCGGTGAAAATGCCCGGAAAGCATCAGGGTGAGCTGGGTGATATGTCAAGAACAGTTAAGAGGAGCCCGGATAAGATGAGTCCAGTATGGTCCTACCCCTGAAAAAAAAGGTCCAGAACAGAGCCTGCTGCAGGCTACTATAATTACGCCTTAAGTCCTCCGTACAAGGTAAATTGCGGGCTATGCATCATGCGATGGCGTTATTAGACTTACCGTAGTTTAATGCAGTTGTACTCTACATATCACTATTGTACCTTGGACTAATGCATTTCTTAAACTTAGTCTCTTCATTACTTCAGAACTATGGTGCACTTAGGTTGTTGAAATATCCATTATATCATATCTGTGATAGGGAAATAATGAACAAGGAGAAATCAATCTATAGCCCGACGGACATACTAATTTGAGAAGATGCAATCTCAAAAGTTTCAATATACTCTAGTGCTTTATATCAGATATAGACAACCTTATGTCGTTATCATATACACAATGAAAATAGCAACGGATATGTGTACACCACTAGAAGGGCAGCAGGTACGTATTCAAGTGATCATTTTCTTTAGATTAGTACTAGTTTGACTGACTGATGTAGAACGATAATAGTAAGCCGGAAATCAAAGGAGCAAAATCTCATATTCGGTGATTGAAACTTAGTTACAAAAATCCGACCTATATTATCTCAATTTCTCGCAATGGTCTAAAGCGTAGCGTAGCTTCAGACTAGATTGACCTTGCTGAGCATGTGATTCAAGTATTAACAAGCAGAAAGGAAGCCGTGTCCTTTACAGCCTGTAGACATACGCGATCGACCTACTTACCATGGAAAAGCTGTTGGGAATATCAGTCAGGTTAAGCTCTATACCAAACAGCTATATACCAAACGTTGACCAGCATTTTGGTGTAGCGGTCATTGAGAAAAGCCCAGCAAAATGGCTACAAGTGGCTGTCAGTCACCCTCCACTTCACCAAAAGGAGTCAATGATAGGTCAAACTATAAACATAACTTCATTAATGCGGTGCGGGATACCGGCCAAAAATTAGAGATCGCTATATATGGCCGCCAAAGAATCAATGATCTTCTCCCGTCTTGCCGGATCTATATCAGGGAAGGTATCCATGACATGTTCGTTCTGTTTCAAAAACGCCGCGAGCTCATCGGTCTTATCACCAATGGATCTACGACCCATGCCTTCCTTCAGATTCTCCACCAAATCACCATTCCCGTGCAACAGCTCCCGCAAGCTGTTCTTCAGGATATCGCCGATGGCGACTTCGACGGGTAGGGTGAGCTCGCGGAGCACTTTCGTGTAGTAGGGGACCTCGGTGCCTTCCCAGACGATGGACGTAGCGGCTGCGTTCAGAGATAGCTTGCCCTCCTTCAGGTGAGAAACCTGAGATTTGATGACATCGCCGAGGTTGCTTATGACCTTCTTTAGATCGAGGACTCCGTCCATCGGGAAGGTGTTGTCCCCCGGCTTGAGCGTGACGTCTGTAAGGCTGGCATTCCCGACTAGGAGATCCCCGCTTTTAATATCCATGTGGAGGGTTCCGACTTCGAGTTCGAGAACCGATGGGTTGGGCAGCGTGATGTTTCCGACAAGGTTGGTGCCGTCGTCTTTTGGAGGGAGGAGCAACGTAGCGTCGGATATGGTGAGACCCTTGAATTTATTCAAACCTAGGAGAACAGTTAGATGGGCGAACACAGGCATATATAGCTCAGGATTAGGTAGAATCACCCGGAGTCACGATGGTCTTGTCCATAATAACATTCGACTTCAGCACCCCTAAATAGGCCGTCGTCGGGGCATAGAGCGACAACGACGTCTCCTCCTGGAACACGACCTGCCGGACAAATTCGACCCACGCCGTCGTATCTTGTATAGGTGTGAAACGGTCGCTGACTCCGAGAGTATAGTTCCCCTTGATTGTCTGTCCCGGAAGGTCAAGAGCGGCGTACGGCCTGTCGTGTCCAAGATCCGGTTGGAAGAGGTCGAATGTCACGGCTTCGATGCGCACGGGCACTGCCAGCTTCAAGTCTATGCTGGCTTTCATGGTCAATTGCACCGAATCCGGCTTTGGTTGTAGCACCGCTCCGTTCACGAGGAGTAGAGTCGATTTGTTGACGACCATCTGTGCGATCGCAGGAATAGCGATGAGAAAGCTATGGTGATCAGTTCAGTCGAGCAGATTAATGCTGTGTCGAGAGATCACCCACAATATTGGCAGGAAAATGGCCAAAAATATGATATTCCCCACGAGATAGAAAAACCAAAACCGCCTCCAGTGATGGCGAATCTTCTCGCCCCGCGTGGACACCTTGGACAGTGTCAGTCCACCCGCAGACTCCAACTTCTCCAACTCCCGGGCATCATTCTCATCCTGCGCTAACGGCCCTCGATGGGCACCCAGTATGTATTTCCCCGGCGTGTCCGACATCTTCTGCGGGATGGACGGTCAAAAACAGACAAAAACCCGACAATTGACAGGAATCGCTTTCTTAAGAGGATTCGACCCCCATCCTGAGTGACATCAAACCCCTTAGTACCATGAGGAGCACCGTCCACCACACACCCCACGGGGTAAACGACGATCAGCCCCAGAAATGAGGAGACCAAACTCAAAATAGGCCCTCAACCCTGTTCCAAGATCCGACCCGCCCCTTTTCGGCCCAAACTATGCATTCGCCTCGATACCGCTCGTTTGTAGTGCCTGTGATTTGACCCCGCGGCGTGGTCGTAGTCTCATTTGGACTGAGAGCCTCGGGTCCCCTGTCTGACACACATACTGTCTACCCGGCATTTAGGCGTGATCATCAAAGGATGTGCCGTCATAGACAGCCTGCTTTAGCGAATACTGCCAAGCGAGGGGTATACCGCGACATGCGGTGTATATCGGCTTCTTCATGATATTTCTCAATATTCCGTTTGCTGTTGCTATCAACCGTGTGGTCGATAGAAACAAGATAATGCCTTACTGCAAAGCTTGTCTTGGACTTTATACGGATGTATCAACCAATCTTGAGTACTATGGGCAGGGTGCGAAGTTCTATCGAAATACTCAGTATGCCCTTACGAATACTGCCAGTACTGTTCACGTGGACTCCCTCCATCATCATCCAAAAACAGTCAACATTGCGAACGAGATAAACCAGATACCAACCAGAAAGTCAGCGGCACAGCTCCCAAGTTCTTGAGTTGGGAACTATTGGGCACGGGGGCAATCCCGTCCGGGGTATATGCGGGGTTCGGCTGATCATCAGCGCCCCGTGTCCACAACCAGCTCGCCAACTCATGCGGGGAACCACGACTTGGCCAATTAGATTGGAAACATTGTAATGTGGGGGAGTTGAGGCCTACCACATATGATACATAGGTATTGTTACTATTGCAAGGCCATTCCTACCAAAGCATAGAGTATACTGTACCTCAAGTACAGTGCGGGGCGAGCTTGGTCCATGGGATGCTATATTTAACCGGACGAGTTCTGTTTAGTACTGCAGGGGAGATTGTCAATATCTGCTAATTGTAGATCGTGGATATTAGTTCAACGGACACGCCTCGATCCAGCATGGCATATCACAAAGAGAGTCAATAGAGTAAAAACCACTCGGCATATTAAACCCGTCATATTCTCCATGGTCACACACAAGACTTCACATGTCCGATAAGCTCCACCATCCTGTTAACCGGTCCCTGCGAGTTGATTAAATTATATTAATTATATCATAGCGAAGATCTTGCATGGCCTTCGCTCTTCGCACTGATCGCTGATTTGTCTAGGTTAAGTTATGCTCTTGACAACGTGCGGGGGGCTGCAGTAGTCTTTCCAGAGAGAGACACAAGACAAGCCACACTCGTCAGACCTGGCAGGTGTTGAGACCGAGGTTGTTCATGTGGCGACGGATCACAGGTCTCGTACTGGATGTTTCAAGGCTCAATGGTGAGATCGCTGATATGTCGTGCTGTTGTGCCGACACGTCCGTAGCAGACAGGCTTGCTCATATTCCGACTTTTATCTTATCGCGGGAGAGGGTCAAACATGGAATGTGTCAGATTCCGAGTTGCTGTGGAGTATTGTATGGTTTGATGATCATATTTCAGTACCGTCTGAGCATGTCGTGCGATCCCAGTCGACTGATATAGAGTATATGTACGAATTTCGCAGCGAGATCGGTTTCGCGCGTGTGTGTGTCTGTGTGAGGTGTTCCTTGTGATCACGTCTATACTTATAATTCTCGAGGTAAGTCACATGGTATGGTGAATTGGATAGATATGTATGGCAGACGTGAACATAGAAGCAAATAAAGTCCTCTTCTATCGAACACAGTAGATCGTTTCTGCGTCTTCCAGAAGGAGTTCCCCCAATTTGTATGTAGTGTCAGTGCATGCCGGCCAGATCTGACAATTGACATTTCGGTAAGATTCAAATGAACAATAGTTTATGATGCACCTAGACTAGAAGATATGAAAATAGAGACTAATGTGGGTGTGTGCGCTTGCACAACTGGGGTTAGCATTTATTGGTGGATGTTGTTAGATCTGTACCTTGGACGATGTAAGGTAAGAGTGATTCAAGATTTACTGGTGATATAATAAAAAGTATGTATCCATCTCAAGGCTGTACATCGTATTCCTCATGCTCATGCAATCAAGGAGGGATGAATACCAGTAATAGTTTGATCACCATAAGACTAGGCTCCAACTTGTTGTTTATCTGACTTTGTGTGGGGAGATTGGACTCGTGATTTGAAAAAGGGAACTACTTCCTTACTAGATCTAGATGATCGTTATATGATCTCGGTACAAAACTCGAAATTACGAGAGGAGCTTGAAGATAGTATTGCTCCAAGTATACTGTCCCAACATGTTGACAATATAAGGCACTATAAGAAGTTAAAACGTCTTGATTTGGTCTATGGGCCGCGATCACCTATCCAGCGGCTATCTTGCAAAGATGCCCGACCAAAGTTGACACTTCTTGCAATTTCGTCCAAATCCAACCCAGACATTCATAGCCAGAACAACCAGTATCTGGACAAAAGATACTTGACAGCCATTTTTTAATCCATCGTAGATGTGCCTCCACAAGAGAGTCCCTCCAAAGTCTCACCTACCAGTCATACTCATTCAACACCAATATCCTGGATCTTCTCCTTAAGCCGCTCAATCCGCGCAGCCAACCCACTCTCTTCTCCCGCAATCTCTCCCCCCGCAATAATAGTAGCCGCGATCACAGACCTACCCAGCCCACACGCCTCACCCAGCTCAGCCTTACTGGGGACAAAAACGCAAGCGATCTTCTTCATCTGGCAGAGCATAGGAAGATGCATGACGATTGCAATAGGGAAGGTGTCAGCCGCTACGATCACGATCTCGGATAATTCGCGCTCGACGGACTTGGTTGCTGCATTGGGATATTAATGTATCGTATTGAGGTAAGGTGATATAGGTAGTGAGGGTATAGCGTACTTTCGTTGACGCCTTTCTTGGCTTGCTGCGCTTGAACGGCTTGCTGGAGCACGTCGAGGATCTCCTCTGTGAGCGAGGGGTCCGCCGTGGGCGAGACTAGAATATTACTCAATATGGTGAGCGAATATAGAGGGAAGACTCACGAGTGGGAAGGGAAACTGGATCCATTATCGTGGTGATGGATGGATGGTGGCCTGCCTGTATGGGTTCACTGCGGGAAGGGCTCCTCTGAGTAGAGATTCACTGCCACCGACGCTCGCCTGTAGAGGTTATCCTGGGATTGTTTTCGGAAGACAGATGAACAGATATAAAGGAAGCGTGTGTAAGGATGAAAGCCAGAGTGAGGGCTGGACAGCAACAAACAACCTCCTTTTGTAGGTATGGTCGGGCCGAGATGATGCCGGATTTGTCGAATCTGGAAGCAAGCCAGACGCGTCTTTTGAGTGAATGAATTTGTCAAGGATGAAAGAAAGCTAGACCGGTGTCTGAACTGTTGTCTTGTTATGCTGCATCCTGTATGGCTCATGATGCATATCCCTCCCGTTTACTGTTTCCCGGCATATATCGTAGTTCGGGACGATCTCCCCAGTAGGAGCATCGTCCAGTAGTAAAAAATTTATCAAGCCTACTATAAAACACATGGAGAAGTGATCTCTGATTGCCAGGGTAGAATCAATTGGCAAAGAAGACCCAGGTAGGGCCTCTGCTCCCTTTTATGAAACACCGAGGTCACTATACTTAGACCTGTCTGACAAAACAAAGCACTACAGGTTACACCATATGCATGATTTGATGCAGTACTACTATCTTTGACGACTCGATACTCCAGGAGTTGATTAAGTATGACTTAATATCGATGCATTGTTTCAAAAACTCGATATTCCTATCTAAGATTATAGCAATAAGCAGCAAAATTTGGATACCAAGTCAAGCGGCTCGGAGCACGTGTGTATTTGCATATATGCCCACATAGCCGGTCTCCAAGATTCCGCCACAGAATTGCCGTAAATCATATCCCTTAATTCACTCCATCAATTCAATGGCAAGTGCTAATAGAGGATCGCAACACCTCGTTCAGTTAGAGGCCTTCGAGCTGGAAGGAAGATTGTAAATCTTCTTGATATCGCGCAGGGTAGCCTCGAAATCGACATGAAGGTCCTTCAACAGACCAACCTTCAAGTCAAAGACCCACCCGTGAACAATCGGATACTCATTCTCCTGATAACTCTGCTGAACAGCGGCCGTCTTGATGATATTCCGGCAGGACTCAATTACGTTCAGCTCCACCAGCCGGTTGAACCTCGCCGTCTCGTCCGTGATCTGGTCGAGCTCCTGCTCGTGCAGACGGTACACGTCGCGGATGTTCCGGAGCCACGGGTTGAGGATGCCCAGGTCGGTGGGCGTCAGCGCGGCTTGAACCCCTCCGCAGTTGTAGTGGCCGCAGACGACGATGTGCTTGACGCGCAGGTGGCGTACGGCGTAGTTGATGACGGACATGACGTTGAGGTCGACCGTCGGCACGAGGTTCGCGATGTTGCGGTGGACGAAGACTTCGCCGGCGTCGAGGCCCATGATCTCGTTGGCGGGAACTCGGCTATCGCTACACCCGATGTACCTGCGTCTGTTAGTCTCTCGCTCTTCGACGGTGACCTGAGTTAAGCGTCTGGGAATCGTTACAGGTACTCAGGCTGCTGGCCCGCAGCGAGCTTGTCGAAGAAGGCCGGATCGGACTCCGTCTTCGTGGCAACCCATTTCCGGTTGTTTTCGAAGATCCGCTCGTGCGATTGCTGCAGGTACCGACGGACGGTCTGCTGGTCGGGGGAATGGGCCATGTCGTGGAAGGGGTTGGAACAGCAAGCTAGTCCGCGTTTTGAGATTCGAGGAGCAGGGATACCCTGAATGCGACGGAGGAGAGTAGTACGGAGGTTGGGATGTTTGAAGAGGGGCAGCATTATGATAGCACCATCACTGGGCGGCTTTCAGTCATCCCCCACCTGTCTGTTTGAGCACACTGCAGTGATTTTAGCGTGGGATGTTCGGATTATGGGTAAATCCGGGCCGATATCGGCAAGGTGATTTAGTCGCGGGCATGTCGGGCGACAACAGATCATCAACTGTCTTGCCCTGTTGAACAGACATGAGAAGACATGAAGAGAACAGCCATCATGTCAGAGAAAATCCATTGGATATGTCTCGAAAATAAAAAATCGCTTCATGTTTGTTAGTGTCGAGTCAGGTGCTGACTGTTGGCTACAGGCAATGCCAAGAAATGAGGGCACGCATCATCATATGACCGATGGAACACCAGGTAAGCATCGAGGTCCACGTGTAGGGAGCCAGAAGTCTGGCTGGGGGGGAGTCTTTTCTTTTATAACTGTAACTGCTCGAAAGTACCATGAGTAAGCTAAAACACTAGTTGGATTCCAAAGAGGAGTCAAGTCGGGGTCTGGATAGCGGGGGCCTTTCGCAATACGTCTCCACATTTGCTCCCATACGCCGGCGTAAACAATTTGAAATACGGTCATTTCAGACCCTGTCTATGCAAGATCTTTAACCCTCAAAATGACTTACCCCATGCCATCAACTCTATAACTCCTAGTCTAGAACAGACCCCTATGGACCAAATAGACATTTCTACTCATGATCAGATACAGTGACAACACAGCAGCTAGGAAACAAAAGAATGAAATCGTCGAAAAATCCATACCCAGATCACACTAACACCCTACCATGAATACCCACGTTGGTGACGCGATACCCTCTCCGGGAGGCACTGTCATAGAAAACACCATGAACCTTCAAACCGCGTCGATCGATGGCGTCCACAACTTCCGGGATCTGGCCCACGGAGCGAATCTGCTCAACTACGTTCCACTCGACCAGCCGGCGATCCTGCTCCTCCTCTGTCAAGCCCTGAAGGCTCGTGCTGTGGGCTGTTCGCAGGCCGTCAATTATGCTGAGTTTAGTCAGTAAGTACATCGCAAGACAGGATAAGACATTGATGTCACCTTGTCCAGGGGTCTTTTAGACCGGGATTCTGCGCCGTCTTCACAATGCCGCATCCGTAATGTCCGCAGATGACGATATGATCGATCTAACAATATTCAGCGCCCTTACTTGAAGTTTATACCGGCCGGAGAGAATCTTCGAGAATGCGTACATTGAGAGCACTGACTGCATATCGAACAGCCGTAGTGCAAGACAGATCATCAATCAATATATTTCCTAGGTTCCTATGTTGGAATATATCATCCGGCGACACATCCAGCAGCGCAAGCTCTTCACAACTACTGTCTGAGCATCCGACCCACAGGATTTGCTCCCTGGGTGGTGATATCTTAGGAATGAAGTCAGAGCGTAGAGGTTGAAGACTGTATCGTCGAGATTGGCTGTCGTCCATGTCGCAATGTGTGGGAGTGTGATGCGATTGGAGATCAACTTGTTCGGATAGACCCGGGAGGTAAGAATCTTGGAGTACTTAACCTTGGAGAATCGCAGCTTTCCAGCCGAAAACGGGGTCTTAAACCAGGAGAGGAAGCGCTCTCTCCTATAACGCGTAATTACGTCCAACTGACTGAGACCCGGTGAGAAGGTCTGTTGCAGATAATTACCTAACTGGAACCTGGGCGTAGCAGAGCACGGCCCGATTGATACGGCTTCTTCATGAATACTTGAGGTATTTCAACTATAACGACAGCCCCAATAGATCTCTACCCGTACAGAATATTTTTGATTCCCTCGAGTTGAATTCAAATACCGCAAGGCAGTCCGAGAACGCAGAGACCAGCTCCAAAGACATTTCCAACACCGCTCGTAGTCCTATTTTAGCTTAGCGAAAGGCCAAGAAGCATCGCATCTGGCATGATTCGGCTCCGACGGTTCGATAGTAGTTTCATTCGGGTTCGAGTCTAACAGAGAACTATCAAAATTGAGCTGAATAGTCATTGCGGAGAACATGATAGCAATAAACCGCATCAATCCATCAGCTGGGTAAGCCGTATCCGACGTAAAGCAGTGACGGTTCCTGACTCGACCCACTCTGAGAACCGGCCGAAAGTCGGAGCCGACACTAAAGTGCGCCTGGCGTGGCTAATTTCCAACCTCACTGGTTCTTCTCTCCACCTTTTCATCTAGATAACAGACGGTTGGCCTAGTGGTATTACAGGTGAAATCTTGTATTGCGTATACATTTACTGGTATGATATATGACTACGTCATTGGTGTGGTTTTTACCCTTGACAAGGATTGTGTATTTGGTGTTTGTCATGATAGATATTTACCTACTTCGCTGCACTGGCTTCGAGTTGAACAATTTCAGCTTTTAAGAATATCGGTTTGTACAGAGACATTCTGAGTTTACACCTTTCTCACTTGTAGAGATATAGCCCCGATGTACTCATTTAACTTTTTCTCCTCCCTACTCCAAAATTCGACTGATCCTCCAATATCGTCTATCCAGCAGGCGACCGGTACAGCCGAGGAAGTTCAAATCCCACCAAAGCCGCTGTTTCATAGCAAATAAAAAACGGCACCCCACTCATACAAGGTTAAGCGCATCGCGACCCACAATATCGGGGAAGGCGAGCTCCACTAGTCGGATCCGACACGGCCGAGAAAGCACCGGATATGGATATACGGCAGATATGTACAGAAACTTTGGTATTTGTCTATCATTGTTTATTCACATGAACTGGTTTGCCACTAGACTTGCTTGAAAACACTGCATCATGGATTAGAGTTAATTCACAGTAGTAATGATGAGGGACTTACCATAACTGGCCCCTTTCTCTTTCGGCCGGCTGATGATGTCGGGCTCGTTGGTGTGATCGGGGAGTCGTAGCATTCTTGGCTATTTCCAGATACAATGGCAATTCTTGCCTTCAGTGGAGGATACGGATAGTGTGAATAATATGCAATGAATCGATATGCGCTAATCTGTAGTCTATTTCTATCGAATACCGGCCGAAAGGACTGAAACTGTAATTGGACTCGCTAGTTGTTGCGGATTATATGGGTATGAGGCGTAAGCAGGGAGGCGTTTTCAAAAATGCTCGAATGGCTGATCAGGGTCGCGGATTTGCCGCAGTTGCAGCGGATTTTTCACTCGAGGGAAGCGGCATGTTGTTGATCTTCTGTAGAAGCTGACGGTGTTCCTTCTTTAGCTCTTCGAAGCTGTCGTCGAGTTGCTGGTGCCAGGGGTATAGGACGAAGACTTGGAAACAGAGAGCGGAGGAGGCCACCGCGAAGTTGGTCAGGGAGACGCTGCGTGTGAAGATCATTTTGATAGGAGCCTGTGATGGTATTAGCTAGGACATGACTTATGTGTTTAGATTTCTCTTACTCTGGGTAGAATGGATGATGAGGGGTGAGTTAGGAGATTTGTATAGGATGATTTGTAGTAGGAGAATCCAAGTCAGAAACAGTCGATGGTGTATGATATATGTATATGTGAATTAGAAAGTAAGCCAAATGACTAACTATTTATACCTACCATACATCCACCCCAGAGACCCACATTTCTAGAAGGAGCTGACTAGCCTATGGCGACACCCCATGTCTTTTAATAATTAGCCGAAATTTAATCCTTTCCAGTTTCTAGTTCTGTCTTGTGGATCCGATTCATGTTCTCAATTATATCATAAGGTACAACCAATTATCGAAGGGAAGGTTTCTGACGGCCACCAATCTGATAGACATTGAAAAAGATGGAGTCATCATTTCCTGTCTGTTATAGGATTATTATGAGAACCAGTGGCCCCATACTATATTCCTTATCCATACACAGCAACGGCAATTAACCCCCTTCAGAGAGCTATTACGGGGATAAATCAATGACCGGAGTAGCTCTTGTCAAGCCTCAATGTATACTAGGTTGGTATTCAACTTGAAGCTTGTGCCGTTGACAGCAGCAAATTATGACTCATCAGCATTGTTCTTATGTTTTTATAATTAATCATACACATAATTATACAAACAAGTAAGAACTCGATTCAATTCCCATCGAATTAATTTGTGATCTTGAAGACAATCAACTTACAAGTAGGGGATGGACGAGGCGCGAGTAGTTGCGAGAGCGTCGCGGATGTTGAGGAATAGAGACATGTCGGAATAAGCTGATGACTGTGATTTTCGTCCCGAATTGCCGATCCACATGTCTCATTGACCATCACCTCATCCGAGCCTTGTCCCATGTAGTTCCATTGACGATGAGTTCACTGGTGTTCCGCTTCAGGTGGATCATCGTCAGAAACACGAAGAAGGGCATGTGCTAGTACAGTGCCTGCAAAAAAGCCTGATAAGGAGCTACAAAGAAAGACATCATTTCTGATCTTGGTTTCGACCGCTCAAGAATATCCGGCAAGTTTGGAAGAAAAATTGTGTTGGTGTGATCGTATTCTCGAAGGGTTCGTTGGTGAACTCCACACCGTCGTCAAGCTTGACTATATGCGCAATGTCTGTATCAATGTCGTCGATCTTGTTGCCCACGTGATTTGCATGATAGGCTTGTCAATCATGGATTTCACCGGCGGTAGCTGCCATGAAATCGACTCCAGAATCGTCTTTGACGAGACCAGAAGAAGGGGCGGCAGATTAGTTTCGAAAAACTTTGAAGGTTTTTTGTGTAGGTGAAAGTTAAGAACAATTTGATGGGATACTGGCATATCGAGTTGGGGTGTTTCTGCGAGCCCGCTGGCGCTTATCTTAGGGCGAGTGTGGAGCCTTGAAAAGAGAGACACTAGGTAAGGGGCAGATGGAGAAGAGATGGAATGAAGGATAAGAACAGATGCGGAAAAGATTTTGTAGAGAGTGACTAAGTTTAACGAGTAGGTAACAGCACTACGTAACGGACTTAAAAAGGTCAGGTATAGACAACTTAGAGGATGAAAGAGTCTTTCAATAAGCACCTTGAATGTTCAAGAATTCTACCAATAACGCTGTGTCTGAAAAAAAAGTCGTAGTGTGAATGGCTGATGTTGATATACTCACTGTAGACAGTGACATTGCCTAGCTAACGATCCAAAATATAACTCCCATTGAACATTATCGATGCAGTAAAGAGGAAAATATCCACAAGACGCCTTCTTGAGAAATTCCATCTCAGACCTACCGGATTATGATGTGCGACAGCCCTTCGGCTCTGTAATCAACACATCCCTTTGGCGTATCAAAGGTTCCCCCGGCACCGTAGCTCTTGCCGTCCTTTTCCTTGCCTGCAAGCAACTTGTTAGCCTTCATCCAAAGGAAAGACGGATAGAGTGCTGGGCTCCAGAAAGAAAGTAAGCAAAAAAAGAGAGGGAAAACGTACAGTTTCCGACAATCTTCATGAATTTCTCCACGCATTCCTCCTTGGACGGTTTGTACTCCTTGGGACCAAGACACCCACCCTGGCTATCACCCATATTGATAGAAAGGTTGATCTTGCTGCTGAGACTTGGCAACGAGGACGTAAACTTGTCCACCTCCTTGCCGGCTTTCCGACTGATGTCCGAGCCGCAAAAGTCCTCGGCGGCCTCTTTGTACTTGGATAGTTCTAATTGTACGTAGTCTGACAGGTCGGCACTGGCGTTCTGACACCACAAGTGATCATTGACTCGAACGGCGGACTCGTATTTGATGCCGTCGTGGATGATGCTGCCGCCCTTTTTCCATTCCTTTCCCTTGCGGCAGTCGTCAAGTGTCTTTTTCAAGTAGGTTTTGCATTTTCTGTGGGGCTGGCGGTTAGTCCAGATTGACATTCGAACGCTCATGTCGGGACTTACTCTTTATCAGGGAGCTTGGCGTCGCTCTTTTCCTTCTTGATGTTCAACTCCACCAAAGGACCATAACTCTCTGCGTGAAGGAGGTACGGCCAATCATCTTTCCTCTTGAGACGACTCTCCACCTCCTCGCATAGATTGTTGATGTGATCCAGGAACTCGCCGTTTTTAATGGCTCGGCGATCCTCCGAGTTGCATTTCACTTTGTCCTCTTCCTGGTCGTTCTTACAGGTGCCCTCTTCGACCTCCAGCGCGACTTTCTCCAGGGAGATATCTGGGTTCTCGGTCCGAGCCTGCCGCTCCGCAACCATGAGGACGATGAGGTTGGAGATGAAGGTGTTGAGAACGGGCGTAGGGTGAAAGACCTTCAAGAGTTCAACGGGTAGCGATCTCTGATCAATGTCACTGAATTTCCCTTCTTCGGGCTTATAATCGTCCAGATCATCGCTTGTCTTGGTGCCTCGCTTCTTCCGCAGCTCGAGCGCCCGTTTCTTCAGGTCATCGGCCCCAAATCGCACCTGAAACCACATTTGATTCCAGGCGTCGTCTTCGTGGTCACTCCACGGGTTCCGTTCTGTGACTCCCTCGTCGCAGAAGCGCTGGAGCCAACCTTCCGTGTACTTGTCGTAGTTCACAAACTTGCCTCCAGCCTCGCCAACCCAGCCATTCAGCTTCTCGTTCAACGCGTTAACGATCTTATTGGTGCGCTCGCGCAGCTTCTGGTCTAGCTTGGTGGGCTTGTATTCGGGGACTAATGTCCAATCCACGTCGTTGCACTGCGTGGTCTCGGCGTTGAAGAATTTGCCATAACCCGTATAGTACATCTGGCCGTCGCGGGACAGGTGCTTCTTGCTTTCTTTTAGGAGGGCTTTGATGTTTTTCTCGAATTCTTTGCTTTCAAGCACCTTTTCGGCCTGCTTCAGTGGCTTCTCGCAATCCTTCCAGAACACCGCACGATAAATGCAGGATTGGACTATTTCACTGAAGCCCAGGTCGTTGCCTGTTGTATATTGTCAATTGGGAGCTATAAAGCCAAGGGCATGGCACAATTAAACATGCATGCATACCTCCTGCAGAAATGGTGATCAGATCATATTCGCCGTCTAGCTTCTTCGCCTGTTCGAGAATCTGAGGAGACTCGTCCCCCGAACAAGACAAATACGTAAAGTCGTGGCCGTCGGAGCCTCCGAGTCGCCCGTCCTGATTGAGTAAACTCGGGTAAGACTCATCGTAGCGGTAGCAGTCTCCGGCGCCGGCCTCAGAGCGCTGTTTCCCGGCACCGATTCCCGCCGAGTACGAGTCACCGATGGCGGCGAGTCGCTTGATCTGGGGATAATAGTCTTTGACCTCCAAGCGCGGAACAAGGGGGGTGGAATACGCCGCTGGTAGCAATGCCAGGAGCAGAGCAGCGAGACTGGCGGACACAGAAGGCATGGCTGCGTTTGAATGGAGAGGGAAGAGTGGAATGGTCTGTCTTTCTACATATCTGGGTGCTTCTGGTTCTATCGACTGGTCTTATACTCAAGACCGGTCTGCACAGAGCGGCATCATTCCATGATACCCTTGTCAGTCTGCCTTGCAAACCAAACTTCGAACTCAAAGCCTCAATTTCACTCAGCAATGCCACCCAGCTGAATCCATTGCCCAGATTCCCCGATTGGGAAATACTTTTACAGATTGTGCGCCAAGCCCGGGTGAGACACGAGGCCAAGAGATCAGACAGTGGGGGCCGCTCATGTAGGATAGTCGTATAAATATAATTGAGTTGCTAGGGTTGGCTCCTTCCGGGACTTGGCACCTATCAACGTGGTTATTCACCCCCTCTGAAGAAAAATAGTTGTCTCTTGGCCCTGGCTGTGCTGTAGCATCTGAGGTCTCGATGTTTAGGCTTCTTGGAAATGCAATTGATGTTGCATTGTGTTGGTAAGGCACCAAGGAGGCTGTATTTCAGCAAGGCAGATCTGAAGCTCAAAAATAGATCTGGGTGGCTTGTGTCAGATTGCATGGAGAGAAAAAAGCCGCATCGACTTCCATCGTCGATGCTTTAAAAGACGCTGCGAAGCCTGCACTGAGTCTAACAACATCTCTCAATCCATTGCATTACTACACCCCAAGTTCTTCAAACGGGGCCACTCCGACCATCTTGCAACATGATGTCCCCCAAATTCCTCATTCTTCTTTTCTCTTTCCTTCTTCTTGGAAGCTCCCTAGCCCGGGTTGTGCCCGCTCAAAATCAGCACCAAGAGGAGTTAGAACGCGGCTTCATTCTCCCTCGCGATGACAAAGGTCCCGCTATCGAAGTCTTCCGGGACGAAAGCGTGCGGCCATCGGAAGAAACTCGAAAGATGAAAAAGGACATGGACACGTGGATGTGGAGCGCCTTAGCCAAATTCGACAAGGAAGTTACCGACGGGCAAATGGTCCAAATCGTCGAGGACGCCTTTGCATCAATGGTGGATAGGTGGTCGAAAGAGGATATTAAGGGTTACGGAAAACCAAAGGTCATGACAGCGTTACGTAAGGGAAATGAGGTCTATATTGCTTCGTCCGCCAAGGGAAAACACTTGATTGTCTATCAGAGTTTTGATAAGAAGGTTGATGGCATCCAAGGACATGTGCCAAAGTCGCTCGCAAATGCACTGACCGCCTGTTGGAATAACGCCCAGGGCGACAAGGAGCATCACTCGAATGACGCCAACTGTGGCGAGATAATGACAGCCTGGGCCTACTTTGTTGAGAAGTTGGATGAAGGCAACTCCGAGGACGTGAATCTGAAAGGAGCGAAGACCGTCACCTGGGAGCTATCATTACAAGAAGTCGAAAAAGATGGCGAAAAGGTTAAAGAAAGAGTTGGCAAAATCAAGCCGCCCTGTGGCAATGCCAATGACAACAAATGGGGATGCCATAGTGTCATACAGGAGCTGGGCGTTGAAGCCATCCCCGAAGGCACTAAGGGAGAGAAATATGACCCTCCAAAAGAGCTATTCCAGCGAGAGCTACTTGGTACGTGCAAGTTGAAGAAACAATCGAAATAGGAATGGACGACCAGGAAGGACACGTCAATAGCCATGGAAGCTGCAGTCATAAGATTTCTTTGTTTCTTTTTTGTTTTGCCGGAGTTGTACCTCAATTGCATGACCATCACAGTTCTTTTTGGCCATCTTCCTTGTGATGTACTGTCAACAATGATGATTGTAATCAGTGACTTCGCCCCGATTTATATACCACAGAATAAAGTAGATGTACACGATAATTGTCAGAACTGTAGTGATCATGTGGAAGCCGCGCCGCGTGATCTAATGTATTATGAGCGGCAACCTGCAAATGTGTGATTGTCTCTTATATGTCTCAATAGAGCTATTATTATACGATCTTTCCCTCGAATCATCCCTTCATATATAATGACCCACAGCTGGATCTGTCAACTTCTAACTGTAGCCGCCTATCATGTTCATTAATTCTTATTTGATTTGAGACTTGGTTCTGAATAGACGGTTACTATATTTGTCTGATTCTGAAGCCCCAGCATATGTAATTCAATTACAGTTTCATTCTCATATAGCAAAGGTACCAGCGAGGAAAACCATTGGCGGCACTTTTAACTGGCCTGCACATACTGTACCAAACCCGGGTACCCAGTGGGATCAGCTGAACTTGGACTTGTATTCAAGAGCCCATTTCTACATGATATGTCATCCTAATAATCCAATCCTGACTGATCGCCCTTGTTATTTTGATTCCCCAACTTTTGACCACTTTCTTCCAATAGGAAAAAGAATGGATGGATATTTCTGAATATACTAGAGAATACTGATCCTATCCCTGTTTGAAAATATAGGTCTTGGTCATGTTCATGTAAATTCTATGTTTCAATCTATCTAGATTTATGGGCTGCTTTGTATCGAGGGTTAATATATATGAAATCTATTTCATATCCTTGTTTTAATAGTTCATAATATGCTATGGTATATCATTTTTATATATGCTAATTTAATGATCCTTTGAGTATCACTAGAGTACAATCACCCCTCTCCCGTCCTAGTACTTTGAGCAATACAAACTTTCTATACATAATTAGCCCGGCCTAGAAGATATTCATAATTGAGATAAGCAACTCGGTCCTCATTATATATTTTCTTTCGTGATGGGGTACTGGATTAACAACAGGGGGTTCCCATTTTTGTTCTGGCCCAAATCAAGGGTCGCATACGACGCCCTTCATAGACCAGTCTTCCGAATTCGAGGTTGTAATTATCTGGTAAGTGATACAGTGCAGACTAGATGGCTGTTGACATGATTGTGTAGGTTACTGAATCCAAGTAACTCAGCAGTTTTGCCCCACCAACAGGACTTGATGAATTGATTATTATTTTGATCTTTCAGTTGTTCATGTCTTTTCAAGGGGAATACTCCTAGTCCATCATCGTGGCTTCGGAAGCAAAATCGTGATCTTCGGTAAGTATTCAGTCGGAGCTGTCCGGGATCTTCACTCTTTTATTTCTTCCCGTACCTCCGTCTATCTAGGGGGCCCAGGGAACCTGTCCTCTTCAATAATACTGATAGTAAAGTTGCCACACATAGACCTTCTTTTCATCTCTATCCAGTACATACGACCATAGGGTGTGGAGAACAGGGCTTCCCGTCCGCTCAGCCGTACTTAAGCCACACGCCGGCCGGTTAGTAGTATGGTGGGTGACCACATGCGAATCCCGGCTGTTGTATGTTTTTCCTTTTTGGTTTTTATTTTTCTATCTTGAATTTTAGAAGGGCAAGACTGGCTTGGGTAACCGTAAGGAGGAGCTTTTTTACGCGCATGTGGTGGTTCTTTTATGCCCTCGGAAATCCATCTCAAGGTCAATCTTCTAAATGCATAACCCTTTTGTGAATAGATAATGCCACACCAGATAGTAATGAATAAATATATTAAGATAAAATAATGATAATGTCGATCAGCAACGCACTCACTGCTATTTGGTGTATTTCTATATCCTGCGCCCCCCAGTTGCTCCCAATGATGAAGAGAACGTAAGGTACTAAGTTTACCCCAACACCTAGACAAGTATCAATCTGGTTAGGGCTATGACAGGGCCGGAAACAGGGAAGTCATTACAATGATTCAATGGGCGAGCAAAAAATCCAAAGACAACAGTATTGTTTCATATATTTTGGTAGTTTTAAGCCATGTGCTGCAAGACAAGCAACGGGATGATCAAAATCAACTTATTGATGATATCTGGTCTATAAAAGTAATAGAATCAACGATACGTCAAAGAGAGATAGACACCAGTGGGAATTAGAGTCTGCTTTTTCTGGTCAGACAATCTATTTGACCACGGTAGCTACTGTCCTCTTCTTTCACCAATTTCCGTTTCCTGCATTGCCATGGCCCTGGCCATTACCGTTACCGTTACCATTCCCATTGCCGCCACCATTGCCCTCCTCCTCGCGCTTCCAGCCACCCCTGTGATGACCACCGCGGTTGTCGCCGTTGCCATAGCCGTTGTTGCCATTGCCGCAGCCGTTGTTCTGGATGTGGGGGTCGTCGCGCTTCCAGTTACCTCGGCCGCCGTTGCAGCCGTTGTGCGGGATATGGGGATCGTCGCGAGCGAGGGGCTTGGTGAGGTGGTTTAAGGCGGGGTTGATGTTGTCCTCCTTGTCTTCGATGTCGCGCTTCCAATTACCTCGGTGGTGGCCACCATTGCCATTGCCGTTGTTGCCATGGCCGTAGCCGTTGTTGCCATTCCCGTAGCCGTTGTTCGGGATATGGGGATCATCGCGAGCGAGGGGCTTGGTGAGGTGGTTCAAGGTCGGATTGATGCTGTCGTTTTGCTCTGGAGAATGTTAGTCCCTTTCTTTGCCCATCAGGGTTGAAAGTCAAGTACCGTTTTGCGTCGGAGCAGCAGCGGCCAGGGCCACGAACGGGAGGATGGTGGAGAGCTTCATGTTGAAGATGGTTCAAGCGGGAAACTGGATGTTTCTTTGGTTGGTAGGTGATTGTAGAATGAGATGGAATGACTTGAACTGTGATGGAGAAGGACAGTAGACGGGTTGATTGATCCATTTTATATCTTTCTTGCTATACTGGAACTATGTCGTCGATGTACCTCACGTCTCATGTTTCTACTACACCAACACAGTTAATCACTCATACAAACACCCTTGAGCTCCTGAGAACGCGTGGCTCACACGTATAGCTTCAATACAGAAGAAGGCAACCAACAACCCGTATAACGTAGAATGAATATGCTGGACTGCGCCACAATGATCGACTCTCATGAACTGCGTTTCCGTAGAGAGATCTCGATCAGAGCCACGCGTCGCCCTCTGTGAGCTTATCTCAAGGCACAGGAGGTAAGATCATTTACAAAACCTAAGGTTGTCAAGATATCTCTCCGGGTAAATGGCAATTTGGTCCATTTTATACCGTTACGGGATAATCTAGTAAGGACGAAGATTATCACAGCTACCCGTCGCGAAGATCGATCGCGAGAATGCGTATTCGATCCGTTGGAAGCCCTGATATCCTACGATAGACGCACTTGGGCCCCTTACAACGACGTTGGCACGAATAATACGTGGTTCAAAGAGAGGGAGCAGAGCTTGCTGATCCTCGGTAGGGAAAAAGATTAAGCCTAGTGGAGTGACACTGCCCTTGCATTGCGGTATGCAAGGGCCATGCCTCTTACGTGTACTGCTGCTGGTTTACTTCAAACCAGGCTCCCCGCAATGCTGGGCCGCGAGGCCGTTGGCATTCCAAAACCATGTGCATAATAGTAGGTTCCTACCTGTTGAAGTGTCAGAAACGGGAAAAGAATGCCATTGTTGAGCATTGCCCCTCCCTGACCGAATTTTGGTGGCGTTTCGGAGGGGCTGGGGTTCCTGGCAGGCAACCCATCTGGCCGGGTATGAGGGCTAGATCAGAGGTTTCAAATATGAAGCTCCTCTGAGATCGTTGGTTGAGTCCAGAAGAGAAGAAATTATTGGGTCTCCTAGCAAGGGTAAGTCAGGAGGAATTATTTAGAGTTTTCGGGGTAGTCGTTTGTCGAAGTTAAGGTTATAAAGTTATAGGATCAGATGATACATCACAGCATAGCGTTAGATTTCAGATCTCGATAATCTATGGAATCTACCCAACCCCTGAATCTGACCTCGTGCCGGAAACCCTAGTTCGAGCTGGATGGGGGGTGTTGAGCCTGAATGTGAGGACCATAGAGAGTTTTTGTCAGTTGATTGGAGTCCGTATAGAGGCAGCCCAAGAAGATTGAAGCAGAGTAAACAGCTTTCAATAACAATCCGATGTGGTGTAATGGTTAACATCGCCGTCTCTCACACGGCAGCTCGGGGTTCGATTCCCCGCATCGGAAGCATTTCTTTGCACCAAATGGGCTTGTGGTTTAGTGGTATAATACTCGCTTAGCATGTGAGTGGTCCGGGGTTCGATTCCCCGCGAGTCCATCTTTTTTGCCTTTTTTATAATCAATCCTCAGGTGCAGTTAGTGTTGGCTTGAATTCCAGACCGTGCAAGAAAGCCTGTGTTTCAACGGAGTGTAGTCACCACAATCGAAGTATGTCGACATTTGGGCGCATAATCAATGCTCTTGTTTCCGGGGTCAACGAAAACAACATATCGCTCGCCAAGCTGAATTTCGATTTACTCTGCTGAAATTAGATGCGCCCAAGGATACTACGGTGATCCAGTCGTCGCCAGTAACAAGGAGAACTTTACTCGAGTCACGTTCCAAGGATTCAAGCTGGTGGTATTGGGAAGCCTTGTCCATGATTGGCGGGTTTCGCTCCGCGAGCATGTCTTGGTATCTCAGTGGTTCTTGAGTCTTTGGGACGTCCTCAATTCGAGTGTGTCGTTTGGCTGAGATAAGATTTGCTCCCAGTTTGGATTGCTGGAGCTCCTCGTTGATGCGGCAAGGGACCTTCTGGCCGCAAAGGGCCCGGCGAGATAGGCACGCAATCAACTCGTGCAATTTGGAGACCGAAAAGCAAAGAATTTCTTGAATGACCGATCCAAGTCGCTGGCACCATTCTTTGAGGTGTGTAATCCATGGCAGGTAGCTGCTTTATCAGAGGAGAATGTTTGGGACTGTGGAATCAAATATCTGCGACTCATGGCACAAAAGCTGGGATTACGCGATGTTGTAGCAGTGATCTGCATGGATACCTAAAGATTGGCGCCAATCTTTCGGCGCCGACCGCTTTGTCTCTACAATCTGCATACAGCCTTTGCAATTATCGCGCGTATCCCAATGCTGAAGTCACCTCAATCAAAGGCCCTGACCCTACAAGAGGCATTCGCGTGCGTCGCGAAATTCGAATCCGGAACCATCAATATCGAGCCGGAAGACTTGAGCACCGCACTCGCTCTATGCTCAGAAGACTCCATCTTCGTCGCTGCTGTCGTCCTGACCGACCCCTTCGACACGCCCGCACCCAACTAGATACGAAGAATCGCAGGCAATATCGGACATCTCGGTCTCAGCATCCTCGTCGAACCACAAGAATCCCACGTTCGCAAGCCGTCATTGGCCTTCGACGCGGTGGCGCACGAACCCTGTCGCAGAAGGGGCAAGACCATAGTATTGGGTTGTTTGGATCTAGCCGTATGTGTTTGAAGTGTATGGAGGAGGAAGTGGGCTTTGCTGAGCCGGATTTGTTAGACCACGAGGCGCCTTTGCCGTCTTTTTGCATTGATTAGGTGCTTTCAAATGAACGGGTCTGCCATAAGTTATATCAGCCATTGCACTAATACGTCCGATGTCTCAGCAAATCAGTTGATCAAGATAGAGTAAAAAAAGCAAAAGGAGAAAAATATACAGCAGCGTATATATGTTGGTGCTCACCCATCCTAGCGCTCACAGTGTTGCTACTTTGTTGCTGCTGTTCCATGAAGCCGAAGCTTTCAGTTGCTTGATAATCCTTCACCTCAGACTTGTATTACCAGAAGTCACATTTGAACAATAGCACAAGTGAGTAGATGTAATAGGAAGTTACTTCATTGTAGATAGTTGTATCTTAAATTTTTTATTCTTCTTTCTTTCATAATCCATACTGTTTATCTGATATACCTCAGGATCTATTAGTGAAGATTTCTTCGTATAGTACTCCTTACTAACTGGTTAGGTTTAATCAGGCTACACACTCTCTGACTGGGTCAAAAGTAAAGTCCTATTTAACCTAAGAATATTTTACAAAGTAGCTTTCTATCTCTCGTCTATCTGAATTTCCCGGTAGTTCTTTGGAGCATACTTTAACTTTACTACTTTTCTAGTCTAAACATAATCCAGATAAATTTACTAGAAAAAAGGATATAAGTACAAGAGAGAATTTGATAAAGTCTTCATGATGAAGATCTCTAGTCTTTTCCAGTCAGGCTTGTGAATCATATTCGCTCTTTGATTATCACATTAATAGGCTGTAGCCTCAGGCACCCTACCTGCCAAGACCTGTGGGTGTTGAGTCGATGAAGACACCGCAGGCTAACAGGTTTCCCAGTGTACACAGGCCACGGCAGTATACACGTAACGTGTTTCCTTACCAAGTCACCCACCCTGACTGAGCCACCCACCCTGTATTGCATAAAAAATGCTCTATCTCTATACTTATATATCCGGATAAGTAGTTATTTCTAGGAACCAAGATTGAAAGTATAGCTCAATGAAGTACCATATTTATTATTTATAAAATTGTAGCCTGTTAAAGTAGGTAATTCTATAGTTAATATCAATTACATGTGTATTTTTCCATATTTTATTATTACTACTAATTAAGAATTATAATTAGATTTTACAAGTCTGAAAATTGCGAATATTGATTCTATATGTTCTATTTATGCTATTCTAGGAGTATTAGTCCTTTATACCTCTTTGCTGTCGACATATATGAGTATAAAATAGACATCTTATATACTTCAATACAGGGTGGGCGGCTTGGTCGGGATGGGCGACTTGGTTAGGAAACATGTTATGTGTATACTACCGTGGCCTGTGTACATTGGGAAACCTGTTAGCCTGCGGTGTCTTCATCGACTCAACACCCACAGGTCTTGGCAGGCCGGCAGCCTGAGGCTGTCACTTACTACTAGTATCTGGAGGAGTCATTCGCCTGGTAGAAGGAGCAGTCAGGCTTGTGACTAAATTGCATGTCCTTTCCCCTTTTCTTTTGTCTTCGGACTTCCCTTGATCAGTCTGGATCCATGATTGGGAGAACTGGAACTATCTGTTCAATCCTTGCATGTATTAGAGCGTGGATCATTGATTCCAAGGTGGATCTATCGACCCATCGCGAGCCAAGAAAGGGATGTAGGTGTTGAACCTGATACTAAATCACCGAACTACTACAGCTTCAAAAGCAAACATCTTGTATGGATCAGATTAATCCTAGTCAAAGCACCAACCGGATCTTCTAATCACTTCCGACCCTCTTAACCCACCTAACTGTGCATGGTCTCTAATAGACACGTCCAACTACCCGGATGAAGCTATCTAATGGTGACTTGTTCCTTCAGCAACCACTAGTAGAAGTTTAATATGTTCCACGTCCTGACCTGGAATGCCTAAGCCGTGTCCTGACCTGGAATGCACGGCTAAGGCTCCTTAATACTGCGGAGTAAGGGTTATGGAGTGGAAGATACTGAGCGGCCATAAGAAGAATAAAAAAACCCTCTTCCATCCTGGCATTGAGTTCCTCGTCAACACCGCTCAATCTCCTATTCTTGCCTCTTCCTGCACAGACTCTTCCAAGCCAACTATTCTCCTGTGACCCAACAAAGCAAATAACTAACCTCGGACTATCAACATGAAATTCGTTATCACTGCTCTCCTCTTCGCCTCCATTGCTGTGGCTATTCCTAATAGTGAAAGTGTCTCTGACAAGGTTGACAACGTTAAGTTCCCCGTTGATAAGAAGTACACCGTCAAGCAGGCCCAGGCCAAGTGTGGCAATGATGCCAGTGTCTCTTGCTGTAACAAGGCCACCTACACTCACGACATCAACACTGCTAATATGGGTCCTCCCGCCGGTGTCATCAAAACCGCCCTTGGCGGCGGTCCCGGTGGTGACGGCCTGGGTCTCTTTGGCCAGTGCAACGATATGATTGCGAAAGGCGAGAACCCTTTGATCGTGCACAATCACACCTGAAGCTAATTGTTGTGATAGTCCCTGTTCTGAATGTTGTCGGCGGTGGGGACAACCAGCTTGTCGCAGCGAAGTGCAAGCAGAACATCGCTTGCTGCCAGCAGGATGCATCGCAAGATGTACGTGTCTCCTCACTACTGAGGCCCAACCCGTACTGACAGTCTCCTAGAGCGGCAACGTCGTTAGAGTTGCGATTCCCTGCGTCGCCCTTGGCTCCCTCATCTAAGCAGTATGTACAGCGCCTTCCCTATAGTCGGGAAGAAGCATAGAGACACCCTTCTGTAACTCCGGGTGTCTGGCAGGGAGTATACATTGAATGTGTGTACATACTGTGTACAACCTGAATGCCCCAGCAAGGTTTTTTATTCCGGTTGCCTGGTACTACCGGCATGCTAGTGTCTGGGCTCAGCTGGGTCAATTATGCTGTTCGCTTGTCGTTCGTTTGTCTCTGTATCTAATTCATACATAATAGAAAGAGCTTTCTAAACTTCCATTTGAATCTTTAAGAGTGGCTTTCAGCTCCATGACTGTCCCACAACTTAGAATTCGGGATGATTAAGGCCATTCTGAGGATACCATCAATCGGAAGTCTTCATAGGCCCATTGTTAAGGCACTTCCGTCGATAATATATCATTTGAATATGAGCTGATGATGTACCTTGCGGTCAAAATCGTGATTTACAGCATTTGCCACGAGAGTGATAATTCTCTATTTAGCATTAGCATTAGCATTAGGATAGAATAGGCACTTCCAGGGGAGGAATTTAAACCAGGGCTTTATCAGTTCTTAGACTTGTCCCATATACATCTGAATTAATTCTATGTAAACGTGTTGAAGGAGACTAGTTGGTGCATGAAAACAAAGTGCTAAAGGGGATCACTCGCACGGTGAACAGCAAGAAATCGTTGGGAAGGTGGGTTGATAGTATAATTAGGACACAAGGTTGAAATCCAGATAATAAGTAGCAATGGATCACTTAAAAAGAAATCCTGTTGGGTAGATTTGATCTTGTATTAATATGGGTTACATGTGTGCTTAAAGTAGAAATTGAATGTACTAAATAATTATTAGCACTTGTGGGTTAATGTTGGAGTGTTTATAATACTATCTAACTCAATGAGATGAGTATTTCTGTGACTAAATATATTCAATATTCATATAGCGTTTCTCTTCAAGCCATTCTTGATGGTGCTTAGCAACGAGCTCCCATAATTTTACATTGATAAATCAGTCTCTCGCTCCGCCTCTCGTGTCAGTCTCACATGGCTAGAATGGTCCTTGGATCATTATCGGACTGGACCAAGAAATATGCTATGTATCACCAACCTAATCAATTTCTGTGAGTAATAGTGAGTGACTATGCCCTCTGGCCAGAAGCTTAGTCTCTCTTTGTCAGAAAACAGGATTGGGTTCAAGGCTTGGATTAATCTCAAAACGAACAACTTTCTTCCGCTTTCAGCTCTCAACTTAATTATTGGACGGTACACACATAACTGACTGGGAGTCTAATTTTACTGGTAATGTTAATTATTTTCAACAACATGACATACAGAGTAACATGTCACCGGAGAATTCCTCTTAACATTCTTGTACTGGAGCAATTTCAATTCAGTCCTATCTGCGCGTCAGAGTCAGTTATATATATGTTGATGCCTAATTAGGCCTAGCGCCTCACCAGGCAGGGGAATTTCACCGAGCCTGCATGTAGATGGCTTCCTCCATATTCCAGAGATAGATTTCTATGATTTCATGAGCTTTTCATTCATTTTCCATCCGTTCTGATGGTATTCCCTTGGGTCTCTAACATGCCCAATACTATCAATACTAGTTGAACAGTACCTTGGGCCCTACCGCTAATCTTGTAGGGGTGCCTGCAGCTAGCAACCCTAGGAAACCAGTGAAGAAGAGACTTTATATATCTACAGGGGAGGCTTTCTTGGTCAGCCTAAAAGGCGTAAAACAATATATTTCAGAGCATATTCATCAGATCTTTGACTGCTCCGATCTTCCTGGCTTCTGAAAACTTGACATCTCATGCCCCCACACAAGCAAAAAGTCCTATCTAACACGATCATCACCTTCTCGGACCTGTGCCTTTGCACCTACACCGTCAACGTCCGGACGTAGCCATTCTCCAATGCCGCCCTCGCTGTTTAAAATCCACCATCGTGCCAATTCTGTTGCCACTTGGTCGTGATCATGTTGCGCATCAATACCCAGCAACATTCTAATAACAATCCAGGAAAGACTGAATATTATGCAGCGTCTGTTGCCGAGCAAGTCAAGAGGGCATTGTCGATCATTTGCTAGATGCTGGTGCAGATTTTCTCATGAGTTGTTCAGGACATATCGCAACTCCTTGTTCCTAAGATCATGAATGCTGCGGCTAATCCATTTGCCAACTCCGCGTAGTATTCCCTTTTAGACCGCCTGAGAGCAAGCCTGCAAGTATATTAGCAGCAAGATAAATCCTGCCCTTCCCAATGAAAACTTGCCATGACTGTCGTGATGGAATTATGTGCAACATCTGCAACAATGGTGAGATCCAGGAAGTGTTCGATGCTTCCCTGTTTTTCATTGTGTGTTTCTTTGAGAATAGAATAGATTCCCCAGAGAATGTAGATGATCGACATGAACTGTTCGTACTGCTCGTTACCACCGGGGCCCCAGCTAATGAGGCTCTCTAAAGCCGGTGTTAATGGAAACCGGGACATCGCACCAGGAAAGGCGGAGACAGAGAAGACAATCTTTGCAGCGTCGAGCATGGTTCTATTTGTTGTTAGCAAGCCACTGACTCTGTATTCCGATCTCATCGCACGTAGCGCTCGTCATTCTGTACCAACAGACATGTTTGTTTCTCGAATCTGAGTGGACGTGAAGTGAAGAATTGAGTAATTTAAACAGTGGAGATGATCAAGACATCTGTTCTCGAACACTAGACCAAAAGTGACAATATTGATGTTCCAACATATAATAGCAAATAATGTTGACATTGCCGGGAATGATAATACCTATGAATACTAGGTAGTGCTAGTCTTTCACAGTCCTACTGAGTAACCCAATTATGGAGACGGTCTCCTCGCTTTAGGTGATTTTTAAGATATCTAACCTTTATAGCAGCTTTTTCCACTAGTTGATTCTACAATTTAGCGTCAGTAGCACTTATATGATGGTCACATAGGCCGCATGCTACTTATGTTCAACATTATCCAGGAACTAGTTCTCTCCCCTGAGACTCAAACTTCATCTATTGTCGTGTCCAATTTTCAGCTACGTATAAGCAGGAGATACCGATACAACGCTCAGCATAGGCCGTTGCGCGCTCCACGTTCGTCAGCGGCCGGCGAGTTGGACAGAGATCCTCAAATATGTACCCAGACAATAATAGTTTTGCTTCAGAGATACTCTCGTGAAGTAGTAGTGTCTTCAAAAGAGAAGACACGCAAAAAGAAAAACATACAACAGCCGGGATTCGCATGTGGTCACCCACCATACTACTAACCGGCCGGCGTGTGGCTTAAGTACGGCTGAGCGGACGGGAAGCCCTGTTCTCCACACCCTATGGTCGTATGTACTGGATTGTACTATGTTAGAGATATATGTAGGTTTCTGTCATAGTACATAGTGCTGTAGATGAAAAGCATCGTGGCGTAGCGGGTAAGATGAGCTGCTGTCACAAGTTTGTTAAAGCGGCAACAGATGACTAATATGAAGCTTTTTCGTCGTTTTCCCTTCGTATTTGTTGTTTCTCGAGCGTGCAGCTCTCGAGCAGCTAGGCTCTCGCGTCAAAGATCATTAGACATTTAAGCAAGCATTGCAGCACAATGTTTGTCTAAGTGTTTTAAATCCGTGGACTAAATGGCCGAAGCAAAATCTATCCGTCACGTGCAACCATCACAACCACCGCGACGGCCATGACGGAAACGCCAACCCAATTGACCGAGCTGCCCATCGAGCCTCACGGCCTCTTGTGGCAAGATGACTTCGTGTCAGCTGAGCACGAGCAGCGTCTAATCGCCCTCTTCAAGGGGCTGGAATGGGCCGATCGCCCAGGCCGTCTATCTCTACATTACGGCTACACCTTCGACTACAAGACCTTCGACATCGACCCGGAAATCCCCTACAAGGAGTTCCCAGACTGGCTGCGCCCGCTCATCCCGCCGACGGAATCCCGCCCGCCCGATCAGGTCTGTCTGCAGTTCTACCCTCCCGGCGCGGGCATCCCGCCGCATGTAGACGCCCACGGGCCCTACGACCAGCTGTATGCGCTGTCGCTGGGGGCTCCTGCGCTCATGCAGTTCCGGCGGGGCGACCGCAGGGTCGAGGTTGATTTGACTCCGCGGAGTATGATGCAGATGGCGGGCGACTCCCGGCTGCATTGGACGCATGGTATCAAGAAGCGGAAAACGGACACGCTGCCTGATGGGACTGTTCGGCTGAGAGAGAACCGCTGGAGTATCACTTACCGGTGGTTGAGGGATGGGGACTGCGAGTGTGGGGATCTGGAGCTGTGTGATGTTGCGCAGCGGCGGAATGGCGCGGAGAAGGAGAAGAGGTCGGTGAAGGCGTTGGCTGAGAATGATGCTCAGGCCGCTACATAGCGTCGCTCTAGTTGGGTGTTTCAAAAAAGCCATTGCCCAAACGCCAATGGGCGCGCTCTGAAATTTCGGTGCAGACAAATAGTCTTGAGACTACAGCTCTGAGAGAATATCGATTAACCACCTAAAATGGCTTGTAAAACTTCATGTCCCTTGTATGCACGTCACCAACATAAGGGGTCAAAGAGTGTACTAGAGATTTAATCATTGTCAAATTGAGCTTGCTGGTTTTACTTAGCAGACAGGACGTTAGTTCTACTTCAAGGTCACAACGGTTTGGGGTGACTTGTTCATAATTTTGAAAGGGTATAGGACTAGGTTCATTGAAACTGGAGATCTGATGCCCGTCCAAGAAATGGTCAATCAGGCATCAACCAGCATTAGCATTAGTGGTGTAGCGATGGATATCCCCCTTCCATCGAGGCGATAGTATCTACTCTGGTTCGTCCTTTTGGTGTTTTAGTAGGGTTCATGATTATTAGAAAGGTATATACATGAAAATCCTAAGGTAGCTTGATGGCTCTAGCTACGTTGTATACCCCAATAGTAGCTATGCCTTAGCATAACAATCGACTAGGAAAATACCAGTCCCTTTTGAAAAATTGTTCCCAATTTATATACCAAGCCATACCTTTTTTTTTTTTTTTTGTTTTATTTTGGCTTGATCGGAAGTACGGGTTTTGCAGTGTAGGTCTCCTATGGGTAACTCTAAATACTCGTAGTATGATAAGTTGATACTCCCGCAGCTGGACCGAAACGATACCAAAGAACCTACGGTAGACCCATAACTGTAATAAACCATGACCACAACCTCAAGGGCTTGTTACCCAGTAATTCCGAAACCATTCTCTTCAGAGAAGCTATTTTGTGAAAACAGAGCTGATATGTAGATTAAATCGGCTTTTATACAGGCTGCGGTCAAATAATACTAAAATGAAAGAAAGGGGAGCAAAGAAATCAAAAAGGCAGAATCAGAGAGAAAGAGAAAAGAAAAGAAAAAAAAAGGAGATGGGCCCGAACCGCGATTCGAACGCGGGGCCTCTCGCAGATTAGGTGGTAACCCAAAGCGAGAATCATACCACTAGACCATCCGGGCGACTCGTTATTTAATATTGGGATTTTAGAAAATATATCTGAGCCCTTCTTATCAATGCTCCAAATCCTCGTTCCATGGTACATTAGGGCTGGGTTATGTATATGGATATATTTAATAGTTTCTATATTATCTTTCGATGTTATGTATATTAACAAATATAATTTAACCATGGAGGATAAGCTCTTACCTTTCGAGGTGCTGGTAAAGTAATGTCGATGGCATTTGTAGTGGTGAGTATAAATTATATATATATTGAGAGCGGCCCCCGTAATTACATGTCCATCCAAACTGTTTGGCCCAACCAAAGGTTTTTCGAGATCAATGAACATTTATCCATTTGTCGATTATCACTAGGCTGGCAGACAGCTAGGGGGTTATTATCTCCCCAACCAAATTGCTAGAATGAATTACAAAGCTCAGCCTAAAACAATTATACGGCAAGATCAGAGCGACTATTTGGTCGATGAATTTTCTGAGTCTGTAGGCTAAGTGGGACCATTGTAAACGTAGTGTCAATAAACTCTGGCATAACCTGAAAAGGAATCCTGTCACCGACTCCTCTGCTCGACATTCAGCGAAATTGATATGGTAAATCAAATGAATTCTGACCATGCGCGGCTTGACCCTGGCGCTCGCCATCACCCGCCGAAGCACATGAGTCGAGCCACTGCCCAACATAGCTGCCTTTAAGGCTGTACATAGATGGGATATTGTCATCATAACACGCGTTGCTTAGACGATCAACTCCTCCAGCGCTAGCCATAGAAGATATTATTTGCAAATTAAATTGAAGCTCAAGGAGGTCCTTGCTGAGGAGAGGCGGGCGTTCCAGGGTTTGTGTCTTGATAATAAACCGGTCTCCTGTTTTCACCCTTATTGACGACTTCTGAGCCGAACTTGGCCATTACAAACATTGGGTAGTCTGGTTCGGATCTCGGCGCATCGAGACCGGCAGACGACAAGGGAAGCTTGTTCAAAGGCACCAAATCAGATATAGCATGTTCTTGCTCCGGTTGCCAGTACCACTCCACTTCAAGTTCAGTCATGGTGGAATTGTACCCCAGTGGCCGAAGAGCAAACACGCCCATTCTCCACATCTAATGTACTTTCAGAGACAGACATAGGAAATTGTAGCAGGCATATGTGACATTGGTAAGATTGTCCGAGTCTTTGAAGATCAGCTCTTTCCAGCGCCTTATCTTTTCAGGAGGCCAAAAAACCGAGAGTAAATCCCAGAAAATTGCTGCACGTGGATACTTCTGCCTGAAATCAGGGTATATAAGTGCGGTCATTACTGGCCTAGTTTTTCCGAATAACACAGGAGCCACCATCATGCTTGAGTGCCTCAGTAAAATGTATGTCCCGATCACGTTGCTCAGGCGTCATGTCGAGTAGATCAATTGAAGAATTGGCATCCTCATCAAGCTCCTGGGGCTCTTGTAACCACAACAGTGGGATCTGGTGACTGCAATGCTTTGCGAAAGAGGAGACAAACCAAGGACTGTGGCGAGAATTATTAACGATAACTTCGAGCTGACCTAGATCACACACTTGAAGACATGCCCAGAATGGTGCGGGGACCTTGTCAACGCCAAGGACCTTTTCAGCTCACATACCAATTTCTGACGTCTCTCACACGGTCTGTTCAAATCCTCGCAGAATTTGTTTGCGGCCGCAGTGGTACCGGAATAAGACGATTGATAAACCATTCAAAATTCTAGTATTGATGTGTAGTGTAAATATGTCTGTGAAAAGCGTCAAAAACAAAAATAGTGGAGAGAAGGTGCTAGGGAGTACAACAGTTCCCAGTGAGAATGACAGAGGGGAGGCTGGAATGAGAGAACAGAAGAAAAACACAAACTCTAGAAATATATATTCTGTCGTCATGTAAACACTCAATCACTGGAAATTCAGGTGACAGAATTTGGGAGTAGACCTTGTAAGTATAGTAGGTACGTAGGTAATGCTCCCCTTTTTTCGAAGAGCCACATACATCTAAATCACTCTGATTCTACTATTACCTAGTTATATACCTATAGTCATTCTTTTGGACTTTTATATATTCCCACGAGGTACAAAATGACCCCGAAGCCGAGGTGGAGGGCGAAGGAGGTGCGTCCTCGACTTTGACAGGTTTCTGCAACCAAAGAAGCGGCAAATGGCAGCAGTCATATTGAGCGTGAAGAAATCAAAAGGGATAAAAGAAGAAGAGAACTATGTCATTGGGTGATCATTCACCAGGCACCGTCCACCAAAATCACACGTTACATGATCACGAGTCACTGTCAACTATATGTCACTGGGTATAAGGTTACTGACCAAGCACAAAGTATCAAGGTGTCTATTTACAGTCAAGTCGTGATTATTTTCAAAACTATACTTTGATAGCTATCAATCAGACTGCTCATCCTATGAGAAGCGGATGGACACCCTATGGTCGTATGTACTGATTACATGTGATCTTACGTTGTTAGACCCCCAAAGAGGCGTTCCTGGTCTGGAATTGTGAGATCGCTTAGAAAGGCACAAGGCTTACAGGAGATTGAACTACTTTCATCGGAAACTGTGGATGAAGTGAGATCGCGCAACTATCATGGCCAAAATGACCGATTGATATCCTTCTTATTGCCAAGAAAGCTTTCAATCGAATAACCAATTGCATAATGTTACTAGAGAGAAGTTTCGATTTCAAAATGAAGAAACTCAGGCGTCTACAGGTTTCGTTTCGAGTAAAAACCCTGGCTTACATTGTGCCACTAAAGATCCCATCAGGCGTCCCATGACTTCGACGTACCTGGCGGACGTAACGGGTAAGTGTTCGGGCCAAGATACTCGACCCCACAATGCTGCAGGCTTGTCCCTCAGCTTTCTCAAGATACCCAAATATACACGGAGAGGCAGAGAAATTGAATTGAGTTGAACCTATTGGGTCTGAACATGGGTACTGTATGCATAAGTATGCGTTCTTCGTATTTTCTTACCTCTCAGCGTGTCATATATCCTATCCCGGCTAGCTTAAATCTGCCTTGTCCCATGCATCGTCACATTCCTGCAGATGATTTCTTAGTGAGATATATTCGCTTGGTCTCATTTATCGAATCACTAATAATCAATAAAATCAAATTACTTAGGAGCCTAGCTGCCATTACTTGAAGCCCCACTTTCGCTTTAAATTCCGCTTGATTCATTCGCCGTGCCATTCAAAACATGTCAGGCATATAGGTCATGCCAGCAGAGCACTCTCACAACAAAGCAAGACATCCCGACTCTGCAAGAAGCAAGGAGCGCGAGAATCTCGGTTCGCGAATGTCATCTTCGTATTTCCAGCAGCTGCCATTGGCTTGTCATATGGGTTTGCTCCCTATAGATTTCCCCCGTCAATCCCGCACCCGGAATACACTTGCGGACTATAGCCCTACACTGAAACTTATCCAATTATCTGCATCTTATGCTCAGCAGGCTTATTATAGAGCTAAGATATCTAGTACACAGGACTGTGGCATTGCTGGGAAATGCCTTCGCAGGGGTGTTTCCTTTCATAGAAGATGTATGGTACTTCCAATCTGCAGCATGTCTTGACATTCTTATAAATAGGCCGTTGGACCCCGAAGATGAGATAGACAGACTACAAAAAACACCATCAAACCCTCCACACAACCCACATCCAAACCCACCACACCATGCAGCTCACCTCCCTCATCACTATTCTCGCCACGACCGGCCTCGCCACAGCAGGCTGCTACAGCGGCGGCGAGAAATGGGGTGACAGCCGAAACGCAGCCATCGATTTCGCGGGCAGATGGTGCAACAGCAGGGGCGGCGCGGGTGACTATCGAGCCGGACAGACCAAATTCAACTGCGCGAATCTTCCATCGGGTGGGAATCGCGTTGATTTCTATCTGCAGAATAAGGGCAACAATCATGCGACGCTTTCTACTTCTGATTGCAATAAGTATCTCAAGGAGATGATCAATTGTGATCATGGTGGTGCGCAGGATAAGGGAAGCTGGTATATGCGGTACGTATTTTACTATTTTCATTCTATATTTCTTTCCCTTTGTACCCCGTGGATAAGTGGTGCTTTGTGGGAAGTAAAGCTGATGTCTGTTCTAGGGCGGATCCCAACCACGGCAAGTGTTAGAGTCAGCCAACTGTTAGACAGTTGAAGGGGAAACATGTCGAGATTATTGAAGGAAGATATCTTTGATCGAATTATATGGAACAAGAATTGTGCTTGACGTCTTGCACAATTTGACCGGACTGTACGGAGCAGTCCTGTTAACTCGTTGGCCGTGGCGATAATTCGTTAATATTCTGTATATATCACTCCCGCCATCCTGGTTCAAATAGTCAAATACTGTTATTCTCTAAATTTGTCCATCCATACAAAGCTGTCTCTTAGTTCTTGTTATTATCATAGATGTCTTGTGTCTAGCTTCGCCTTTCGTCTTTGGACGCACAGTCGGCGCCTATCCCAACTCTTCTCTGAACAAGACGAATATTGAATTTGAGATAAAATGGAAATAACATGCTTCCATGATATAGGACGACACTGTCAGGAATATTGCCATGTGTTAAATATATAAAGTCTTTCTTTTTGCCCCGAGAGCCTTCCGTCTGGGTCAGACACCTCGGTTCCTCTCACGAATTCCTTTCTCCCTCCGCCACCCATATCCCCACCTCGACACGACCATAAGAAGAGGCACACACAAAAAACACAACAATCCAATCAACGTAAATGCCCATCCGCGGCCCATTCCCTCAATCATAGGCAAAATAACAGCAGACGCACCAGCGCCCAACCAACACCTCGTGAGATTCATAGCAGCAGTAGCCATAGCGGGACTATCGGTATAAATATCAACCATAAGAACACTCATGATATTGAACGTCGCCGAAGCGGTATACCCAACAAGCAGGAGTAGAACGAGTGGGCCCGCGAGATTCGTCCCGTAGTGGAGAACCCAGCCGTATGCGATTAGGCCTAGTCCTAGGACGACGGCGAGCGGGTATATGACTTCGCAGCGGGCTTGCTCGATCGGGAACTCGCTGAGATCTTGTCGGTGCGTTTTGGAGACTGCTACTCCTAGACGTCGCGCGTGTCGTCGGTAGTTCCAGTCTGTTATGCGGCCTTGGGTGTATGCCGCTAGGAGGCTTCCGGCACCGGCTGGGATGAAGCAGAGGCCGATTTGAACGTCGTTGAACCCGTACAGGTGCTTGAGCTGGGATGTTACGCTTGTCATGACGGCGGAATAGCTGCTGTAGACGAGGCTGTTGCAAAGGAGGATGAGAAAGACTTCCTTATCGCAGATGATGACCAGTGTTTTGAGTGGATTAGGGAAGTGAATGCGTGTTTTTACCGGCGGCGCTGGGTTGGAAGAGCGCCGTTGCTGAATAAATTGTAGGGGAGACATGTTCCAGAGCGGGGGAGGCTGAGAGCCATTTCCTACGATCTTGCGAGCTGTCTCGGGCAGAAGCAGTAACAAGGGAATGAAGAACGCGCCAGCTAGGATGGTTAAAAACCAGAATATTGACGGCCAGCCGAGAAATTGGGTTAGTAGTCCGCCGATGATAGGCCCGACAGAGAGGCCGACGACACCCCCCGCCGAGGCGTATCCGATGTACACGCCCCGCTCGGCGGTGGTTACAACATCTGCTACGATTGCGTTGGCTAACGCGATGGTGCTGCTGCTTCCTGTGCTTTGGAGACAGCGGAGGACCATGAGGGCGGCGTAGTGGCGCTGAGAGGCTAGGCCTATGTTGGCTGCGATGTAGGCAATAAAACAGACGATGTATGCGGGTCGTCGACCAGCGCTGTCTGCGAAGCCTGCGAAGATGGCTGGGGCTAGGCCTTGGAAGAGCTACCTCGGTTGTGGATTAGTTTAATCATTTGTGTTCTTCTCAGCTAGATTCTAGCTTCATTGATGGCTCAGATATCCATACCATATACGTCGTGACTGTCAAATTGATCAGCGTATTGCTCACATGCAACTGATCGGCAATGGTGTTTAGTGCGGGAAGATAGATATTGGCTGAGAGTGGGGAGAAAAGACTAGCGATGGACGCCGCCACGACGATGAACGTTTTGAATTTGCCGCGATAGATTGAATATACTTCTTCTTCGTGCGGTGGAGATTCCGAGCCATCCTCAACTTCCGGCGAGGTACCAGGTTGGACTTGTTTTCCATCCGTCATTCTTATTGCGGGCAAAACTCCTGTATGAGAAGGATGGAAGTCGATAGTATAATTAGTCAACGCCGGGAATGATGTGCCCTGCAATGGGTATACTCTGTAGGGCTGATCAATCAATAGCTATGAGCTGCTCGCCACAGAAAGTATCAAAATGCCAAACCAAACACCACAATCGCTTGTCCCGGTCAACACCAAGGACACCAAGACTGTCATTGAAGTCAAACATTGGCCTCGGCGTAATGGAACAAGCGGGGAAATCGCTGATTAAGGAGCTTGTTCTGTGGATAACGATTAGTTGCTTTTGCTATCGTGGGCGTCATTCATAATAATTGGTCACGTCCTGGATAATGGCGATGGCATTAGTCTTGTCCTGGTAAGTGGATCCGGATAGATACGCATGCCATGTCACGTATGCATTTGAATCTAACGCCTTGTAGCGATGAATTGATAGAGACTTGGTAGTCGAATGGTTCTATTGATATTAGCTATACTGGCTTGGAAAAACTTAGCACAATTTCCCAAGAACCGATAATGTAACAGCGGAATATTTTTTACTATGAATATTCCCTGGATGACAATGAAATGAGAAGTATCTATAGAAAAGGTTAACCGTAACAAACGCTCAAGACTGTATCGCCTAGTCATTACAGACTAAAATAGTTGCGTCGGGCCCTGTAGGATCGTGCTGAAGGACTGGCCCATTACCATATTCTGCTGTGACTGAATTTGATGAAATCGAGTGTCTTATAGAAGTTTTGCTTGTAGATTAGAATAGTACTATGTACAACAAGAAGTATCGGGTACTTTGACAGAAGTGTAGATCTTGACATATAGAAGCAGAATGATTCGTACAATTAGGGCTGAGACTCAAATCCACGTGGTTGCGCCAATACATGATGCGCTGATGTAAGCACAGCCTTCGTGTTTTGAAGTTGGTAGCTGAAATTGGACACGTCTTTGTCCAAGAGAAAAATATTAAAAAATTCGAGTGAGCGGCTTCGTTGGATACTTTGAGCCGTGGAAATGTCTCATCCACCAACTTCACAGTGTCTCCACCCATCCATATGTTCCAGCGTCTCTGCGCACGCGAAAGCGGCCGGATATGAACAACCCACCCTGAAAGAGCGAATAGCAGCTATCAACCATGGGTCAACTTCGAAATTCAAATCGATCATTGATACAATTCCAGGATCATACGAAGTCAATTTCCCAGCGCCTCTGGTCCTCCCAGAGGACGATCTCGCCCTGGATCCAGACTATCCACCACAGAGCTTTCAGGAATGGTTGGACGAGGAAGATCGCAACAAGATCACGCGTGCAAAACGGACTGTTTATATAGTCGCACCACCGCAGATCGATGATAATGTCACACCATTACGAGGATGGACGCGTCCACAGAAGTCCCGCTCCCCAGCCCCCTTGACGGCCCCTAGCCCAGAGGAAATCAAAGACTACATAGCGGCATTTTACCACGGTCTACCCGTGAAGCTGCTTCCAAGTCCCGCACTACGCTTTGTCCCCTGGGAGACGGGCCCAAATCCAAAAAAGAAGACCCCATCACACGTGGGACTAGAAACTCCAAAAGAATGTATCGGCATCCGCACGCGTCCGTGTCCAGACCGGACGTATTCGCATCAACTCAATCTCGACGACCTCCTCGACGCGGCGATCAGCATCCTGCCTAAGGACGCATACGCCCTGTGCATGCTGGTCGACCACGACCTCTTCGAAGACGACGACGACGAATTTGTCTGCGGGCGCGCATACGGAGGGAGCCGCGTAGCCGTCGTTTCTAGCGCCCGGTACCGTCCAGACCTTGATACCATCCACTCTGTCGAGCGCGAACACGCCTGGCCGGCTTCCCATTGCCAGCGGTATGTGCAGGAGCGCTGCTCTTCGCAGAAGCCGCCCCGGAAGAAAGCTTCGCAGACAAAGCAATTCTCGTCGCGCGACGACCGCCTGCTAAAGGAAATAGTGCATGTTTCTAGCTTATCACCTGCTTCTGCTGAAGAAAAGGCACCGCCGGGCCTGTGGCTCGCGCGGATGTGTCGAACAGTCAGCCACGAACTGGGCCACTGTTTTGGAATCGACCATTGCGTGTATTATGCGTGTGCTATGCAGGGTAGCGCCTCACTGGCTGAAGATGCGCGTCAGCCTGCTTATCTGTGTCCGGTGGACCTTGGGAAGGTTTTGTGTGCGACTGGTTCTGCGTTCCAGGAACGAGAGCGTGCAATCGAGGCATATTGCGAAAGGCCTGGCAAGAGAGGGGTGCCTTTTTTCGACGCACTGGCTGCGTGGTGTAGGGGATTTACCAATGCGAATTAACGAGAAAAGATTGCGCAATTTTCCACCCTCGAAGTATTTATATTGGATCAAATTGACATCGATACCCATAGACAATGCAAACACTAGACGGATGACTGCACAATTTTGCACTATTACATAACCAGCATAGGCGCATAAGTTGAAACGATATGCCGCCTTGTCTCCACCACAATCAAACAAGACCCCATCCACACGACTTCCCCTCAATCGTGTTAACGACTTTTGAGAGCATCGCACAAAATGGAGTCATCCAGCCCCTTCACATCCATACTGGTCTCCCCCTCCGAGCTAAATGCCGCAATCGAATCGAACCCCCGGCGCATCGTCCCCGTAGCAGCGGGCGCCAGCACCCGCCGCGGGGAATTCACCGCGCAGCACATCCCGGGCTCCATGTACCCCTCTTCTCCAAGACATCCCTACCACAACCCTGTATAAATCTAACAAAGAATAGATTCTTCAACATGGATGAAATCAGAGACAAATCCCACCCAATCACGCAAATGCTGCCCAGCGCGGCAGACTTCGCAGCAGCGATGACAGCCATGGGCGTTCAGCGCGACGATATCCTCGTCGTGTATGATACGGTCGACGTAGGCATGTACTCTGCGCCGCGGGTCGCATGGACTTGTCGGTTTTTTGGTCACCGTGATGTTCATGTCTTGAACAATTTCCGCGCTTACGCAAGGGAGGGTTATCCCGTTGCCACAGGTGAAGTGGTCACCTTCCCTGATCGGCCGGCTGCGGGGTCGCAGCCGTATTCCGCGCGTGAGCCTGTCGCGACGGACGTTATTGGGTATGATGAGCTGCGGGAGGCTGTGCGGGGCCCCGACGAGCCGTATCGGATTATCGATGCCCGGATACCGGGGAGGTTCGCGGGCACGCAGGAAGAGATGTCGCCTGAGTTGAGGTCCGGGCATATCCCTGGGGCTGTGAATGTGCCGTTGGCGGTGTTGTTGGATGATGAGAAGGCATTTCTTTCGGTGGAAGAGCTGAGGCGCGTGTTTGACAATGCGGGCGTGAGGGGCGACAGGGCTGCTGTTTTGACGTGTAATTCGGGGGTTACTGCTGCGGCGCTGGATCTGGCGATGGGGTTGATTGGGTATAAGGCACAGAGGAGGCTGTATGATGGGAGTTGGATGGAGTGGACACGGAGGGCGGAGGAGGAGTTGGTTGTTGCTAGTTAGTTGAGTCGCTTTATGGTTTTGTACATATTAAGGTTGCTTTGTATATAGTGGTGTCTCTCCTACGCACCATTGGAATGTTCGAGGGCCTGTTGAGCTTTGAGAGAAAGAGGGAGAGTTGTCCTTGCACAAGTTTTATTTTTCATAGCATGTATTGATTTCAAAAGCTATTGGTGATAATTTATCATTCTGTAAAAGGAATGAATCATACACATGCGCGTAGCTCAATACATCATAAGAAATTGTGATGGACTCAAACATCAAGCCACAAATCAGAGGATCGGCCTTATTTCCCTGTAATGCTGTGGGATCAATATGCTACCGTGCCATTTGAGACCGAGGTGGCCATCTTAAACGTCAACGAAAACCATACTCAATTGGCTGATGCCAAGCTCAAAAGCAAATATCCCATTTACCTGAAATCTATTGCTTTCTGGCCAATTAACACGTCCTGCAGCTGTTTTTGAACGTTTTTAAATCGTGTATAGCCACAAGACTCGCTTTCCAAATGACTGAAAAGCCCAGCCAAGACAACAAAAGTTTTGTAACAACCGCCGTTGCTGTTCGGACAGTGGTATATCTTTTGCTTGTGAACTGGGGAGTTCACATGTGCATTGAGACCGGCTATGGTGTTAAACTGTTTGTGGCATAGATAGCACTCCCAGTAAGCGCCATTCCACGCTTTCTCCGTAGCAGAGCAAGTCGCGTTGTCTTCGTCGTGCCACTCAATCTGCTTGGTGGTGATCAGACTATTTGGGTCTCGCTCTCTAACCAGTCGATGGATCGTCTCGCGGTTCAGCTGGGGGGCAGATCGACAAGATCCTGTCTCGAGGTGGTGGACGACTCCACTAGCCGTTGTAAATCCCGATTGACAGAAAGGACAGTTTATGCTGTTGCCGCAATGAGTCTTCGATCTCAGATGCTTTGAGACAAAATGTTAGACATAATTAATGTGAAGTTTCCTTCGTACGAGCCATCGACAACTTAGAGAGACCTTACCATCTTCAGATTATTTTCATTTTGAAAATGCCTATCGCAAGTCGGACAGTAGGTTTTGTAGTGCAGATTCTTTGTCATGTGCTGTCCCGCTGCATCCTGAGTATGGAATTTGAGATCGCATGTCTCGCATGGAAACTTAGGCGCCCAATGCCCCAGGGAGTTCATGTGCTGGCGTGCAGCATTCCATGACTTGAAGTCTTTGGGACAAGTCTCACACTCATAGCGCGGCGCCCAGTGGTCTGTATCCCTCATATGCTGGTTGCAAGCACGTTGAGTACGGAAACATCGAGTGCAAGTCTCACATTCTATCCAGTGATCATAGTCGTTCAGATGCTCGACCAGGTCGTCGGCGTCGTAGAACTCATCACCGCAGGTGTCGCACTCCAGCATGTTGATGGAATGTATGGATGAGAGGGGTAGAGATGGATCTGATCGATGAAAAGAGTGAGTTGCCTTGATGAAATCAGAAGCGCTATACAAGGAAAACAATTTGAGTGTCAATGACAGGTCTGACCATGGGGTTTTAACTTTCTTCTTTCCCAGTCATTGTACCGGCATGTAATATTCACTCTCTTTCCAGGACCATAGGTCGAACCAAGACCAGGTCTACCTGTCGAATAAAATTCCCTGATATTCACTCGTTTGCTATTGGTCTAGTTTGCTACCATCCCCCGGCCTGTAAACGGGATAATAACAGTGATGCAGGGGGCCTAGTTGCAAACACCGAATGTCTGAGGAAGTGGAGACAAAATCATGAAAGGATATACTCCGACCTTACAAACAAACTATTTGAGTTCTTTTGAGGTCGCCATGGTAAACGCTCGACCGATGTTCCACGGTACAGACAAAAGTCCCAAGGCAGGATTATGTGGCCTCACTTTTTACAGGAGGTGGGAAGAAAGGACCAAAGTGTCCAATATGAGAAGATGCAATGCTAATATTACCATTGAAAACATGCCAGGGGTATATATACACATCTATACCAATTTCTATACCTCTCTGCAGGCCGATCTATTGAATCCACCGTCCCATCCACCTCTTGTTCAGCTCCTTCGCTTCGTCGATCAATCCCACATCCAACAGTAACTGCACCGATCCACGGACAGCAGAGTGTAAAGACGAGCTGACCCAGGCATGAGTCGGCGCGGTATGCTCGCCGATAAAGATTGTATTGTGTTCGGTGCGATGGTACGCTGGGATGTATAATTTATGCTGTTCGACATCAGGTCGGCACCACGCGGTAGCGGTATGCTCGTCCTGTAACCAGCACAATCGCTCATAGTCACCCGTGTACAGGTCTCGGATATGCTCTCCGTGAAGCGAAGCAATTGAATCCAAAACGGTTTGAACGTGCTCTTCGTCGGAGAAGCTCACAAATCGGTCGCTCCAGTCCCCACCACGGTAGTGCATGATGATTCCGGGGCGAGACTCGTTGAGCCCGTAGACGGGATAATACAAAGCTCCGACGGGGTCGCTCTCCGGCTTGCTGTAGCCCCCGAAAATGGGATTGGGCCCTTTCTCCCAGAACCGCTCGGAGAACAGAACGGCGACTTTGCAGGCGGACTTGAAGCGAAGGCCGGCTTCGCTGGTCGCGCGATCTAGGACGGATGAGAATTTCGGCAGGTCCATGAAGCGGGTCATCGTGAAAGGAAGGGCCAGGAAGGTGTAGTCGTATTCTTTGGACTCAAAGGTCCGGTTGGAGACACTGGGGTACCAGGATAGACGCGTTTTCGTCGTTCCAGACGGACCTGGCACGCTTTCCACTTTTCTGACCTTGCGGTTGAGAGTGAGGCGATCGCGAACGTGAGGAAGGAACGCATCCGACAGACGGCTGAACCCGTGGTCAATGCATGTCCACTCCGTCTCACCGAGAGATTCAGGGCTCCCGTCCAGTTCGAGGTTCGAGTTGTGGTGAAGTTCATCCCACAACGCATCGTAGTCGCTAGCCGTCCAAATGGCATCGGTGACATTATCACTCGCGCCAAACTTATGGCGCAGTATTGCCTGCTCGCTCCAATCGTCGAGACCATCGTCCATAGCCTGGCGATGCGTGCGCCAGATATCACGTTGCATCGCCTTCAGTTTCTCTTTCCGCATGAGCATATCGTCCATTTGGTCCGAGGCGTGTGTGTACGCGGCGCCGTCCGGCGCATTAGATATTTCCAGATCTGAGTCCGCCAGGACATCCTTTCGCCGAGCGATACTACCATCGGGTAGTCGGTGAGTGTCTAGCGCATACAACTCATTAGAGTGGTGCTGAATCCAGGGAATGAAGTCGATCTTCCACTCGCTCTGGTTGTCGTTCATATCGTTCAGCATATCCGCCAGCTGGAACACCATGGCGTGGTCTGAATACTCGACAGTCTCGCCATCCTTGTAGTGCGCCCTGACAGGGAGTCGCATGGGGCCCATTTCCGCCCACTCATCCGTGTCGCCGACATATTTTGTGCGAAACCGTCCACCCACGCGACCGCTCGCCTCGATAATTTCCCAGTTATGCACGCCCACACTGTCGAGCATCAACGCTGTCGCAAGGCCTGAGATACCGCCTCCCACAATGGCAATAGACGTGTTCTTTATGCTGGGATCCTTCGAGCCGGTGGCGTTGATCGCGTTGACGCCATCGAACCAGGCGCCCAGGGCGTCGAAGTCGTGCAGGCGTGGCGCAGAATTTGCATTGGCTGCGGATAGGAGCGCCAGCCCGAGGGTCAGGAACCGGGCCATTGTTAATTCTCTGGATAATTATCTCTCGTATTAGGATCTTGCATGGTTTATTAACTTATATACGGCATCTCGGGGACCTTGGAGAAGGGACCTTGCGGGTGCCGAAGAGTTTGACTGTCATGACCCCAAGTGTCGATCATTATTATTCTCTATCCACGAATGGTATTGTCGCTGGTGGTAATTCTGTGTCAATCTTATCGGGCACTCAGAATCGATTTTGCAAGCATATTCTACAAGAGAATGTCCCCTGCATTACGAGGAGAAGAACACTCCGATTGGTAGCAGTTCGACCAAGAAAACCTCTTCCAATGACCGCAAGTCATTAGTTCCAGATTTAAAATATATCTCTTTTTCTATGGAATTCTGCAGAATACAATCTAGGTCAATGGGTTAGAAGGATTGAATCTTCTTGCTTCTTCGGTTCACTAACAGGGCCGTATGTTATCCCACCCGATCCTTGTTGGCCACTTACAGGTCATCATGCTCAACAAGAGCAATGTCCTTTTCTTAAGCAATAGGATATTAGTGAACTGTTTCTATCTTTTGACTTTAAGATATTGAATGTCCAGGTAGTGGTGCATGTCAGATCTTCTGACATGTAGGATCTAGCAGTCACCTGGACTAAATCATACTTTGAACATCACATACGAATCATCTCCACAAGATAGTCTCATTGCTCTATCTGCTACCACGTGAGAACTTCGGAGCAATTTGACATAAGATGGCAGAATATAGTAAATCCCCCGGCTTCTGTATGTGGAAAGACACGCATGATAGCGACTGTCAGATTATCCAAGGAATAGGTTGAACCTCTAAAGGTTTTGGCACAAACAATAAAGGAGGGAGCAGCTTCTCATCTCTGGCTGTGATATAAAATGCAATATAGCATTGTTCTTTTCCATGACACGTTCTTCTCGATATTGATTTCGTATGGTGCCTGATATGACTGGAATCGGGGTCCGTATCTTGAGCAAATGACCCTTACTAGAACGGTTACACTTCGTCTGGAACTACCGGATCTGACACTTGGTTGCAACGAGCCGCATTTCTTAGAGTTATCTACCCCAGGAGTGAAGATCTTAGGGTTATGCTTTGTGCTTTAACCTCCGCTGAGTGCAATCCATAGTTTATTGCCTTCTATACGTTTGTAGTAGCCTTTGAAATCACGTGTTTGAATTTTCTAATCAGCTTCAAGCGCTCTGTTCACAGGTCATCGATGTTTAACCAACTCCTGCCACTCCTCAAGTAATGGACGGGAAACACCAGGATCAATCGGTATCAGCCAATACAAACCCCATTAGCCTTGACAATGCTTCATCTCAAGCTCAAGCCCTCTCTCCGCAGGCTTGGCATTAATCGGATGGCCAGTCCAAGCCAACACAGTTACACAAAAGCCCACCCCGTGGATGAAATATGCGGGGAAAGCAGCGGCAGAACGGATCAAGACTTCCGTGATTACTCTTGGACCCGATATTTGGCACTCGGAGGGGAAGACAAGTTACTCAATGCAACATGATGCAGTCGTTTCCTCACGCGTTGCGGAGGGATAGTGCTGCCTTACACCCCGAGTGCTACCTACTTATCCATGTCTACCTTGCAGATGCCCTCAACGGAGTGATATGTCGTGGTAGTCGGTTGGTAACCATGACCCCGCTCGCGGATGGGTATCATAGCATATAGCCTTGATGTAAGTTATAAATAGGTGTCTTTGACTGCTTTGTCGAGCACATTATCAGCGACAGAACCACAGAGACACAACATCTGCCAACCAAAAGCAAAACCAAAATCGGCGCAGTCATCCAAGGTAAGGACCCTCCCGTCTTTCAACACCGCTTGACTGACAAGACCACAGATGAAGCTCACCTATCTCGTATTCGCATCCATCCTCGGCCTGGCCATGGCCGTGCCCGCCGCGGAAGGCACCGACAACGTGGCGGAACCTGTTGTCGTCGAAGGGTTGGAGGTACGTTGCTTCTTAACTTAGAGGAAAGAAATGCTCTTGCTGATACGTGCACGCTTCTATCCAGTATGCCCGCTGCGGTGACCGTTGTAGCAGTGACCGTGATTGCCGGGATAGAGACGACAGGGATAATAGGCGATGTCGATACTGCCATCGTCGGCGGGGAGAAGTAGGCTACCTTGATTTGTTGGATGTCCAGCGTAATGACGATAGCTAACTCTACCAGCGCCGGGGCACCTGTCGGGAGAACGATAACCATTGATAGAGTAGGAAGAGACTTCCTGGGGGAGGTAGACTAGGGGACACTGGAGGATAATCGATATGGCGGAGAAACAAATTTTTGTTATTTTGTTCTGGAACGAAGACGAGAATGCTTGTATGTTGGTTGTGTTCAGCGGTGGCTCTGCACTGGTTGAAGCCGTTGTGTGGACTCGGTTATGAAAGCGATCAAGGAAGATGATTGAGTGAGGCTAACGAAGTCATGAAGTATATGATTAGTTTGTTTACGCAGCCAGCTGTCAAATTGTTAGTTGAGTTAGTCCAGTCATGCATGTGAAACGGACAGTAGCCTCATGACAACGCTACACCTCTGTATACTCTCGTAGTGATACAGACAGTCAGCTTTTTCTTGTGTCTCGGAATCATAGCTAGATAAAAACAGCATTGTACTTTTGTGGAGCTTACTTATGTGTCCTCTATTGCCTAAAACCTGTCTAATAGAAAGTTAAGGCTGCCATCTGATCAGTGCAAATATTACCCGTATATCCACACACGCGTTGGTGACCTCCATCACTCGCCCGGCCCAAATCCTCAGGCTACACAACACCTAAACAAGGCGTCCGTGCAACAAACCTCGAACCTACTATATAAACTTCAAATATACGCCACACAATCAAACTCCCCACAAAAACATAACCCAAGAATGATAGATCTGTAACAAAAACCCCATGAAATCAGCAATACTCATCAGCAGTCTTCTCCTGCTACCCGCAGCGCTCTCGGCTGCTCTACCTGACGCGGTGGAATCTAATCAGCTGGTATGCATCTGGCAAAGGTCTCAACACAGTCAAAGACACGGCTAATTCGAGTAGGATCTACGGTGCCATACGCCCTGCTCGCGGCTTTGGAATAATTGCGGGTTTCCTTGCACGGCTTGTCATCCTGTTTGTGTTTTATTCTCCTTTCATTGTTTTGTTTTGACTTGATGAGTACTGATGATATGATTTAGACAAAAGGGGTGTGTTATAAAGCCGGGGGACGAGATGAGTGGGGGAGTAGATGATGGGGAGGATTGGATGTGGTGGATGGGGAATGAGAGTGTTGTGATGGCATTTGTGTGGAGGTGGATTTTTGGAGGAATGGTGGGATGAAGCTAGTATCTGTGGGTGACATCTTGGATACTAATGGAGTATTACGATGGGAAGTAGAATAGATGGACAATTTACAGAATGCATGACCCGAGGTCAGTAAAATTAGCTGTGCTGAACACTAGCTACGGAAAAAACTGGCAGTCCACATGGTAAACCACGTCCTGCGTACAAGAGTATCACGAGCCACACCCATCGGGCAGGCGGAAAAAGATACTTGTTGAATTACTGCTCCTGCAGCATCCAAGCACGAGGCCACTTGCCGGGTCCCAGGCAGACACCAGCCGAACAAGTATCAGTGTGGCAGCAGCCGGCGCTGTTCGAACAGGCACGACGGCAACGGGGATCACGCTTCTCAATGGCGGACTTGGAATCACGCTTCTCGATGACAGACTCGACGTCTTCCGCAAGAGGCCAGCGACCGGGTCCGAGGCAGACGCCAGCAGAACAGGTGTCGGAGTGGCAACAGCCGGAATCGTTAGAACAGGCACGGCGGCAACGGGGATCGCGCTTCTCGACGTCACGCTTCACGTCCTGGGTCATGGGAAGCTTGCCAGGGCCGCTGCAGTAACCACGCCAGCACATGTCAGTGTGGCAGCAGCCTCTGTCGTCAATGCGGCAGCGGCGAGGGCACTGGGGGTCGCGCTTCGGGTTGACAGGCTCGGAGGCGGGATGAACCATGTTGTCGACGGCGTCCTGACCTAGGAGATTGAAGACGGTGGCTTCGTCAGCGTCGTCGAGCTCAGAGACATCTTCTCCGTTGTCCTGGGTGACGGTGCCATCATGGGCCAGAACGGAAGTGTCGTCGGTGACTGGGGCTGTTAGGTGAGACTGAGAGAAGGAGGGAGGGAGGGGGATACTGACCTTCAGGGTTGATCACATCGTTGCCATCAGGCTGGGGAACGCCGACTGCAGTCACCAGGGTGATTAGCAGGGCCAGAAAGAGGAATATGGGGAGCTTCATTGCTCAGTGGAGGGTCAAGGATGTAGTTAAGTGTAGAAGGTTGATGGAAGTGGGATGGAGATGGAAGTAGAATGAAAGGAAGAGAAAGATGGAGAGAGAAGAAGGTGGGTGAGGAAGAGGAAGAGGCGAGGAGAAAGAAGAAGATAAGAGGGGGAAGAAGGGGAATTAAATAGTCCAGCAGAAGAGAAATCCAGTGACTGCTTGAGAGAAGAAAGTCTGGATGCAATTTCAGCGTCTGCAACTGGATTTCCCATTCGGGTATATGTGAGTTTCCTCAGGATTCCGCTGGAGTCCTCACGAGAGATCAGTCACTCGATTTACAGAACAGTGACTAGGAATGTATGCTAACCAGGCGGTTTTTATACACTAATTGCTAATCACTGTTAGGTTTTCATAAGGTAGTTTATAGTGATATTACAAGTTGACATGTCAAGCTGGATATTACTGGGAATTAGGAATTGGCTATCTCTAGTGAATCTACTTCCCTGACTTGTCAAGCTAGGTATAGCTAGAATGTAGGACTTGGCTATCTCCGGTGAATCTATTAATCAGTGTATGAAATTGCTTGAATTTGTTGAAGAGTAATATATCATTGTTTTAGATAACTCAAACGTGAGAGATGATGAGAGAAATGTACTGGTTTTTAATCATATCAAGGTTCAAGTATTATCAGACACTGTCACTATTTTTCGTACTTCGTTAAAGTAGTCAATATCACTAGCACAACGTAGCATTTTTCAGATTGTCTTTTGTACACTACTCCCTGAGATCCATGCTAATTAATCAACATGCTTGAGCAGGCTCAACAACCACCATGCCATATATCAACCACACAACCACGATACCCACGAAGAGCTCAAAAGCTTGATTTTCCGTAATAATCATACAGTCCTATTGGCCCCTTGGAAATACTCCTCTACTCCATACTTCCCACTGTCTAATTAGAATGTAGGAATATGATTGGGATCCGCGACCCACATTTATAGAATCACCAATAATCGCGGTTCTTCGAGCACATCACAATCCACCCGCCCCTTGTCCATCATGCCTCCTGTGTACTCCGACAGTCGTGATGATATGAGGTGTTGAGGGATGAAGTTAGATAATACATGGGTCTTATCCAGGACCACGCAGGTTGAGGGCACTGTCATTTTATTGTTCGACGTATACTGCATGCACCCCGCAAGGTTGATGCTGTCTGCCGTCAATGCCGTCAAGTTTCGTCTATAATCTTGTTTCTAGGAGATCCACAATGGAGTGAAAGGCGAGTGCTTAGCGGCCATACCTGTCCAAGATTCTATCAGCAAGGATTAGTCCGACTCCACATCTACAAGCTTATAAGTCGTCCTAGCGCTGTTCGATTAGAATTTCATCCGAATTCCTTCAAGTCTGTCGTTTAGTTCCAACCTGATAGGGTATACGCTCGTTCATTATGCGTTCCAACCTCCTCCTCGGTAGCTTCGCGTTGACCACGCACGCAGCCTCATTCAACCCTCTCCATCACTTGGCAGGTATCGCACCCACCTGGAAGCCGCACAACCCTCCCCTGGACACCGAACCCCCCGCCGGCTGTAATGCCACCAAAGCAGCGTACCTGGTGCGCCACGCCGCCATCTACGGCAATGACTTCGACTACGACACGTACATCGAGCCCTTCGTCGAGAAGCTCGCTCACAGCGCGCAGGACTGGAGCGCAGCAGGCAGTCTGAGCTTCCTCGCCGACTGGACGCCTCCCAATGAGGAGGCACACATGGAGGAGATTACCCGCGTCGGCACCCAAGAGGCCATGACGCTGGGCGCGGAGGTCCAGCAGCGCTACGCTGATTTGAAGCCTCCTGCTAAGGTCTGGGCTTCGTCGGCTGATCGCACTGTCCGGTCTGCCGATGGGTTCATCCTCGGCTTCACTAATAACCACCGCGATGAGATCAATCTCGAGGCTGTTCCTGAGGAGGAAAACACTGGCGCCAATTCTTTGACTCCGTATAAGGCTTGTCCTGCGTATAGCCCGGCCTACGGATCCGATCAAACCAAAGTATGCATCACCACCATATAGCGCCTTACCGCACGAGATACGCTAACATAGACACAGGAATACCAAAAAATTTACACCAAACCCATCATCGAGCGACTAAGCAACCTCGCCCCGTCCTTCAACTTCACCCTGACCGACATCGTCGGCATGTTCGAGCTCTGCGGCTACGAGACCGTCATCCGGGGCGAATCGCCCTTCTGCTCGCTGGACCTCTTCACAGCCAACGAGTGGCTGTCCTTCGAATACGGCAATGACCTCATGTACTACCACAACACAGGCTACGGTCGACCCTTATCCCCCCGCCTCGGATACCCCTGGGTCCGCGCAGCCACTGACGCCCTCGCCGACGGGACCTCCGCCCAGGACCTGTACGTGTCTTTCACCCACCGCGAGGTACCCCCCGTTATTGTTACCGCACTGGGCCTCTACAATAACAGCGACTTTTCCGGTGCGAACAACGCCAACCTCACGATGCCCACCGACCGCATCAACTACCACCGCGCGTGGAAGAGCAGTGAGATCCTGCCCTTCCTGACCCACGTCGCGATCGAGAAGATGGAGTGCAGCGCGGATGGATACAACCACGGAGACTACTACCGGGTGCTGGTCAACTCCTCGCCACAGCCGCTGACGGAGTGTCGGGATGGGCCGAGCGAGAGCTGTTCCGCTGGGGAGTTTCTGCGTTTCGTCGATGAGAGGGGCGTGCAGTATGGGGATTTTGGAGTCGCTTGTGGGGATCTTGATGCGCCTGAGAACTTGACCCTTTACACATGATCGACTGTATAGATGATTGGCTATATTGTTTGAGATGGAAGGGGTCGTATTTTGGCTACAGCCCTCGCTCTTCGGATTGCATTACTTTGCTTGGCTTCGTCAAGTCTTGTATTCATATAGTTAATAAGAATTAATTTTGTCGTGTCTTGGATAACTAACCTGACAGACTTCTCCGCTTCCGCTTCCAGCACAAACATAGCACTACACTGTACGTGGGTAACACCGCCGCCTCACTCTGTTAAGCAAGGCTTTACTTGGCCTAATTCGTACACAGAGTCAATGATGGTTGCCTTCCACCCAGCAAACAAAGTGAAATATAGTAATATAATCAAGAAAGCCATTCTATAGACCCTACTAAACATGATAGCCATACCCACACAGCCCACAACCTGCAACCAGAAATACATTCCCAACAAACAATCTACAAGCAAACCAGTCCAGAAAGGATCTCACAACCGTAACACAAACATAGAATCACCCTCTCCCATTCCCCTATTAAACCCACCAAGCGCCAAGAATGTTTGCTTCAATTCTCAAATTGACTGGTCAATCGCGTACTATCATGAGTATATATACCTGGAAAGGAATTTTGAACATATCCAAGCTGAGTCAATTCCTTCTTGGCGTGCAACACTCTTAGCTTGGCGTTTCTCATTGTGTCCTATTGAGGGTGCTGGATAAGACAGACGAGGGGGTGTTTAGGGCTGGGGTGTAACGTGATATTATTTTTGTGGCAGTCACATAAGCTGTGGACTGTGACTTGGTGCTGTCTAATCATATTGTACGTCCGGTGTGTAGGTGTTGTTGTGGAGTAATGGGAATAGAACAGTAAACTGTCATGGCATCAAGACAGGTCTCACGATACTGTGGTAGTCAATAGCACCAGAAGAGAAGACGTATAACAAATAGAGTGATCAATACTACCAGCAGACTATAATATATACTAGTAGACAGACAGACAGGTAGTAGACAAGTAACCTAGAGATAGAATACTAACGCTCAGCGCAAAACAAGCCAACCAAGCACCTAAGCAGCCGCACGCTGACCATAAATAACATGCACCCGGGTGTACAAGTGAATCGACAGATCCTTGAGCTCACTCTTGGTGCCCGCAACGAGAGCTTCGATGCGCTCGCGCGGCCAGCCCAGCATGCGCGTGAACAGCGCGTACGTGTAGGGGCCGATCGCCTCGAACATGTTGACTTGGTGGTAGCGGCCGATTTCCTTCAGCTTGGGATCTTTGGGCCAGGGGGATTGGGGGAGCTATTCAGCATTAGTATTAGCATTAGACATTGCATTAAACGCCGGTGGGTAGATGGCAAAAAGAGGAAAGGGGGGATACCTTGTAAATATCCTCATGCACATTGACAAACCCAGCCTTCTCCATGCGGCTCTTCCAAGTATTCACGGTCGTCATGCTCTTGCCGAACTCGTTGGACGCAACGTGCATGTTGTCGACCGCTTCCATCAGGTTCTTGGCCTTGTGGTGGGTGCCGTCGTCGGAGGTCGAGATGACTTCGATGGAGGCGATCTCGAACCATCCGTTGGGCTTCAGGTTGGCCAGAGCCTGCGTGAACAGACGGTCGTAGTCGCGGACGAACCCTTCCAGCTCGCGGCCGTGGATGTAGTCGAACGGTTGGCTGTAGGACCAGGGGGCTTCGTAGTCGTCGACTTCGAAGCGGCAGTTGGGGGGGATCCTTCATCTGTTAGTATAATGACCCTTCTTTATCAGGGGTTTCAAGTGACTGTACCAGGAGGGCTGGATCGGGGAGAGGTCATTTCCTGAGTGGGTTAGTTAGAACGTTAAACGAGTGTCTTCCATCCATACCGATGACTTCCGCTTCGGGGTGCTCGCTGTATATTGTTAGTCTCTTCTCCCTCCAAAGTCAGCCAGGCAACTCACTCGGCATAGTCGATCGCCCAGATACCCGTCCCCGTACCGATGTCCAGCACACGAGCGGGGTTCTTGACGGGCGCACGGGTCAGCTCGCCGCTCAGCAGCATGCGGTAGATGTGGTGGCTCTGCTGGAGTCAATATCCGTCGTCGTCGCGGTCGCATTTCGCGGTCAAACCCACCAGATCCATGCGGTCCTGCTCCTGCTCGTCGTTGGGCTGGAAGATGTCAGAACGAGTCGTCGGAAAGTGTGCCATCGCCGCCTACCAGCATGTATTCTCCCTCATGGTACGAGTGGTATCTGCGGCCGTTCTGCGCGGGTTGGTTAGATGGGTTCGGTGCGGTCGCGATATCGTTTGTTCGAATCATTTACCTCATATCTACACGGTCGGTCAGTATTGTGCACAACAGTGCCCGATGCGTTTTTGACCTACTGATAGTTGAACGCGCTGGAGGTGATACTCGTGGTGTAACTGGCGTCGCCGATTCTGCGGTTCCGGTTAGCGATAGCGGACGATGGCGGTGCTAATCAGGGTACTTGCGAGCCGGCAAATGTGGAATCGTTATCGCTTTGGTTGTCCTATTACAATCAGCATATAGCGGTATCAACACAGTTCGAAACGGAGACCGACATCAGGCTCGATAATGGCCGGGCTGCGCTGCTGGGGTTCCAGATGCTGGGGCTCCGGTTCCAGGTGCTGCGGTTGCGCCTGGCTTTGGGGCTGGCTCTCGGCGGACATTATGATGGTGGGTCGCACGAATTTCTGCTTCTCGTTCCGTATATATATCGATTTGGACAAGATTATTACGATTATTATATCCCCCGCGTCCCGAGATCACAAACCACGGGTCGTAGAAATGAACACAACGATCAGTCGGTTCAACAACGCGTCGAAAGAAGATAAAACCACCCAAGAGGAGAAAGGTGGGAAAGGATCAGAAAAGGGACAAAATAAAAATCCTACAAGACGCCGGACCGGGCTTGGAGATTCCCTTAATAACGAGCAATCAGACCGGGTTACTCGTGCGCTGTCAACGTCCGTCTGGCCAACGATTCGCTACGCCGGACGCAGCTGCCCCAATGCCGCGCCGTCGATCATAGGCTAGTTGCCAAAAGGAACAGGGGCGGCCTGACCCCGAGTGGAGGTTGTGGCACCTTTAGTGGTGGTTTTAGTCGCGATTAGTGACGGGTTGTGGACCCCGGATGGGTGCCTCGGCTGCCACTGGGATGCTTTGTTTGGCTGGCTGGGAGTTTAGGGAGGAAAAGGGAGCTGTCCGGTTGACTCCACGGGCAGAGTCTAGGGAGGACACTGTCCTAGACTAACCAGACGGCTAGTGTTGACATGATAAACCCCGACAGCTCGTCTTCATCAGGTTAAGTGGTGGCGTCTTTCGTCGTGGGAGAAGGGGAGGCCAGTTGACAGGTCAATTCTAGCTGCTGCATTTCCTCCGACTTAAAATGCAACCATGCATTAACTATTTCTTTCCCATCTGTTAGATCTGGAATGCCACGCATGAGAATTGTATAGTTATTGGACAATGTCCTGTATTATTCCCTTTCCCCTCCCTGAAGTCTGGAAATCCACTAGGGTATTCTCCACCCACCTGCGGGCGGTTCATCGGGGCACCACCCATCCGTCGTCCCAACCTTTTTTTTTTTTTTTTTTTTCTTCTGCCACCCAGACAAGCCAGGAAAGAGACTTCGAGAATGGTACATCGATCGGCCATGTGTGTCCGTCATTCCCTAAATGGCATGATCATCGCATGATCCAGTCTCCAACCGGCGCCGATCGTGCCGCTTCCCCTTCCCAGGCTACCAACTAAGTTAACTTCCTGGCAGACAGCCAGCCATGTGGCGGTGGGGATGTTTCCGACCCCCTCTTTCTCTTGAAATGTTATTATTATGGACAAGGAGAACCGTCAACTGACTCGTAGGAATTTTTATTCGCTAAGGGACAGAGAGTACCTATTGCCTAGTCTTACCATGGCGGGGTTTACTGGGATCCCGTGGAATCAAACGGTTAAACCCGCCAGCGCGAATCCCGCGGAGCGCTTTTACCCCATTCGGTATTGCGACGGATATCCTCCCCGGTCGGCCCTCGATACGGATAGTAGGATAGTAAGACACTATGGAGTAGACTCGGGGGATTCTCCATGGCGATTGCGTAGCGATCAGGACTAGCTGATGACTAGAAAAGTACCGGTGGCTGCGACCGACTCTTTTGAGGAGGAGGGGGTACGGTACTAGGTAGGGTTCTCGGGGATCACGTTGCCGCAGTCTGCATGTTCAACGGTTGGCTAACTTTGACTGCCACAGGTACTTTTGTTTAGCTTATCGCGTGGGGTAGTTGGCGATTTTTTGGCGTTTCCGACCATGATTCAGGTGTTACATCATGCGGGATTTGGTTTCATTTTGGAAGGAGGGTGAGAAATGGTGTTATGGTGGAGGATAGTTCATCATAAGATGGCATAAATGTGGATAACTCGGCGACCTTGACATCGATATGCGGCGCAGTCGCCGCAATAACCGATTGACCGCTCAATTGGACAGTGGGGCGATGCAAAGATATCAATTTGGATCAGTCGCCAGCAGGAGTCACCTTACACATGTTGCCAGTCACCTTTAAAGGATGTTCAGCTGGTTTTGGAGAAGTTGATCAGTTTGTCCCATATGAACTGCCTTCGAGGGTAATAATACCCGATTATCCCCCCAGAACACCTATTATTGTAGGACTAGACAAGTCATATTATTAGTCTAGCAATCAATCGACACGTAATAATATCACTGCTAGTCTCTCCCGTCCAATAAAGTCCTGGGATTTACTCCGTAAGAAATATCAAACAAGACAGCCGAGAAGGATGGCCACGAGAATCTGGTTTGATTACTCCGTATAATAGTTCTTACGCCCCCAAATCCGGGAAGGCCCACTGATCGGACCAGAAAGGACGGATCCTTGGGAATGTCGACATCTGATTCCTTCGCCATAACTCAACACAGATGGGCTGAAGTGGTATCTCGTATGGATTGTAACTGGTACTCTCGCTACTCCATACAAGTGACCATCTTCATGGAGTCCTGTTTTGGAATGGTGCTGATTAGCCCCGGCTCGGTAAATCTTCGCAAGCAATATGGCAGGTTGCGAAGGGCAAGGCGAGAGAAGCCACTGGGATAGATCCCACGTGGTGATTCTGTCTACACCTTGAATTCAGGGCCAATTCTTTTCTAGACAGGAATCTCGGGTTTAGGACTGTTTGCCAATGAGGCCTGTGGGTGTTCGTGATAGTTTGAGTGTTCTTGGTGCTGATCTCTAAACTAAAGGCACTATTGCCTGGGCAGCTGAGCTTGCTGACTTTCTATGACTAAACTGTCGTATATGCGAGTATGATTTGTCTCGACTAGCAGCAGTGTTTTAATGATTACCTCTTCGTATTTACTTTTTATTGCTATCAAAATAGTACTTGTACGTTTTTCTATGTTGGGTCCTGTTCACGTCAATATCAATTGCTTGTGTTTCTTATGAACACGCTTTTGACTTTGGCAATTCATATACAGCATCTATTGCCTAGTAACAATCAAGCTACTGTCGCTTCAGAAGCCAGGATCATAAGCAATCAAACAAGCTCAGCGAGATAGATGTCTTGAATATATGAAATATAACAAGTTCAACAATAGCAATCGACGTCTAATTCCTTCGCCGTTAACTAAACACACATGGGCTTGAGTGGTATCTCGAACTACTCCGTATATAAAAGTCTAATGAGCATCAGCTGACTAGCCACTCCACAAACTAGAGTATCTGTAACTTTATATATTCGGGAGATGACAATTCCAGGATCATCACCAAACCCACTATTGTGGATTAGGGGAAGTGAACGCGTCCTAATGATGGACTCTGATGATATCCAGAGCTATGGAAAAGCTTGCTTGATGGTTGCTTGAATTAATGAAGATACAAGATGGTCATCTGTGTGGGAAAGGACTGCAAATGATGCAGGACGGCCGACCGTTTGGCCCGTTGCTAGTAGTCACTGTTTCTACATCTTTATTACCTATACCCCAGAGTTTAACATTATTCGTCTCTTGTTAATTCTTTCTGGCTCTTTCCAGCATAGCGGATAGAGAGACCTGACGGAGGAAATCCTCGTCAAAGTTACTCTCTTAACACTTGCCATGACTCAATATGATGATAAATAGACTTACTCACCCCTGATTCACTGTGATCCCTGAAATATGAGCTGTAGTCTAGTAGTATGTTGATATCTAAAAGGATTGTGATTTCCGACACTCTCCTAATCACGAGGGGATGAATTATTCTTAAGGCATCCAAAACATGAAATTGATATCCATGGCGAATATAGAATATCTGGATATCAGTCATACCAAGCTCGACCAAGATGCCGTTCGTTATCTTGTTTCAGTGTCTGAGATTAGATCAAGGCAATGATTTTAGAGCACTGCTATCATCAGAACACAGACACACTTGCATGTGAATTCTAGACTCTGCAAAGGGACTATGAGTTCAATATACACGACTGTCAAGCGAATCTTGAATACTGCCGTAAGATAGTCATTCATGATATGATCACCATCTTGCAGCCCAACCGGCAGGCCCAAAAGATATGTTTCTTATGTCTCTCCGCGTGACTGCGTAGCCGAAAAAGGTCGGCCAGTCTTCTTGGAGGTAATAAGCATAAACACTTGATCAAGACTGACTGGTTCAAAAGCACAAAGTTACTAAAGGAAGGAAAGAAGATCAATGACCAATCAGCTTATAATACTATAGGTAGCACTATCTTTGCAAGACATAAAGCACGTGAATATTATATTCCGTGGACTAAAGCACAGCAAATATAAAAACAGACAAATAAGATAAAGAGAATAGATTGAGTAGTGAACAACAAGTTCTATGGGAGCGCCGGTGACAAGTATCAACATAATGATGATACGATAACAATCAAGAGTTGCGAATAGTTCCGAGACCAATATTCCAAGATCGCACAATATAAATAAAAAACATGGACAAAAAAAAGAAAAATAATCTACGCGAAAGAGCATCCATGTTGCCTCATTGAATGTCTCTTTAAACAACATCCATGCGTCTACCATGAATGATTGCCGCCGGCCCCCAGTGTCACAATCTGATCAGCCTAACGGACAGCTCAACCTGACATTGTGTAGAAGCAAAGAGCATACTAGAGTTAGCAGAGTTTTTTCCTCGAGATTGGCCAAATCACCTTGTAACAAGCTGATATAGACTGTTGCGTGGTGAAAGGATATTACGCATCAGGAGGAGATTCAAACATATCATCCTAATTGGTCCCCGTCCGCCTTTTTTTGTGGCTTGTTTACGTGGTCCTTGTAGATGAGGATATTCTTTGACAATCAGGGAGCATTGGTCAATTAAAAAAAAAAGTGTAATTCCATGTAGTTTGGATAGAGGCTTTCAAAAGACACTGGGTATGAGAATCGAGGAAGCTGAACAGTCAAATGCTGCTGAAGTTTGTAGGAGTAATAGAAACAGTCACAATGTTGATGGAACTGATGATTTTAGATACCATGAAAAGATTATGCATATTGAAAGATATATAGTTAAGAATATTGATAGAAAAGATTGAGGAGTCAAAAGAATAACCTCCGTAGAAAAAGCTACAAGATAGCTGACACCTTGGCTGATTCTGTTATCTCACAATTCCACAAAGTCGATGTTGATGAAATCTATAGAGCAAAGTTGACTGTTGGTCGATGTCAAGAATTTGCTCTGAGATTAAGAAATATAGAACATAGCATTTGCATGTGGTTGAATGCGACAACTGGGCCTACAGATATACCAAAATAGATCTTGCTATTCTGTTGGTACCGGGGCATACCCACTAGCTATATTTCAGGGACTAGACAGGAATATTAACAGGGATTGGTGAGACAGCAGATAGCGTCTTGATATTTTTAGCACAGACCCTGCAAGTGTTAACCTTCCATCGTACACCTCTTTCCGTTCCAAAGATCGTCATCAATGCCATCAAGACTTTCCTCTTTCATTATTTCGTCTCAGGGACTACTGTGTGATGCTGAATATGAAAACAAAAAATCCTCGCCGCTAACAACAGCGATAGTCTGTCCCCTTTGAACACGAATAAAGATTAATAGCGGTGGCTGGGTTATGTCTGGATGAGTGCGCCCGATACCGGTCACAGCCAAGAAAAGATTCCACCTCGTTGACTTGGCATTATCTCCAACGGGCGAGATACTCGATCACCCAGTGAACACAAGAGGAGTGCAATAGCGAAGAAATCGGTGTCACATGGAAGCGACCATGGACGCTTTGGTCTCGTCCATAGCGGACGACAAAGAGACTCACCTTCAAGGACAGATAGATACTGGCCCTTTCCGGGTCCGACTTGTACCACACGTTTACCCCTGGATTCAAGCATGTCTATGTCTGGGCATTTCGTCGCTAAAATCCGGAGTAGCCAGTGCCATCACTACACGGCGAAGATCTTATGTTGGACCCTCATCCTGCAGCAGCACGGCCTGAAGATCAGGTACGGCATGCATTTGGCCAGTACGATCCCAATTCGGCCGACGCATGGCAATCCACATTGACATCACCTGTTTGTTTATCGAAACCAAAACAGAACAATCCAAAGCACAGATTGGGCAACGCCCGTTCCAGAATGATGTCACGGTGCCCCAGGAACAGCCAATCTGAAACAAGATCTACGTCTGAGTCATCATTCCGCGACATGTGAAGTCCGCATCGGGGCGCACGACCATCACACAATCCAGGGTCTCCTTTCGGGTGAGATGGGTTATGAAATTCCGATCGCTGTTGGGGTTACATTAAATGTGGCCCGGATGATATCAGCCAATGCGTACCATGCCACACACGAGACTGTCAGGAGGACGGAATGGCCCGTGTGGAGGGTGACAACGCGGTCGGCCTGGGTTGCCAAAAACCGCATTTTAACACTTGGCTGCTCAATGCGGTTGGCGTAAGGCTGCATCTGGGGGGAAGAAATGTTCAAATGTTCAGGGGGGGCTGAGCCCAGGCCGATCTGGACCCAAAGCGGAGGCAATCCAGAATGATACTCTATGCGGGTGACATCCCCCAGACGGCCTAGGAACAGGAAAGTCTGTGTCCAGACCAGACTCTTGAATGGTGGTGCCTGATGCGGGCGTCCGATGAGATTGCCACTCGGTCTTTGTTTCACCTCCGTGGTGCGTGTCTGTGTCGGGTTGATTGGACACAAAGCGCCGCCAAGCTCTGGGTTTGCTGAGTTAGCAGAAGCTTGGCTTACTCGAAACCAATGGAAGTCGGGAGATATGCTGACGGTGGATTTCTAACGTCATGGGTTCCATGGGCGGCCGCGTCACAAAGCCGGGATGGTGCAGTGGCCTGGAATGGCTTCTCATCATTGGTTGTGTTTGCGTGATCATGCTTCTAAAAAAAAAAGAGGCCCTGGCCGAGGATTTAAGCCGGGCGTTTCCCAGGGTTCTCCCTGGATTTTACAAAAAAAATTCTCCTCAATCAATATCAAGATTTATATCAGATCTATAACATTTTTGGAGTCCGAGTCTTTGAAATCTCCCCACATACATCATGCCTACCTCTCGTACCTCCAGTGACCGCAGCGGATCCATTGGATCCTACGACAGCCCCAACGGCCACGCCTACAAGACATCTCTCTCCAAGCAAGCCGATCCCAACGCGGCCCTGAACGAAGCCCAGCCCAGTTCGTACCCTACCCCTGCAAGTCAATAAACAGTACCCAATTACTAACGATAACAGTGGCCAGCCTCAGCTCCGGAGACTCGGTGACCGGCATGTCGTTGCGCGGGGTACAACATCGCGACAGAGAAGGAAACGTCATCAGTAAGTTGACTGTCTGTCCACTGCGACAGTATAACACCTGTGCTAACAATCTCCTCCAGCGGAACCCGATCTGGCCAACCCTACGAGGTATCGCTTTGAGCGTCCCCTGGATACCATCCGGGCCCATGAAGCCGCTATCGACCGCCGCCGTTGAGTTATGCGGTGGGATTGGTAGTTTTGCCACGACGAGACGTATATTGGGTTTTTCTAGCGATTGTATAATATCTTTTTGCTTTATTGGTAATGTGATTATTTGAATATTCTCTCGATATCGATTTAGTATAAGCGTCGGGGTCAGCTGTGTGCGGTGACTTCTCTTGAATAAAACTACAGGAGTATACAACCTGTCTGGTGAGACGTGTCATTCCTTTACTGTACTAGATTGTATTGTGATTCACGTTGACATCTATGTTCTTCGTACCCTTTCCAATGACTCTCTCGAATTCCCTTTGGCGTTATCTTCACGGCTCCAGGATTCGTAGTCATGAAATTTAGCTCTAGGTGTTTCCGTAAATTTATCTCGATCTCTCTTCGAGAAAGCCAGATAGTAAAGCACGTTCCGTCGAGTAGTATTCATCCAAGTAAACTACACTCAGTGCCTATCAACCAATTCAGACATCACCCCGATTCCAGTTAGGCTGCACGCAAAATACTACTACAGTTAGCAATTTCGCCTGAGCACCCAATCCAACATACGTACATGTCCGACGTAGAAACCCGTGATTGTATTGCCCACAGGAATTTCCAACGTCTTACAGTAGGGTGCGACATCCACCATGAAGCCGAACTGGCAACTCCGTCCCCAGTTTGTGGTTATCTGTGCTGTATCAGATACGACTGGAATGCACGGCAAATAGATACATACTCACTTCAAAGCCATTCATGCAAACGTCTCCACTCTCTGAAGTCCTGACTCTTTCTATGATTTCTCCACCGGGGCCGTCGATCGGAAAATTGGTTACCTTGATATGCTCATACCGAGGCAGGGCCGCGGTTAAGGCGCGGCTGCACATTTCAGGAACCTCCGTTCCGAAAAGCATCTGGATATGCCTGATCGTCTGGTCGATTTCGACAACCTTTACCAAGATCCCACGCACCCGCCGGAGGTATATCCCAGCAGGGCCGCCGAAGTGGGTCCATAGTAGCGGTACGTAGCCCGGCCGCGGCATGCCATTCTGGGCATCGCTCAAAGGAAGTCCACGTTGTGGAAGGTTGGGATACCATAGTGCGGTGTCGAGGAGGGACTTTTCGTGATTTGGCTCGACGAGATCCCGCTGCGCTGCTTCTTGGACGGATAGACGGACCATTTTGAACCCCTGGGCGTGTTGGTTAGCGCGAGTCGAGAGAAAGGAATTGAAACTTACGTCGAAGCCGGCTTTGAGGACTGCAATCCCTTGTGAGCATACTAGCCGATGTGTGTGCGGCGCTATGTCGGGAGAGCCGAACCACTGCGATGCGCGCCCGTCGCCGTGCATCACCTGTATGCCTTGTACGCCGCGAGATCCGATGGCCAGTTTGAAACCGTTGAGGTTGGTGACGGGCTCAGAGAACCAAGCTTTGTCTGCACTGTAGCCAATAGATAGGGTGGTGTCGTCGTCGGCGGTGACTCTCATGCCTGTGACGTACTTTTTTCCGTTGAGATCTAAGATCGAAAATGAGACTTGGGCAAGACGTTCTGGGATGTTGATGGTCCGTGTGTGGAACAAGCGGCAGCCATGATCGAAGTTGAACCAGGCGATATTATTATACCAGCTACCTTCAGAGCGTGGTCTGAGATCGGCGGATACCTCTCGCCATGGCGTGACTGGCAGTTGAGTGGCTTGGGAGCAATGGAGAGACACTTCACTCAATCTGAGATCGAGGATTTCGTGGATCTGGAGAATCAGGCCATTCACTCTTTGCCGGTTCAGAAGCTCCAGCGGAAGAAGCTCACGTCTGGTGCGATAATACAGCCAATACCAGTTGCTAAACGCCGGCAAACCCTGAAGCTCACACAGCCACGACCTCTCCCCGCCCGGCTGGAACCTCGAACGCCAGAAATGCTGGCTGGAAAAGGTAGAGACAAAGGCTCTCGATGCGAGACGGAGATGGCAGACATCGGCTGTCGAAAGGAGGGCAGCGACGGTATCGCGAATCTCTTGTGGAACACTACTGAACACATCACCATGGCCGCTGGCCGGCCACGAGTGGCATGTTCCCCCTGGAAGCGGGCCTTCAGGTGCGCCTTCAAGGAAAGATTTGATTTCCGGTACGACACAGGGGTTTCTAGTCCATGGGAGCGGCCCATCCTTCGTGTTCAGAGAATGCCAAGGAAACCCATCTTCCCTAGGATCAAAGCCATAGTAGTCGAGACACCAAACACCTCCAAAAGTGTAGCCCCAAGCAACACCGTGCACCAATTCGCGGAGTGGCAGTGAGCGACAAACTTCATACAACCGCGCAATAGGGACCTGCTCTGGATCGAAACTGTGCTCCAGCAGAGACCAACAGGCTTCATGGAAGACGAATCCATAACGGCCGTTTACCGGCATACGGTCCAGGACGCCTATCTCGTCGTCTGGCGGAAACGTGTACCCAGGATCGTTCCATCGCGCGGTGTATTCCAGAGGCGCAATGCACCGACTGATGACACCCTCGTCGTACAGGCCGACGCCGGAGACAGAGAATCCAGCGGGGCTGGAGTAGACTGGAATGGTCAGGTTCATCGGTGTGGTTGATGCTAGGGAATTACTTACTTGCGCGAAAGTGCTTCAGCCATGAATGGGAGTACCGGTCTTGACTCTCATGTTTGGAAAGGGTGCATCCGCACAGATTACAGTAGAGACTAGAAGCCATGTTGATGAGCGGGGGAAAGGACGGAGAGTTGGGTTATTGGAATGATACGTGGAGTTTGCATCGAATGAGGATTAGTGCGAATGGGTCGTTTGTAGACATGTGGTAGGTCAGTCTTGTCAACAAGGAAGTGATAGATCAGACCATTCACCGACTTGATTTGAGTCTGATTATAGAAGCCAGTAGATCCATTCACCCACTACCCAAATATGTAAGTAATGTCAGGCAGGTTCTGATGTAGCCCAAAAACCCCCTAATTCGACATTCACTCATCAACCCTAATCCTTGCCTATATTTGAGCAAGCCGTTATTCGTGCAACACTTACTTTGTAAACCCTTGAAGCCCAAGTGGAAAAACGCCTGATCTCGATTGATGCCACTGCCAGTCCCACAAAACCTCTGCATAATCAGAAGATAATCGGCCACGTACAATCATATTCCAGCGTCGCTGGGTTTCGCAGAATGGGTATTCCGACTGCAACAAGATTTCCGATTATATCAAGCTCCTCCGCCGGCTTTATTGATAGCAGAAGAGAAGGAAGGAGCTTGCCTACCTTCAAGATGCTCTTAGGTATCTATATTTATCGGAATGCAAGACAAGGAAAGAGCGAGCCACATAACAGATTCACCACATTTAGAAGTCGCCACTGGACTTGAAAAAATCCAGTCCAACATGCCAGTAAGTACATTCCTATAGTCATACAGCATTATCCCAATAATCCATGATATATCTAGCCTGGATGAAATAATCGCTTCTATAATGATATCACTTGACAGGGTCACGGGACATACAAGCCCTAGGACGGTCTCGACACACCTACTGTTCTATTGACACCACTTCTCCAGTGAATAAGGGACAGGCAGTGCGGCCAGAGAATAGCCACAGGACGAACGATTGTGGTGGAAAGTAAACAGAATTGATCATACAGTGCTGTTCAAATTTACAAAGACCTTCTTAACAAACATGACGCTCTCATAGGTCGACATGATCAATCTTGATTGTATATACAGACTCATACTTATCCTCAACTTAATGCATCTTCGTCCATGTTTCCCGCACCGTGTCCCCTTTGCTAGCATGAACCTGCCACTCTGCAGCGTCAAAGCACCCCGTACAGTCGTCCCTCCTGCCCAGTAGGTTCTGCGGACGGTAAGTCGGATCGGCCTTTATCCTGCGAATAACAGATACATGTATCATGGCGTCATCGGGAACGCCCCGAGCCGCGCCCCTGGGAGGCGGCCATCGCGCTACCTTCCATCTCCCCTGCGGCAGCAGGTCGATCCGCTTGACAGGGAAGTACTCCATCGCCCTCCAAGCAAGCACAGACGCGCGGGACAGTCCGTGCCCAAACGACAAGAGATCGTGAAGTGTCCCGCGGGTGCTCGACTCTTCCAGCGCCGTATGGAAGTCCAAGCTTTCATCCACACCTTGTGTACCATCACCACCACCACTATCACCAGCCGCCACCTCGGCACAGCCAAACCGACGCAACTTGGCCTCGTCAAACCTCAACCCAGCCCGACTCGCCTCTTGCACCATCCACACGAGTGGGGCATGGCTCAACTGGTGTCTCTCGCCCTTCCCCGACCGTTGGCACCCACCCCCGATATCTGCATGTCCCCCAGGAAACCACACTTCCTGTACATCCTGCTCTTCCGCACTTCCCAAAGCAGCCGTATTGAGCCTCTGCGCAGCATCCCCACGACTCTTCCTCTTCCAAGCAGCCAGCAAGCTCGACGCCGTGCGCTCCGGCCCCATCTCCCCGAGCGGACCCGCACAAGGACACCTCGTCCCCATCGGCTTCAACAGCACAGGACGAAACTTCACCCGCCTCTCATCAACACTAACAGCATGGCGTGTGACCTGCGCCATCGAAATAATCTGCAAATCGACCCTGAAATCAGCAATGCTGTTCACGGTGTCAAACACACCCAAAAAGCGCACGGGCTGGCTCGTCGGCCGACACAGCGTCTCGCGCGTCTCGGTCACGAAGTGCAGCGCGCGTCGCTTGGCATCTGCATCGCACCCGCGTGTCTTCCACGTCATGAACGCCTTCCATATCAGCGGGAGCATCTCCTCGTTGTCGGGGCCGAGCAGCCCCACGAAGTCGACCATCTCGACCAGGAACCGCGCCGTGAATGCCCCTCTACTGAAGCCGAATACGTAGATCTGTGTCGACGCCCGGTAGTGGCGCATGAGGAAACGGTACCCGCCTAGTACGTGTTGGTGGAACGTTCGTCCCAGGGCGAGGTCCACTGCGTGGGATGAGCTCGCCAGACGCCCGGTGCGGCGGATGGTCGTGCTTGCTAGAGAGCCGGGCGTTATCTGGGTGCCGATGCCAGCTGCGGGGGTTAGTTCGGTAAACATGGGCTTGGCAGAGAGGCAGGTGGGAAATACGCTGGTAGTAGCATACTGTTGTTGGAACGATGTTAGTATTAGCTGATGAATGGACTGGACGGGGACATGCACTGCTCATCGGTCCGTTCTAGCATGCGGCATATTCGGAGGATATTGGTCTCGGTGCCGTCGGTGCGGAAGGTATTGCCTGTGCCGTCGAAGCAGAGTACAATTTGCCTTTCAACTGGTGTTTGTTCTTCATTTTTCATTTTGCTTTGACCTCTTTTCCCGTCAAGGTTGATGCGGGACGAAGACAAGGGGGTATGGAGTATTAGTATGCCGTGGCCAGACAGTTCTCCCATGCGTCTTGGACTACGCCCGCCGAAGTACCAATATGATAGGTCTGATAGCGGGTCGCATGCCTCGCATGATGGCCTCACTATACTTAGGCAGCCCGTCTCAAGATGCGTATTCTTGAGCAGACAGCTGAATATGACGTCGTGTAGTCCGACGTATTTCACCTTGTCAAATTTAGGACATACCATTCACCTTGGAAAGGCGATGGTACCAAGCTGGTACTGCTTAACTATGAACTGTCTTGCATATTGAAGTCGTACAACATAGTATGCACAATAGATGACTAGTCTCCCCTTGAGTGGACTCATACACGCGCCACCTGGCACCGTACCAGGCAACAGTCCTCAGAAGAAACCAAGCACAGAGTTCGCGGTCTCCACCCTCTCGGCCAACCTCGCCTTGTCATGCACTCTAGTACAGCCCCAAGTAAGGTTGTCCGCAGGACCCAGGCTGCAGCTGCAGGACGAACCGCCCAACGCGCTCTATTCTTACTATTCGTATCGTCTTAGTGGCAGACTGGCTGTTACGTAGAATCGCCATAACCTAATGGTGTCCACTGGGCGAGGTGGATGTTTAGTTGAGGTTTTGTGTGACTGATATGGTAGGAAAGATTGCTTAAAAAGTAAAGATGGTAGTATAATTGTAGTGATTGAATAGTACAGTATAAACTGTGTTTAAACCAGGTCATAAATACTATCTAATAGAAGCACCTCGTTGGAACACATGACATGCAAGCCCTATTCCGGTGGTCCATACTTCACTCCCACACATACATTCCCCCACTCCATGATATTGATTAGATGAGTGAACGCTTTTGCAAAATAGGAGAGTGCTCGTTTAGATGCTCCCACTCATGTGCATCATAACAAGCCTGTCGACTCAGTTTCACAGCCCGCTGTGTCCGCTCGCGCATCTCTCCCTCATACGCGTCTAGAGCAGTTTTTGCGTCCTCTCCACTATACACCTTGTCGATGGCCTCAGCCAGCCAGTATGCATCTAGCAGACCATGGTTACCTGCTTCACCGCGGTCTATTGTTTCATCAGTCAATACCATACCAAAAAAAAAGAACAAAGGAGGTCATACACATCGTCATCGCATGTGCAGCATCCCCCACCAACGTCATCCGCCCCCCATTATCCCACTTCAAACACCCCCAATCCGTCAGCTTCACCTCCGTAACAGGCGTCCCCTCAGGAACCCCCTGCACAGCATCATAAAAACACGGCGCGAACCCCTCCGCCCGTCTCTTCATACCCGTCAACCGCCCCTCACTCGTCCCCTCAACCTCATCCTCCACCGACCTCGCCCTCCACGACAGACAGATCTGCGCGCGAAACTTCTCCGCCACCGTCCCGAGAGTCCCATTTCGCACGGGTGTCTCCAGCACAGAAAACCACATGAACGTGCCCGTCAGCGGATGGCACCCCTGGAACAGCAGCGGGTCCAGGGCCCGCAGCGGCGCGATCTCCTCCGGCGTCATATCAACCGCGACGCCCACAAACCGCACAGCCTCCAGCGGCTCGTTGCGATAACCCCCCGGACACAGCGCCCGTCTCACCTCCGAGCGACTCCCCTCCGCCCCAATCACCATCTTCCCCGACGCGTGTGTCCCATCCTCAAACCTCACCGTCACGGCTGACCCCGACTCCTCCACCCCCACCAAGCGCTTCCCCCAGTGTACCCGCTCTTTCAAACCGACAAGCAAAGCCCGCCTCATCCCATCCCTATCCACGCGCCACCGATGCGAGGGCGGGACCTTGAACTTGGCTTCCCCTGTTGCAAGGTCCAGAAAGAGGAAATTGCCATTGTCGTTTTTCGCGACGTCGGGGTCGACTTGCTCTGCTTCGATGAGCGATAGGATTTCAGGTGGGATTGTCTTGCGTAGGGTGTCTAGGCCCCAGTGGAGGGTGATGGCCCAGCCTTGATCCCGGGCTGTCGGGGAGGCGTCGCGCTCGTAGACTTCGAAGGGAATGTTTTTCTGTTGTGCGTTGGTGTTAGTTGTTTTATAGGCTTTGAGGGGAGGATGACGAGGAGAGGACCTTTTTTAGGGCTTGGGCTAGGGTTAGGCCTACTAGTCCGCCGCCGATAATGAGGACGGGGTCCATTATGTAGGAGTGGATGATGGTATACAGAGGTGATAGAGGAGGATAGATTTAGGGACAGATGTGCGAGCTTAATGTGCTGACTGTTTGACTTAAACTTTCCTGTATATCAATCGGGCTATATAGAAGGCTGTGCGAGGCGGGGTTACTGACCGGTACGCAGGACAACTCTAAATGAGACATACTAGGGTCGTATGACTTGATTGGTTGTATATATGAACAAGGACATCCCCTACAGCCACAATTACAAGTGTGTATTTAATAAACGTAGCGAAACCCAGCCTGGTCACTTCCATCAGGCTGTAATTTCCCCTCGATGCGACCCATCGCTGGCATTCCCATCCTGCTGGCCCGCGCGTTGCGCACCCCGTACAACACCCGCAGGGCAGTAGAAACGACGATTCCCGCGGCGTTGACAGCCACGAGGGTGTGTTTTGCAGGGAGGTACCTGTACAGTCAGTCTTAGAGTACATGTCCGTGGTTTTGACAGGGCACATACCCTGGTGCGTCGGCCGCTTGGAATGTCTGCGGACCGATGATATTGGCGATACTAAACGCAGCAGATATCAATGAACATCCAGAGACCTGATCATGTTAGCATGCTTCGCTCAGCACAAGACAGAGGGAGGATGATGTACCCGCATAGTATAATCCTTATAGTTCGCCCCCGTCCACGCAAAGATTAACGCCAACGGCGCCACCGTCGAATTAACCAGATAAATCCCCACCAGACACCCCCCCTGGTTCGACGGGGACAAGAAACTCATCAGACAAGATCCAACCAGCGTCGGCACGAGCAGCAGATCAATCGCCAGCCACCGCGAATACCGACGCGCAATCGCCCACGTCGACACCATCGTTGCGGCGATACTAACCACCCCACTCGGCATATTCAGCAGCGCGCTCTCCTCACTCGTATACCCAAACCCCTTGATCAGCACCGCCGAGAACGTCGTAATCACTCCACTAGGCACACACACTAGCACCGTCAGCAGCGCCAGCAGCCACGTCTGCGCATCGCACAAGGCTCCAGCTAGCGATCTCCACCCGCTCTGCTTCCGTCCCACCCCGACCCTCCCAGCCTCGTCCTCACTCAGCCGCTGCGCGATCCGCGCCCGCTCCGCCTCGCTCAGAAACCTCGCCGTGTCCGGCGACGACGGAAGCACGAACAGGACGAGTCCCGCGATCGCAACGTTCACTACCCCGATCGCGACGAACATCGCCCGCCATCCGTGCAGCCCTGATCCGGACGGCGTGGCGCGCTGCGCGGCGAACGAGATCAGTCCGCCGATGATTTGGCCGGCGCCTAGTCCGCAGTACCAGAAGCCGTACCGTGGGGTGGACTCCTCTCGGGTGTACCACATTGCGGTGTAGATTGTGAGGGCGGGTGCTACTTTACCGTTATCTTCCATCCATATGATAATATGAAGGAGGAAAAGAGGAGGAAACCAACATACCGATAACAGCCTCCGTCACTCCTAGCAAAACACGCAAAGCCATCAGACCAGCATAGTTGGTCGCCGCAGCAGAACAGGAGAGCAACACGCCCCAACAGAGGATGTTCACCCCGAGGACTTTAGTCACGGGAAATCGCTGCAGGAGAATTCCTACATCATTATTATTAGTAAAGCGCCGTACATATTCAGTAAAGGACGCACCTTGAGGAATCTCCGCCACAGCATAGGCAATGAAAAAAGCCGTCGCCAGCCAGGCAAAGTTATTTCCATGCATGTCGAGGTCCATTTGGAGGCCCATTACATTTGCGTACTGTTTTCGTTAGCAGTTGAATGGCTGGATATATCAAATACGTACGTTGAGCGAGACTTTGTCGAGGAATTGGAGAAAATACGTTAGGAACATGATCGGGAGGATGCGCCAGTCGATCTTTCGGAGTAATGCTGCGTCACTGAGTTCATGGTCAAGGGATATGGCGACGGGGGGATTTTCTTTGAGTGTTTTGGGCGATTTATCTGCCATGGTGTATTCTCTTTACCAATTCCCACTGCGTTGGATGTGCTTTGGGTGTTAATTCTAAGAAGAAGAGCAATCATACAGCAAGAAAGAAGCGAGCGTGTCTGAAGAATTCCCTCTGACAAAACATCTAAAGATTATAAACCTTCTTGTGCGTTATAATGCAAGGATCCCGACAGAATGGACAGGGAGCACAGAACAACTGCGATACCAGCGATCCGTGCGACAATCAAATGCAAGACGACCCTGAGAAAGGAGACCAGGTTATTGATAGGCTCTGCTCCATCAGACTTTTCCAGCCTGCCGCATCTGCGCAATAGACGCGTTCGTGCTCGGCCTCCCGTGCATTCCGATAATATGCCATGCCACGCCACGTCTTTCCCTCGAACAATGCCCAGAGGCCCCACCCCGCTTTGTCTTCCTTTTATTTCGATATCTGCCAGGGCAATAACCCCATCGGGCGATAGTTGCAGGAGCGACCCGCTACCGTATAGCAACGGGCCCAGGTTCAACCTCACGCCGCCGCGCTGCAGTAGTGGGTGGATCGCCTCGAGATAGCTGGAAATATTACGCACTTTGTTGAGAAAGAACAGCGCGACAATTACCTGTAGGTGTTGTCCTCGTCGCTGAACACGCTGGCAAAGTCTCCCTCTACTAGCACGACCGCGGCGGGTTGACAGCCTCGTCCGGGAATGCGACCGCCCGCTGCAGGCCGGCTGTCGTGGCGTGAAGCGACCACCAGTCGATGTATGAGTTGAAGGACATGCAGTGGGGAGATGATTCTATCATTTCCTGACGTTAGCACGGGTTTTATGCTACTTCGGTCAACGGACCTGCAGTCTGGTGGATTTTTCTCGTGGTGTTGATATATATCAGCTGATTTGCAGAGCCCTTTTCCCATACCAAATATTTACTTTAAACTTGCAGTCTTTTGCAACCTTCTTCGTAACTTCAGAGCCATCAATATCTTCATAATTTTAACCGTTTCAAGTGCTGTCCCACAGTTTTCACAGTTGAATATACGTGTTACTTGTTCAAAAACACTTTGTCCCACGGTCTTACGGCCAGGGTCGCCATTGTACAGTGTTGGGATGTCAGTCAGGTTAAATTCTATGCCAAACGTTGGTCAAGGTTTTGGCGCAGCGGTTAAGACGAAATGGTCGATTTGATGGATCAATTCAAGAATACAAATCACAAGAATAATACATATACACCCTAGTGATACCATCCACTGGCAAAAGCCTTTCAGCACCATAAAGACAACTCACACACTTTGATGACTCCTGAAAGACATCACCCAATTGTAATGCATTGGCAAGCTTTCCATCGCCTCCTGCGCGTGCTCACTATCATTGAGACGGATATAGCCCGCAAGCAAGTTATAATATTCCTGCGCGGCGTCCCGCGGCATCCTCTTAAGCGCGGTGCACCACGCCCGGGTCCACATAAAGTGGGGGAAACGTTTGTTGGAAGAGTACAAACGCAGCATATTGATCACATGGCTCGTTGCGTGAACCTTGATCGTCTCGTCTATCCCGTTTTCCAAAATGCAAGCCGCCCCGCGAAACAAGTCCATCTTGCCCGTACAGTCTGCCAGGACTCTGGTGATCCGCGTTTCCGCCGCCACCCGGAGTCGCTCAACGTGGTAGCAGAGCGCGAGGTTGTGCACTTCGACGAGTATGTTAAATATATTGAATGTGTGCTCTTCCCTTCGCTGGTCTTGATCGTATAATGAGCCGTAGTGACGGCCGTAAGGAAAGAAGGGTTCCGGGGGCTGGTATCTTGGGAGTTGAGCCTGTCCCGTGTAGAGGAATTCGACCAGGCACTTGATGCTGCGTAGGCTGAAGTTGGTTTTGACACGCCAGGGGCCATCGTCCTTCAGGATGGAGGCATTAGCGATGAGGTGGGCTGTGACTGGGGGAGGTGCTTACACGGAATTCGAAACATCGCCCGAGATATTTAGAGTACTCGGCAAGGAGGGAGCTGTGCACCTCCTGAGATCCACCATCCTTGCTGATAAGGAGCACGTCCGGGGGATATATCTCTTCATGCTCTACCAAGTCGGGGGTATATCTCTCTTCGTGCTCTACCGTGTCGGGAGAATAGCTCTCTTCGTGCTCTAACACGTTGGGAGAATAGCTCTCTTCAGGCTCTACCTCCGGCGCGGGTTGGGGCACAAATCTAATAGTCATTGCGTAATGGATTCCGGAAGTTTGTAAGAAATGATGATTAAAGAGTATTGCTTTGTTGTGTATGTATATGGGCGGGGATAGTTGGAAGTGGTGGGTTGTTCTGGGGTCTGGATTACCATCTAGGTGGTAAGTGCCCAGGTAGACATCTTCCTCGACTGGAAGGGGCGGGTCTTTTTTGAGTGGAAGGAGCTGTTGTCAACTTATAGATACCTCAAGTAAGCGTGGCTACCATAGGTGCTCTTTCTACCTCAATATTATAAAGTATACTGCTTGAGTGTACATCATTATATTAGGTAATATTTCGGATACTTGTGCTATTACAGTGACTTCGGAGGATAAACCGAGGGCTGTAGAATGAAATCTCCTACTTATCTTCGAGTTCTCCATACTAGGTAGGTTGTGGTCTTTGACTTCAAACCTTTGGGTATGCACACGACTTAAATACCGAACATACCTAAAGCTCAGCCTTGCTACCCTGGTATGTAGTGTGCTCTGCGATGTCCGATCATGACTGTATTGCTCATGGTACTCGGAAACAAGACGATCCGACCTCGTTGCATTGGGTTGAGTAGACTATGAAATCCAAAGACAGAACACATGAAGTGAAGTTTTCGTATATTCAGACAGTTATTACCATCAACGCAGCACCATGTCTCACGCCTAGCTTATCGGTATCCCGGTTTGGAGCGAGGCCACACCCTTGGGTCCCAGAACGTCCTCAAGGCTAAGCCAAGAGACCACCAGGTCGTCCGATTGACTAGTATCATAAGCGTCATCATCCTGAATCGGGGTTTTGTTCTTGCAGAACACTCTCAGCTCTTTGCATGCCACGTCTCCATTCTTCCTCAAGTATTCCCGCATCACGTCGCCAGCGCTCGTGACAATCCGACTCGTCAGTTGAACTCCGGTAGATGCAAGTCCCATGTCACGTGCGTTTTGGGCCGAGCCTCGCGCAACATGATGGATGAGGATGACGATGTTTGATATGAAGGAGTCGTCGGGCATGTATGCCGACGTGAAGTATTGGACGAACTTCTGGTGCTCTTTGTCGCGGATTAGTCGGAGTAACTCGACGGAGCGTTTGTGCATGCCGAAGTAGTTGTACAGGATGATCGGCTCCTCTTCGAATAGCTTGGTCTTCAAGAAGGCGAGAAGGTGCAGTATGTCGATGTTGTGGGTCTTAGACCACGTTCGGGTGATGATGGTTTCCGGATTGGCTCGCTCAAGGTCCCTACTGGACGGCTCGAGCTTTGATTTTCGTACAAGCTCGTCCAGGATCCTGTCGATGTTTGCAATCCCGCCATCTTTCTCAGAATCACCAACGTACTGTGCGAAAAACAAGTTCGCGACTGCAGTGGTGGGCTTGAGTACGCGAGCATTCTTGCCGTCGGGCTTATGGAATTCAAATCGTTTGCTCCGGGAATCACGCGCAAAATTGACAGCGGATGAGATGCCCGTGGCCAGCTCAAGCCTGGTTAGCGATTCATCGGCGTTCTTTGGCCGCGAACCAATGAAAATATGAGACTCGCCATGGATCTTGATGAAGGTGTCCATGTCAGGCCACCTCAGGTCTTTGTGCGCTGGGGATTTAATGACGAGGTTGTGCAAGAAAGCCAGCTGTTGGACGTCGTACCATTGGGTGACGAGCTGCTGGCCAACGGATTGCATTCGAGTATTGAGATTGAACAGGATCAAGCCGCAGAGGATAGCATGCTGCGAGAAGAGTGCATGCTTCTCCGGCGGGGGGCCAACGCGGGCGAGTTGAGACCGGACTCGAAGATCAGTGAACAGATCTTGTATAATCCATGATTGGATGGTTGACCTTATATTTCGGATCTCCTCGTCACCCTCCTTTGGCCAAAATTTGGGCTGGGGGTGTGTTTTCGACAGTTGTAGATAGTCATCGATAGTCTTCTGGATGCGAAGCCCAGACATTCGGAGGTCTCCAAATGCACCCAAGTTGCTGTGTCGCATGCTGTGATGAACGTCGAGAAAGATCTGGGAGACGAAGCAAAGCCACAGAGTAACCTTCTTGGTCTTGGCAAACTCGGCAAGGCCTCGAGTGATCGCGTCCTCAGCAGGCATCTGGAGTTTGAATGTATCCAGCATGCAAAACTCGGGCAAAATCGAAAGAAGGATGATTTTGTCTTCGTTGAATTTCTGACCTAGCGACATCCGCTCTCTGTTCGCTTTCGGATTATAGGTGCCGAAGTAGCCTTTTTTGAAGACTGGCAAATGATTGTCCTGAAGGACGTCTGCGAAGGAATCAAGCAGGATCTTAGTTGGTATATAGCACCAGTCGGCTATATCGGCCATGTTCTTGTTGTATGGCAGGCCAATCTCGATGGATGGAGCCGGAGAAATGTCACGGTTCCAAACAGCGATATTGTAGACAACGTTCTGCACATTATCCTTTCCCTCCAAAAGCCCCGAAAGGGAATTGCACCACTCCGCCTCCACCTCCTGCACAAGTTGCTGGGCAAGTTGCAAAGCACTGTCAGTCACGACGGCGGCGTTCATGAGGTCAATCTTCTTGTCTCGATACTCCGACCAGGTGATGGAAAGGAATTTTCGGATACTGCTCAAGTCTTGAAGTAAGCAGAGGGTCTTGAAGAACAACGGACCAAGATGTGCGTCTTCCGCCTCATTCTCGTCCTCCTCCACAACGGTCACCTTGACGATCTTTTTCGATTCGGCGGGGGTCGGTTGAGATGGCGCCGTATCCTGGGGTTCCTCCACCGTTAAAACAGCAAATTTGTTTAGAAAGCTGTCGGCAACGGCATCGTCACTCTGAGCCTCCGAGTGCGGTGGTGGCTGCTTCGCGTCTGGCTTCGGAGTTTGGTTGGTCTTCCATTCAAGAGTCTCGCACATTTGCACCAGCGCCGTGATGAAATGAGCATGACGCCTGTTGTTCATGGAGTCACCCTGGCCCAAGAACCAGGAAGTGACCGCTGTTCTCAATTTGATGGCACGTCTGGCGATGGCGAGAACTGACTGGGGGACCGTGAGAGCAGAACCGGCAACCACCTCGGCGAGTTTTTGCAGATCTTTGGTCGTTGCACTGTATTGGATTGGATTTGCGTCTGAGCCATGATTTTTGTTGTTGCGTTTACCCTTACACTTCGTCGTGGTAGGAAAGGTAGCAGAGAGGGCGGGTGGTTGATAGCCACATTGGCTGGCGGTCTCCAGTAGCCACGTTGCAAACTTATTGGTATCTGCTTTGTAGCGGGCGTAACTACTCCCCAAGAAGTCAGGTAGCATATTGGCGATGAAAGGCTAAAGGAACAATAGCCGCTGTCCGGTCCAGCAGACTAGCCTTGGCAGTATGAGATGGTGAAGGTAACAGAATAGAGGATGGTTGGAAAATGGGTGTGGGGTTGAATTATAGTCCCCAAAGACGCGTCCCGCCCGACTACGCGTTTGCTGTGGAATGACCGGTGGAGACGGTCAAATCAATGATAATACTGATGAGGTCGAAGCTAGGAAAGGTCGCGAACGATTGCAAAAACACATGAAGAGTTATAACAACAACTTTGAATGGGAAAAACACTACTGCAAGTCACCTGACATTGCCCATTTGGATGTCTCACAGCTCAACAGTTTACACCCCCTACAGAAGACTTATGGCTCCATGGCCCCCTCGAAAGCTATAGACCTGAATAGGGTATGCTGCCATGCAGTCCTCAGCCTATGACGTACTCCCATTCCTACTAGCCATGCGGGGAACCGCCAAGTTCCCATTGGAACCCCACAGTCCCGTTTGTCCACATCCCAACAAACACAGAAGATAAATCAGGAAGACGAAATAAGAAAAAGAAGAACAAATGACAAACACAAATCTATCCATCCGCATCTCCATCAGTTGGCCGCCGTCCCCGCCCTCCGAACCAACTGACACCCTTGTCCTCTCCGTCAATGGGTGGTACGTTGACTTGCGCGTTGACAGGGCTACTGGTGGTTTAGATTGGGCGATAGCTGGGGAGAGATTGGTCGATAAGGATGATTCTAGTAAGTAGTGTTTATCTTTACATAACATCTGTGTGTGTGTGTGTGTGTGTGTGTGTCAACATACACTGAGTAGGTCATTGTTGAAGAAGACATAGAACACTAACATACAACAGAAGTAGTGCGTTTTACACACGCACTAGACTCCCACGGTGTATTCTCCACGGCAGACTGTGGGACGTTCTCTACACTACCAAACGGAGACGATCTTGAAGTTGGAGAGATGCCGCGTGCGGATGTTCCAGGGGCTCCAGTTTGCGCGTACGAGGAGGTGTGGCGTACGCTGGTGCCGCCCGTTGGCGCGGAAGGAGAGGGGCACTGCGTGTCGTGGGTATTAGAGGGGAGGAAGAAGAGTGTAGGAGATGAACTGGTGAGAACGTTTCTGGGGAGGGCCGGTGGAGTGTACCTTGCTTTGAGACAGGTGCAGACTGTTGGGGGTGAAGATCGTCATGTGCAGCGCGGAGGGGAGGTTAGTGCTCGGCGGGAGGAGTGGGGGGTTTCATCTGGGTGGCGGGACAGGTATGTTTTTGGGCCCGATGGTGGGAGTCTACCGTCGATGAGGGAGGTGGGTGTTGAGGATCAGAGCGAGTGGGAACAGGGGCAGACGGTTGTTGTTTGTGGGGAGGAGTATGTCGTGCATGGACTGGATGTTGCTTAGGGCTTTGTCATACATACATTTAAATCTATATAGATGATTTTCAAGTAGTCACCATCAATAAATCCCTGTATGGTATCAAAGACAGCAGCATATATCCCATCCACAAATCCCATCATCAGTCCAGCAAAGACATCAAATATATACGGCAGCAACACCAATCGCCATCGCAGCAACAGCAGAAATACTAACCCCGTTTGCCGCCGCACTCCCCTCCTCATCACCAGCAGATCCTGTCTTAGCCGGCCCATCACAATGCCAGTGATCCCCATGCGGCTTACAGCCCACTGATTGGCTTGGACTAGGCATCGTAGGCGACGCAGAGCCGGTGGCATCGGCAGAGCCACCAGATGTAGCGACTATGTCGGTCGACGCGGGCCCGTCGCAGTGCCAGTGATCGCCGTGAGATTCACAGCCAGTAGACTCGCTGGGGCTTGGTACGGTGGGAGTGACATTGCTGCTTTCTTCTTCCTCGGTGGAGGTGGGGGTCTCTGCTGGGCCGTCGCAGTGCCTAGCTGGGTTAGCATCATGATGAAGTACAGCTGGAATAAACACACCAGTGATCACCGTGTGGTTCGCAGCCGATAGAGGCAGTGGGCGATGGTCCGGGCTCTTCTTGAGCCAGGGCGATGGAGGCCAGCCCTATCATGAGGAGAGTTGAGTATTTCATGGTGCTGTTTTGCGAGAGGGAGAGGATAAAGTAGACGAGGGTTATGATTCTGGCATTGAAATCTTGAACGAGAGGGCAATACCAGCTTTATACTGCAGCCCTCGTCCAGTCTCATCATTCAAACGCTTTCGATGTGCAAAAAGCCCGTTGATGCCAAGCAGAGCGGAAGACTTGGCACCCTCAAGGTTCTCACGGCGCTCCAGCATTTCTTATCAATTCCCCGAATGGGACAAAATTCCACTTCAAATTTTGATTGCGATTTGCATGAAAGGAGTTGATTTTAGTCGAATTTCGCGGCTTGAGGCCGTTCGGCCAATTGCGTTGTTCGCAAATGTGCCGTAATGTCAGTGGATATATTATCGTGGGCTTCAATGCCAAAACTCTGCCGCTCGCCAAGGATGCTTGAGAACCTTGGTGACTACTGTGAGGCAGTCAATTATCCCCAAAAATGGGATGATAGGATCTGTGTGCGAAGTCAGTCAGCCATGACACTAGACGGGCCTTTCGATGCTATATCCTGGACGGCACTAGGGTTGAATTGTGCCGTTCAATCCTGAAAATATATCTTAGACTATCGTATTTCAACGAATTGCCAGATCTAAGTGGTTGCAAAAGACTTGTTCTAGTAAGAGAGACTGCAATAGTTAAGGTGGAATTGCAACCGGTCAGCATTTTAGCTGACTTGCAGAGTTTGCAGAGCTTTCCCCAAACTACATGTGTTTTGAAATTTCTTGCAATCTTGCAAACATTTGTATCCTCTTTCGTTGCTTCAAGATCATCGATTTTGGCATCCTTTTGACCTTGTTAATCGGTCCTTCCACCTTTTAGTGGAGTATACTAAATGGCAGATAAACCCCGGAAGGAATAAAATACTCCATAGCAGAGTCTGAATCTGCGAGATACAAGTGCTTATTACTCGTATCAGGACTCCGTAGACACGATCCCATCTGACATAATATGTCGCATGAATGCATTGTACTTGCGTCGACCTCGTATTTCCGAACAATCAATTGACCAGCTGTCAACAATTGCTATCTCAAGAAACAGCGTCAATAAGAGGTTTGGCTGTCTGCAGGAGTATTGACTTGATAGATGAATGGTTTTGTTGGACTATTCAAGACTAGTAAGCAAGATTCTCAGTGTTCTGTAATATGCTGATGGAAACAAGGAAAAGGTCGGAAGTGGTTGGTGCAACCTACTGATAGTTAGCAAGAGATCCTAGATCCTAGCGAAAGACGTAGTCTGAAGTCCAACTTACTGACGAATAAATAGACATTACTATGCCTCTCCCAGTTTAGTTGCATCTTCGTTACATCGGAAGATAGTGTTGATCTCGAGACGACATGAAAACGGCCAATTATCTCGCCCGACAATCTATAATCATCAGCGGGTGGTGTGATTTCAAACGGCCCCTAAGCTAATTCTTCAACATCCTCAGGGGTAGCTACGAATTGACCACTGAGATAGAGAAAAGTAACCACCCTGCAGAGCGGGCCAGACGGCCAGCTTATAAGGACGAGGCTGAGTCCGAGGGATCGTATTAAAAAGCGGGCTGTGCGTGTTTTAGCTGCAGAGTATACAGCCATACCCGAGGGCCGCTTGGCGATCAACGCACGCGCCAACTATGGATGCCCCGTCTATGGCCCCCATTTCTATAATTGCTCCCGCCCGCTTGTAGGGCAGACTGCAAACGGGTTTATCTTGGGTATGATTCCCCGAATCCTGAAAATGGAGCAAAATCTTATATCACTTTTGCGCAATGGAGTTTCGACACTTGAGTCCGGGACAGCGGCCAAACCATAGCAGCCACGGATCGAATACGTCGCTCCGCCGCTCTGAAACAGACAGTTTACTCTCCTCGAGAAGCACACCCCAAGCTCTGCTGCCTACAATCAGACAGCATCCTAAAGTCGCATGGGCCACGGTGGGGTTAGCATCCGTGTTCTTGCTGGGTGGATACGACTCCGTTATCGTCACCACCGTCCCGTCGGTGCCCCAGTTCCAGAAGGACTTCGGCGAACGCTATGACAACCGATATATCATCCCGTCGATGTGGCTGTCCCTCTGGTCGGCCCTGCCGTGCGTGGGGAACATCGCGGGCGCGCTCATAGCTGGCTGGGCGCAGGATCGATTCGGTCGCCGATGGCCGTTTGCCATTGGCAGCGTATTGTCTGCGGTCGCTGTCGCCATCGCTTGTCTCTCGCCGCTTTCTGCAAACATTGACACCCGGCGCAGCGTGTTCCTGCTAGCTGAGATCGTTCAAGGAGTTGCGCTGGGCCTCGCGCAAACAACCGCTCAGACGTACATGTCTGAGGCGGTCCCCACCGCCATGCGCGCGCCAGCCATGGCACTCATCCCTACCCTCGCTTTGATCGGACAATTGATAGGGGCAGTGGTGGTGTTCTTGGGCTCCGCGAAAACGTCCCGCAGCGCATACGTCGTGGCGTTCCATTCGATGTGGCCGTTTTCCGCTGTGCCCATGATCGTGGCGCTACTCATCCCCGAGAGCCCCGTGCATCTCTTGCGCCAACAAGATTTAATCGGCACGCTGTGCTCCCTCCGGAAGTTGTACACGAAATCAGCCGACTGCGACCAGCTCTTCAAGGATCTGCAGCACCATGTGTCGCAGGAGGATCGGGAAGAACGGTCCTCCTACGGGGACTGTTTCCGCGAGAGCAACCGACGGCGGACTCTGATCGTCATCTTTGCCTCAATGGTGCCCACGCTTTTTGGACTGAACTTGCTATCGGATGGTAGCTATTTTCTACAGATGGTGGGCATGAAGGCCAATCAGAGTCTTATCATGCTGGTGCTGGGTATTGCCCTTGCGTTGGTGGCTAACGCCGTCGGCGTATGGGTGAGTAGCCGAGTGGGGCGCCGAACCCTCATTCTCACCTCCGTCTTTATTACGACGGTGCTGTGGCTCGTGGTTGGAATCGTAGGTTGCTGGTCAGGCAACTTCGTCCCATGGTATGTTGTCTATCTCCCTTGTATAACTTTCCGTGTCTAACATCAACAGGTACACCGCGGCAAGTTTGATGGTCATCATCGTCGTCTGCAGCGTTGGCGCATGGCCTGCTTCGTACACTGTCGTCAGCGAGGTATCGTCCTTGCGTCTCCGGGCCAAAAGCCTGGGTGTGTCCATCGTCACGCGCAGCGTCGTCGGTATCGTGTTCAGCCTGGTGTTACCCTATCTGTACAATCGCGATGCGGCGGACCTGCGCGCCAAGCTTGGCTTTGTGTATTTCGGACTTTGTTTCCTGGCGCTGGCAGGAACGTGGTGGGGTGTTCCGGAGATGAAAGGGCGGAGCAGTGTTGAGATTGATTATATGTTCAAGCTGGGGGTGCCGGCGAGGAAATTTGGTTCATTAGTGAAAGGAAAGCAGACTGCATAGGTTGTTCAATATTCTGATGATTGCATTTAGCGATAATGTCTAGGTGATGGTGTTCCATTGTTACGGTGTAGTCTACATCAGTATAGACATATAAAAGGCATATGCCGTCAAATCCCAAAGACGATGAAACTGAATAAATTTGACGCCCAAGTCGCGATGATGTTGATGTTGATGTTGATGTTGATGTTGATGCCTTGGATACCTGGCGAACAATGGATAAAACCCCGATGGGGCTAGACCCACCGCCCAGCATAGCATAGCTGACATAAGAATGGAGCTCACTCCCATTGGTGGATACCCACCTAGACCGCCTCCGGAACAACAATGATCCTCCTCTCCGCCATCAACTTTTTTTTTTCTGCGCCGATCAAAAAATCAACGCAGACAAGCCGGTTCACCATACATCTCTATCCCACCAGAACACCATGGCTTCCGCTAAAGATCAGAAGCGCAGGCGGTCGCATAAGACCGCCGACAAAGTGAAGTCTGCACCTGCCCCCGTCGAAGACGTCGAAGCCCCGGTAGACACCAAGAAGACCAAGAAGCAGAGGACCGAGCGGGCTGTCTCCGAAGATGAGCCTACGATTGCTCCCCAGGAGTCTGCCTCTGAGCAATCGGAGGGCAGCGACAACGAGGACGACTCGGAGTCGACGTCGACTCCTGCTCTCCCCTCTGCCAACGGAATCGCCCTCCCGACCGATGCCAACCCCGTCAAATTCACAGAGCTGAACCTGACCGAGCCGACGATGAAGGCGATCGCGGAGATGGGATTCGAGACGATGACCGAGATCCAACAGCGCACGATCCCCCCCACCATGGCGGGTCGCGATATCCTCGGTGCCGCGAAGACCGGTTCCGGAAAGACCCTGGCGTTCTTGATTCCCGCGATCGAAATGCTGAGCGCGCTGCGTTTCAAGCCCCGCAACGGCACGGGTGTCATCATCATCTCCCCGACGCGCGAGCTGGCGCTGCAGATTTTCGGTGTCGCGCGTGAGCTCCTCCAGCACCATTCGCAGACGTACGGTATCGTCATTGGGGGCGCCAACCGCCGCGCGGAAGCGGAGAAGCTGAACAAGGGTGTCAACCTGCTGATCGCGACGCCCGGTCGCTTGCTGGATCATCTGCAGAACACGCAGGGGTTCATCTTTAAGAACTGCAAGACGCTGGTGCTGGATGAGGCCGACCGGTGTCTGGATGTTGGTTTCGAGGAGGAACTGCGACAGATTGTGCGCATTTTGCCGTCTGAGGAGCGTCAGACTTTGCTGTTTTCTGCCACCCAGACTACTAAGGTGGGTTTTACCTTTTTCTTACATCTTATTGTCTTTTTTTCCCCTAGCTGACCTAACAATAACAGGTCGAAGATCTTGCGCGCATCTCGCTCAAGCCCGGTCCCCTGTACATCAACGTGGACCACCGCAAGGAGCACAGCACGGTGGAAGGCGTTGAGCAAGGCTACATTCTCTGCGAAGCGGACAAGCGCTTCCTGCTCCTGTTCACCTTCCTGAAGAAGAACCTCAAGAAGAAGCTCATTGTCTTCTTCTCCAGCTGTAACTCGGTCAAATACTACTCGGAGCTGCTGAACTACATCGACCTGCCCGTGCTGGCCCTGCACGGCAAGATGAAACAGCAGAAGCGCACCAACACCTTCTTCGAATTCTGCAACTCCTCCCAGGGTATCCTCATCTGTACGGATGTCGCCGCGCGTGGCTTGGATATTCCTGCCGTCGACTACATCGTGCAGTTCGACCCGCCGGATGATCCCAGATCTTACATTCACCGTGTCGGTCGGACGGCGCGTGGCTCCAAGGGCAAGATCGGCCGCACGCTGATGTTCCTGCAGCCGTCGGAGGTCGGATTCCTCAAGGCGCTGAAGGAAGCGCGAGTGGTATGTCCATCCACCCTTTTATCACAACCCCCACACGCACTAACGATAACAGCCCGTCGTTGAATTCGAGTTCCCCGCCAAGAAAATCATCAACATCCAATCCCAACTGGAGAAGTTGATCGGCCAAAACTACTATCTCCACCAGGTATTTCCCCTATCCATCCAACCATCCATCCATCAATCCCCACTAACAGCAATCAGTCCGCCAAAGAAGGCTACCGCGCCTACCTCCACGCCTACGCCTCGCACTCCCTCCGCTCCATCTTCGACGTCAACAAGCTCGACCTCGTCAAGGTCGCCAAGGGCTTCGGATTCCCCACGCCCCCCCGCGTAGACATCACCGTCAACGCCAGCGGGCGGTCAGAGAAGACGATGGGCCGACGCAACTACGGTAGTCAGGCTAAGCAGGGGCCGCGGTTCAAGCGGAAGAGGGATGATTAGCGTGGTGGAGTGCATTTATGAGGAGTGAGGCGTTGGTAAAAATATCTTTATCTCTCTTTCTTTTTATCGTATGTGTTGATATTAGGTAGCATGAATATAGACTAATTGTTTATTGTCTACTCGTGTGTGTGTGTGTGTTTTACTTTCGTGCGTAAGGGTTTGTACGCTACACCCTACAGTGGTATGCCAGCAATATTTGTACAGTGCGGATCACGCAGTTCCAAATTCCTTACCATACTGATGATTTGATGAAGTCATGCCATTCTATACCCTAAACTTTTGCTAATAAACCAAACCATACCCCTCTATAAAAAGTACCTGAACCCCTTATTATCAATTTCCGTTTGGTCCTGTCAAAGTTAGCATCCTTTGTACAGAAGTGATCAACCCCATCAATCAGATAAGATACATACCAGCATTCCATTCTCAATTCCCTCTTCCGTACTATTAAGCCCCTCCATGGCAGCTCGATCGCGCTTCTTGTTCTCGAAGTACATGTATAGGTATAGAGCGACGATGGAGACTAGTTTGACGGAGTATCCGACCAGCATACTGCATTCCTGTCAGACCATTCCAAAATATCACAAGGCAAGAGGAGAGAAAAAAGATACTCACGCAATATAAGCACTATGATACCCCGGCGCCTCACTATCCTTAAACGTCTGCGGCCCAATTATATTCCCCACGCAGTACCCAGTGAACAAAACCGCCCCGGTAATCTGCTTCTTGGTATAACCCGCGACGTTGGAGCTCACCATTGTCAGGCTCATACTGAAACCCAGGCCCTGGAAATAGCACAGCCAGAGCGCGACTAAGCGCCCCCATTTGTTGCTGTTAGGGAGGCCGACGAGCAGCGCCGACCCCAGGATGCAGATCGTGTTGGCGACGATCATGCATGCGCTGCGCGAGTGGAACCGACCGTCGTACTTTGTGGCGACGAAGCCGCCGATTATTAGCGCGAGGAATTGCACCGCGCCGCCGGGGATTTGCATGTATTGCGTGCCGAGGGTGTCGAAGCCGAAGGAGCCGACGATGATGGATGCGAACTGTTGCGGTTAGTGGGGAGATGGATGGGGAGGGGTTTTGTAGCGTACGCTTGTCAGCGCTGAGTTGGGAACTTGCGCTCCGACGGCCATAACGAAGAGAAGCCATGTCTTGGGGTCTTCAGCCGCCTGCCACACCTGGTACCATTTGAAGTGGTGGTTTTTGACGCCCTGGCGGTTGACCGCCACGCGGTCGACTGCGATGGCGCGCTCCCTCTCGGTGAGGAACTTTGCGGTTGAGGGTAGATCGGGGAGTAGGAGGAGGGCAATGATGCCGGTGGTTATTGAGAACGCTCCGAAGATGAGGAAGACGTACATCCACCGCGGGAGGCCCGTCGTGATGTGGCCCACGGCGTAGCCGATCAGTCTATGCTGTCAGTATTTGGATACAAACTTATGACAGGCAACTCACCCCCCAAACATCGTCGCGATTCCGTTCGTGCAGTACCATGCTTCCAAGCGGAGGGGTTGCTCCCTCGTCGTGTACCACATGCCCATCATCAAGACAAACCCCGGGTTGACGGCCGCTTCGACGAAGCCGAGTAGAAAGCGGTTGGCGGCGATGCCGGCGAAATTGTGGCATGCCGGGGTGGTCATCAGCAAAGCGCCCCAAACTGATTATATTAGTAACAAGCTAATGTAGTGTAGAGATTGACGTACTGATAGTCGTGATGGAAAGGAATTTCCCCATTGGCAGTTTCTGCAGCGCAAACCCCGCCGGCCATTGTGCGATCAGATACCCGATGTAGAAGATAGAGCCTAGGAATGTTAGGACTGCGCGTTGTGCCATGATTGAAAACATACCAAGCCATGAGTAGTCCTGTCCGTGTAGATTCGTGCCCTTTTTCAGCCCATACACCGATGCAAAGTTGATACTGTTCTTGTCCAGATACTGCAGCATGTAGATGACGAACAGCAACGGAACCAGTCGAAAGTCGATCTTCCTGAGAACCTTCTTCCCCTCCTCGGTCGTATAATCTAGCCCATGACTCTCCTTGTAGATAGCATAGTTGTCGTCGCGGTCGGATAGCCCCTCGGACGGCACGGACGACACGGCGACTTGGTCGTTTTCCTTGGTATCCCCTGACATGACTGAAACGCAACAGTTTTTCTCCACGGCACATTCACCTCCTGGGGACATCCATCTTTATAGGTCGTGTTCAGACTCGCTCGACCTCTCCACGTGGAGGGTCGCGCGGCAGAAGACGAATAGCTTGGCGGCATTGAGCTCGACAGAGTTGGCAGCTCGCGACATGATTCGATCCCTGTAGAGATAGTAAGGCCTGGACATATTAGTGAAAGGCTAGGATGCAGCTAGCCGAGAGATCGCTCGTGCAGACTTCCTGAAGTGTCTTCCAGTTGGCTGAAACAGGGCGTGGAATGAGGTGCGATATGGTGGGTGATCACGACATCAAAGCGGCGATTGCGTGTTGGCGGGGAATACCGCTGTCGCGTTGGGGTAGGGCTACTGTCTCAGACAGATTTGGGGATACTGGCAGAATACACTTGTTAGCATAAGCTTCTTGTCATTAGTACTTCGAAGTAGTTGATGCAATTGCGTGGATGTTGTTGAGTTCTAGAGTAAAGTGCATAACCATTTGATATATTACTAAGCTATTATCATAGAAGTTATCCAAGTTGTGCAACACAGCATATTTGCCTTACCAATACTACGCACGAATTGTAGCATTAGCTGATTGTTGTCTGGCAGCTCATCTTGTGATACTAAAGACAGTTGTTGTTTTTGTTTGATTTGTTGTGAGTGATTTTCAGTATGCAGTCTCGATGTCAATCAGTAGGGATACTTGATACAATAGCCCTACATGGTAGTAGAACAAGATCAAATATGTCGGACACAGATTGGCTATATATGTGCCAACAACTTCATTTCCATTCCACTAAATTATGACTTCCATACATATCAAACAGTTCACACTGGGTTGACCATATCATGTTCAGATCCGTGAGTAGATTTGATACTCAAATACATAGGCGGGATATATTCAATCATAACATAGGATATGTTCAATCACCACCTAATTCGCCTCTTGTCTGAACCTCTTAGTCTAAGAAGTAGATAATGTCGGAATCAACGACTACACACCAAATTTACAACCTGACAACTACAACTCAACCCTAAGCCTTTGCCCCTCCACACAATACAGCCTCGCCATTCTCCCACAACCGACCATCCCGCCACAGCCCCTCAACCAACGCCTGTCGCCCCGGCCTTTCACCCCTGGGAAGCTCATTCAACCATCCCCAGCGAACCTTCTCCTTGACACCATCCTCCCTCCAACGATTGATATCCGCCGATGGCATCTCATTGAACGTCGGTAGAAACCGCAACAACTCTGGATCATGAGCAAGACACACTAGGACGGAGGGCGAGGCGTCGAACGCGCGCAGCTTATCCACGGATTGCTGCGCTGTGAATGGGTCGGTGTTCACGCTTGTCGCGTGGCTGGATACCTTGTAGAATGGGGTCGTCTTTGGATCTGTCCCTGACGCCGGGGATATTGGATGCTGGTCGGTGAAGAGACTGCAGGGGCATGGTGCGGGGAAATAGGCTGGGTCGTGGTCGAGGGCTCCATCTGGGATGTGATCTGGGAGCGACACTGCTGATGATGGCCTGAAGTCCCCCACGAAGTGGCAGATGTCGCCTCCTAGGAGGGCAAAGGTGTCTTTTGTGGTGCGTGCTAGGGCGCACATGTGGCCTAGGCAGTGGCCGGGCGTGTCTAGACTTTGAGTCTTAGTTTTAGTCTTCCCTTATTATCATTTGGGTAAGAATCATACCTAGCAGATAAAATGAGCTGTCGCCGAAAAAGTCCATCGCTCGGTAACCACCGATTGCCAGTCCTGTCGGGCCAAAGTCGACTTCAACGACCTCACGACCTGCAAAGGCTTCAGCCGAGAGAACAGAGTTCGGATTTTCAGGATAACCAGGCAGCAAGGCTGTGGACTTCGTGACCCCTGGACCGACTACCAAGCTGGTGGACTGGGGAAAGAGGGCCGGGTTGCCGGTATGATCCCAGTGGTAATGCGACCAGATGATAGATGCTGAGGCAGTTAGCAGTGTCCTACTCAGAGGTCGGATAACATACAGATGGTGTCGAGCTTAACACCATTCTCCTCTAACACCTCTGTCACATCCTTGTCAATCTTAAGCCCTGACAGAATGCGAGCGCCTCGTTGCAAGGTAACTGGGGGCAGATTCCAGTAGTCTTTGCGCGTGCCCAGATCGAACATGACTTTCTGGCCGGTGGTGTCATTTTCAATGAGGAAAGCGACGTCGGTCAGGTTAAGATGCTGGTGGTGTTTTTGCACGGGGTCGACGAAGGCGAGGGCGTCGACGGTCATGACGGTGGTGGTGTCCACCAGGCGCACGCGCACCGTGCGGTCCGATAGGGGGAGGTCCAGGTCCAGGTTCTGCATTTTCTTTATTATTTGGTGGATGAGTCTATCGTACTGACATGTTTCTGTATGTATAGAGAGTCAAGGGTGGACACGTCATTCACCCCGCCTGAGATTGACCGCGTCTAACTCGGTTGGGCTGTCATAAATCCATTTATGGCGCTCTATTGTTTTTTGATTATCGAGCATTTGTCAGCTCTGCAGATCATGAAGTGCATTGTCTGCTAGGGTCTATATTCTAGATTGGAAGGCTTATCTTTGGACGACCGTATAATCTACTGAATCAAGGATATCCTGTCACTTCATATCTCACTTGATAGATGGATCGACTTTAGAGAAACAAAGAAACTCCATTGGCACACAATCGAAGAGCTTTTGTCGATCTATTTAGCCCACGATCCAATTCTATTTCTTCACAATTTACCCCTTTCTTGATGAATTGCCTTCTGAAGTTCGCATCTTCAATGGCTTTCTACAAAATGTGGAACATCCGGCCCGTAGCCCTAACTACCCGCATGCATTCCTCCCATCTTCAATGCTTGTCCGTCCTGACAGACTCCGAGATTGCTGAAGATAACAGCATCAACTCAACGATCTATCGGCAAGCCCGCCGATCCACGCAAGGAGGTCACACAGCGTGCCTGAATGTCTGATCCCAGCGCAAGGGGTCCGCAACACATGTACTGGTTCCACCAGAACAAACACTGCAGCTGGCCGTATTCAATATCCGAATTGTTTAAATGCAGCTGGGCCCAGTAGCCACCCCATTGGGTCCCTCCCATTTCTGACCATAATGGAACAACTCCATGGCCCCGACCACTATCCCCCTCTGGCGCATGGTCTTCGACCAAGGCACTGTCACCCACGATGTCCTCCACCACCAATACCCGGGCTCCGGCACAGACGACGACCCCTATCGGGTCTCCTGGATTCCTAACGACCCACGCAACCCGCTTGAATTCCGGAACAGATCACGATGGGCCATCTGCGGCCTGGCATCTATCGCCACGCTGACTGTAGCGCTGGGGTCGTCGACCTACTCCGGCGGCATGGAGCAGATCCGCGAGGAATTCCACACCAGCCAGGAGGTCGCGCTGCTCGGTATCTCGATGTGGGTGCTTGGGTTCGCCCTCGGGCCGATGGTGTGGGCGCCGCTGTCGGAGGTCTACGGACGTCGACCTATCTCTATACTCAGTGCGCTTGGTTTGACAATATTCGCGGCTGGCTCAGTTGGCGCGAAGAACATCCAGACGCTCGTCATTCTGCGCTTCTTTGCGGGTAGCCTCGGATCGTCACCTATGGCTGTCTCGGGGAGTATCATTGCCGATACCTTCCCGCCTATTGTTCGGGGTATGTCTACATACTTTATAAACTATATGGTAAAAGGCTGATCCATCAGGCCTCGGAAGCAACATCTACGCTGTCGCCGCCTTCATCGGCCCTGCTCTGGGCCCTATCATTGGCAGCTATCTGGCCTCAGCTGCCGGCTGGCGATGGGACCAAGGTCTCCTGGCCATCGCCGCGGGGATCCTCCTGCTCACGGATATCATTTGTCTCCCTGAGACATACGGCCCTGTTCTCCTCCACGCCCGCGCAGCGCGTCTTTCCGCCCTAACAGGACGACAATACATCACTCTCTCTTCCACAAATAACAATACCAATACTCTGTCCCTGAAAAGCAAGCTTCAAACAGCCCTCGCCCGTCCCTTCTCCCTCCTCATCCACGAACCCATCGTCCTCTTCCTCTCCCTCTACTCGGCCATAATATACGGCATCCTCTACCTCTTCTTCGCAGCCTTCCCAATCGTCTTCCACTCGAACTCCCTCCCTTTCCTAGCAATCCTGATAGGAAACATCGTCTCCATAGTCGTTACCATCCCAACCTTCTTCTCCTACCGTCGCAAATCCCTCTCCTCCACTACCCCACTCCCCCCAGAATCCCGCCTCCCCCCCTCCTTCCCAGGCTGCATCCTCCTCCCCATCTCCCTCTTCTGGTTCGCCTTCACAGCAAACAATACCAGCAACAATCCGATGGTAACAGCAGCAGCGGGCCTCCCCTTCGGCTTCGCCATCGTCTCAGTCTACATGCCTATCCTCTCCTACCTGATAGATACGTACGGGCCGCGCTATGCCGCCTCCGCAATAGCTGTCAACGCTCTCCTGCGTTCACTATTCGGCGCCGTGTTCCCCCTCTTTACGCCTGTTATGTATGCCCGTCTGGGTGTAACATGGGCGTCGACTGTGCCGGCGTTTCTGGCTCTCGCGTGCGTGCCGTTGCCGTTTGTGTTTTGGGCGTTTGGGGAGAGGGTGAGGAGGAGATGTCGCTTTGCGGGGGGTGGGACTAAGTCGGGGTAGGTTTATCAATTCACTATTAGGGTGTTTACTTGTGTTACGTTATGTTGTGTTGGGTGTTCAGTGGCTACAGTTTTGGAGATAGATACTTTGTTAGAACGACACATTCAATGTTAATTCCTGACTTTAAGTAAACAAACTGACTAGATCCATCGGTACCATTCGGTAGAAAAAGATAACAAATATTTCGTTCCATCTGTAACATTCTGGAAAAGAACCATCGATAATCCATCCATCTGTGTCATCCTGTCAAAATCATCAATAATTCATTCATCTTCTCCATTCTGTCAAAAAATCAAAAAAGAATTGATGATCAATCGATCTGTATCAATCTGTAAAAAAGAAAAACAAAAAAAGATCAATCCATCAAAGTAGCACTTTCAGTAGCCTCAGCAGTCTCAACACAATCATCAGCCGAAGCCGTCTCCCTACCAACAGGCGACTTGCCATAGTCAGTCGCGTCCTCGCTAGCCGTTACCTCCTTGCCGTGCTTAGGGACACAGCGCTTTCCGGTAGGAATAGGCGCAGGGCGGGTGTGGCGGGTGGTAGATGGCGCCGAGCTAGGCGGCCAGGGATCGGTGTCGGAGGCGGTGCCGCGGGGGTCTCCCTCTGACACGGTGGTCATGGCGTCTGTCTCGGTGATGGAGCCCGTTGGGAGGCTGATAATATGGTCAGGCTCCGTGGGGAGCGGAGTCGTGGGAAGAACACTGAAGGAGCCGCTGGTTGGCCCGCGAAAGCTGGGGGACTTGCTCGGCGTGAGGGTCGGCTTCTTTCCGGGTGTGGTAGGCACCGGGATGGTTCCGTTGGAGGATGGTACAGGGATGGTTCCGTTGGGGGAAACGCCTACGCAGACTTCGCTTCCGGCGATCAGATTGTCGCAGTACCGCTCCGACGAGACATCCGGGTTCCACTCGTAGAAGGCCATCTCGGAGATGCCGGCTCGGAGGGCAATGCCCTTGCATGAATCGCTGAGTCCGACGAACCACCATTTGTTGCAGCTTTGTGTCACGTTGGGCTGGTGGTGTCCTGCGGTCGGGCCCGGGTCGTAGGGTGCAGTGCGAGTTAATGGGGTGTCGGCGTCTGCGACGCAGTACCAGGTGTCTTCCTATTTGGCAATTAGGACTTGAGTCTGGTGAAATGGGGGAAAGGGGGGGGGGGGGGGGGGGGAGACAAACCGGGAGACTGTTGCAGCGGCTTGCCACGGATGGATTCCACGCGATGAACTGCTCTTCGGTGAAGGTCCCGAAATCGGAGATAATGCCTTGGCATGTCTGGATGCCGACGGCTTGGTACCATGTTGTGCAGTTTTTGGCCGTGTCAGAGGGCGGGGGCATAGGCGCGGTGGTCACTGTCGGGGGCATTGGGGGATTGTCATCCGGATAGGCCATGACACAGTAATAGTAGTCGGGTTTGAGACCGGTGCATTCTGGCGCTGGTCCAAGAGCTGGGTTGATCTCGTGGAATCTTTTGTTGTCGACTATTCCCTCATAGAGATCGAGGATCTCCGAGCATGTGTCTCCCTAGTCTATGTTAGTGTACATCTGGAATTGCAACAGCGGAGGTCTTACCTTTGTAGCGTGGTAGAATTCCTGGCAGTCGGTTGCAAGCCCAGACTGGGTTGGAGAGGGCGTAAAAGTAGTCATGGTCATTGGTGGCCGCGACGGCGGCGTATAACTAGTGGGAGGCGGCGCCGTGTTGTTCGTAGGGTATATGTAGGTGAATGTCTCTGTCGACTCGACCCCGATACACACCCACCAGCCAATAAACGGGCTGTTGCAGTTATCTTTCAGCGAGGGGTTCCACTGCAATCTGTTTGCATTATTAGTTTAGTACTCATGAGGGTGACCAGGACTAGGAAAGGTACCTACAGCATCTCCAAGCTCACCCATGAGCCAGCACGAACCAAAATTCTGTCACAATTATCTCCCGGATTGACCTCGTACCAATTGTTGCAGTGTGCTGGCTGTCCGGGCTGCGTCTTCGTAGGTGGCCAGGGGGCGGTCGTTGTGGTGTTAGCCCGAGGTGGTGGCGTCCAAGTCGTTATGGGATTGATGATGGAGTAGCTTCCGTTGGTCGACGGGCCACTCGTAACTGGGGGTTTGTCAGGGGGAGGAGTCCCGGTTCCAGGAGGGACATTCGTGCCCGGAGGAGCGGTTGTCTCAGGAGGGGGCTTCTCAGGAGGCGCATCGGTGGGAGGAGGAGAGGGATCCTTAGAAGGTTCATCGGTGGGAGGAGGGGGGGCAGGAGTCGGTTCAACAGGTTTGTCACGGGGACCAACACCCACGCAGTACGCATAGCCAAGCCAGAAGTTCGTGACACAATCATCAGAGACGGCTGCGTTCCAGCGGATGAAGTCTTCGTGTTTGATGTTAAAGGCGGTTTCCACGGTGTAGCAGTTATCTCCTTTCTTGATGGTGTACCAGTGGTTACAATTAGAGGCAGTTCCAGAGGGGAGAGTCGAAGCACCAGGGGCTTTATCCCAGGTAGTGGTGGCATCTCTCAACACGTTATGCTGGGAGGAGACCAACAAAGCAAGAAGGAGCTGAAAGAAAAGAAGAAGAAGCGCCATGATGGCAGATGGCAGGATGTTCGTGTTCAGAGAGGGTGAGGGAGGATGGGAGGAGGATTAGAGAACGAACAACATCCAAAGGGGTAGAAGGGGGTATTTATAGACAGGAGATGAGCAGTTCTGATTAGAAATGTGTGAGAATGATAGACAGATGGTGAGTGAAGCTATTCAAGTGAAGACATGTATAGTATATGAAATAACTTCTCCGATCTGTTGATATCACTGCATCTTGGCTATGAACTGCGAGGGTCTTGATCATGGATGGGTGAATAGCTTCATGGTCCCCTTTTCACTTGATTCCAGTACTACAAAGAGACCCACACTTGAAATCTAGTGATGGTGAGCAGTGATATCTAAACAATGAATAAACACAATCAGCCACGTAGTGCTGTGGAGTCATGAAGATTCTACCATGGCGAACACTGGGTTGAATAGACTGATGTCATATTGCTTGGAACTCTACACTCCCACCACACACTCGAAAATATATCCAACTAGTAGCAGGGTATGATCGACTCAAAAACTATTTTTTATTACTGGCATGTGTATAGATGATGTCATATTTTGGGAATATCGGTCCTGTCAAGTGCCCCCAAGATAATGTCTAGCATTTAGTGCAGTGACCGAGAAATAGAGGCTCATGAAGGCTAAAGTGTCATGATACTTTTCATAGTTGAGGAGTAATCTTTACAACAGATAAGAATTGACACAATACGCGAAGTAGATTGTCTGAACTGCATACATAAACCTAGTCGATTCATGTCTTAAACGACTACCACGACACTTTGTTGCATCAAAGTCATAGACACGTTCTCTTCCCAGGATCTTTAGGTCGAACGATCAACTACCATTCCAGAACAACCCGAACTATCCAAGCCCAGACTATCAAAGTACAGATAGTGTGTACCTCCAACGTTATCAACAACCCGGAGCCGAGCGTTGAAAGATTCCGTAAGCGTTTGACCGAGGATCGTTGTGCAGGATGGGCCGTGGGGTCAGGTATGGCTCCTCGTACATCGTCATCAAGCCCTGAACATCAAAAGTGGTGGGAGCAAAGGTAGGGTCAATCCTGCGGTCTCCAAGGCTCCGAAGCACGGTGTAATGCGTGTTGTCTTCAAGAGGATTTCTCCCATTTCCAATGTAGCTTGGGGTTGTCATGATGGACGACCAGTCTATATTAGCGTCGGTGGTAATTCCACTGCCGGGGTTGATGGTGTTGTCATCCACACAGGGCAGGACTTCGGCAGCACGGAACCCGTGTCGGCGCGCTGTGCAGCCGTCCTCGCACACTCCGTGCACGCCCCAGGTCATCTCAAAGCTGAGCTTTTCTGACAACTCGTCATAATCTTTGAAGTTCGGGCAGTTGAGTTCATAATTATTCCAGAGGTTGCCTCCGAGCGTCCAGAAGTGGGGGTTGTGGCTCTCGTGATACAGCCCGAACGCATGGCCGATCTCGTGGGCGAAGTTCGCTGCCGTATCCAACATCCCCACCGACGTCTCGGTAGTCCACCGCGCAACCAGAGAGTGGAAATCCGGGTGAGGCTTCTTGCCGATGGGGGTGGACAGCTCCATGAAGGATCGGGTGATGATAAGACAGTTCAACCCGTCTCTCTGGCATTCGCGACGGTCGATTTCCTGCACCTTGAAAGTTTCCGGAAGACCGGAGGCATACCAGAGGTCCATTGCCGTTTGAACCCAGGTTGCCAGAACTGCTCTGGAGGCTGGGTCCGAGAAGGCGTACTTGATGGTTTTGCGATTCCAGCGCATGTTCTGCTCGGTATGCTCCATACCGACCCATTTGGCGTTCGGGAATCTCGCAGTCTCCCAAGCAGCGCTGCCAGCATTGACAACACAAGAGAGAGACAGAGTGAAGAGAAAAAGCAAGACTGCCTTCCAGAGCATCTGGGCAGCCATCTTGTTTGAAGTAAAAGTAAATGTGCCTGGATGTTGCGATGTAAGAAGAAGTAGATGGTTGAGGTAGATCTATCGGAGACGTTGAGGAACAGACCGACTGAGTGGCAGTGGGACGTCCTTTATATAGGTTGATCTGGCCGGTCCAAGCTACCTACAGACCGGACGCAACGGGTCCTTGCATGTTGATGTCATGGCATGTTTCGAGTCGCTGGTTGGATATCATCGCCATCCATTCCTTGATCTTCAGTAACGGAACCAGTCATATAACTATATCTTCAAGACTCTGATTGCATGACCAACTTGCATACTAGGGTAAGAAACATGGTAACTCAACCTATATAACCAATCACTTCTATTCTCTCCTGGTATAGATGCTTCAAAACCACTGCAGACTTGTAGTGAGAAGAGGACAGGTAGATATGACATATAGTAATGTCTCCTCCTCTGTATCTGGATATCCTATGGGATCTCCTGGCACTGCTGGTCCTGTATATGGCTTTGCCTATAATATAGTACTATCTAGCAGCATACCTGAAGTTGATATATCTAGTACCACTTGATATGACTCTTATAACTGCTTTGTGACTCTACTAATTTAACTTGTTAGAAGTAATATTACTAGAATAAATATCAATATGAAAAGACATGAATCTGTTAACACCTAGTTTGGCCTGTCACTTGCAAAAAGCTAGAACTAATCTAAACTCTAATCTATCAAACCAGCCACTTTGGCTCATGTGTCAGTATTTGGTATGTATGATTCAGTGATAAGCTTCATACAGTGAATTATATCAAGACTAATCTTCTCAAACCACTGGGTATAAATACCTCTTTCCTGCCCACTATTCCATCTATCTCTCGCCATCCACCACCCACTGTCTTCAACTTCGTATCACTACCAAGTGCTCTTTTACATATTGGCCACAAAGCTTCACTAATTCTCACCATCATGGCCAAGTCACACCTTGTGGCTATAGTCTACACCATCGCCTTTCTGCTCCTCCAGTCAGTTGTTGGATTGGAGGGCTCTAACCTCACCTTCCACCTCCTGGCAGGAGACCCTGACTACGGCTGCACCGCCGACAAGCTATGCAAGGTCGGATGCTGTGGCTCCGTGTTAGTTTCCTCAATTCCTCATACTACTGCCCCTAATTAACATCTCACAGGGATAAAACCACTGGCAAAGGAGTCTGTGGCCTTGGACCTGATTTCTGTGGCAAAGGCTGCATCTCTAGCTGTGACCGCAAAAGCGAATGTGATCCCGGATGGGGCACAGACTGGTCTGATTCTGCGAAATGTCCTTTGAATGTCTGTTGCAGCAAGTTTGGCTTCTGTGGTACCACGGCCGACTTCTGCGGAAGCGCTACAGTGACGTCCCCTGAGTGCCCTGGCGGATCAAGCGCAAAGTCCAAGACCATTGGATACTACGAGGCGTGGAACCTGGAGCGACCTTGTGGAAGTAAGTTTCCAGTACCCCTTCCACGTCATGAACGTCAAGCTGACATGAACAGCTATGGCGCCTATGGACATCCCACTGGGCTACTACACCCACATCAACTTCGCGTTTGCCCTCATCAACCCGCAAACTTTCCATATTGCCCCCATGACGGAGCAAGCCGACACTATGTACAAGTCGGTCACCCGACTAAAGACCCGCCAGCGCGATCTCCAGGTATGGATTGCTATCGGGGGCTGGGCAATGAATGACCCAGGTCCGACGCGGACTACCTTCTCGGACCTGGCTGCGTCCATTGAACACCAAGATGCCTTCTTCGAGTCTCTGGTCACTTTTCTCGTCAATAACAATTTTGACGGCGTGGATCTTGACTGGGAGTACCCGGTGGCTGATGACCGCGGGGGAAAACCAGAGGACTACCAAAACATGGTCACGCTGATGAAGAGGCTCAGGGAGAGACTGAACCAAACCGGTCGTCACTATGGTATTTCGATTACTTTGGTATGGATCTTCCTCTTCACATACGCCTACTTCTGCCGTAGACTAACACTGCCCAGCCGGCCAGCTACTGGTACCTTCGGGGTTTCGACCTGAACAACATCGAGCCGCATATAGACTGGTTCAACGTCATGACCTACGACATTCGTGAGTTTTGCACCGCCCTCTCTATTGCTGATAGCTAACACACAGCCAGACGGACTGTGGGACAGAAATGTGACATCTATTGGCTCCTACGCCCTAGCCCACACCAACCTGACCGAGATCAACATGGGCTTAGAACTCCTCTGGCGCAATAACGTCAATCCGGCCCGCGTCGTCATGGGTCTCGGTTTCTACGGCCGATCATACACCATGGCCGATTCAGGCTGCATGGCATCCGGATGTCCGTTCAAGGACCCCGCTCGTCCAGGTCGCTGCACTGGCCAAGAGGGTATTCTCGCCGGGTACGAAATCAACGACATAATCAAGAACGGCGGAAAGGTGACGTACGACAAGGAAGCTGCGGTGAAGATCGTGACCTGGGACAAGGACCAGTGGGTGAGCTGGGACGACGCCGAGTCACTCAAGGTGAAGTTGGACTTTGCCAATAAGCGCTGTCTTGGCGGGACCATGGTTTGGGCGATTGATCTGGACGATGGTACCTTAATTGGTTCTCTGGGAGAGGCGATGGGAAAGAAAAAGCAGGATGTTCCGGATGATATTCCTTCTTATCCCTCGCAGGGAGATCTTGGTACTAGTATTGACCAGCCTGCGTGAAGTTGTTAGGGGGGTTTAACAATTTGTAACCTCGTACTTTCGATGATATTTCACTTTGATAGCTATCAGTCTTGATATTTACCAGTTTCAATACGTATCAGTTTTGCTGGGTATCCGTTGTTGCCTTATCAAGTGTCGTTTAGTCGGATGAATTCCATATTCTACCGCCTGCTGCTTCTACAACCCAACCACCTTGAAGAAACGAGTATAGTCTCTCAGAGATGCACCTTTTTGTTACCCTATAGTCAGACGACACGTCGAGATAGCTCTTACGCGGCTACGCCATACCATACCATGTCTCGCAGTATAAGGTTACAAGATTACCCACAAAGTTAAAAAGGGCCATGATATCTTTTGTAGCCGAGCAGTAATTTTTGTCCACGGGCTATAAAGTCATTCTTACTGACAGGAAATAGGATGTGGAACTGATTTCCACTCGGCTACAAAATATATCATGAACCTTTTGCGCTTTATGAGTATTCAGCTATATAGATCTTATCATACTGCAATAGAGGATCAGTAAACGTGCTTTGTTCTGCTTGAAGAGTGGCCTTCTATGGCTGCACCCTGTACATAAATCACTCATAGAGAGTCAATTCCTTATACCATATGGTAGATCTCTGGGGACACTACTTCCGCCAGGATGGCCAAGAGAAGAAGGTAGTTCCATTAGAGCTTAGTAAATATTACTGTTCCTATTACTACTCCCATTTCACTGCGGATTGCAAATACAAGATATGTAGCCTTTTTCTTTCCTTTGGCTTTGGGATGGGGGAAATATGGGAGGTGGACAATTCACTCCACTCTTGAAGATTGGGAAAATGTTTAATATCAAGAGAATAGACAATCATTGATAATTAGATAGTCATTGTTGAAAGTGACAACATGTTATCACTAACAACATGAAAGGATTCATATGCACATGTCACTGGGAATCAATCCCTATGTAGAGACATTTCATTCAGCTATAAATTACTGTTACTGATCACTGAGGTTTATATACATCAAGTTGATATTTCAATACTCGTGATATTAACTGTCTATATCACAGAAGTAACATATATCCTAACCAATAGCTACTTCTATGAGAGTCACTAGAATTGGATTTTCCTGTCTATATAAACCCCTTCCTTCTCCCAGATATCTAGCAATTATCCTCCATCTCCCTATCCTTCTATCCTCCTACTAAGCACCTACCTATCTCTTGCCAGCATGGCGCCTTTTACTCTTTTCATACTTCTCTTTGCCTTCTTGATGAACCCTCTCATGGGCTTTGCCACAAATGAAACCGACCTCGTCCATGAAGACACTGTCTCGAACTTGATCCAAACCAGGGGCCAAACTGTCACTGATCTTAACTGGATCGAGAGATGGGCTGCTGTTGGCGATAGTTACACCGCGGGCATTGGAGCCGGAAGCTTGTACCGTGGCAAAAGCGAGGATCATGCATGTTCTCGCTATGATCAATCATACCCCATTGTTCTTAACCGCATGTTTGGCCCTGGGATCAAGTCATTCTCGTTCAAGGCATGCTCCGGTGCGCGTACCGCCGACATCAAAGAGCAGATCCGCAGCCTCGATGAGAACATGGACCTGGTTGTCTTGTCTGCCGGTGGGAACGACCTGTGTCTATCCACTATCATTTCACGCTGCATCATGCTCCCACTGACTCAGAGTCGTTGTCAAGATGTTATCTCTCAGGCGCGCGACAGCATCACCAGGGTCCTCGTGCCCAACGTCCGAGAGCTCCTCCAGGACCTACAGCCCAAGATGAACAAAGATGGAGTTGTCATTTTCGTGCTGTATGCTCAGTTCTTCAACGTAGAGAACGAGGATTGCGCTAAGTACCAAGACTGGACGTTTGGCGGGTTGAGGAGGGAAGGGTTCAAACTATCCACGGGCCGCCGCAGGGAGTTCAACGACCTCGTCGTCGACGTGAACAACGCATTGATAAATCTGGCGGAAGAATTCAGACAGGACGAGAACTCCTTCTATTTCCGCACCGCTAATTGGGACAAATTCGTGGGTGACTATAAAGGACGCTTCTGCGAGCCGGGCAGCTCGGGCGAATACCCCGAACCCTCCCAGCCCAACCTGCAATTCTTCAAACACTTCACCAAGAGAGATCTCGAAAAAGACATCGCATCCAAGAGGGATCTTGAGAACAGTATTGACGCGCCTCCGCTGGCACTCAACGCGACGATGTCCGTCCCAGAAAACAGCCTGGGACCCCGCGACAACATCGCTCCCAACTGCCCCGGCGACGACGGTTTCAAACTCGGTTGGGGCCTCCCCGATCGATTCGGCAAATACTTCCACCCCAACGAGAAAGGTCACATCACGATCGCCTCCTACGTCCTCGAGGCCATTTATGCGGCGCGCTCCGCCATCCTGGGCCTTCCCCAACCCATGTGCCACCTCGTGGACAATTTCCAGTGCAATGTACCCAACGAACGTGCGGACCTCGACGCCAGCAGACGATACGCTGACGGACAAATCCTCCACGACAACGCTCTAGCGTTTTGCACTGGAATCTCCCCATCCGGTGTTGACTGGACGGAGGAGAAGACTTTTGAAATGGGGACGCCCGAGGAGCACACCTTCCTCATCACCACCCGCAACGGCGCCCGCCACTACGACCAAGAAGAATGTCTTGAATCTTTCAACAAGATTATACACAGCTGCAAGACCTACGACGATCTCTGGAAGTATGGTGGCTACCATGAGGAAAACAACCACCGCTACCAGATCAGCATCACCAATGGTGGCTACCGGCGCCTGCCCCGTGGTCCCGTCAAGACCACCTGTGAGGCAAAGAGACATGGCAAGTGGACCCACTACAAGTTCAAAGGGTACGGCGGTGCCACAGCCGGCGAGGGCAACAGGAGACTTTTCCCGTTCATCAAACTCTGCGTCACCCCCGGTGACGTCCGGAAGACGCGAAAGCAACAGAATGTGAGGGACTGGAACTTTTACTACTCCTACGAAGAAGGCCACGAGGAGGATCCCGTTCCTGAGGGTTACGAATGGCAGCTCAACTTCCGGGCTCCCGCTGGCTTTATGGAACGATGCTTCGGGAGCAACACGGTGCAAGAAAATGTTGGCTTGGTATGTATTCTGTCTGTTGCTTTGTTCACGATTCGCTAATTTGGCTGCCTCTTAGGAACTTACTGGTTGTAAGGGTAAGAAGAACGCTTGAGTAGCTGTTTCTTGTATCTCGCCTTTTAGCCTATCTCTTTGGAGCTCTGTTGTAGGGGTAAGAAGGACTCTTGGGTAGCTGTTCTTCTATCTTACCTTTGTTCCAACTTTTTTTTCAACTTGGCTTTGTTTCAAATTGTGCACATTATTTGGATAGTCTATGTTGAGGACCGTCTAGACTGGAGACCTTATTTTGAATGACACTATTTGCCTTGTATCTCATCCATCCCGTAGTTTAACCAGTAGGATAGTTCGTCAACTACATGAGGCCATCTCGACAGCGTATATCTCATCCCCTCGCTCTATGTAGTTTCTGGATCACACGTCCTGTACACTTTTTCCGAGTCGGTCCAATTTCGCAAGCCATCTTTGTTCTCGGCCTCGCATAAAACTGAATATACTCTATATCCAAGGCTTTACTGTCTTGGTTTATTTTGGGGCACAGCTTGAACACACCTAGTTATATAGTCATTAAAATGGTAACACTCTGCATGAGACAGAAGCTACGTGTACAAAGCAATCGAAACACCTAACAAGAAGGACCACCTAGCCACAGACCCGACTACAAGAAACCCCAAGAGTGTAAAAAGGAAGTTTGGAGGTTTGGCTGTCCAGGCAGCTACCCCTCCATCTGAAACCTCTGGCAACTTCAACAAAAAGAAGCCGGACCTAGTAGTTATAGATTCTATCATGATATCTATATCAATAATGATAGTGCTCCTGTGTTTTAGGATAAGTACCAGGTAGGCATGCATGAGTCTGTTTGTTGGTGGCATGTCATTTAATCTATAATTGGTAACCCCATCAAACATCCACTTCACCATATACAATGGGGTACTTCAAATGCAAAGTGTATGTAGGCTGTAGACCACTTGAGCTCGATAGATGACAGATAATATTTTGAATATATCATGCTCTTTCACAACTCTATCAGTGATATAATAACACTCTACAGGTCTAGACTTGACAATCCGGGAAAAGTGGATAATTATGCCTCAACATTAATACGTGTCTTACTGAGATTGGATATATGTTGAGTTCCCTGTAGGGACTTGGCCTTGTCATAACCCTTGGTACATATAACAGTAGATTATCACTCAGGTATTCGATGATTGATTATTTTATCAAGTGCTAATACCTCTCAGAGTGTACAGCTGACACCTACGCCGGTAGAGAATCCATGATATCTATCAAGATATCACATAAAACATGTCCGTTTTACCTGTACCGTTTAGAAAATGATAGAGACCTTTCATTTACAATTTTTGTTCACGTAGTATCATGCATATTGAATTTTTTCTATCCTAATATCTGAAAGCTATTCAGTGAGTTGCAACTACTCATTCACTACAGATATAGGTCTATATACTCCCCTCATCACCTAATAACCTAAGATCAAACGATAATAGGTAGATCAAATCAATCACAGATTATCATAATCAGTACCCATTGCCACCTCCCGCGCAGCCTCCAAATCACTAGAAACACTCTTCAGCTTCCCCTCAATCCGGCCCACGCAGTCTGGACCCAGAGGCAACCTGAGAATCTTGCCCTTCAGATCCCCCGCCACCCCCTCCCCAGTGATAACTTCAAACACCCTCGCCACACCCTTGACCGGATCCCCCTTCGGCAACCCCCTCAACGGGTCAAACTTGCCAAGCACAGTCTCCACAATGCCCCCGCGATACGGCTCAGACAAGCCCACGTCCGTCTTCCTAGCCGCATCCAGGAAGTTCGTCTTGAAAGCACCTGGCTCGACGATCAACACACTGAGCCCAAACTGGGCGACTTCGCGCGAAAGAGTCTCCGACAGCCCTTCAAGCGCAAACTTGCTCGCTGCGTACAGCCCGCATGTTGGCAGTGCGTCTTGTCCCGCCACGCTCGACACGTTTACAATTGTACCTGTGCCCCGGGCGCGCATGGATGGCAGCGCTGCCTGAATGAGCCGCAGGGGGCCGAAGAAATTGGTCTCAAATTGAGAGGCGGCTTCCACGGGACTGTATGGGTTTTGATCAGATATGTTGTCAAGACGGTGATAGAATGAGACTCACGTTATGTCTTCTATCGCCCCTAGCACGGAATATCCCGCATTGTTGACCAGCACGTCGATGTGTCCATAGATGCTCTCTGCGTGTTTGACAACTTGGTGAATCGTTTCTCCCCTCGTCACGTCCAGCTCGATGACCTTCCCGCCTTTAGCCTCAATGTCTTGGACGGTTTGTGCGGACTTTGTGACGCTTCGTGCTGTAGCGATGACGTGGTGGCCTGCTGCCAGGGCATGTAGGGCGAGATAGTATCCAAAACCGGATGAGCCGCCTGTGATGAACCATACTAGGGGTGCCATTTTGCTCAATCTTGATGTTATGACGATGTGATCTGAGCGAGTCCGTCTTGTGTATATATAAGCTAGCCGGAGGTAAGATGGAGATAGCACGGCGTTAATATCGGGATTACTGCTATCTCCCGCCGACGAAGATCTTGCTAGGGCTTATAGTGTATATATTAAGTCAGTGGTCTCGATATGGAACACACTTGTTGCTTATATTGTGTGATCCAGAGTCAACTCACAAGATTGAGCTTCAGCTTACAAATTGGAGGTTTCCAGATGAACATCCAAAAAAAAAAAAAAAAGAAGTCTCACGTCGTGAGCTCTCCACAAGACTGTGTGACGGTCCGTCCCCGATGATCAGAGTATACGAACCGGAGTATACGAGATAGATCTCTCGGCGAACTTTGACTCCCTGGGCTAGTCAACCCATGCCAGACATGGCAGATGGCATATGTTAATTGTGGTCGGTTAATATTCGCTTTTTCTTTCCCATTGCTCTAGCTACCCAGGAAATCTCTGTCTATGCTCGAAGTCTCTACATCCAGCTACTACACTACACTTCGGCGTCTGATATATCTCTCCGATTAATTGTAAAAAATGATAAGTCAATAACGTTTTCCAAGATGGAATATATTGTTGGTCACCCAAATCAGTGCTGACATTCCACATCTCACAAAAAAGGTCTGTCAACAGTGGCGCATCCCATTCCCAATTAACTTTCTTTCTGAGGTATGTCATGCATAGACCCCTCAATCTCGATCCAGACTGATTCAGACAAGTAAGACAGGGTGCGAAGTTAATCTCACGATCGACCGCCTGATTAGCTCCCCTGCAGATCTACCGCAGCTGAGCTCGCATGTACGGCAGCCACAGGGACAGTGGTGTGGGGCTGAAGTAGACTATTGATTTGAGAGGTTTACAGTTTTGGTGGGTACAGCTGTGATACTGCGCTGTGTGGCTTGCAATGTTCAGCTGGGTATGCACGGATTTGGAGTCCCTGCATAGCGCGACGATGCATGGTATGCAGTCTATCGATAGTTCAGGACTAGACTTTCCCGGGTTGAATGTCGGCCTCCTAGATATGGAAGTGGTTCAGGTATGGGCAGAAGGGATATCTGTATTATATAAAGGCTATGAGCCCCAAGTATCTGGCGTTCAACCATACTCCTGAACCATCCAAATTATACTCATTACCCTCAGCCATCCAAAATGAAGTTATCCATCGTCTCCCTGCTTCTAGCAGCAACAACAGCCTACGCCAAAACAGACTACACCACCAACGTAAATACCAACACCCATCATCCCACACGTTGACCACCCCACTAACAACATCTACCACAGTTCGACAACCTCAAGCAAGGCAAACTGACGCCCAACCCCCTCCGCGAACTCACCTACGGCGACGAATTCCAAATTGGCACCTACGCCGTCCAAGCCTCCAATGTAAACGCAAACAGCAAGAAACTGCTCTTCTCGGGCCCGCGCGCTGTGGGTGAATCCTCCGGCCGGATCAAGATCGCGCCCAAGTCGTCGGAGGAGAGTTTCACGCTGAAGAGCGTGCAGATTGGGTGTAGTGGGAAGAAAACTGGTGGCAAGAAGAAGACTGTGCCGTGTGAATTGGAGATCTTGGGGATGAGGCCGTCGCAGAACTTTGTGTCGAAGACGGTCAAGTATACTGATACTAAACGCCTATTGACGCTGGATGGGCTGGATGAGGATCTTTGGGGTCTGTACTCTGTTTCTATTAAGGTTGTTAGCGCTGGGAAGGGGGGTGACCTGAAGGAGGATGTCACCCTTCTTGTGGATAGCTTGCAGTATTTTGTTGGGGATGAGTAGATTGGTTGTCAGTTGGGTTTACTCACTTTATAGGTGCTGTTGTGGCAATTTTTTGTATGTTCATTGTCTCTAAAATCAGCTTTGCGTTCTCCTTGACATGGAAGAGTTGCACCTGGTAAAGAATAGGATACATGGGTCACCTTCAGTATACAATCGACACCTACACTTATACAACAGTGTATCTAAGACCAAACCGACGTAAAGTCATAGCAATAACACCAGACAAAGTATATGCACAATGTAACTGCCGAAGTAAATCCGGAGATTGCCGAAACGCGGGGTATTAGAGATACCCGCATGCCAAACAAAAACATAATATTCACAAGATAAAAGACAAGGATCAAACATAAGCAGGCTGCGGCATCCCCGGCGTCGCCTTATAAGAGATCCTCCCAGCCGGCAAAAAGAACAATGCCACCAGCGCACCACCCCTCACCTCAGGATAATGGTGCGTCCCCGGCCCGGGCGACGTCCACCCGGCGCCCATCCATCCCGCCATGCCCATGATCTCAGCGGTCTCGTCCAGCGGGATCACGACGTTGATCTCGCCGTACGGATGCGCATGGTACTGTCCGCGGAAGACCTCCTGGCTGTCCATGTAGACCGCGGTGATGCTGAAATAGCGCGTTTCTTCGCACGGCGCGAAGATGCGACTGCGCCGGTATTTGGGACCGTCGAGCTCGATGTTTGCCGCCCAGCCTTCGGTGAGGCCTTGGCGGGCGAGCTGGCTGAAGTCGTTGTAGTAGGGTGTGCCGGGACCGTAGTTTTTGTTGAGGAATTTTTCGAGCTCTTGGCCGGGGGTTCTGTTGTTTGTTAGTTTGGAATGAGTGAGTGGGGGTGCACTGGTTGCACTTACAGGTCTTGGACCTCGTTGAAGAATTCTTGTGCTCTGCCGAGCAGCTTTTGAGCATTCGGGTGTGACTCGGACATCGTGGTTAATATGAATGCACTTTGTCCAAGTGGAAAATTTATAACAGTAATATGGGTGGGTGGAAGTTATATATTGATTGGTGATCGGAAATATACAGCGAGGCTGATCGTCGGAATTCGGTATTTAGCGGCCATTTACAATATTCCGAATATGGCGATCTTCCCCGCTTCTTTGATAGACCTTTATCTCGATATGCTAGAGAATGAGACACAATTGGCTATCTCATCCCTCTCATAGCTCACGATGGTTAGACAGATTCTTCGGGATTTTGCTACCGGCCACTCATGGCCAGCCACGATGGTTTGCTTTGTACCGGTATGAAGATATATAACTGGTAAATCGCCGTCGCATACACACAATGGGATTATTTCGGAAATATTGGCTGTCCGACAAGTATAGCCCAATCCATTGAATATGGTCCAAAATGCACCCCGGGAAGTCGATTTGCTAATAGTGGGAGCAGGTATGCAAGGGATCAACCCTACCCCCAAGTGAAGAGTTTCTAACCAGACCAGGCCTTCACGGCCTCACAATGGCCAAAACCTACCTGCAGACCGACCCAGCTGCCAACCTCCTAGTAGTGGACGAGGCCGCCTCGGTCGGCGGGACATGGGCCTACGAGAGACTCTACCCAGGGCTCGTCACGAACAATATCTTTGGCTCGTACGAGCTGAGCGACTTTCCCTTGGTGCCGGAGAAATACGGCGTTGCTGGTGTTGGACACATCCCTGGCACTGTGGTTCATAGCTACTTCTGTGATGTAGCTGACCATTTTGGTATTACGCCGTGTTTGCTGTTGCGGCGTCGGGTTGCGCGCGCAACTGTTGATGGGTGTCGGTGGAATGTGCGTGTTGAGTGCGTTGATGGGTGCATGGAGGCGGAAGATCTCATCGCGAGAAGGTTGGTCATTGCTACAGGTTTGACGTCAACACCGAGTATTCCTCGACTACCGGGATCGAATCGTTTCACGGGCTTGATAGTGCATTCGAAGCAGCTGAAAGAGCAAGCGCATGCCCTCGCGCAGTGTAACAACGTGGTCGTGCTCGGCGCCAACAAGTCCGCTTGGGACGTGTGCTATAGAGCTGCTAAGTCCGGCGCGCAGGTCCACATGGTGATTCGGCCCTCCGGCGGGGGTCCGAGTTATCTCTGGCCAAGATCATTCTTCATCGGGCCGTGGAAGGCCTCGTTGGCGAAGATATCCGCCACGCGCGGGTTTTCCCTGTTTGATCCTACGCTATTTGGTGAGAATGGAGCGTTTTCTTGGATTCGTGGGTTTCTCCATCGTACGTTGGTTGGTAGCTGGCTGTGTCGGTTGTTTTGGAGCTGTCTTGACGAGCATATCAAGACGATTCACGGGTACCGTGGGAATCCTGAGCTGCAGAAGCTGGAGCCATGGACCACGCCGTTTTGGATGGGTAACTCGCTGAGTATCCACAATTATGAGACCAGCTGGTTTGACCTCGTTCGCGAGGGAAAGATCCATGTCCACATTGCGCAAGTTACAGGCATTTCCACGAACAGCGTCCAGATTACAGGAGAGACCGAAAGGTCTCTAGACGCAGATGCTATTGTGTGCTGTACGGGATGGAAGGCAGAAGTTCCGGTGGACATCCACTCTACTACCTGTGACAAACAACATGCAAAGGCCCACGACGAGATACTCCAGAGGATCCCTTACCTCCCGTTTTCTCCAAAAACTCGCAATGCTCCCCCAGTTGGAGAGAAGAACCAAACGTCGGAAACCGTCCCTGCTCCAGAGCTCTACCGGCACATTGTCCCGTCCGGTAGGGAGTCCTTTCGAAATCGAAATATTGCGTTCATCGGCATGCACTCCTGTCTCCATGCGTTTATCGTGGCGCAGGCCCAGGCGCTATGGATCACCGCTTTCTTCAAAAATCAAGTAAATCATCTCCATGATATGGATCATGAAGCTGTTGAGTATAACACTGCCCTACATAGCGCATTTACGCGGATACGACGGCCCAAAGAATTGGGCGGATCAGGCGGAAACTATCCCGACTTGGTGTTTGATAGCTTGCCGTATGTTGATGTTCTGCTGAATGATGTGGCGGTCGAGTCGAAGCGAAAGGGGAGTTGGTGGAGGGAGCTCACGGAGCCATATCGTCCTGGTGATTATGTTGGATTGGTAGAGGAGTGGCTCGCCGCGAGGACGAGTAGCTAGATCGATTGCATTTTGCTGGGCATATTGTCTTATAAGATGCATTCTCAATGATAGCTTTATGATTACATTGTCTTCCAGTATATCTTCATCATCCACCTCTATAGTACTTCAGACATCGGACCCTAGTAGGCTGTATATCAGTCAGTACTTTGCGAGTCATCGCCATCACCCTCATGCTCCGATACTTCTTCGCCGGTGCCCACCCGATTCAACTCATCGAGAACTTTCCCCATATGTTCCAATATACCGTGACTGTAGCGCAAGCCATCCAATTCCACCAACTTCGGCCACAACGCCTCCGGCCTCTCATCTCTCCGAATTGCCGCCATCTCCTCCCTGCTCATGGCCGCCAAAATCTCCAGCATCCCATCCTCCAAGAACGTATCCCACTGAAATGTCTCCTGCACGTCATGCATGAACATATTAAAGCAACTAAACGCCAAAGTCTTCCCAATCTTGCGCAGCACAGACAGTCCATTCCACCGCGTCTGAGGGCTCGCGTGCTCCCCGCACTGCCGGACAACACTGTCCACCGCCCGCTCGATCTGCTCAATCACCCTCAACGCCATCTCGGACTGCCTCTTGTCGCTCATCCGTCCACACGACACGTTGATCGCCTTCCAGATGTCGCGAGAGTAGCTGTCAAAGTTCAGCACGCGCCGCCGCTCCTGCTCGCGCTGCTGCTCTACCCTGTGCCGCACCATGTTTGCCACGTCTGGATAGCGCTGCGCTGCCTCGGCGATGATCTCGGATAACTGCTCTGGGCGGAGCTCCTCCATGTACTCTTTGATTTGGTCGGCTGTGAGGCGTGCGTCTTTGTCGGATTTGTCTGCTGGAATGTGCACGTCGCCGGCAGAGTTTGCACGCGCGAGCTTGGTGGCCGGACCTTCCATGGTTGCTTTGTGGTTTCGATGCTCGAGGTGGACTGGTATACTCGTGAGGATAGTGGGCTAATTTAAGCTATGTGGGATGGCTAGGGAATTTACAGCAGACGGTGACGGTCTACTCCGTAGCTCAAACTGCTAAACCTCGGATAGTATATGTGGGGCTCTAGAAGTGTTGAGAGATGTTGAGCGGGTATGAGCTTATTAATTTGATCATAGCAGCTCTGCTTACATTGCGAGTTGCAGCAGATCATGGTTCAGGACATTCCGCCACTGACTCTGAACCACGATCAGCTATATAACCCGTTGTTGTCTATCCTACAGAAAGCAGTCTCTCTGCGTAAAGCCCTGCCACGTCTGGTCGGCCCACTGTGGGTCCCGGATGGTTACCACGGGTCATAGGGTGTTCCATTCACTTGGATCAGGAACGGTCTTCTAAGTTTCAACCCTCCAGGAGATATTTGGTGGAGGATATGGGCTCTTAAAGTGCTCGTGGTGGTGATTGTGTCGTAGATTGGTAGTGTATATCCCTGTGGATTCCACACTATGAAATGGCCATGTGGACAGTCAGTGCATCATTTTAGGCAGTACTGTGTTGGTCAGATTGATCAGGACGAAACTATGCTGGAATCTAGACACTGCTTGAATCATTTCCAGCATTGTATTCCCGTTATATCTTATCCAAGAGGTATACACCCTGTAGGTAATGGTCCACACATATATATCATATCACTTTGGACGATATCAAAGAATGACTGGCCTTCTGCTTGTCCATTATTCTATCTCATCAACTAAATTATTCACAGCGATATGTACAAAGCTTGACCCGAACTTGTAGAGTCAATGGTCTGTCCTCAAATCGGCTCGGGATCCGCCTCGGACCGATCCTATCCTTGATCCATTCTTCTCTCTCCGACCCTCGGGATCCTTCATCTGCTTCATTCTTCTTCACTCTTACCTGTATCTTCCCTTGGATCTATCTCCTCTACCTTTCCCTTCACTGTCTTCTTTTCAGTCAAAAATGGGGTTGACTCTGAATGCAAAGCTGAAGCAAGGCCATCGACTGCCACCATGATTGGCCCAGCCGTAGTCATCGCGCAGTTCAGCCGAGATATAATCTCAGACATGTGGGTCTGGCCTGTCATCCAATTCGCTTTCATCCCAGCGTGGACCAGCCCGATAACCTATGAAAGACTGCATAAACCGACGATCACTAGCTCAAGGCTCAAGTCCGAGGCTTTCCCACTAAACCTAGAATGCAGGGGGCTGCGTCCGGATTCACAATCAGTCAAAGCTTGTGCTCCCTTCACTATTTATCCTTACGACACCCACGGATGGGAAGAAGAAATGACCCAGGTCATCTTGGCTGGAGCCCGCTATAATCACTAACGCCCCCTTCCCCCCTCCAATCGTCATGTCACCTTCCTGTTTCGCCATGCATGATGGCTCCATCACCGTCATCGACATCGATCTCCCGTGCGGCGTCACAAACTCCTCCCACCCCCACGTCACCTGTTGCGTCGCCGGGGACTATTGCATGAGTAACTCCATCTGCAAGCATGCTCCTGCAAACGGGCCGGACGTCTACTACAATGCCGACTGCACCCAGGAGGCCATGGAAGACCCCGCCTGCGGCGTTCGATGCGGTTAGCTTATCCCTCCCTTCCCGTCTCACCCACCGTCGTCCGACCAGAGACTGATAAATGCCATGCAGGCGGCAAACATCGCTCCGACCTCACCTACAACAAAGCAAAGGGCTCCTGGGCCTGCTGCGGCATCAACGACGACGGCACCGCCAACTGCGACAACGCAACCGACGAGATCTTCCCCGCTCCTCCCCCAACATGGCTCGCCACCATCCAGTATCTCCCTCCCGAAGGGACGCCCACCTACGCGACTTCCAAACCAACACCCACCCCGAATAGCAACACCGGCGCAGTCAGTGCTGGCACGGCGGCGGGGATCGGCATCGGCGCGGGACTAGGCGTAGTTCTCCTCGCTGGCGCGGTCGCGTTCTTCTTCCTGCGAGACAGGAAAAAACCCATCCCCACCCACCAGTCGACTAACTATTACCCCGTGCCTGACCAGACACCGCTGAACGCGCCGCCGTCTCTGTCTCACCGGTCGTGGCAGTCGTCTCTCGTGGAACCCCAGTCGTCGGCCGTGTATGAGATCGGGAAGGGTCGGGAACCGAGCGAGATAGACACGTCTTATCAGCCGCACGGGCGGTAGCATCGGCGATGCAGGTGCTACATGGAAGTGTGCAGTTTGGGCGGTTGACCGCGTTTGTTGTGTCTATTGCTGCGATAGACAATGTATATAATAGACTGCTGTAGCTGCAGCTGGACTGCACGCTTTACAGATACATATTAATCGATTTGAAAAGTATACATAATCATGTTCCGTGATTGAGGTAGACATACATTTATAAGCCTGGAACAAACAGCCACGGCTGGTTAGTATCGTAGAGCTAGAATTAATTGTAGTCAACTAGACCAAGCAATCAATATATATGCTATCAAAATCAATTCATCATATACTCATAAATAAAAACCTAAGTCCAAGCGTCCCAACTCAACCCGTCCCTAAACTCCAGACCGACCTGCGGCCCCTCAGACCCCACGATATACCCCCCCTCGCACGCACTATACGACACCTTCGGCTGGTCATTATAAAATTTATCGTACTGCGACGCCAGCGCATCTTTCAACGACGCGACCCCTCCCTCTGGGTGGAGCACATTCCACGGCTTGATGCACGTGGGGCCTTGGCAGGATTTGAGGACCAGGAGGAGGGCGTCGAGCCGGTCGAGGACTTTTCGTAGCGGCCGGCCGAGGAGGTGCGTTGCGGTCGGGGTGTTTGTGTAGATGTTTGTTATTTGGTAGGGGTCCGTCTGCTACCATTAGATTGGTTTTTTTTTTTTTTTTGGATATGTAGATAGTGGAGGACATACCGAAAGATCGTAGAGCTCGTGCTCGTTGGAGCACCATACCGCGTAGTACAGGTTATATCCGTCGCCGAGAATGCGAGCAGACTTGTACGTGTTGTTCATGATAGTGGTGGTTCCGTTTGGTCCTGTCGCTGTCAGCCGCGTCCTCGCAATTGAAGATCCTACTACTAGTAATGGGAGGCATACCAATCCGAGCATAATCCCCCTCGAGAACAGCTTTCCCCCAAAACTCCACAGTGACATGTTCATGCGCAATCCCCACCGACGACCGTGCAATAGGCATCGGCGTGCCGTCGAAATCCTCCCGCAGGTCCACGCCCGCAAGCTCGAAGAACGTCGGTGCCAGATCGATGTGCGTAGTGACCGAGTCGCTCGTCTGGCCGGCGGAGATGCCCGGCCCGCGGATGAAGAACGGCACCCGGATGTCCTCCTCGTACCCCGTCGTCTTTCCGGGGGTCATGCGGTGCTGCCCGATGTGGAAGCCGTTGTCGGACGAGAAGATGATGTACGTGTTGTCGATCTCGCCGCTCTCTTCGAGTCGCGTGACGAGCTTGTCGACGAGCTCGTCGACGCTTTGCAGGGAGCGCAGACGCTGGCGGTAGTAGTGGTCTTGGTAGTCGACTACTGTCTGGTTCTGGAGTTCCAGCTTGTTCACCCAGCTGACACCGGTGCTGTTCTTCGGGTTGAAGTTCGCTGTGCGCGGTACCTTGACGTCCTTGAAGAGGTGGCGGTGTCGCGGTGCCGGAACCGGCTCTCGCATGATGGTCGGACCAGCGCTGCTTGAGCTAGACGGGGAGATATCCGAGTGTGGCGCGATGGGCGCAACAGTCAAGAAGAACGGGCGATCCTCGCGCAGCGCGTCTTCCAAAAACCCCAGCGACTTCTCGCTAATCACATCGCCCGTGTACTGGCCCTCGTAGTTGCGCGGGGGCTCGTGGTTACGCTGGTAGGTCGAGTTGTAGTAGGAGTAAGTGTGCGGGTCAAGCAGGAAGTCCGAGCCGTTGAAGCCCTTGACGAACGGCTTGTTGTAGGTGGTTAAGCTCTGCGCGTTCATCAGCTTCCCCGTGTAGAACGTGTTGTAGCCCGCGTTTTGCATCCACACGGGGAACCAGTCCTCGTTGAACCCGCGCTCCACGAACTTGGGGTATCCGCCCCACGGGGGCTTCACGTCTGTGACGTTGGTGTTGTGCGCCTGACGGCCGGTCCACAGGCTTACTCGCGACGGGCAGCATAGTGACGTCGTCACGAAGTGGTTCGTGAAGTCGATGCCTTTGTCTTTGATGTGCCGGAGGATGTGTGGCGTGTATGCCGTGGAATTGAGCTGTAGGTCTTGGTCGTCGGTAATGACGAATAGAAAATTCGGCTTTTTGGGCGTCTCGCGACTATAGAGGGTGCTTTGCTGGCTTGGGAAGGCGTTGCAAGCGGACAATAGACCGCCTGCGGCCAAGAGTGAGGAGACTTTCATGGTGAGACGACTGATGAGCTGGTGAGTAGAAAGCTGTGGATTGCAGCTGTTTAAGATATACACAGCATGCCCAATGCTCGACAGCTCCGCACTATGGCGTATGGCATGGGCAGGATGATGACATGCTCCATCGATGTGACGATAGCGAACTAATATATTAACCAGTCAAGACACCCAATAAGACAAAACAACCCGGAAAAGTCCCAAGAAGGGGACTGAATCCCTGGACGCGTTCTCCAATCAAGGGTTTGTGGGCACGGGGCTGCAAGGGGTTCTCCCAATTGGGTTGATCGATTGGCCCGCATTGGAACTATTCTCATTGAATCTTCGCGGGTGGAGACAACCGAGCTTCTTTTGTTATGCCGTGTGGTGCTAGGATTGACCAGTCGTGCGCTAGAGACCCATGTGGCTGATCGGACGGCATATTCTGTGCCTCATCCCTGGAGCGATGGAGCCATAGTTGATATAGCAAAACTTCCATTGACTCACAACAATCAAAATCTTGTCCCAACCTCGATTATCGTTCTTTTCTGCAGTTTCGAAGCTGTTGACATGGTATAATGCAGAATCATACGGGACAGGGGAAGCTAGTCTCCACTCTTGTGGAGTCATCCCCACAGCGAATTACGTGCTCGGCTCTAAGATGAGCTCATATTGGGGAAAGAAAGCTCACCACAGAAGCCAATTCCTGATATGCATTTGATTGGTTTCAATCATTTTGTGCATGAAGCTCACTGGTCGGATATACCGTCGGTCAATGTCTGGGTGCAACATGCATTGTTGTGCAATCGGATTGCCTGGTATAATCTATCCTGATTCCATTAATAAGCCCTATATCCAATTTAACAAAGGCTTATTGAAGAGAAGATAACTTGGCCGCCCTTACCGCTCTTTCATTTAGCAGCTAGACCAATAAAGGAAAGGGTCAATGCTGGTTAAGAGTATAACGCGAGTCAAGCGTAGGACGTGAGTCTGTACACGGTGGATGAGATCCGCAGTGCGCCATGGGTAGCTCTGGATACCAATAGGATCTCACTGCAGTGACGTCAAGCTTTAACTGCGATAACAAATCGAGCCAAACTATAGCCTACTTCTCAATATGAGTCGGAAACGTGGATCACTCTGAAGAGTCTAACCTTGATATGTTTAATCACATGTTTACCTCAATTAAGCACGGAAAAATCAAAACCAGATTGAGGACAGACGAATCTATCCAGATGGATATGCATGCTCTCCACCATTCCAGTAGCGCTGCAGTCCCCACAATGCAGGTTCAAAGCTAGCGCCAGATATCGACCTGCACCGCGGTGGTCGTCCCACAAGCCGCAGGCACAGCATAGTCGCGATTTGGATCGCTCTCCCACTGCACGGTTCCAACGGTCTTCACCCGGATAAATTTGTATTCAAAAATCTGACCAGCCGGTAGAGTCACGGTGGTTGACCAGAGAGGATCACAGCTGGAGTACTTGTCTGCGTTTAGGGATACTCCCTTATCCGGTGTCCAGGTGCCTAGCTGTGTCGTTGAGCCCACTAACTTGATTTCTTCTCCCCAGGCTGTCGTCGCGCGTAAGTCGAACGTCACGGCGACGGCGGTCGAAATCGTGCATGGTGTGTTGATAGTGGTGGTGGTGGTGGTGGTGGTCGGCCCCCCCGATTTCGTGCTGATCGCTGGCCATGTTGAAATAGTAACGCTGCAGTATGTTCCGGAGGCTGAAGTTGCAATACAAACAGCAGGCACGCTCGTTGCCGATTGTTCGCCCCAGGCAGCTGGCATCACCGCATTTCGACGATTGTTTGCGGTCAACAGCGCCGCGTAGGACCAAGTGAGATCACGAGCAGATGCCTGAGAGCCATCTGACTTGGATAATTGCTCGGCCATGGAGCCATTAAGATGGGTGTACGCTTGCTGCTGCGGTTAGATTTTCATTGCAAAGTAGAAACACCAGACGGGCAGGAATGCCATACCACAATACTCACGAAGCCATCCGCGTACGTCTTCACAGCACTGACAATACTCGAATAAGTTGCGCTCGAAGAGGAGAACGTCCCCATGGCCGCGGAGCTATAAATGCCTTTGAAGAACGGTAATGATACATCGCTGATAGTCAAACACCCCTGTTGGCCCTACTGGTACAACGCGTCGTAAAGCTGCTCTGCCGCAGTGAGGGTGCATAAGAACCATGGGTTTCCGTTGTAGTAACTGTCTTCGGGATACCGACCGACCGCCACGGCGGCACCACTATCGATCCCCGAGTTGATTCCGTATAACGACCGGAATGCATCTACCACTACCTTATGGTTCGCGAGAGCGCGAGGTGAACATGGCTGGAACGTCGAGTCGTCACAGCCTGCTTGGGGATCGAAGGTGTGGACACTACCGAGCAGTGTGTTGGTGTCTTTCCCCGTGCGTCCTCCGCCCAAATTGGCCAGGACGTAACTTCCTGTCCAAAAGTGCTGCAAAAGGCAGAGCACTTGGGGTGCCTGAGAGTCACAATAAGGGCAAGTCGCGCCAACGCTCTGTGCAAATGCGCTTCCCTCCACCAGCGCACGGTGCTGCACAGCAAGGGTGAAAAATGAGGACCCGGAAACTTCTTCCCACAGATCTGCATGTTACACGTATGAGTGACTGCCATAACCTTAGTTGAATAGATAGTAGAAAGGCATTACCATATCCCGTCTGGTTCCAGTATTGCGCCACATAGGACAGATCGTTCCTCACCACCGGCCATACCAGATCCGATGCCACGCTGGTATATCCGTGTTCTTATACCCATCAATATCGATTGTCAATGTGCTATAAAATTCCAAGCATACAAGCAGCCACTGTCCAAATGCAATCATCCCCGTGGCTCGTAGAGCTGGTCCATCATGCTGCGGCCGACCCCACGACTCTGTGTACGCCGTCTCGTCGACATTGAATTTTGGTTCGCCTAATCCCCCGCTGCATAAATTACCAGAAGGATTTGTGACGCCTTGAATTCGTGCCTGCGAGAAAATCCACTCCTCAATAATTGGCAGCAGGCTGGTATCCCCGTTGCGAAACAAGTCCACTAGCGTTTTGAGCACCAGACTCGAATCACGCGTCCACGTGTAGAAGTCTAGCCGGTTAGCCTATAAAGCCTGTAGAGAGACAATGCTTACAATTGGGATTGTCCGTGCTGGGACTTGCCACGACCACGCCTGTCCTTGCTCCGGGAACCCAGACCCCGCTGGATCCAATGTTATTCAAGATCGCCTGACGTGCATACCTGACTTCGCTGCTTATCCAGGTGTTCAAAGACGACTGCCGGGGTTGAATAGATACAGCGGCAAAAGCTGTTAGACCTAGGCTGCAGATGCCTAGAACGCGTGGAAGAGGTGTCAGCATGGCGGGGTTTTGTCTGTTGAACTGTGGACGGGTTCTCACCATCATGAGTTGGTATCTCGGAGAACAGCGCCATATTATGGCCGGTAAGAACATCTCTGCCAGCTCTTCAGTGGACTGTTAATATTTTCTACCTCAGGTGACTATGAGCAGTAGGTTGGACGGTGCAACGCTGCCAGCAGACCTGCATTATAGCATGTCCTACCGACAAACTCTATGTTGTTGCTCCTTCCTGGCTCCCGTCTATTGTGCAGCCCTCCATTTTTTCGCATCCTTGAATGGCCCTGGCTGTCTCTCAATCTCCCCTCGACAGCTTTTGGTTGCGAGGAGTTTGGACATTGGTCAAAAAATAAACGAAAGTCTCATTGCATCAATTCAACCGGCAGACCGTGCTTTCAAATCATGACAAATATCCCGTTGCGTAAATCATGCTTTTCAGTACACTCAACCCGATGATTGTCTTTCAAAGTGGTTTTAGCGACTCATATCCACGCCAGCAATAAGTGTAATGGAAGGTTTTGGATGGCACACCAAATGGTTTAGCGAGCCACGAGTAGTGATGCTGGGTTTTATGAGTGATAGAATATGCAATCAAAGGATCAATTGCTGGTCTGTCGAGCCCCTCCTGGAAAACTGTGATCCACAGAGTCTTGCGTAAACATGACCTTTTCTACGTGGAGGCAGACATCAGGTTCCTCGGATAGATTATTATGTTGAGTATTGGTGCTCTCCTTGGTCTAAGAACAGATGTAGTGTGTTCAGATAACTCTGTATAGAACCTTGAATAGGATCAGACTTTAGTCGAGCGAAGCAACTGATTGGTCAATGCCCCTATTTAGTGGTGAATATAAAGAGCTTATATTTCAACCCGTATCGGTGCAATCCCATGCAGACCTTTTAGCTCTCTGCATACTTCTTTTTCTCTTTCTTCTGCAACTCCCTTCATCCTCTATGATATATGCACTTCTCCTTTCCCAAACCTTACCATCTCGCATAACTTCCTCCTTGTCATGACAAGTTCGAATAGCTTTATACTAACCGTGTTCAACTCTTCAGAGCTTGCGAGGACACGATATAGAAACCCAGAAGGGCTTTGACTTTCAGGGCGGCCGCTCAGGTTCTAGTTATGAGTGCTGACGAGCGCGCCTTTACACCTTTTTGAGGTGCATACTTGACCGGCGATTCTCTCAGCCCTGGGTATTATTTCTTATGGTTTTCTCAATTATTTGGACGCATGGTTGACGTTGAGAACACGTTGGGTGTGTGGGCCCGGTAGGAGTCGAGCCCTGTCATCAAGTCATTCTCCCGGTGATATGCTCCGGGAAAATGCGAGAGATCATCACATTGTAAAGCTCTATTCTAAGGTTCAAATTTCGTCGACTTGGACCAAATAGACGCAGCGGTGTCGTCTTGAAAGACGAAAGGCGATCGATTAGCCTCGCGGACAGCACGTAGACAGTCCTTCAGAAAATCGTGACTCCCAGTTAACGTCGAAGAAGTAGGTACAGAGGCTCAATTCCATCTTATCAAGACCGCCACATACAACATGCTAGATGAGAGGTCTAAGAACAGGATGGGTGTGTGATTTACCGTATCCCTCGGTATATTCTAGTCCTTCGTGTCGTGGACTTAAGTTAGTGTCGCAATAAAAGAAGGATTGCCACTCGGCGAGAAAGCTATCAAGGCATGTTTGGGCTCTGTAAATTACCCTATATTCACGGCGGTACTTGCTTTTGATTTATGGTGTACTCTCCTGTGGTCTCTTTGAAACCCCGGTGGTTGATGCACCTAAGATTGTCGAGTCAGGGTTTATCCACCTGTCGCGTATGATTCACGAGTTCGGAGTCAGAGCTCAGCACGTTCATGACAGAAACTGCAAGATGAAACTATACAACTCCAGATCATCCTGATCATCTGAATATCGGCAAAAAACTCTCAGCCCTTCCCGACTCCTCTTTTGGCTCATCTGGTCCGCAACGGTTCCCCGCACGGGAATGATCTGCAGCATCAATTACGGAGAAATTCCCCCCGCTAACGTGGGGATAGGATAGGGGCTAAACCCGGTCAGCCTGTCCGGCATTCTTGTGTCTACCGTCGTTCGTGAAACGATCTGCCTCGGTTCACATGGGGATGGCCAATTATGGGTGTCATCGAGCTGCAAGGAATCGCCGACGCTGTTGCATGTTAACATGGCCGGCAGATGGGATCGCGGATACCAACCGATTGTCAATCGCGTCGTGCATTGACAGACAGGCCTGCGAAATGGCAGATCTGCAGACGCAGAATGCGCCGTTTTGGGCGCGATTGAAAAATGATAAAGGCCGCCATGTCCTTTCTAGCTCGCTCTTTCCTTTGACAACAATCTACCCACCCGCGGCACCATGATCTTTCGTTCTCTCGTGCCACTCCTCGCATTGGCGTCGGCCGTTGTCGCGACGCCAACGGTGACCATCGCAGAGCCCTCTGCCACCATCATCGGCAGCGATGGCCTAAGCCAGGTGGAAAAGTTCAACAACATCCCCTTTGCGCAGCAACCCACCGGATCGCTTCGTCTGAGACCCCCTCGTCCCTTGGATAAACCGCTCGGGACGGTCGAGGCGACCGGAATCTCAAAATCGTGCCCGCAATTCTTCTTCTCAACTGATAATACCGAGTTTCCCGGTTCGTTGGTCGGCCAGTTGGCGAACCATCCGCTGCTCCAGAAGGTGGTCAGTGAGGGAGAGGACTGCCTGGGACTCAACATTCGACGCCCAGCGGGCACCACACCCGAGTCGAAGCTGCCCGTGCTGGTGTGGTTCTTTGGTGGTGGCTTCGAGCTGGGCTCGTCGCTGATGTACGATGGCACGCCCCTGGTCAGCAGCTCGGTGGACTTGGACATGCCGGTCATCTTTGTCGGCATCAGCTACCGCGTCGCTGGGTTTGGATTCTTGCCTGGGAAAGAGGTTCTGGAAGACGGCGCGTCCAATTTAGGTCTGCTAGACCAGCGGGCAGGGCTGCAGTGGGTCGCCGACAACATTGCAGCTTTTGGAGGCGATCCAGACCGGGTGACAATCTGGGGCGAGTCGGCAGGCTCCATTTCCGTCTATGACCAGATGATTCTGTTTGGAGGGGACCATACTTACAAGGGGAAGCCTCTGTTCCAGGGCGGCATTATGAGTTCCGGCGGGGCTACCCCAGCGGAACCCATGGACAGCAAGAGAGCCCAGCGCATCTACGACAAGGTGGTCTCGGTCGCCAAATGCGATAAGGCCCCCAGCTCCTTGGAGTGTCTTCGCGAACTCGACTACGACGATCTCCTCAACGCTACTAATTCCGTGCCGGGGCTGCTCAGCTACTACTCTCCCGCGCTGTCATATCTGCCTCGTCCCGATGGAAAAGTTCTGACGGAGAGCCCCGAACGACTTGGCAAGGCCGGCAAGTACGCGCGCGTTCCATTTATCATCGGCGATCAAGAAGACGAGGGGACCTTGTTTGCCCTGTTCCAGAGCAACATCACCACCACGGACGACCTCGTCGACTACCTCAGCGGATATCTATGGGACGAGGCGAGCCGCGAGCAGCTGGAGGAGCTGGTCGCCTCATATCAGGACATCACCACGCACGGCTCGCCGTTCCGCACCGGTATGCTCAATAATTGGTACCCCCAGTTCAAGCGCCTGGCTGCCATTCTGGGCGACGTGCTCTTTAATCTCTCGCGACGGGTGCTTCTGAACAACGCCGCTGAGGTGTCCCCCGACGTTCCCAGCTGGTCTTACCTGTCGTCGTATAACTACGGCACGCCCATACTGGGCACCGTGCACGGTACCGATATTCTACAGGTGTTCTACGGCATCCTCCCCAACTACGCCTCGCGTGCTATTCACACCTACTTTTTCAGCTTCGTCTACGACCAGGACCCGAACTCGCGTCGCGGCGATTTGATGGAGTGGCCGCAGTGGAAGGACAAGAAGCAGCTCATGCAATTCTTTAACGATCATGCGGAGCTACTGACCGATGACTATCGATCGGATTCATATGAGGTCCTTGTCAAGATTGGGGATTCTCTACATATTTGATATGCTATTGGTAGTGCTTTGTATGGTTCTATTGTGTTGTTGTTTGATGTTCGTTCTGGGATGATCTATGATGTCGTGATGCTGTAACTCGTTCAAAGTTGATATACCAAGTATATTGAACAATGCATCTCTCATCGGTCAGTGTGAGTCATGCCTCACAGAAATGACATTATTCTGTATTATGACAATAGCAAACGCAAAGTATGCCCATTAGATGGAAATGCCTAGCACGTCATTATTACAGCAGAATAGTAGAAGCTTCGAGAAGAACAAGTCATGCCCGACAGACGGAAATGGATCCAGTGTGTAATTATCGAGTCATCCGACAGGATGAAGTGTCTTTGGCGTTTATTTGTAACAGCAGCGCAGAAGCTACGAGAAGAACGAGTTCTGTTACCTCTTTCCAGACGATATAACCAACAGATAGTGAACCAGCAGGCCAGAAATCACCTCCATATATCAACCATATCCATACGCGTAGTAACCATACAAGTCTCCAAAAACAACCCAGACATCAACCCTAATAATAGCCCCTGACAAAGACGCATAAGCATAACAATAGTACAATACAGGATGTTACCCAAAATAGACCAGACAAGCTTTTGTTTAAGCTCGGCATTAGCGGCCCGCGAATTCCCCACAATGTCGTTGGCCGCGATATCAAACCCTGACTGCCGTCAGAACGATATCACCCTTCGTCAAGAACTAGCGGCATACACGGCTCGTTCTATACAATGACCAGCATCGTCGTAATTTGCAATCAAAAAGTCGGAATCATCGGGTGCGTGAATAGACTTCCAGCTGGGTATAAATATGGCGAGCTGGCCCGTCGCCCTGGGCTTTTCTTCTTCTCTTCTGCAACCATCTGTCCGTATACCAACTTTCGTTACCAATAAGCTTCGAAGATCGACTACATCTTCGTACGTCATTCGCTAGTAGTGAAAAACCTATCTTGAAATTTTGCCTTGTGTCAACCACTCGCTTACCTCTTGGAGATTACATACATCTTCATCCTCCTCCAGTCCTATACCAAAAGGGACTACACTCGCTTCTTACGACCTTACTGCATCAGCAGTCACTACATCACACCACACCAATACCTCCTCCGTCTGATAATCAGACATAAAAACATACATCTCATCTAAAACATCATCTAAAACCAACATGTCGACCTGGAAAGACCTGTTCGACACCGACCCTCAGGGCACCCGGGCATTCATCGACCCACGTGCCACCGACCTCAGCATCATATACGACATCACAATGACCCCAACCAACATGTTCGAAACACGCCGATATGCCACTGCCCACCGACCAACCTCGCAGTGGCATAACGAGATCGAACCATACCTCCAGGCACCAACCGAATCCGACGACGAAATCCGACCCTCCGCGCGCTCACTCACCAGACTGCGCCGCTTCGACACACCACCACGCCCTTACGCCTCCATCCGCCCTTACCATTGGAGGCTCCTCAAAATCGGCCTCCTCTCGGTGCAGCTCCCGCACAACGCGACGACGCACCCGGTTCCGCCACTCCGACCAGCGCCCCACCTCGAAGCAGTAATCGACCGTGCATGGGCCGATCCGACACTCGTCGCGGGCATTGAGAAGGCTGCGGGGAAGCATGGAGCTGATGTCGTCTCTGTGATCTTCGAGGTTGCGGGTGTGTCTTACCCTTCGGGGACCGAGTTCGGGGGTAGTAGTGGTGGTGGTGGGTGGTCGGAGGGGGAGTCCGGCTCGGGGGCGGAGGCGGATGATGAGGCGAGTTGTGGTGATTGGGGGGACTCGGTTGGGCACACCGGGCTGAGGTTTTCGCAGCGGCGACGGGCTCCTGTGGCTCGCGTCATGCTCGGCTCGCACGTTTCGTCGCTCGCTCGACTGATTCTGCAGATGCAGATTCAGTCTTTGTTAAAGAGGAGGAGATTGAATAGGTGGGGGTTTGATGTTTTGATTAATACGCCAACTGTGTTTAAGTGGGGGAAGAATGGTGAGGAAAGAAGGTGGTGGTGATCTTGTTTTTCTTTCTTTTTATATGTCTTTCTTGTTTCTTCTATGTTTCTTCTGTACCGTTTTTATGTTTTATGTCTGTCATGTCTCATGTCTTTCATACGTTCTGGGTATCTGATGTCTTATGATTTTTCATGCTTTCATGTCGTCTGAGATTCATGTATTTTAGTACAGGCCTTGGTTGGGTGGCTGGGATGGGCCTGGGACAAGTGACTCCTCAATCCACTTGTTTTATATCATCATCATCTTTCTTCCTCGGCTCGAGTAAATGTGGGCAAGTAATCTGTTACACAATGTTCCATGTGGGAACATATATGAAAGCATGAACAGTAGCTATAATATGGGTGATATAGAATAAAGAATGGCATCCGTGGAATATAGAAGGATCAGGTGACCCGCATGCCCTAGTCCGATATTAGACCTCACCTATTCCCTGCTCTCGCTTCGACTCTCCATTAACTGAATCTGATATTTCCATTGGTCATGCCAATGAGATGGTACGGTCCAGATAGCGTGAAGGCAAGGCCAACTCTTCCCAATCAAGTATTTCCAAGATCTTGGATTCATCTATTTTGATAACGGTAGAGTCTGCGGGGTTCATTGCCAGTGGGAAACGAGATGATAGGGTGGAACAGCCACACGGTATCTCTCCGTCCACACGGTATTCCGCCCACCCTTCGCTTGTCCGTAGAGGAAACACCGGAATGGCAAACCAAGTCCTGCCAAGGGCCAAGGTTGCATTGGAAAAGTCTGGGCAAGAGTGGTGCCCAGACCGCGCCAAGTCGGGGTGCGAGTTGGTCCCTATCAGTTCCTCCCGTTCCTACTCGTTTCCCCGCATATTTACCTATCTCTCCTTGGAAACTCTACTTAGATTTGGGTTTACCTCTTCCCCCTGCCCCCTGTAGTCTATGACCCTAAGAATCCTCAATCCTACAATCCTACAATCCTACAATTCTGTTGGATTGCCTGTATCCAGGCCCAACGCCTCTGTCACACGGACCATACTCTGCGAGATATATCGACATGGCAAAACAGGTCGGCCTCGCCAGCCCCCGGTTACTTGCGGTGGGCTTGGCCTGTTGTACCACCTGAAAGTCAATGGATTCATTCCCTGCTAGACCGAGTGAATGGAACATTTCCTCCGATCACGCGAGACTGGGAAAGATAGCTGTTCCCCGATAGGATGGTTCGAAGTGAACCCCAGACGGCTTGGGTTGTTCCTTGTGGCAGGTGGGAGTTCATTCCTGTTGTCTATTAAAGCATGTCTGCAGGTCTTCCTCCCCCATAAATCTTCGGGCTTTTCCTTCTCCTTTTTTTTCCTTTCTTTCCCACCTCATCTCACTCATAGTTTCCATCCATATCTGCCATCATGAACGCTTCCGATCCGGTCGAGGTGGCCGAGATCGCCAAAGCACACGCCGCCATGGCCGACAGCAAAGAGATTTCTGTTCAGCGCCAGCGATCGTCCAGTCCCGGCATCGAGGAGATCCCTGCCTCCAAGGAGATTGCCGTGGCCGAGGTGACCGCGGTGGATGACGATCTCGACTCGAAGAAGACGTACCCCACTGACGATGATCTGCGTACGCTGCGTCGCGTGGCGGGCAAGATCCCTTGGACCACCTACACTGTAGCGTTTGTCGAGCTCTGCGAGCGTTTCTCCTACTACGGCACCACGGCGGTCTTTGTCAACTTCCTCCAGCGTCCTCTACCCGAGGGTTCCTCCACCGGCGCAGGCGGGGATGATGGTATCCCAGGCGCCCTGGGCTTGGGTCAACAGGCCTCGACCGGTTTGACCTTGTGTATGTTCCATTCCCATTGACTTGACCTCTCAACAGCCGATCAATTCCTTGCTAACTGTCACAGTCAACGCTTTCTGGGCATACATTATGCCCCTGGCGGGTGCCTTCATGGCCGACCAGTACTGGGGCCGATTCCGCACCATCATGTTCTCGATCGGCGTCGCTCTCGTCGGTCACAGCATCCTGATCGTCTCCGCCATCCCCGCCGTCATCGCGCACCCCGGTGGCTCGGTCGCGTGTTTCTCGATTGGTCTGATCATCATGGGCATGGGAACGGGCGGTTTTAAGGCCAACATCTCCCCCCTGATCGCCGAGCAGTACCGCGAGGATACACCCTACATTCGCACCTTGGAGTCCGGCGAGCGCGTCATCATTGATCCCGCCGCTACCGTCTCTCGCATCTACCTGTACTTCTACTTTATGGTCAACACTGGCTCTCTCGCGGGCCAGGTCAGCATGGTCTACGCTGAGCGCTACGTCGGCTTCTGGCTGTCGTACCTGCTTCCCACCATCATGTTCCTCTGGTGCCCGCTCGTGCTCTTCCTCTGCCGTAACAAGTATTACTTTGTTCAGCCGACGGGGTCGGTGTATCTGCAGGCCTTCCGCCTGTGGAAGATGGCGATGAAGGGACGCTGGTCGCTGAACCCAGCCCGAATGTATGTCTCTCTCATCTCCTTCTCAATGATCTAGCGACATGCTGACCGACATAGGTTCAAGAAGAATGACCGTCCGTTCTGGGACGCGGTCAAGCCGTCCGCACTGGGCGCCAACCGCCCGGTGTGGATGACGTTTGACGATGAATGGGTGGACGAGGTCGCCCGTGGACTCAAAGCCTGCAAGGTCTTCCTGTGGTACCCTCTGTACTGTGAGTTCTCCCCTAGCCGACGACTTCGACAGAACGGCAATCTAACGTAACCAATCCAGGGCTGGCCTATAACCAAATGCTGAACAACCTCACCTCCCAAGCGGGTACGCCTATTCCCCTCCCTCCCTCTCCAACACTCCCACCACTAACAAACACCTCCAGCTACGATGCGTCTCGGCGGCGTCCCCAACGACATCATCAACAACCTCAACCCCCTGGCCCTAATCATCTTCATCCCCATCATGGACCGCCTCGTCTACCCCGGCCTCCGCCGAATGGGCTTCAAATTCACGCCCGTCAAGCGCATCACAGCGGGATTCTTCATGGCAGGCATGTCCATGATCGCCGCAACAGTCACCCAATACTACATCTACAAGCTCGGCGACTGCGGCAAGGAGGCCAACTATTGTCTCGACGAGCACAAAAAGTACTCCCCCATCTCCGTCTGGGTCCAGGCTCTCACCTACGTGCTGGGCGGTATCTCTGAGATCTTCGCCTCGGTTACTTCCCTCGAGTATGCCTTCACCAAGGCCCCCCGCAACATGCGCTCGCTGATCCAGGCCGTCGCGCTCTTCATGAATGCGTTCTCCTCGGCTATCGGCCAGGCCTTCGTTGGTCTGGCGGAGGACCCCCTGCTGGAGTGGAACTACGCCGTCGTTGCCATTCTGGCCTTCATTGGTGGTGTGGGCTTCTGGTCGACTAACTATAAGCTGGATCGCCGGGAGGATGAGCTCAACCATCTCCCTCAGAGCCAGTACCAGGGGAAGCAGCCTAACGTCGATGAGGAGGGGAGGGCTTGACTGGATGTAGTTTCGTCTTGAAGTGCTTTCTGGCATGAATGTCTTGTCCGTTGAATCGCATGTGTAGTCAAATATGACCAGTTGTTGAATACTCGTTACGGCGTACTGTAGTTTTCCAAAGTATGGTTGTTCAAAAGTAGATCAAGGCTTAATAAACCATCAATTTATAGACTATTCAGTAATACCTATATACCTACTCTCCACTCACCAGCTTCACCTCCACATTGGCCCAAGGTCAACAAACTTTGTACCTCCATCCAGAAACACCTAAGACGAATAAAGACCTTTACTCCCTCCCAGCCAAATTCTTCGCCTGATCCGTCCCAGACTTCTTAGCGTCTTCGGTCTTCTTCTTCGCCTGCTCGGACATGTCTGATTAATCAGTTAATATGTATATCAATCCCCAAAAAAGTCAAGAAAAAGATTCGCAAGAGATAGGTCTAAGAAAGAAAAAGTCTAATGAAGCCAACTGCGTAATCGAGACTGCCGTCTCACCCTGCGCACATGCTGCTGCTGCTGGCTGGGGACGAGCTTGATCGGGGAGTGTGGGTTGGTTTGTGTTTGGGCTTGGATTTGGGCTTGTTTTTGACTGTGGGTTTTGGGTCTTGTGGTTCTTGCTTTTGTCTTCTTGTGTATTTGTATGTGTGATGGTGATGGTGATGGTGATGGTGATGGGGACGCAGTCGGGGTCGGGGTCCGGGATGGGCACGTACTGTCCTGTTGGGATTCTTTGTCTGTCATTTTGTTAGTGTTTCTATGATCTATACAGAAGGAAGGAAATAGGAAGCAAAGACAGAGGGCATACTGTGGAATAAATTATCAAACTGCTTCTTAGCGCCCTCTTCAATCTCGTGCACCTTGTCTTTGAGGGAGTCCATTTTGGTAGCTCTTGGTTGGTTGATACTGTAATTTCTCTTTGGTAGAGAGCAAGTAAAGATTGGTTGAGGCTTGATGAGAATGGAATATGGCTGAATGATCATCTATGTGGTCTGTGATTGTGTCGTTATATGTACTGAGGGCGAGTCGTGACATCACTGTAGTCGATGACTTCAGATTTCTGTTTTGGGCAATCCTCTCTCTGGTTGTGTCGGATTACATACTCTTCCCCATTTCTTAGCATGATATTGTCTGATTCATTGTGTAATACATCATGTGCAGAAGTGGGTGCAAATGTTATAATCAAGTCTACTTATCATAACTTATCATCATGTAAAATCAATCAAATATGGTATCGTAAATCAAGCATCGGTTACTGCACCTTCTTCTCCCCCACAAACTCCATCGCCTCATCTACGTTCCCATTCCGCGCAAACTTCATATCCTTGAGGTAATGCTCCCGCGGCTTCCACGGCCCGCTGTCACCCGCCTTGGGCAGCGAGTCCGCCGCCGTCAGCACATACGTCGAGTTGATCGTCAGCAGCGGCTGCGGCTTCAGCTGCGCTGCGTCCGTCGCGGAAAGGCGCGGCACGGCAGCCTGCGCGCCGCGCTTCTCCAGCTCGCGGAGTAGACGGCACGCGAATTGGGCGGTGGCGTCTGCGCCGAGCGTCCACGACGCGTTGGCGTACCCGAGCACGAAGATCGCGTTCGGCAGATCTTGCAGCATCAGGCCGTGCCAGAGGAACTTGTCGGCGATGTTCAGCGGCTCCCCGTCGACGGTCAGTGACGCGCCGCCCGCAACCTGCAGCCGCAGTCCCGTCGCGGTCACGATCATGTCCGCGTCGAGGTGCTGGCCGGAGCTTACGGAGATGCCGGTCTTGGTGACTTCCCGGATGGTGTCGGTCGCGACGGAGGCCCGCCCCGAGTGGAGACTCTTGAAGAAATCCCCGTCTGGGGTGACGCACAGTCGCTGATCCCAGGGGTTGTATCGCGGGCGGAAGTGCGGCTCGAAGGGCACGCCCTTGGGCAACTGCCGCCAGACCTGCAGGCGGAGGATGAAGCGCGCGACCGACGGGAAGGACTGGCAGAAGAGGAAGAACCAGCGCGAGGTCATCATCCAGCTGATGCGCTGCATCTTGCGGTACAGCGCCGTCGGCAGGATGTAGCTGAGCCAGGTGCGCTGGTTGTTGGGCAGCGACAGGATGTACGTGGGCGACCGCTGCAGCATCGTGACGTGGGACGCCTTTTCTGCCAGCTTGGGCAGCAGCGTGATGGCCGTGGCGCCGCTGCCGATGACGACCATCTTCTTGCCGGTGTAGTCCAAATCCTCGGGCCAGAACTGCGGGTGTATGATCTGCCCCTCAAAGTTGTCCAGCCCCGGGATTTCGGTCTGCAGCGGCGTGTTGTAGTCGTAGTAGCCCGTTCCGAAGATGACCATCCGGGCCGATACCGACCGCACCTGGCCCTGGTGGTCGACGCTCAGCGTCCAGGTGCGGTCCTCGGTCGACCAGTCTGCGCCGAGCATGCACTGTTCGTACTGGATCTTCTGGTCGATGCCGTGGTGGCGAGCCGCGTTGCGCACGTAGGCCGCGATCGCGTGTCCGTCCGCGATGGCGCAGTCCTGATCCCAGGGGTACCACTCAAAACCGAAGGTGAAGAGGTCCGAGTCGGAGCGGATTCCGGGATAGCGGAAGAGGTCCCAGGTGCCTCCAAGCGACGTGCGCGCCTCGAGGATGGCATAGCGTAAGTTGGGGAACTGCGACTGCACCCGGTAGGCCGCGTTGATGCCGGAAATGCCGGCGCCGACGATGACGACGTCGTAATCGTCCATGTTCAAGAGGTTGGAGGTGGGAAGGAAGGGAGGAGGAAGGAAGGGGCTGAAGATGAAGGGACGACACCGACCAGCATGGGGAGTGTCGGTCGGATATAAATAAAAAATGACAACAATGTCCAGTCGATTCGCGACGACTCCGATTTGGCATTAAGTCATTGGAGACTTGAGCATCCAATCAGACCACCGCCTCACATGTTCCTCGGTAATCTAGTAATGGTTGCCCCATTCAGGAAGGGTCGCGAGTCGCGAGACGCGCTAGAGTAAAGCCTAGAAAAGATTAAGATAAATGGGAAAAGGCAGATCTGGGGCAACCGAGGGACAGACTGCAAAATAGACCAGGATTCGGTGGATCATCGTGGGGTTCGGTCTGCTGGGACGCTGGGAATGGCACATCTTTGCCGGATCGGGTAATGGTTGCGATTTCTTCACATGTACTCCCACCCGCCATTATATGGCTCCAGTCCCAGCCAATTCCCCTCTTCTCTGAATAACATCAGACCACTGCAGCCCGCCCACCATGTTCAACGGCGTATCCCTCACCCTGCGTGAGAAGCTCGACTTCATCCCCGCTCTCGGGACGCTATGGCTCACCATCGTGTGGGCCATGTTCACCGGGCTTTGGCGCTCCGAACACTATCCCAAGAGCTGGCTCTTGCACATCGGATATGCCACCTTTCGCAAGGCCACCGCACGGTTGTCCATCCGCCAGATGCAGTATGTGCTGCCTCCGACCAACAAGATCTACGAGCAGTACGCGCGCAAGGCCAAGCAACTCGCCAACACGGTCGATCTGGGCGATGGCGCCCTGGGACACTGGATCGGGAAGCATGATGCTGATACTGTGCTGATCTGGTATCACGGTATGCTCTCCTTTGGGGTATGATTTTGAGCCTATTCTGATAAAACGCCAGGTGGCGGTTTTGCTCTCCCGGCCAACATGGCGTATTTCAAATTCTTCGGGACCCTGGTCGGTGACGCCAGCCGCGCCGGCAAGTCGTTCTCGGTCTTCACTCTGACCTACTCGTTGGCCCCCACGGCCACTTACCCCACGCAGCTACGCCAGGCCGTGTCGGCGCTTCGATACATCGCCGGCCAGAACCCGAGCAAACAGATCCTGCTCGGCGGCGACTCCGCCGGCGGCAACCTAGTGGGCGGCGTGATGTCGCATCTGGCGCACACTCATCCGCTGATCGAGCCCCTGACTCTGTCGCAACCGCTGGGCGGCGCCGTCATGATCGCGCCCTGGACGATGATGATCACCGACTTCACGGGCCATCTCATCGACTCGCGCGGGGATCTCATCACCGAGGCCGTCGCGGCTCCCTGGGCTGGTTCCTACCTGGGCACCGCCCCGCGCGATAACTACACGGACCTGGCCGATGCCCCTGTGGAGTGGTTCGAGACCTTCCCCGTCCGTAAAGTCCTGGTCTGCGCCGGCGAACGCGAGATCCTCCTGCCTGTCATCGAGCAATTTGTGGAAAAGCTCCGCAAGGGCTTCCCCAACGATGTGGAATACTGCCTCGGCAAGCGCGAAGGCCATGTCGCTCCTGTCTATAACCTGCATATCGGGGATAAAACGGAGACGGAGCAGGGCAAGCGTGTACGCAGCTGGTTGCTTGAGGTTGTTTAGCTTGTTTAGGTTGTTTATATTTGCCTTCGTTCTTTAGCCACTCTGCGCATAACCGCGGGTTTGTGTGTACATAGCTACCGGTTTATTCGGTGTATTAAACAAGCAAATTGAATCTATTCATCAAGACATGAGTGTCTATGATCGATAGAAATTGGCTGTCACCTGACTACAGCCGTGACAATTCTACTTTCTTGAACTCTTCTTCTCACATCAACTCACCCACAATCAAACATTATATATATGATCTTATATTTGATCAGCTACGGAGCGGTTTATTCTCTCATCTTCCAACAACTCAACTCACAGTTCTATGCAGACCGCTTGGCGGATCCTCCTGCTGGGCGCTTGCCGAAGTTCAAGTCGCGACCATCGAAAGTCTTCCCTATAACTAAGGCGCTTTCTCAACATATATCTGATACTGTATAGCGAAACATCTCATAATGTGTTATATTCCTTTTCTTTATAGGCTGTCTTCATAAAGCACTGTTTCTATTTGACAAGCTCAGCTGGATCAAATCTATAAAAAGAAGTCATCCTTGTCGTGTTGGCGGCTGGAGTGCATACACCAGGCGCCCATTACGCGCCATGGTTTACCCCACGAGCTTGAATTATGTATAAGTGATGTCTGCCTCACCCCCTTCCCATTTTCCTTTCCACTTCTCACAGACTTTAAACCTATAACAGCAATCCAAGAAATTGATGATATGGGAGACGCCGGTGTCGACATAGAAATTGTGTCTAGCAAGGCAGGCTACCATATCGCGTGCCACAGACCCCGTGCCGCCAGCCTTGCCTACAGTGACTACACCGTGGGATGGATCTGCGCGTTGCCAAAAGAGTTGACGGCGGCGACAGCTATTCTAGACCAGATACACCCAAATCTTCCCAAGTCACCAGATGACCGTAACGCATACACATTAGGGTCTATCGGCAAGCATAACATTGTTATAGCATGTTTACCGAAAGAAGGAACTGGCAATGCTTCGATTTCCATATCTGCGACACAGATGGCGCGCACTTTTCCATTTCTAAAATTTAGTCTCTTGGTTGGAATCGGCGGCGGTATTCCACCCAAGGTCAGTCTTGGTGACGTTGTTGTCAGCACTCCGGGGGATGGGCATCAGGGAGTGGTGGAGTGGGACTTTGGAAAGGCAGAAAATGGTAGGTTGTTTGGCCGGGTTGGTAGGCATAATAGCCCTCCGGTGGCGCTGTTAACAGCGTTGGCAAAGATGGAGTCCCAGGGTGAACTATGGGGGCATAAGATACCTCAGTATCTGGACGATATGGCGATGAAATGGCCAAATATGGTGCCAGGGTATACCCATGCACCATGTCGCAAAGGGCACAGGGCCGCCCGCACAGACTTTGCGCCGGAACAAGTGAAACTGGAAGCGCCCGAAAGCCAATCCGAAGACATGCGCGTGCATTACGGGCTAATAGCGTCGGGTAGCCAGGCAGTCACGGATGCGAAATTTCGTGACAGTCTCGATGAGTGTCTTGGCGGGGACGTATTGTGTCTCGAAACAGGCGCTGCAGGGCTTGTGGATGACTTCCCATGTCTTGTTATTCGTGGTATCAGCAATTATGCTGATTCACAGACGACCGACGAGTGGCAGGAACATGCTGCAGGTGTAGCGACAGCCTGTGCGAAGGAGCTTCTTCAATATGTACAGCCAAGTGATGTTGTTGGAGAGCGCTCGACTGAGGACATTCTGAGCCATGGTCAGTGTCCCGACCTGCTACTTTTTTAATTGACGAATTCTAACATATTTTGCAGTTGTTGACAGGCTTGAATCGTTGAGGTCCAAGATGGATAGAAACGAGGATCTCGAGATTCTCGACTGGCTTACACCAATTGACTATGGTCCTCGTCACAGCGAGCTGATAAGACAAAGACAACCAGGCACTGGTCAGTGGTTCTTGGACTCTGATGAGTACTATTCTTGGCGAACCTCCGGCTGTCAGACATTATTCTGTCCAGGCATTCCCGGAGCAGGGAAAACAATGATGACCGCAATTGTCATTCACGACCTGACTACACGGCTCTTGCAGGATCAGTCTGTTGGGATCGCGTATTTATACTGCAACTTCCGCCACAAGGATGAACAAGGGTTGGAAGACTTACTCGCAAGCCTTCTGAAGCAGCTATGCCAGGACCGGCCTTTCCTACCAGACATCGTGAGGCATTTTTATAACAAGCATAAAAATAAGAGGACACGGCCCTTGCTTGGAGAAATTATACAAGCTGTCATTTCTGTAGCGGCCATGTATTCAAGAGTCTTCATTATTGTCGACGCGCTGGATGAATGTCAAGCCTCCGATGGCTACCTGTCAGGATTTTTAACGCAACTCATCCACCTCCAGGCGCAGTGCGGGCTAAATATATTCGTCACTTCCAGGCTCGTCCCGCAGGTCATGGAAAAGTTCAAGTCCAGCACGAAATTGGAAATCCGTGCACATGACCAAGACATACGGAGATATCTCAGTGCCCGAATATCACAACTACAACGTACCCTTTTGGCATCACGTGTTGACGAGGTTCATGATAACATCACCAAAGCTGCAGATGGAATGTAAGCAATCGTGTCCATCGCCCGACTACGTGATCTAACCGTGAGCTAGGTTTCTCCTGGCCCAGCTACAATTTGAATCGGTTCGAACACAAAAAACAATCAAAAAGGTTCGAGGCGCCTTGAAAAGACTTCCTATCGGAGTCGCATATGAACATGTCTACAACGACACTATGCAACGGATTCGGGAGCTGGACAGTAATTCTCGGGACCTTGCAAAAGACACGCTGTCATGGATAACCTTCGCAAAGAGACCCCTCTCTCCAGCTGAACTTCAGCACGCCCTCGCCGTGGAGCACGACGAGCCCGACCTCGACCACGATAATCTTCCACAGGTCGAAGAGATGATCTCCGTTTGTGCCGGACTAATCACAGTGGACAAAGACAGCAACATTATCCGATTCGCCCACTACACGATGAAAGAATACTTCCAGCAAGCGCAGAAGCATTGGTTTCCAGACGCAGAGGTCAAAATCACACGAACCTGCATTTCTTATCTATCATTCCACGCATTTGAGACCGGACCGTGTCAAACAGGGCGTGAGCTTACAGAGCGCCTGCAGATGTATCCGCTGTATGACTACGCCGCATGCAACTGGGGACATCATGCGCGGGACGCTTCGACTTTATGTCCTGAAGCTGTGAAGTTTTTGAACTGTGAGATGAAAGTAAAGGCGTCAGTTCAGGTGCTAATGCAAGGGGGTTTGTCAAGGGATAAGCAGATGACGGGTGGTCAGTTGGCGGTATATTTTGGCATTGATAGAACGGTAAAAGCTTTTCTTCAGAAAGATTCAAGATGTGCCTGGTCGTGCTCTGCTCCTTCGGAGATCGAGAGATGAAGACAGTGGTCAACTTGACCATTGACCAGGCGGGCAGAGACAACGCCTTATTTGTTGTTACAATATGATTTGAAGTCGTTGTTCGGGTTATATTGAATGACATGAGTCATGGAGCTGTTACAGTCTAAATGCACTATATTAATTGCTTCCTTGGTGATTCTTTTTATACTATTTCTTTATTACGCTACCTTACTTCTCTATCTATGACGCATACAAAACGCAAGACCATAGCAGTGTATATAGTTAAAATGGGTATTCGCTGTACAATCAAGCTTATCATACATCAATGAAAATTTACTTCTGCTCCTGCAGAGACTGACACTTGCGGAGATTGAACAGGTCCCTGGAACCAATTCCCCGGGCGCGATCCTGCAGCCACGAGGGAAAGGCACGTATCAGGCTGATGAAGGTGAGTCGGCCCGGCAGGATGACCTGGCCGCTCTTCTGCTGGACAATCTGCCGCACGATGGCTTCCGACACCATCTCGACCGTCAACACGGGCTGCTTGAACTGTTCGCCGGCGTCGGTAAGCTGCTGGATCATGGGAGTTCGCACCCAGAGCGGATGGATCACACTAAGCTGTTAGTTGGGTCTCCTTCGATTGGTTAGATTGTTAGGACCATACCTAGTGCGCACTTTGGGCGCATTGTACCACTTCTTCAGCTCCTGGCCCAGTCCCTCGTGGAAGGCGAGGGCGCTGGCCTTTGAGCAGCAGTAGTCGACCATCTCGCCCAGGGAGATGAAGCTAGCCATGCTGGCGACGGTGATGACATGGCCGTGGTTCCGGCTGATCATGAAGGGCAGGAACTCGCGCACCATGAGGAAGTGGGAAATGGTGTTGACCTCGAAAGTCTGGCGGATCTTGGCCTCTGGCTCGTCCAAGATGGAGCCGTCGTGGCCCACGCCGGCGTTGTTGACCAGCACTGTCGGGTCGCCGTGGTCGGCGCGGATCTGCTGTGCCACGGCGCGGATGTTGTCGGACGAGGTGATGTCGGCATTGTAGAAGGCAACGTTTGCGGGCAGCTTAAACGGGGGCTCTTGGATGTCGAGAATGACCACCCGGACGCCTGCCGCTGCCAGGTCGAGCATGATCTGCTTGCCGATGCCGCTGCAGCCTCCCGTTACCAGGGCCAGCTCGCGCGCTGGATCCCAGGGATCACTGCGGGTGAAGTTGTTGGCTGTCCATTTGTTGAGACACTTGTTGGTCTGGTGCAACGCGCCCAGCGCTCCTAGGACGGCGACTGCCTTGGGAACGAGTGGATGCGACAGGACATTCTGTGCCTGCGGAGGGAGACGCTCCAGGGCCGCCTGCGACCACTGGCGGAGAAATTGCAGAGAAGTATCTAGAGACATGATGACTGGACTTAGGATTATGCGGATGAGCAAAAGCCGAAGTGTTGGTTGTATATATAGTGAAGTCGGTAATGGAAATCACCACCGAGGCTCACACGAGGCCCGATCATTGCCGAATTGGGAAGTGGTTGCGAAACTGATAGTGGGGGAAAAAAAACCACGATGATGTCTTCTCCCACCAGGCACATCCATTTCCTCCATTCAAACATCTAGAGTTTGGATACCAATGCGCAGGTGGATCTCGCACTGCTACCCTTGTTGTCTCTTTTCTTCTGCCTTCCCCGCATGGATCCCTGTGTGCGTCATTCCTGATCGCATGGATTAGGGTTATTTCTCCACGTTGCAGGCATCATCATCCTAGCGCAGTCCACCTTCACATTCACATTTGTTTCGTCCATCTGGCTCTTTTCACTTTTTTGATTGTTTTGCCTCTTTTGACTCCTCATGCCAACGCTTCACGGTTCCTTTCCAGAATCGCACTCCTTTCCCCATCCGACGGTATCCAGACGTAGATCCACTGTGGATCCCACCCGTCCTTGTCGCCGCGACGGATCAGACAATCGATATTACATGAATTAAGAATTGTGGTATTAATTCCCCAGGTCCCCCACAATTCTATCGGTCGGGTCAGGAGTCCCCCTATTCGTGGCGTTGTCTAGATTTACCAGTTCGATTGATCGACCATGGATCCCCGTCTCTCCTTCATCCTCGCCTCTCTTGTCGAGGCGTTTGCCTTGCATCGCGTCGTCTTTGTCGATGCAACTCTGCGCACCGTCGCTTTGGCCGTGTTTGGCGTCAACTTGGGTCTGTTGGCTGTGTGGAATGTCGCTATATACCCGTTCTTCGTGACACCGTTGCGCCACCTACCCACTGCTCCGGTATTACCTTCTCTCTAAAAAAAAAAAAAAAAAAAAGATTATATGTAATATAAGGTGTACTGACTCGCGAAGGGCTATCTCAATAATCTCAAAGTCATCTTTGATGAACCCCGTGGGAAAATCCCGCTAGAATGGATGCGCACCATTCCCAACGAGGGCCTCATCCACTACCGCGATGTGCTCCAACGCAGTCACCTGCTGGCTACCAACCACCAGGCCCTGCTGGATATCATGAGCACTAACACTTATGATTTTGAGAAGCCCTTCCGTGCCCGCGACTTTTTGGCTCGTATCATTGGTTGGGGGTTGATTCTGTCCGAGGGACCTGCCCACAGGACGCAGCGCAAGGCCCTTACCCCGTCTTTCAACATCAAGAACATCCGCGCCCTGTATTCTCTCATGTGGGAGAAGACCGGGTTGCTGATGAACGAGCTGGAGCGCGAGATGGGCGAACATGATGGCAAGGTTGAGATGAGCGAGTGGGCTAGGTATGTCTCCCTTTCTCGATTTCTACACGAAATACTCCAGTATAATCAGAATCTAATCTAAACAGCCGCCTCACCCTCGACATCATCGGCCCCACAGCCATGGGTCGCGATTTCCGCTCCCTCCAAAACCTCGACAACAGAGTCGCCGACAGCTTCCTCGCCATCCTGGAACCCTCCAAGGAGAAGATGGCCTTCCTAGCAATCAACTTCTTGGTCCCGCAGTGGCTCATCCAGCGCATGCCCTTCCGCCTCAACGCTGTCATCAACGAGGAGACAGGTTTCCTGCGCGGTCTCTGCAAGGACATCGTGCGCGAGAAGCGCATCATGATCACCGAGACAAAAGCTACCTCCCAGTCCCTTGAGGCCGACATTCTCGGCACCATGCTACTAGGCGGTGACTTCACCGACGACGAGCTCGTCGACCAGATGATGACCTTCCTCGCTGCCGGCCACGAAACCACCGCCAGCGCATTCACCTGGGCTTGCTACCTCCTGACCCTCCACCCGGAGGTCCAGGAGCGTCTTCGCGCTGAGATCCGCGAGCGTATCCCCTCCGGCGACCACCCCATCACTTCCGCTGACCTGGAAACCCTCCCCCTCCTCAACGGCGTCTGCCAGGAAGTCCTCCGTCTGTATCCCACGGTCCCCATCACCATCCGCGAGTCCGTCCGCAACACCGTCGTGGCCGGCAAACATGTCCCCAAAGGCACGCGCATCATCCTCTGTCCCTACGCCATCAACCGCAGCCCCGAGTTCTGGGGTGCCGACGGCGACCGTTTCCTCCCTGAGCGGTGGATCAACGCCGACGGCACGGCCAACAACACGGGCGGCGCGTCGACCAACTTCGCGCAGATTACCTTCCTGCATGGCCAGCGTGCCTGTATTGGGAAGGACTTTGCCCGTGCCGAGCTGCGCTGTGCGGTGGCCGGTGTTGTGGGCAGGTTTCGCTTTGAGATGCAGGATCCGAAGCAGGTTATCCATATTCGCGGGGCTGTGACTACCAAGCCGGTTGAGGGGATGCATTTGCGGATGCAGCGAGTTGATGCGTGGTAGTTTGTCTTTATAATGATTGACGATTGATATTGGTAAGATTGAGATATAGGATATTAGCGTTGTGATTATCTGTTCTGTATGTAGTTATGTCAACTATTCGACTCTTGCTTAAACTTTGGATAAAATTAGGATATGGATATGTATTTTGAGCTAACAGTTGCATGAAATAACTCAATCCGTCAAATATATTTAATAATGCTGCTATATCGATCCTAATTTTCATCCACTCAATCTGACCACTGCACACAAGTCTACGAACTACCAGACTGACACTCCACCCCAATATCCCCATCAATCCCATCACACACAATAACAGGCGGATCCCCCGCAGGACTGCTCAAATCGATATTCTCCAGCGTCACGTCTGAACACACTGCATTAGGCGAGCACACCAGACTCCCGACAACGTTGCCCGCTTTGCCAGACGACGTGCCCGAGACATTCTCAAACCGGATGTCAGTGACGTTCACATGCGACGGAAACTCGGCGCACTCGGGCGCCTCGATGTTGAAGTAGCACTGGTCGAGCACGATCGGGTGGTCTGTGTTCTCGACGTGGATGTCTTTGTATGTGATGTTCCTGATGCGGCCGTAGCCGACGTCTTTGCCAGCCCATGCTTTGAGACGGGCTCCGTTCTACAGCCGTGTTAGAATTGGGGGAGTCTTGCAGTGGATTGGAAGGGCCTACCTCTCCGTTCAACAGCGTCACATTCTGGATATAAGCATGCTCAATCACGTCCATCACCCCCGGATACTGCCCGATGCTGCCCATGCTGACCCCGTGCGTGTTGTTGCACCACAGGTTCTGCACGAAGATGTGCGTCGTGTTGGGCTTCGGCGAGAAGCAGTCGTCGCCGACGTCCACGCGTGTGTTTGTTACTGTTAACCCGTCGAGGTTGAGCGAGTCGAAGCCGTCTGTGTTTTTGGCTAGGGCCTGCGAAGTCATGAGCTTGCTGGCCGATCTAATCCAAGATTCAAGGCAAGGAGTAGGTACGTACCGACTTATTGGTCGAATAAGCATGAATAAACACATCATCAAACGAGACGTCCTTGCTGCGGACGAAGAAATTCGTCCAACACGGCGAATTCAACTGCTTGATTCCTTCGACGGAGACCCGCGTCGCATTGTCCGTCGTGAATAGGATCGGTCGATAGAAGACATTGTCCGGGTCGAGGATCTCCTTGCCAGCAAATTCGTTGTACCAGCGCTGGCCGTTGCCGTTCAGCACACCCGATCCGAAGATCTTGATGTCTTTGCCGCCCCACACCCAGAATGTGATGGACTTCTGGAAGTCGAAGTAGAAGTGGTTGGATTGCCAGTAGTCGATGTCGTCTGTGAACTATCCCATTGATCAGTTGTTTGGTTTTTCGATTCCCACACCACCACCAACAATAATGATGATAATGATAATAAGAATATACCAGAATCTCCCCATCCAACTGCACCTCGACATCATCCAAAAATGTCAAATCCAACTTCTTCCCAATAACATACTTCTTCCCCCTCTGCAGCAGCAGTCTGCCCCCATGGTTCGCGCGCTTCATCCCCCACAGGAAATCGCGCGAGATGTCATCCGTGTCATTGCGCGACGGCCGGATTGTCACCGTTCGTCGATCACGGTGGTGGTGATGGTGGCCTCCTAGGTGCTTGAGCGTCGCTGTGTCGCTCGCTGGGATGATGTGTGCGCCGGGGATTATTGCAGAGGGGATGCTATGCAATGCGCTGGCCAGGGTGGTGGGTAGGAGAGCGCTTGTTAAGAGCGCGGACAGCCAAGGGAGTTTCATTGTGGGTGAGGTTCAGTTGAGTTGAGTTGGGATTGTAGATTGTCTGGTGGTGCTGTTCTATTTTACTCTGCTGTCGGCGCGCTGCATTGCATCTTTATAGTACCGTCCTTGGTTATTCTGGCTGCTTGATCATCTTCGAGCTCCTCGTTACCTGCTAGTTTGTAATTCAATGAATTGACTTCCCCAGATCAGCGTGGAACAAGTTTCTCCACCTGTTAGATGCCCTACTATCTCCATGATCCGGAGAATTGAGTGTTTGGCGACGGAGTCGAATTCCCCGACGCTGGAAAAGATACTTCCACCAATCGGACTACCGGTTTTCTATCAAGACATATTCATGTACGAAGTACCTATCTAACCATAAGTGCAGTGCGATACGAGCTTGATTCCTTTTGTAGTATAGTAGTCACTGCTAATGCCGGCAGTTGATTCCATATATCAAGAAATTATGTGTTTAGGGCGAAACCTGGGGTCGAACTCCATTATGATTGGTTGTATATTGTCATTTTGATGCAGACTGTCTTCCGTGGCTACTTCTTAGGTAGTCACATACGACGTACCAGCTATAGTGGAAACTGATGTCAACGGCGGCATGTTACAGCGTCTTGGCCGCTTCCAGCAGCCCCGCGATGCAGCCGATATTGCCCGAAAACCAAAACGCAGACCGGAGGAAACTCATCCCCTCCGACTCCGTCAACGCGTAGCTGACTGTGAATAACACCCGCGACACGCTATACCATGCTCCAACTCCGTTGATTGTTTCGGTCGGAAGGCCGGTGAAGATGCCAAGGAGCACTGTTTGGTCAGCTTGTGATGCAAGAGTTTGAAAGAAAAGTAGAGTACAAAGATAGACATACTCGCTGCAATAAATAGAGGAAACCCCTCAACCGCGTTCGCGTGCGCAGCTTCCTGACGCTTCAGTCGGCTCAGCGTTGCACGGCTGATCTTCCCCGACTGTACAGCGGCCTCGCCGTATTTAGCCAAGTCCTCACGCGGCGCGCTGTTGTGGTCAAGACCGAGCCACATCTTGGACGCTCGTGCGCTGGTCGCGAGGTACGCGAAGAACCAGTTGGCCACGATATAAGCCACTGCGTGGTTGGGTGGCGCGGCACTGCCGGCCGCGGCACGAAGGCCAAGGGTGCTCAAGATAGAACTGTCAAGTGTCAATGAGAATTCCAAGTACTCGATAGGTGGGGAGAGGTGGGGGGCGGTAGAGTCCGTGTCTTCACTTACGACATGATCGACATCAACAATGGTGAGTGTCAAATGGGTGGGTGAACAGGCAATCAGGGGCGCGGGGGCCTTTTAACTCTCCGTCCGCGGACTACGGGGATGGTACGTCACAAGCCAGCGTCTCCATGCCGATCATCCTAGCCGAATAGCGTCTCCGCTTCGCACTAACGATCGATTGGGGGCCATCGACGCGGACCCAGTAGTATCTGTCCTAGAACCCCGTGAAGAAGTCGTTGTTCCAGAACTCTGGGAGCCCGTAGTCTCCCGTATCGAAGATATTCCCAAAATCCAGGGGCTAAAAAAATCAGCATATATGCATCAATCGTAGGGTCACCCGCAAGCTTACTGAAAGGCCCGTGGAAGGCCACGACGCCGGGTCCATGGACAGTTCTGGCGTTGCTGGATATAGTCCGGGGGTCGATAGCGGTGGAACTTCGCAATTCTCGGCGCGTCGGACATCGGCCCAAGTCGCCCCGTTCAGCATCTGGTTGCATTGCTGAATGACCCTTGCTGAAGCCTGTTCGACACTTTTATACAGGTCCCCTTGCCCGCCCAGCCGCGCCTTGACCGACGCCAAACCCATACTAAGGAAGAAGAACGGTTTCCCACCTTTCCCGTTAGGCGAGATCCGAGCGCCAAACGTATCGATCGTATGCTCCACCGCCCGAATCAAGATATCTTGTTGTGACCGGACTAGATCATTCAGAGCGTTGGGCGGTCTCGAGGCGGGCGACGGCCCCGATTTAGCAAACTCATTTGCCTGGAGAGACAGCTCCACGCAAATCATGATGGCAGCATGGAAAAATTCTTCCCGAAACATTCCCCCACTCAACTGCCCCAGATGGGGACAGGCCTGCGCTTCTGGCAGAGTGACCACTGGGGGGTCCAGCGATGAGAGCATCTCCAGGGATGTCTCAAGACAGATCTTGCGGGAGTACGAGAATTGAGGAGACAGGAGGATGCTCAAAGCGAACGGCCTATGAAGAACCAGAAGAAACCGACGCATGAGGAACTCATAAAAGTCCCGCGCGAAAGACCGCTCGTCTAGCAGGGTAGCGGCCTGGTCCAGGTATTGCCGGACTTGTTCGCTCATCTGAAGGGCGTCGTCGTACGAAAGGGTGAATTTGAGTTTGTTCACTAGCTTGGCGATGCGAACCCGGAGGGGCAAAGATCGTGCCAGCAAGACCTGAAAGCTACTTCGAGTGCCTACGGTCAAGTCTTGGGGAATTGGGTCTTCCGTCATCGTTTCCGTCAAATCAGCGTCGTCGTAGTTGGAAGGTGGCTCGCAATCGTATTCGTCGAGATCAATCTGCGTCACCATGCCTCCGTCCAGCGCCGACTGGAGATCCAGCTCCAGTATAGTTGCCCATAGCCGGCGACGCATTTCCGCCCAGAACTTCCCAATCTTGGAGAACTGCGTGGGACTACGGTGCAAGCCCATCGTCATTGCGGAGCGAATCACGGAGCCAGACGCAATCCAGCCTAGATCACCATCATTCGCGCCAGCCTGGCGGGCAATGAGAAGCAGGCACTGGATCTGTAACATGTTGAACTCGATGGACGAACTGACCAAGGTCGAAGCAAGCCATGCATCGACAGCCACAATCCACCCCGTGGCCGCCGTGTGCAGGGTCTCCTCCTCACTGAGTCTGGTGGCCGGGCTGAAAAAGCCACTACTAGCAGCCATCAGCGCCAGCAATGTCGCGAGAAAACCCATGTCGGTGGTCCCCGTATCATTCCAATAGGCCTCGTACTGTTCAACAAAGCTCGGGACATGCAAGATGCGGTACGTCGTCTCGAAAGTGGCCAAATAGACATTGAGTAGTTCGTCGGCGACCCGTCGGGGCGGCAGTATCTCCGCCAAGGCAAAGGCCTTTTTCCGATAAGCACGCTGGTGGTCCTGTTGTTCTCTGGACCAGAGTTTGCTCTTGAGCTTCTTAAGACTGCAAAGCTCTGCTTTACGGTTTTTGGAGTCGCCGCCTTTTCCTTTCAAGAAGATGTCGATGTCTTTGAATAGGGACAGGGACACGGCCCAATGCGATCGTCCCCCGAACCGGGTTTTACCTCCCTTGCCTCGAAAACAGTACTTCTTCGGAAGGTGTTTTACGGCATCGCTCAGATCCTGCGCGTCCGATGTCGTTCGCCGCACGTCTGAATCCGAATGCGCATCGGCGCCGCTGGTCTCGGGCGTTGGAATGGAGTTTGCCTGGGTGAGGGCGCGTTCCAGTCCTTGCACGCGACTGCGCAACTCGGACAGTTCATCCGAGCGTCTCTGGGGTTTGGTCACTCGACTGCGCGACGAGAAATGGAAGGACGAGTTCTGAAGATGCTTCGAATCAAAGACGTGGAGCCCACCGTGGACAGGACTCCCCCGACCGACGGAGCTCTGGGACTGTTCGCGATGGCTTTGGCGGGCGCTACTTGCCGACTGCGGATCAACATAAACACACGACTCGGGAGACTTGGACTTGATGCACTGCTCGCAGGGTATGGATCGGTCGCATTTCAATTTGCGGCGACGACAGATGGTACAGGACAAGGCGGGTCGGCGGCGTCGGGGGGGTGATCTGGGTGACGTCGCCAGACCCGAGAGCGCGGTATCATCCATGCGATCGAATGGGCGGAGGACCAAGGGAAATCAGCATTAAATCAAGTCGAATTGACTTCAATCACAAAACAGAAGTATCCAGGTCTCACTTTTATGTGTAGAGATGGTAGTAGGGAGTGAAGTTGAAGTTGAAGTTGAAGTTGTTGGAATTGTTGCTGGTGCGGAGGTCGGAGTCGGCACTCGGTGTTTTACCCTATCAGGGTAACTCCGACCAAGACACATGACGCCACTTTCTCTCCTTCTGTTCGACTTCATCTTCTTCTTCTTCGACGACTCTTTATCGACATATAATACCGCCTCGTCTCTGTTATACATCCTTGACAATCGTGTCATTGTCGGAGTTGTCGACTACTATCAATGGGATACGTCATACGACTCATGGCAAATCGCCAATCCGATACGAAACACGCTGTCTATGGGTCGGGTGGATGATCTCCATCTATGAAGAATGGGATGACTCTGATACATCCCATTCGCCGGTGGATCATCTCCCTTTGAGGAAGGGGTTTGAGGCTACCTATGACATCGCGATGGCTGCGCTTCTCATTTCTCTCTCTCTCTCTGCCTCTGCCTCTCATTCCCTCAAACCAGCAACATCTTGGTCGTACTACATAATATGGGTTGAACGATCTACTTAACTTATGGTATCTGGCAAGAATGTTACTCCTCTTCCTCCCTCTCCCCCTTCTTCTCACCACATTATATCTCCGATCGCGATATCCCCTCGTCCAGCTTGTCTTGCTACCGGCGATCATCCTCGGCACCCTCCACGCGCTTCTCTACCCACCCGAAGCCCAGGCATGGGTACAATACGCAAATGGCTTCCTCTCGGTCGGCTACCTTGTCCGTGCCGTCGAGCTTCTGCTCGTCCGAGACGTGGAGCAGCTCCGCGCCCTTGATCGCACCTCTCGTTCCTCGGCATACTCCTGGCAGCCAATGCCCGCGGCGTTGGGCTGGACACGTCTTCGTTGGATGCTCGACTTGGTCATGAACCCCCGCGCCATCGGCTGGAGCCACGGCTCAGCCAGGTACCACCACCCGGAGCGTCTACGAAATCGGCGCCTGCCTTTTTTCTGCAGCCGACTTCTCACACTCGTCACGGCCTATCTCGTCTTCGATGCCCACCAGACCTGCTTTTCGCGAAACTATCCCCGAGTCTGCTCGACGATCGCGACGATCCTGGATACCACTTGGGGGGTCGAGAACGCTCCCGAGATCAGCGAAAATATAGCCATCACCTACCTATTCCCCGTTTCCTGCTGGCTAGCGGTCTTCTCCTTCATGGAAGCAGTCCGCACACTCTACAGTATGGTGACGGTGGCGATCCTGGGCACGTTTTCGGACCTGCCGTCCGGCGAACCATGGATGTATCCCGGATGGTTTGGATCCGTCACTAGTCTTTTCCGTCTCAACCTCAAAGGTACGACAGCAGATCCCCCGCTCTCTGTACAGAACCCCCACATGCTGACCATGTCCAGGTATCTGGGGCAAGATGTGGCACGATCTCTGCCGTCGCCCCTTACTAGCCATATCCGTCACCATGACCCCCCGACGCTGGCCCGGCGCTCTCAAAACCTTCTTCATCTTCTACCTCTCGTTCATCATCTCAGGCACGTTCCACGCAGCGGGCGCATACGCGACCTTACAAAGCGCCCACTCCGCCGCCATGATGATGGCCTTTTTCAACGTCCTGCCTGTCTTCATTGCCCTGCAGCAGCTCCTCTCGGAGTACCTCATTCCACAGCTCCTGCCCCGGGGGTTGTTGGCGGATGGCGTGGCGTGGTCCACCGATGCGGTGATCATGGCCGTGTGGACGCATTGGACGTGTCCGTGGTTTACTAAGTACAGTGCGGTGCCGGAGATCATTGCGTCGTTTCCCCTGCCGGTCAGCTTCTGGGGTTGGCTGGGTGGATATATGTAGCTATTTTACTATGCGGTTAAGGTGCAACCACGCCTTTAGGTGTCAAAGGGCATATATATATATATATATATTTCTAGAAGTATATTACCGGTGCGAATAGCCAGCTCATGCGACCACGCTTGGATAATGCACATGCTTTTGATGTAGACCTCTCCAATTAAAATGTAATAGTGACAATAACATCGGTAAACAAACTTTTGTACCGCCATACCACGCTATGCATATTATATATCAACTTCCAACACGCACGCCTATACAATTATACTATGCCTTGCGCCAGGTCAAACCTTTGACCGTGCGCAAGTACACCAGCAGATAAACCATTAGGTAGTTGGAGATCACAAACGCCACGAAAATGCCAAAGTAGGGCCAGATCTTGGAGGAGTTGAGCTCGATTTTATCGAGGTACTAGTCGACTTATTAGTTGATGTCATTGGGAACGTATGGACGGTAGGACATAGGAAGAGAGTGTGAAATAGGAACGGGAGAAACGTACATCATCTCCAACACTGTACTCGCAGTATCCACATGATCCGGAATCATTCGGATTCGACAGATAGCCGACTCCGTGCTCTGTGAGCCAGGAGCCGGCGTACTCTCCGCAGGTCATGTTCGAAGGGCTCTCGAAGATGGTCAGTTCGCTGCTGTCGCAGATTACCGGCATGCCTCGGAGGACGGAGGTAAGAACGCCCCCGATCCAGTACGTGAATGGCGTCATGTAGTACATGGTGTATTTCCAGAAGACGGGCATGTTCCGGTGAGGTTGGAGGATGCCGTTGAAAAGCTCGCACATGATGATGAAGAATGGCATGAGTGTGGCGGCCACCATGGAGTCGGCGCTAGATGATGTTAGAACTGGAAATGTTGAAACTTCTGATCGGGGCAAAACATACCTGAGTGCTGCAATCCACTGGCCCCAAGATGTGGCGAAGAGGAAGAACAGGAAAAACATTAAGAAGCAGTATCCCGCGGCAAAGCCCAGCGGGAGACCGACGATGAAGTAGTAAAGCACGTAAAAGATAACGGCGCTGATAATGGCGTAGGGAATTTCGCATACGATTTGCGAGGTGCAAAATGCGATCCAGCCATAGACGCCACTAGGGCCCTCACGCGCCGTCCAAAGGTCACGGTTCAAGATAAAGCGCATCGAGATCGCATTGATGAACTCGGGTACCAGCATCAGCACGAGGAAGCATGAGAATGCTTTGGATTGCAGATCTGTCGAACTGTTTCCGATCTGAAGGTAGGTGAGGCCGTTGATCAGGGCATGGAGGAACGATGCGTAGAGTCGAGAATATGGGTACTCGGGACTTCTCCAGAATTGCCGAAGGGTGCGCTGGGTCAGAAGTGAAGTCTGTCGGAAGACCGATGACGTGGAAATAGTCGTCTTGACACCATCGGATTTCTCGGTCTTCGAGCGAATTTCTGATATGTCTCTTGCGACAGCCTGTGCTTCCGCTGACCGATTCCATATACCATGCCAATCGACACTTTGCGACTTATCCCTAATGCCGCTCACAACCACTTCAATCAGAAAGTCCGCCGCATTGGTGACATTTTCAGGCTGATGTCCTTGCTTCGTGAAATACTCGAAGATAGAACAGCCCTTATCTCCCACCTCCCCAAAGTAGTAAGTACTCCCACCTGGGCTCAACGCCAGCACCCGATCAAATTCTTCAAACTGCTCCTGGTTCGCCTGGTGAATGGTGCACAGAATGGCCAACCCTTGGTCGGCCAGTCGCCTTAACAGTGCAACAATGTTCGAGGCACCCTGGCTATCCAGTCCACTGGTGGGTTCGTCAAGGAAGAGCAACAATTCCGGCTTGGCGCAAAGTTCAGTTCCTATTGTGACGCGCTTCTTCTTTTCGATGTCCAACGATCCGATGATCGCGTTTTGCAGGTCGGTCAGGTCTAGCGTTTCAATGACGGTGTTCACATAAGATAGCTTGTCTTCATCTGGGACGCTTGAACTCTGACGGAGAAGAGCAGAGAACTCGAATGCCTCCCGGACGGTACTACTCTCATCATGGATATCCATCTGCTGACAGTAACCGACTCGTCGATTGAATGTTTGGTCCGTAACATGGCCGTCCACGTACAATGAGCCGGTCACCTCACCTGAGCTGGGGCGTTGGGTCAGCACCGTTAGCAATGTTGACTTGCCTGCACCCGATGCTCCCACCAGCGCAGTCAACGTTCCAGGCTTGCAATATCCACTGACGCCATTCAGGAGCTTCCGGGATTCCTTTCCAATCTGAACTGTAAGTTCGATATTATCCCATGTGAAAGTCGACTTTGTAGCAACGAGTTGTCCGCCTGACTTTTGATCGTCAAAGCTCGAGGATGAAGATTTCGAATTAACCTGCACAGGGCTGCTCTCCTCGTCGGTGGCATCTCTGGGAGACTGTCTTGATCCTTTCCGTGACTTTTTATACTGGACTGGGCCCGCACTCTCTACCTCCCATTCCATGATCTCACTCAACCAGCAGGTGCATACCACATAGACGACAGTGAAGAGACACAGGATCCCGAAATCGCGCCAAACGTTACTGTAGTAGAATCCGTACTGGACAGCGAGATAGTCGTCGCCATTGACTACTGTTGATCCAACCTGACTTCCCGGGTAGCCGCAGGTTTGGTGGGCAAGATCGGTGTAGTTGGGCCCAGAAGGAACCACTGACCCTGGCGAGCATGCGAAATTGTTGTTGTGGAACTCTGCGGCCATCATAGCCTCGTAAGTATAGAGTGCTGGAGTCGTGTATGCTATCCATCCAACCCAAGGAACATCCTCTATGAGTCGGTCGATCGAGAGGACGTATCCACCAAACACAATGCAGAAGAGAACCGAGACGCCACAGTAGCGCAAGGCGACTTCGAAATTCGACGACGCAGCCGCAAACAGTCGGAATTGAGCGGTCAAACAGATGGTGCACGTATATATGAATAGGAAGTCGATCCAAAAGGCACCCGCGTCGGATTTCAGGCCGGACAAGAAATACACAACGATCAAGTACAAGAAAGTGAGAGCAGCACCGATAAGCAAGTCAGTGATCACCCGAGCCAGGCACACGGCGCTGGGTGATACGAATGCAAATTTCTTCTGCCGGCTCAATATGTCTCGACCTTGCATGGCATCTTCCAGCTCGGACATTTGCAGCCAGGCAAGCAAAATCGAAGAGTAAAATATCACACCCCCCCGGGAATACATTCCATCCGTTGTCTGTGGTTGGTCGTAGAACATGGAGCCAACCAGCAGGCCGTATACGACGCAAGAAAAGAGCTTGATATACAATGGAGACATGTGCCCTCGAATCTGCCACACCTGACGTTTGGCACACAGCACCACTTGGCGGAACAGGGAAATGGTGTATGGGGACTTGGCGGGTACAAAACGGGACTTGTCTGTCTGGATGGTCTTTTTAAACTGCTCCAGGCTGTCCCGCTCCGAGTCAGCCGGTGACGAGCGGCCGCTTTTGTCTCCACAGCGTTGGTTGTCGTAGTGCTGGACATCTGTCTGGATGTCCGCAAATTGATGGCTTTCTCGGAAGGCATTCTCCAGCTCGATGGGTCCCTTTGGTGCCCGATTTTCCCAGCCAGGGCGGAATCGTCGTCTCTCGGGAATAGTGATGCTAGTTAAGAAATCCGAAGTGGTCTGCATGGCTGCACATTCATACCCTAGCCCTTCAAAGTAGCTCCTCGCGTCTCGGGCAGGGCCCTGGTAAAGCATGCGCCCTTCGTCAATGAGTAGTACTTTGTCCACTAGTTCGTAGATTGCATCGGACGCCTGATACAGCGTCATCAGCGTCGCTTTCCCGCAGGTGTCAGTCATTATACGGAGACTACGGGCGTAGTCGAGGGCTGATGACGCGTCAAGACCTCTGGTGGAATTGTCCCAGCACATGACCGAGGAATCGGTCGCAAGGGATTCGATGATTGAAATCCGTTTACGCTCTCCGCCGGAGACACCCCGGATGTACTCGTTCCCCACTAGGGTGTCCATCGTGTGAGACATGCCAAACACGCGGCCGTAGATGTCCAAATACCGGGGGATCCTCTCCCGGTACCGCTTGGGCGTTTTGCTGTTCAGGGCGAACTCCAGGGTTTGTCGAACATTGAGCGTCGGGAAATGGACATCGTCTTCAGGAACATAGGCAACTTGGTTGCGATAATGCTTCCTCACCTCTTCGGGGCTGAGACCCGAGTAATCGATAGACCCCGTGACTCCTAAAAAAGACGAATGTTGGCCGGCAATTGTGCGGAGAAAGGTCGAACAACCAGCCCCAGGCCTTCCCAACACCCTGTAAAGCTTCTTAGTCGATACTCCCACGGAAATTGCTTTGAAAGCACTTACAGCATGATCTCACCACTTCGGACTACCCCTGAGAAATCTCGGATCAAAGCACGACCCTCCTGAGGGTCCTTTTTCGAGATCCATGGCTTGATGGTCCATTCGTATACATCTTGGAACGTTAGGGTTCGCCACAGGGCCGTTCCCAACGTCTTCACGTTGGCATGGTCATCACCGTCGCCCCATGTCGAAAGATGCTGGAAGCACACCCCGAGATTCGACCTCTTCCTGCCAGCCTGAATTTCGCTCTCGAGGAATTTGTCGAAGGTTGAATGGGGCTCGGGATAGCCCTGATCTGTTTCTTGGCGGTTGCCCTCAGTGAGGGTGCGATGAATATCGGCTATAGCATCTTCATCCTCGTGTGATAGGTGCACCCGCGGCGAGGCAACAATATCCGCCGGAGACTCTGCCTCCGGTGCGGAAGCAAGAGATCCGCCGCCGTGCAAATGAGCCGGAAGATGAGCGGGCATAGATACCGGACAATCGATCCTTTCACAGGACCTCGGACCTTACACGTTAAGCAAGCAGGAGTCGTTCGTCAAGCGAAGATATCATAAACCCATGCTACTTGGGCGGGAAGTGGGCTATATATCCAGACATTCTCAGGCTGTGTCCAGGCCCAGCCATGGTGGACTTGAGCGTTGGCCACCACACTAGATCGAAAAGGAAGCCAAGCTTCAAGGGTGAACGGGACGTCATCCAATTCCGATGAATAACAGAATGGCCACAACGCTACCAATTGGTTGAAGTGCCACTTGGGGCGTGGGAACTCCACGAGCTGCCATTGTTCTCTTAACAATGCCATTGGTCGACATTAAATAGTGGAGACCTCCCTTAGTGCAGTGTTGAAAATGGAGTCGAAAAAAGCATTTTCAAATTTTCCGCGTATTCTTTTCCCACTCGGGCAGCTCGATGGAGAAAACCATCGTACCATCCAAGAAAAGGGATAAGAAATTCTCGGAAGACCCATGGAACTATGGGAAAATCCGGTAGGAGGAGAACCACCTCGACTTCGGAGAATGGAGGCGACCCATGGAGCCTGAGGCTGCTGATTGGCCTGGCTGGCCTGGGGAATCCAAAAAGGCAGCCAAGACTACAGCCGCCTTAAACTCGGTCTTCGGTTCCAGCGATCTATCGATTGTTCTCTTCCCTTTGCCATGTTCGGTTTGCATTCCCTTCTTTTCGTCTTCTTTTCTTTTTCTTATACGGTGCCCAACTTTCGGTCCCAACTTTTGCTGCGGGGAATCTCCAAGACCGTTTGTTTGCTGTGCAATCAGTTGTGGAATATGGGGGATCTCGCTGAACGTTGGTACTTTCTAAATCTGCAGATTAGATCTCGATATCGCGTGGAGTGGACAGCCAGTCATAGGGGTTCTGTTCTAAGCAGTCGTAAGCATTATAGTGGTACTGAAGAGCCTGCTGAGGCGTACTCATTTACCTTAGGGAGTTCGGACAAGGTCGGTCTGACTGGACTACTCCGCAGAGTCTCCCGCATTGATGCTAGTCATGCACATCGGGTGAGTCATCCATGGGCATAAAAAAGCACAACGGGGGTTAATGATCTTACAATAAACATCCAACTACGAAGACATACACAGATCTGTGTTCTTCATCTTTCTAATTCTCCACTTTTCTCTTGCTCGTTAGTCATGCTCACTAAATTCTTTCTGTCTTCGGTCCTCTTGCCGGTAGCATTGACCTGGTTGAGAATCGGATAGTTCAAGACACATAATATATCTGCTCAATGTGTCTTGCGTTATGTTCAAGGAGACATGTGTATGCGGCTCATCTATTGTCTTTGAACACATCCTTTCAATGGTCAATACAACCTGAACAGTAAAGACAGGGGATACATCATACAAGGCCATATCATGTCATCACGTCTATCTTTGTCGAGGATAAAGCAGCCACACTGGTAGGGCTTCTTCCACCGCTATGGTACTGCATCCAACCCTACAAGACCTCCCAGTCTAAGCATATATAGCATGACCCAAGTTCCCATTGGGTGGGTGGTATGGGTAAAGCAAAGTTCTCTTGCTCCCTGCAGACATGCGAACGACTTGTGCGGCCAAAACCGATCAACAAGCAATGATATCGATGAACTTATGGAACGGGTTCTATCGAATTGTGATGCCTTTTGTAGTTGACCATTGAGTGACATGGATGAAGCTAAAGTTAACCTAGGTATGTTTTTCCCCCCAAACAAAGGTCATGGGCAATCTACGAGAAAGAAACATAGGAAGAAAGTTGGTAAGTACACCAAGAATGAAAAGCGCATATCATATTGATATCTATCATATATCAGATCTGCCCTCTAGAGCGAAACCAACACGGCATCGAGCACACACATAGCAGCCACTGATCGGCAAACAGTGCTTGGCCTTCTGATATATGTGACATGATTCCCAGTTGAAGTCATTTGCCAAAATGTACGTGTTGGAGGCTAAATCGTGGTCACTGTGCATGAACCTACAACCTATCGTCCCAATGGGGAAATCTTGGCTAGTCAACAACATGAACAGAGAGGAATCTATTCTTGGTTATAAATAAACTCTAGTGTATCCCGTCATTCTGATCTATAATGACTCCATAATCCGCCATGTCGGCGGAGATGTACTGGTGATGGGCTAGGTGCATGTATGGGCTTGGCCTGCTGAATGATGATCTTAATATATGTAAAGCTGGAAACTTGTCCTGACACAAGTATATATCGAGATCGTGACTCCAGTTGATTACTTTGCTATCAGAGAAATATAGAAGTTACTTGTAAGTAATATACAGTATCTAGTTCTAGTAAATAGTCCAGTCATAGCAAGCTTAACTATAGTATTAATATCTGTAATCTTAGGTTTTTATGTATAGTTCTATTTCTTCTTTTATACAGGGGTCTTTTATTTTTATATCTTAAGAATAAAACTCTCTGTACTTTAGCTAATACTTGTGAAATAAGACTGGTCCTGATAGGCTCTCTTGTTCTGGCAGAGCTGGCCACGTTTCGCCCCACAGGTCAAACTGACATATCCTACAGTATCGCCGTCTCTGATGCAAGGGAATCGTCAAGCCCTGATCGCGTTTTCTTTCAAATTCATGCCCCGGACACGATCCAGTGGGTTGGACTGGGCCAGGGCAGGGGGATGAAAAGGTCTAACATATTTGTCCTCCACAGCTCCGCATCATCTAACAATGTGACCTGGTCTCCGCGCTCTGGTGTGGGCCACATACAACCACAATACGACCCCGACGCCCAAGTCTCTCTTCTGGATGGCAGTGGCAATCGCAATGGAATGCTGACAATCAACGTGCGGTGCGATGACTGTCTCCAAGGGCAAGGGGGATCGCTCGACACCGAAATCTCATCTAGCCCATGGATCTTTGCATACAAGGAAAGCCAGCCACTGAACTCCGATAACGTCAGAGAGAATATCCAATTCCACGATACGTCCGGTCAATTCTCCGTCGACTTGACCAGGGCAAAGTCCACATCCCAGAACCCATTTAGGAGCTAAAACCCCCCAGACTGAGGGATTAGGAAGTACTTCATCATCATGATTACCCGGACGACTTATGTTTATTCGAGACTCTGTACTTCGTAGTCTATGCTGTAAACGGCTTGTTTAGGAAATTGTGATATTGCTATAATGACGTGTTGGCAAGGTCTATAAAATTTGCGGGTGATTTGCGCGCATGACGTAGATTCAAAACAAACCAAACAACATCCAAACCACCACCAACCGCGTGAGATTTGCCAATGAGACAATTGTGAGCATTGTTTCAGCAACCATTTCTACGTCCACTACATCTTATACCTCCTATTCTGCCATCACCTCTACGAACAAAGGGTTTCTATATGGATACCAGAAAATGCTCTTCAACGCCCTCATCCGCACGCACCACATAACCTCGCGCAAAAAGGTCTCCGCCCTCAAACGGGCCGCAGACTCCCACAACTGCTTCGTACTCCTGCGTTCCGGCGGCTGTCCAGGGATTATGTACGTCGAGTCCAAGGACAAGGATGCAGTTGAAGCCTGGGTTACGGTGGTGAAAAAGTTGCGGTACAAAGATTTTCAATTGGTTGCGCGGCCGGGGAGTCTGCAAGACGCGAGTGAGGATCATGGTCAATCGTCTGCGCCGACCTCGCGACGGCCTGATAAGGCTACCTCGGGAACTAAATTCTCTCTCAAAAGTGAGCGCGAGCATGTGGATAAGCCTGGGCTGCGAGAGGTTGAGTCGGTCAAAGAATTTGGTGGTATGATGGAAGATCGGGGAATCCGGGCTTGGTGGCGGAAGAGTATGGGATATGCCAGTTGACGGAACCAACGGATCTCGGACGGCCGCCTTATTGATCCCATGTGCTGGTGCATATACGCGGCTTTTTTTATCAACGCGATGCGACATCGTCTAGGGAAACTTGAGGACCATTCCTCCACTATCTTCGACTGAACTGTGAGAGAGTGTCTCTCGGTCGGGCTCGATTGCTCGGCCATTTCTACGCCATGAAAGGCTTCCCGTCCTCCGACAAAACACATTCTCGGGACTGTCATGACCAAGAGTTTCTATCACTATCATAATTTGATATTGTGTGGACTATTTGCAGGGCTTAGTTAAGCCACTTTCCTACGGTTTGGCCAGATTATGACCTGGCAACTGCAAAACCCGGCCATTCTGCCCTATCTCCTCTTCAGAGGTGGAGATCTCCAGTGCATGCTTAACGGGTGTGAGTGGTCTTTTCTGATGCTTTGTGATTGAGCACTTCGGGTCGTCCAGCAGTTGTGGACCTGTGCAGGTTTTCATGGCGTTTTCGAGGGCCACTTGGTCCTCCCAGCCGTTGATATAGTCCCCATGCAGACCGTAGCCGGTTGCATCGCCATTGCTGTATACCCAATTTTTGTGGTCTGGGAATGGGTGTGTGTTGAAAAAGAATTCCAAAAATATGGAGAGGATCGCCACGGGATGGGACTTGGGACACACGCCGCCGTTATAGTCTCCGGATGCGGGATATGCCATCTGACCCTATCAGTGTGAGGAACAAAATGCAGCTTTCGCAACGAAACACTCACGTGGCTCTTGTGGTCTTCGCTATCGATATTTTGACCATCCCAGCAGGAAGGCAAGAACACCTGCGACCTCAACTTGGCACATGGCTTGTTCGGCATATTATTGGTCTCCGACGACGATCCGTCTTCTCCAATGCACATGTGAGTGACCGCCCGTTGGGCAAAGTCGGCGTCATCATAGGTCCTAGATGGCCATGTCAGCGTAACCACAACTCGCGGCAAACGGAATGTCTAACCGACGATTGGTATCACCAGCAACGACGCGGAGCCCGGCTGGAGGCGCTATGGCGCCATCACTTCCGCCACAGGAAGTCGCGCCTTCGGTGTAATTGCATGCTCTGTCCAGATAGTAAACCACCTGGCCTGTTAACACCGCCTACCACAGAAAGCAACGGGACAGTGGTGGCGTACATTCCCGTTATTCTCCATCAACTCGAATGCTCCATTTTTCGCGCGGTGATAAAGTTGCGGGACCCAATAATTGCTCTTGTCGATTACCACGCCGCATGTCGTCTCGTTCGCCTTCGTGGCCGTGTCGAATTCCATCGTCTGCTGAAATGCGGTTCCTCCCGCAACTATGTGGACGTGTCTAGCAGATTTGCCGGGGAACATAATCGGGTCGGATCGTTGGATAGTCAATGTCTCACAGCTAAAGGTGAATTCGTCAATGCCTTTCGCCAGCGTGGAGCTGCAAAGCGTCAGCACCAGGCTCGCGGTAAGAACACCACTGGGCTTCATAGTGCTCTGTTTCGTCTGCGTCAGGAGATCAATTGCAGTCGCCAGTCGAGACCAGGAATGTCCAGAAGACGGGATCCCATGGCGGGAGTTCTTGCTCTGTTTATGCGATCATTTCCAGGCTCGCTGGCATGCTGTCTACTTGGCAGGATTTAAAAAGACTCTTAAGGCGCCCCGGGCATCGCGTCGTGGAATGTGTACGCCGAGACCATCTCAGATCCAAGCCATTCCATACCAGATTACGTCACTTACAAAAGGCTAGCATCGCGTATCCGTCAGCCACCAGTATGAACTGGAGATGTAGCCATACAGCCGGTCTGCCAAGACCTCCGGCAGAGGACTTATCCGGGGCAAGATGTGCCAGGACAAGGGAGGAACTTCATCGGTACGTCTGATGAACCAAAAAAATGATCTTGTATAATTGCATTGGAGAGATAACTGTAATAAGGGCATTTCTATCTTATTGTCATTATGATTTGATTGTTGTCTGTAAAGGCTGACCCCGCTTGTTCATGGGTTTCTGGTAAAGGTTAATTTAATTTTATTTGATTGATTGATTTACTTGATTTATCTATTGTTTTTGATTTCTTGGGTTTAGCCACAGAAAATAATAGTAGTACCATTCTATATATTGAACATAGATAGCACGCGACTCGCGACAACCGGTGATTACCGACTCGGGATGCCGAGAATTCTCCATGGCCATGATTCTTCACTACATGGACTGAGAAAGAGAGAAAGTACCTCGGGGTAGATGGTTCTAAAGATTATGAAGATATCTGCAACCTGTCCTGAAAATGGGCTTCTCGTTACCATAATAGACAGTGTATACTCCGTCTAGATCGGAGGGACCCGATGTGGGTCGACACCTCAGGCCGCCTCTCCCCCCACAGAATCGCCTTCTTCACTTCCCGAGTTCTGCTCCGAACTTCCATCGTCCGTGGTTCTATCTTTGCCTAGAGATGCGCCGCCGTGGCGGTCTTCGTTGCATCTCCAAATCATTTGCTGCCTTTTTCTAATTCTTAATTTGACATTCCTTTCCATCTCCGCATTCCAGTCCCTTCGTTCAATTGAAGATCGTCTGTATCCGCGTGTTTGACTCAACTCTCTCGCACCTCTTAACTATACTGGGCTCCTACATGGCATGCCCTTTCCCTTATACTTGAGCCTCCTCAATGGATGAGGGCTCGGACCCGAAGCCCCCTCGCCGAAAGAGGGTCTCCAGAGCTTGCGACCGTTGCCGTAGTAAGAAGGTGGGTGTCCATTCCATGTGAATATGGATTTCTCCCCTCGCGCATTTATCACTCTGTCCCTTCTCGCAAGTCCAGCCTCTCTTCATTCATATATGAACTTTCGCTACTGGCTAGTCGTTGCCATATCGGTATATTTTCATCTTCAGACCTGGCTAACACATGCACTCAGGACAAATGCGACGGTCTTCGTCCGACCTGCACCGCCTGTCGTGTGTCCGGCTTAACCTGCTCCTACGATCCTCACGCGAAGAAGCGCGGTCTGCCTGAAGGCTATGTTCGCGGTCTCGAAAAGCTCTGGGCCTTGTCAATATGCAACATCGATGGCTTTGAAGACACCATGCTGGCCCTCTTGGGTAACACTTCTGAATCGGCTGGTCGCAGGGATCGGCTCATGGATCTATGGGCCGACGATGGTGCGTCGGAGACGCTGCACGAGTCGTGGAAATCAAGCCGTCTATATGGTGTGCTGGAAAAGATGCTCTCGACGTCGGCCGCATCGCCGGTAACACACCTCTCAGGTAAACGCCCTCGTGGGGATGAGGACGCTGGCGTTGACGGCGACTGGGGATTTCGCATCGAGCGCAGCTCGACGCCCATCTCCAATGGTGCATCTCGCGTAATGGATCCAACGATGTCTCCGAATTCCAAAAGACGACGGCTATCCCAGCCGGTGGATAGCGCTTTGGTCTCCCAGGCCGCCAGTACTCTTCATGCGCCGCTGCACTTGCCCGCTCAAACATCGCAACTGTTAGATCTATACTTTGCGACCACCCACTCCTGGCTTCCAATTGTCCAAAAGCACAACATCCTTCGGGCGTCCTACCTCTATGCAAATGCGCCGCTGTTCAATGCTAAGGAGGACCCTGGTTCGGGAGACCATGCCGCGCTGTGGGCTCTTCTGAGTTATACCTTTTCTCAATCACCGACGAAGCCGCAGGACGGGTCCGTTCTTCACACAACAAGGGAGTATTATTCTGTCGCACGCAGCTTGATCCCTGCCGAGACGGAACGATACGAGATCGGGCACGTCCAGGCCTTGCTTCTGCTCACATTGGTAAACGTTGGTCTCGGGGAATGGAATGCTGCCTGGCTGTTGATCGGCCAGGCAGTCCGTATGGCCATTGCCTTGGATTTGGGGGTTCTCGCCGACATGCGCAGGTCGGAGGACGTGCGGCAAGGGAAAGCTGTTTTCCTTGGATGCTTCGTGATAGATTCCTTGCTATCCTTCCGCCTCTCGCGGAGACCGTGCATGCACTCGCACGATTTGATGACCGTAGGCCTTTTGGAGGAGGACGGTCTAGAAGAGTGGAATTCCTGGGCCGACGTCCTTCCTCCAAGCGGGGGTACACAGGGGAGAAATCCACCCCGACGCGGTCCGCTCCGTGCTATCAGCTGCTTCAACCGGCTGGTGGAATTGGCCAGCGTGCTAAACAACATCGCTCGTGACTCCACTACCGGATCTATTACGCCCGCTGCTGCTCAGCACCTAGTTCTCGAACTTAAGCAATGGGATGATCGCCTGCCCTTAGCATGCCGACTAATAGGGCCGGATAGCATCTATCCTGAGCGACATTCGGCGCTTCTCCCGCATCAAAGCTACCTTGGCATGACATACATCGCCACATTACTCTGGCTTTACCTGCGTATCGCCCCTCAAGAACTCGACCGGCATCGCACACAGCGGCCGGCCGTCGAAGGCGCCAAGAAACTTCTGTATCGCGCCCTGCCGATGATATCACAGCATCTGGATAATTTCGGGTCTTGCGGGCTGCCTCCGATATTTGAATTCTCACTGCGTACCATCGCGCAGCAAGCATTCATTTTGCGAAACAAGATCGAGTCCGAGGTGTTTCCTTTTGGCCGATGGACAGATGCACTGCTCCAACACACCATGGAACTCAGCTCCACCTGGTCGGTGTATCGCTCACTCGCAACCAATATCGAGGATTGGTTTCAATCAAACGAGATGCATGAGTCTGCATCCCCTACCCGAGGCTTCGACGCGACCACAATCCGACCTACATACACTGCACCCACAACCATGTTCGCTCCGGACGCCATGGCTATCCCAAGAGCCAGGCAGCAGCCCCTGGACGATGAAACAGCGATGCATCCCCGTCCACAGACGAGGCCATCAGAAACGGCTTACCCGCCATCCGTCCTCGGCATCAGTATCCCAGTAGATGGGCAATACATGACGCCCAAAGACGCACCAGCGGATACCGCCGACCCATCTATGCTGGACATCTCACTCCAACCCCAAGTAGACGGATCTCGCAGAAGTACCCTAGCCGAGAAGCGCGGGAGTCCCAAAAGGCCCCCTCCCACCTCGCACCCACAACCCCCCACCCCAGACTCCTCCGTCTCAAACGCAATACCCACCGGAACCCCCGCCCCCGCCGACCTCCCAACCTCCTCCTCCAAAGATACCAGAATCCCGAATCCCACAGAAGGACTCCCCCCAGCCCCAAACAGCAGCAGCGACATAGACGCCATCTTCTCAGACCTCGCCTACCTCGACACCACAGAATGGGCCACAAGCCGCGAAGCAGGATTAAAAGATTTCGGCTTCCTAGACGACAGCACGTTCCAAGCGTTCTGTCACGACCCAGACCGCCTGGTGGGCTCCGAACCGTTGGTCCATCCTTCTTCTATCGCTGATATATGGCCGCCGCCGGGGTTCTTCCCCGAGACGTTTCAGGATTCGAGCGAGGATGTTATGAGGGATTAGCCATCGTCTAGACTGTCTATTTGGATTCGTGACGATTAGTTCTGGATTACTGAGGATGACACGTATATAGACATAGAAATATATCCCCCCATTCTTCCAGCTAGACTTTTCGAGTGTTGGTTTGAAATATCCAGCATCATTTATATCCTGGCAGTTATACCAAGACGACAAATACACCCCCTTTATACGCGTCAGCGGAGGTACGGTTGATGGTCTCAAGTCAAAGGCCAAATACCATATGGTATGTTTGGCGTTCTATGGACAGGCTGGTTGAATGTTGGGGAGAGGATTGTCTTCCCACGAATCGTAGTGTTCCCGGCGTAGGGTTGTGTATACTACGCTGGAGGACGTGGATGTTCATATGTACAAACTGTATATGTTGATCTGTCTGTAGGGCAGACTTGATGTACGGGTATATTTTGAATCGGGTGTTCTAAATGAGTCTTAAGACAGCTATCAATGCCTTCTTCGATGGGATGCATGATGTTGTAGACAATGGTGCATTAAGATTACAGCTATTGAGGATCCTTGCAATTCAATCAAGTAGGCTAGCATCGATATCGTTCTGTATTAATTAATCGTTATCTCGTAACAAGTACGAATGAGAACAGCGCTGCTGCTCATTCTTATCGTAAAAATCAAAGGCAACACCAGTGAGTCGAAGGGACAACGTATGCAAACAAAGACTGTTGGGTCCCAAATCCTGATGGCTTCCTGGTAGCCCACAATGCGCTCGAAAGTCAAACTCCACAATTATCAAATATCGCCTGTTTATGCTCCCTGAAAACATCACGCGGAAGGAAGAAACGCCATATCCTTTTAATAATAAAGTAATCACCGCCGCACCTATCATGAATGTCTAGGTCATCGCCGCCAGCCAACATTCCAGATGACATGAGCAATGTCGCGAGCGGTGTTGACGGTATCGACGACACGGTCCAAGATGCCGCTATTGCTGGAATCTCTCTCGTCGTCTGACCACAAGAGCCCGGATGATGCGAAGTCCATGTCTCGGTCGAGCTCTTCGTCGTCCTTTCTATTGACAAACCAGGGGCGAGGTCGATCGCCCGAGTCGAAGGCATGTGGATCAGGATGGTGGAAGTAATCCGGATCATAATCACCGTCGTCCAACAAAAAGTTCGCGGACGGAAACGACTGTCGTGTCGTTTCGGCAGAAGAAGAGACGGCAGAAGAAGAGACAGAGGCGGATAAATAGCCGGACCAGCGATGCATGAAGGACCCTGCCGGAGGTTCCGGGGTATCTCCGCGGTACTTGAGGATGGTGGACGGAAGAGGCGCGATGGTCCGATTCTCGCCGCCAGCATTACTGGCAGACGCGCTCCTGTCGGAGGGAGTAGAAAACATTTGTTTCATGGTGACAAAATCACGGTCCAGTAAAGAATCGTCGTCCCAGGCCGTCGGCCAGTCACCGCCCACTTCCTCATCGTCATCCCCGTCTTCGCTCTCGACTGCGATACACTGCACAACTTCGTTGTTGAAGTGGATGTGGCGCCGTTCATTCGGCGATGCGCCCCCACTGGACATTGTATTGATGGGGGTGCCGTTGGGTGAGACTGCCTGGCGACCGTCCGCCGGCCGTGGCAGCATCCGGTCGAGTTCCAGTGCTCGGAAGGATGAGCGGGTGCGGGTTTGCTCTGCTTCTTGTGCTTTTAGGATGGCGCCCGCATGCTGGAGAAGCGTATGCTGGGACAAGGAACGTTGTAAGATTGTTTCCGAAGCCGTTCGTTTCTTCAGGATCGGTTTCCGGTCCTGGCATAATGTAGGGGTGGTGAGATGGCTTGACGAGAGAGAGGGGTTGGACGCGGATTTGCGGCGCCCGCACGTTTTGAGAGGGCCATACAGCCATGTTACGTCGCAGTCCTTCAACCTATATTGCAATCCAGGTTAGAACCCCGCCGGATAGGAGAGAATTAGATAGAGCTCACCAATTGAGTGCCTCGGGTGACACGGTGCCCCGTTTCAAGTGGATTTTGGCCCACGTTCTCCAGGACGCATTCTCCAAACGGGCCCCATTGTCGTATACATTTCTGCGTGCAACAACGTAACGCCACGAGGCCCAGATATCACCCTCCTCCCACTCGTGAGAGAGATAGTCGACGTGCCTCGATGGCTCCTCCTCGATGGAGCTATCGTCGGCGGCAGAGCCCGACGCACGTACCCGTGGCAATTCCGAAACTTCGTTCGGGATGTCCGATACCTTTTTTGTGACCGGATAACCCTCGTAGGCGGGTAACAGGATCTCTTCGTCGTCCGAGTCCTCGGTGTAGTTCGTACTGAGCGAAACGGTGCTCAGAGTGGCGGGACTAGGAGGGGCGTTGTCGATGGAGGTAGGGTTGAAATCGGGCGAGGATGGGATGGAAGAGGGAGCCGACGAGTTGACGGGACTCGGACAGTCCCTGGAAGGGTAGTTATGAACCGGAGATTTGGACTCGGTCATGTCGGGACTGTCCAAGAAATACCGGTCGATAGGTAGGGAGTCGGAAGAGAAGGAATACTGCCTCTCCGGCGAGGAAGGCAGGATCGCCGCCATTTTGTCTGAGTATCAATCACTCTGGGTTGTTTACCGAGGACCGAAGGACATGGAGTAGGGTAGTCGCGTGAATTGGTGGATATGGAACGGACTCGAAGAGGAGGATATCGTGGCGAGCTTAACGAGCAAGGGAGATGGGGTATATCATGACAATTGTCATGACTGTGCGGCGGAAGAGAACTGACGTCAACATCAGACAAGAGGAGAAGGATATAGGGAGAGAAGGATGGGGGACGTAATGGGGAGATAGACTGGGGAAGGGAGGCAATGATATAGAGGGATATGGAAAGAAGGGACGAGATGGAAATACCTGGGGTTGCTCAACCTTGGTAGCAGGCGGAGACACAAGCGACCAGAGACGGAGAAAAGAAAAGAAATGAGGGACTTAATAAACAAAGACCAAGAGAGAGAAAAAATAGGGAAAAGATTGAGCCAAGTGAAAGGGTCAGTGGAGAGTTGAACCGTTGCCACCAAAAAGACTGTTAGTTTCGAATCTGGGGACTCCAGACCAGCCTAGAATTTCATCATTTTTGATTCTACTTTGATAACCGCCACCAATACCGCCATTCCTCCGATTCTATACATTTGTTACTGCTATATAGTATCGATGATTAATACCAATACAAGCAGTACAGGGCAGAAAGTACAATCGGAACAACCCGGAATCGTGGCTGACTCACCCAAGCCTATCTTCCACTCGACTATCTCGACCATCCTGTCTTTGACTCCACCACCACTAATGCATGCACGGGCGTTGACATGCCTGTATCGCCTCCTGGCCTGACCATTTCTACCTATTGGCTGCTCTTATCACGAACCACGATCGTTGCAACCAGCCGTGAGCTGACTGGTGGACCCGCCATCCGTTCTATCTCTCATGAATCATCCGATATCATGTACGAGTCGCACCACCAATCGATGGCTATATCAGCGATTACTACGGATTCGAATATGGGCAATATCCCTCTCTAAAGTCTCCCCAGGTGAGTCTTCTATCTCCACGAGTCCGCCGTCCGCAACCACCCCCCAACGACCAGCGATCTATCTATCTATCTATCCCGTACCTACAAAAACGTAATAATCCAGACATCGTAACAACCCAAGCCCAAGTGGAGAATATCCCATCAAGATGGCTGTTTCCATGACTAATTCCCTCGGTCGACTCTGCACGTCAGAGGTCACAAATCCCACGCAACCCCCAGCAGGGCTCATTGGCATCCGTTCCATTTCCCAAGAGGGGTAGCTCCTCTCGCCTTTTCCTTGGTCATGAAAAGCTCTGCCTGCGCCCATAGAGTTGTTCTGGACCCGTCCGCGATCAACAAGCCCAGGAAAAGAGACTTCCGGTGTCCACAGGTACGCCCGTGCACGAGGGGCAAAGCAGGAGTCCTGCCAGCCTCTTATCACACCATGCATGTGCTGATTGGCGAGGTGGGTTTCTCTGGGTTTTCTCTTGGGGCCCGTGCAGTGTTGGTTGTTGCACGCTTCCTGGGTGAGTTGCTTTGTGGGCTGGCGATCGGGTTTCGTAGGTCAACACGGTCAACAGGTGAGCAAAAAATGCCGAGGTGAGAGTAGCTATAGTAGGAGGTGTTAAGGCCCTAGCAGGTTCTGAGGTTACCTGGACCATGTCCATGATCCACATATGCGTACATTGTTTAAGACAGGCGATACTTTGGCGTAACTCAATTCCCTGCGGCCAGGTTCTGAGCCACATTGCTAGCCCATATTCCTAATCCAAATACTAAATCCAAGCTCCAGACCAGTAGGAGTATACCTCTGAGACCAAAAGTGTATACTCATTACGATCAACAAAACAATCCCTACCAAGTGCAACCGTCGAACCAGCCCCTGCTCACCAACATCCACAAGCCAGGGGCTGATCACTGATCGTCTACAGACCTCCAGAGCACGGCCTATTTATAGCGGCCCGTGCTCCTAGCCTCCTACTCGGTCTCATTAGTGAATCAATACTTTTCGGAAATAGATTGACTGGCATGGAAGAAGGGAGCAAAAACCCTGCTTTCGGCCCGGGGCCCGCCGATAGAAATGCGATCAGGCAGCGGGAGGGCTGCCTGCTTTAGTTTGATATCCAAAACAGGGTGGGCCGTTGGGTAGGGGTCGTGGGCGCTATACTAGTAGGTATACAACCCTGCTCGAAACTTAGTCGCTGAGAAAATCTCTGCGGAACTAGTTAACGCGTCAACGCTCGGGACTCGAGCTTGCATCCTGATAATCATCTCTGAGAATTACTCTGTCTGGATAGATTCCCCTCTCAAAGCATAACTCAATTCGCAACTCTCATGGTTAGAGTTATCCCCCGCCGTGTAACACAACAATGACAACGAGACTGACCACACATATTATATTTCCTTTTCAAAAATAAGAGAAGATCTTATCAAGCCTTCCGTCCAGTCCGGCCCAATCCAACCCAGACGTCACACCAACCCTACGTAGCCTGCACTGGTGAGGGGAGGGGAAGCGCCTCAATATCTGATCCCGGATGTCGGGGAAAGTCTCTCGAGAGGCACCCGCCAGTCAGATGTCTCCACGGTAGTCGAGCTCGGTCCACATAACGCGGACGGTGTGGAGTGTGTAACGTATGTTCTATGGGTTTGATGCCTCTCTTCTTCGTCTTTGTCTAGGTGGGAGAATACGAGGTGCCATACTCTGAGGTATGGCATGGCTGGTGGGACTGATAATGGCCTCGCCCTATCTGGTTCAAGAAGTGGTTCTTATGCCATTCTGCCCTGCTCATTCGAGCTGGTCTTTGGAAGTGGCTGTCCCTATCTACCACTACATCAAAGACTCCACTTCTAATCAATCGAGCAAGCTGTTTCATCCCAAAGTACGATTACGCGATGACCGAAAGCTGTGGAGCATAAAAGTCCCCGACGTGCAGGATGCCAAATCAGAACCAGGAAATAGATAATCTCGTCCAGAGGGGTAGGAGGTCTAATTCAGCCACTGTAGTACACATCCCCGGGCGATCCCGCAAATGGGAAATACACAGGGGAACGGATCAGCTCTGGAAGGAGTATGTCTGGAGACTCCGCACGCCCTCCGCTTTGATCAGGCGCCAAAGATGCAAGGAGATCGCTGGGGATTGCCCCCTCTTTCCTCTTTGCTTTTAGTCTGTGGGGATCTCATTTTGAGTAGCTCTTGCTATCTGTTTCCTAGCGGGTGTATCCATGCTAGGAGTGCAATCAGTTTCAAAGATAAGCTCCCAGCAGCTCGCATACTAGCGATGTAACATGCTAGTGCTCTGTGATAAGCTGATACATGGCGAAAGCCATCAAAATCGCGTAGACATGGCAAGGACACTGCCATTTGTTGCCCTCTTCTAGCTTGAATGCGGTCAGATGGTAGTCATCCTGGTTATCAGTGGTGGTGGTGGTGGTGGTGGTGGTGGTAGTAGTAGTAGTAGTAGTATCCCGGAGCTACCCCGACATGGAAACAACCGCTCAAGCTTACAGATAAAAATTATTGAGCAGGGCTTTGTGCATTGAACAAGTCTTGAAACCAACAGGATTTCCTGAACAATCCTGCTCTTAGTACCGGTGGCAGCCTGTATATCAGTTTGCGCTCGAAAAATACGTGCTCCATAGAGTCCGTTCAGGAGTCTTCTGCTGCTGCTGCAAATCCGTTAGCCTGTCCAGCTAAGACATACACCGTGACAGACTGGGTGTTCGCGAACCATGACGGCACGACTTATCAACCCCATCGGTCATCTTATTTCCTTATGATAACAATCCAATAGTGGGAGACATACCACTGCCATCAAGGTCATCCTTCGTCATGGAGGATGGCTGTATCCGTATGTCGCAACACAATCCGACCGGTCTGACAATTAAATACCTGCCATTGATCAAGGAAGTTAATCAACTACCGATCTCTTAGTTTAGTTAAGCAAGATGAAAATACAGATAATGATGGTATACAAAGAGCCCACCTGCCTCATATAACAGTCTAACCCAACCCGGTTAGCCCTTTATAGGCGGTAGCTCCTAACCCCGCGCGTCGGACCTATCGATAGCCCATCCGACGTGGGATGTGAATTCAATTTACCCGCTTCTCAAGACCGCGACACCAAGCTTTTCAACCAGAAGCTTGCATCAAATACATTCACTACCATGTCCGAAGTAGCCCAGTCGGGCCCGGCCGAGCCCCAGGCCAGACATGTTGTATATTGCGGTGGTGAGTTCGGTCAACCGCCTTGCGTTTCTAATTCCAGATATGGGCTGTGGCTTTTATGAGTGAGTCTAACTATTGGTATCACGACAGTGTGCAGTTTACCGCCTGAGGTATGAACTCGTCTGGGGACTACGGATCCGTGTATATCCCCCCGCTGACACATGGTTCAGTACTGCGAGTTCGGCGGCAAGGCGAAAAAATGCGAGGAGTGGTTGAAGAGTAACCATCCTGATCTGTATGAGCATCTATACTCTGAAGGTTTGATACATTTTCTCCTGAGCTCTAGTTCAGAATCAACTAATGAATTTCGTCGGTGTAGAGGCTCTTAGCTCCAACCTATCGACCCTGAAAGTCTCTGTCCAGGAACGGGCTGCGAAGGATGCGGCGAAGAAGGAGGCCAAGGCTGCTCTGGCGGACGCGCGCGACGCGGAGCGCAAGGCGGCCTCCAAGGTCCAGATCAAGCGCGTCGAGCGGAACAAGCGCAAACACGTCAGCGTTATCACCGGGTTAGAGGTCTACGGTCTGGAGAACAAAAAGGTCGCCAAGGAGCTTGGGAAGAAATTCGCTACCGGGTCTTCGGTTACGAAGTCGTCTGCTGGGACCGAGGAAATTACGGTGCAGGGAGATGTGAGCGAGGATGTGAAGGAGTGGCTTCTGGAGGTTTACGGGAAGGAGATCCCCGAGGCGAATATCGAACTCATCGAGGATAAGAAGAAGAAAAGCAGTGCGCCACAATAGGCACTCGATCGCTTGACGCTGGGTATTATGCTATGACTATTTGCAGAAATTTATAGAAACGCTTGTAAAGCCAAACAAAACAGGGGATGTGACAAAACTTGCGGAGGGGACCAGCACGCTCCGCATGCCAACGTAGGATGCAGAAAATGAGTCCTGTCACAATCTTTATCAGAGTTCGTCAAGGACTCTCGAGAAGCTGGAGTCGATTGTCTCCGCACTCCGGTCTGAATCGGTCGATGAGGCAGCCTTGTTTGACACACTAGCTTGGTGACTACTCTGGTGCGATGCAAGACGGGTTGGGTAGAGAGACAAATAATCACTTTCCTGCCTGGAGTCCTCGCCGGACAATACAGGCTTCGCAATATTTTGCCGCTGCCCGTGCCAGAGTGAAGGCGTGGAATGATTAGTTAGCACCTCTGCCAGCGGCGACATGTCGGTCCCCTGGGACACCGCAGTCGGCCAGATCTGAATGATACATGCTATCATGAACGCGAGCACACCTGATAGGACAAGCCCCCAGATGATGCGAAGGCGTTTCGAGACTCGCGTCTGCCATTCTACCTCTTTCTCTTCCCAGCGATGTACTTCGTCCCGCATCTCTTCGAGCTTAGCGTTGAGGGCCTCGGCCTTGACCCGACCGACTCGCATGCGCTCCTCCAACGACTCTATCCTTTGTATCTGCGGCTGGAACTCATTCAGCTCCCCAAACTGCCTGCGGATCTCATGTTCCAGACTGGTCGTTTCTCTTTCAAAGTCATCGAATAGAGTCGACGTAGAATTGGACAGCTCTTGGAATGAAGCGACGGTTGCATTCAACGCCGCGATTTTCTCGAGCAAGTTGTAGTACGTATAGTCCAACCGGCGGGTGATATCAGTCGCAAGGGTCCCAATCAGCGATAAAGCAGACCGTAGGTATCTACCATTCGTCGTCAGCGCAATCCTAACAACTCAAGAGACAAATTCTTACTCTTCGCCTTGTTTCCGCCGATCTCTCACCTGCTCCAAGTCCCCCATTGATTGTATGTCCTGTCGCTTGACTGAAGCAATGTGACGACCATTGTCGATCTCATCGAATAAGCTGTTGTTCCTGCTGCCAGTACCAAACGCCGTGGAGTCCGATCCCCAGCCCGACCGAGTTGTTTCACGGGTGATCGGCCGAAGCAGAGCATTGTCGGCTTCGGTGTCCTTCTCCCGTCCACCGGACCACGTCGGCAGTAGCCCTCTCGCGCCTGCGCTCGACGCGAATTGATTCATTCTCCGTGGTAGAAAGCCGTCCCGGGATTTGCTGTGTTTATGCTTGTGTCGCGGTCGGAGCCTATGCGGATCTAAGGAGACTGTATCGAGAACATACCGACTCTGCTGTTTCTCACGAGGGTGTTGAGGTCTATGAGTATTATGGAACAGAGCGCGATGCTCTCCGGTGCTTTGTGGAGCAGGGTTACCCGCAGGTCTATCGATAGGCGGTTGGAACTCAGAGGTGACTGTCGTACCGGGGCCGGATGATGCGGTCTTCTGGCTACCGGCGGGAGGAGGCCCATGGATCAGCGACGAGGTGGCGGAGAGCTGCTGGGCCGGGAACACCATCTTTACGGTCTCCGAACATCTCCCCGTCTAGGAAGGGTATAGGCGGGATTTAGCTTGAATAATCGCAATTTTGATCCTGAGACAGGCCACCCAGGTGGAACAGGTGGAATAGGAGAATTACATCGACAAGGGACGATGCTGGACGAAGGGAAAGGACGGTTGAGCGTGATATTACAAGGCGCCAAGGCCGATCGGCGCCTCGGAGCCCACCCTCACCATCCCTCATTCTTGCAAGGATCAACACGCCTTGGAAGAAGAGTCCGCCAGGTCACGATGACCAACAGATTCGGAACGAATGCCTAAAATGAAATATCCCGTGCCTGGTCTCTGGTTTTGTCTAATAGGATATCTGTGCGTGCATGCAATCCACCACCCTGAAACTCTTGCAAATTGAAAGCCAACTCCTAGCTCGCTATATGGTATTCTCTTCCACTAGCAGTTGCCCACCGAAATTTTGCCGTGTAGTAGTTATTTACAATTTAAACCAAACGAAACCGCATAGTGTATATTGAACATAAACCTGGGAAAGAAAGACGCGTTAGGGAAGAAAACAAGGGGAAAACCATACATGCCAACATAGATCGGTCGTAACAGCAGTACTAGATTAAAGCCTCATACTCTTATTAGAAATTGTCAGGCCATCATCAGGAGTTGAGCAGCTTGTTGCGCTTTTCTCTGCGCTTCAATCGCTCCACCCGCTTGTGGTGCATTTTCTCGGCCATCTTGTCGTAGCGTTCTTTTTCTTCCTTCGCCGCTCGACGATCCTTGATTCTCTGAATATGCGCCTGTAAGGTAAGTCAGTAAAAGAGGGACAAAAGTCCCTTGCTGTCCTCATGTAGGCAATGTGACGGGTCTCCTCTGACCTGTCGCTCCGCTTCCTTTTCGTCCCTCAGTTCCTTTTCATGCTCCTTGATGGCATCTTGCTGTTTCCGTGTTTCTTGTCTTTTCGCATACGAAGTCAGGCCGCTAGTTGGGCGGAAAGCCTTTTTGGTGACATGCCAGTTTTTACCTGCGGGTCCGAGAAAAGAGGTATTAGCATGGGAGACCAGGAAAAAGTGGGGTTTTAAATTTGCCAAATCCATACCATTTTTCCGCATGCCTGTAGCGGTGGCACCGGAAGGAGCAGAACCCGCGGACGACATTGTCAGACTCGAATCAATTCAACGGGGAGAGAGGGAGGGAAAGAAGAAGATCCGAAGAGTTCTGATGAGAAATGATGAGAATTTTCCCCTTGGTCGACTTGAGGAAAAAGTTATCTTAGACCGATCAGATAACCGGATCTCGGCAGAAGTTCAACCCCGATCCATTCGCCTTTTATGACTCTTGGTCTGACCGGTTCCTGGCTGGAAATTATCGCAGTAACCGCCACGAAACAATCCACCCCACCGTCTTTCTTCCCCACTCACTTCCTTACCAGTTACTAGTATCCCTTCCATCATCCCATTGGGCTGGTTCAAGCGATGCTGTCTTAGGGTGAGTCCGACTCGTCCGTGTACCGGACTCCCGATGCTGAAAACCCCTCGTTGATTCCAACACACCACCCCCCCCTCCTAATCCTTTTAAATCCCTCTCTCAACCCTTCGCGGCACCATACAATGGTCACTCGTTAAAACCACCCCTTCGCTGTGCTCTTTCCTTCTTTAGATCTCCATATCTTGTACTCTTGGCCACACAATCTCATTTCCTCCATGGCGGCTGCAGATCATGCGACAGGCGTCAACAATGAAATGTCGATAGAACTACCTACATTACCCCCCAACCAGGGGTTCGAGGCTTTCAAGGATGTTGTCTTCGGTTCGGTAAGTGCCTTTCTACGGTTTACGACGTCACTTGGATAGTACTAACAACTTCGCAGGCGGCCGGGTCCGCGGGCAAAATCATCGAATACCCTTTTGACACGGTGAAGGTCCGTCTTCAGTCACAGCCGGATCACCTTCCTCTTCGATACACGGGACCATTGGATTGTTTCCGTCAGTCCGTTCATGCGGATGGCTTCAAGAGCCTCTACCGGGGCATCAGTGCTCCCCTAACTGGGGCTGCAGTCGAGAACAGCTGCCTTTTCTGGAGCTATCGCCTGATTCAGGATATCTTGAAATCCACCTATTACTCCTCTGACGACACTCTACCCTACTCCGCTCTATTGCTGAGTGGCGCCGCCTCCGGGTCCATTACTTCGCTTGCTCTGACCCCGATCGAGCTCATCAAGTGCAGGATCCAAGTGTCTCTGGATAGCTCTGGAAAGTCGCCAGCGGGGCCCGTGGCACATGCGGTAGCGATCTTTCGCCAGGATGGCATTCTTGGGTTCTGGCGGGGCCAGTTCGGAACTTTGATCCGGGAAACTGGGGGCGGCGCCGCCTGGTTTGGCGGTTATGAAGGTGTGTCGGGATTATTTCGAACATACAATCAACAAAAGTCGGCGGTTGGCACTGCCGACCACAATTCAGCGTCACTGCCCATCCATCAGCAAATGATTGCGGGGGCAGCTGCGGGTATCAGCTATAACTTCCTGTTCTATCCTGCCGACACGATCAAGTCCCGGATTCAAACAGAGGACATCGCGGCAGTCAATGGCCAGCGACTGACTTTCTGGAATGCCGGGAAAACCTTGTGGAAGCAGCAAGGATTTAGAGCTCTCTATCGAGGTTGCGGCATCACTTGCGCACGCTCGGCACCGAGCTCAGCGTTCATTTTCACTGTTTATGAAGGGTTACGGAATTATTTTGGATGACACTTTTACCTAGTTCTGTTTTTGCTTTCTGGTCTTTCTCTTTTCCTCCCTTCCTGCTTTGTTTCTTTAACTTTCCTTTCTCCTTCTCTCTCTCTCCCTGTCTATCTTTTTCCTTTTCTCTTTTTCTTTTCATGTTTACTCACCTTTTTTTACAGTCTCGAGTTTCTTTTCTTTTTTCGAGTGATACCTATATTTTTGTTGTTTAGATCGAGATCTCATATTCTTCTTTATTTTTTTTCTTTTTTTTTCTTTTTTTGAACACGTTCATCAGTCGGGCATTGGGCGCAGAATTATAAAAGTTGTCTATAGACCTGGTTGAATAGTGGGGATTTATATAGATAGATGACGCTGAAGATCAGTGTTGGTGATTGACTGAACAATAAAATCATGATCTTTGTTGACAATGTTCATAAGGGACCAGACGGATGTCTTTGAGCCTTCACTTGGAGAATTTGCAGTTCAAGGATCTAATACTTTACTACATCTGAAACCCATAAAAGAGGGGTTGACGTGCAATCAATATACAGGCATCATATAGATTTGGGCGTCATGTCTGTGGGCTTAACAATCGCAGGCTGTACGCACAACGACAGTATCTTATTTTCCCGCCTGTATTTCATGGAATACATGGAGTTAAAGCCCAACTTCATTGTCCAAATATCACTTCCCTTATAATCTTTCCTACGAATCCATTTATGAAACGACAGGGTAAATGATGTTAAACCGAGGTCGTGCCGTTCCCTGTGGCTTATCAACCGCAACGGATATCACCGACATTAAGCGGACTTGGCCAAGTAGTTGTTCTTTCTCATCTATTCTTTCTTCTTTCTTTCTGCACCACCTGATTCTCCAAATACTCATCTGATTGCCTTATTTCCCTACCAAACATGGCTTCCTCATCCACCCTCTCCGCCCAAGAGCTGGAGACCCTGTCCACCAAGGCCATCGCTGCCAAGGCCTCTGCATACTGTAAGTCCGAGCGGTTTTCCCAAGACAGATATAGGATGCACGTCATGAGTGCCCAATAAGAGGTGTTTCATGCAGAATCCCTTGTATGAAGATACATATATAAATATATACTCTCTCTCATTAAATCTACTAAATATAATAACAGGCCCCTACTCCAAGTTCCGCGTCGGCGCATGTCTCCTCACCCACTCTGGTGAATTCATCCAAGGCGCCAACGTCGAAAATGCCTCATTCCCTGTCGGAACATGTGCGGAGAGAGTCGCGTTTGGCACTGCAGTAGTACGTTTTTCACCATCAATTCAAAACCTGCTTATCATAAACCCAAATGCTTTCCACTCGTCCACTGTTAACAAATCCAGGTCGCCGGCCACCAAAATTTCAAAGCCATCGCCGTCGCTACTGACATCTCGCCTCCCGCGTCCCCGTGTGGCATGTGTCGACAATAGTGAGTTCTAGTTCTATCTATGTCTTCTCTTACATTAGTCGAGTGCGAGTCGTATCTTAGATATGGCTGAGCACTTCATCCCATTCGGGACCTCTCGCATAAATCGGCAACGCTAATGCATGTCCAACAGCATGAGGGAATTTGCGACCCCCTCTTTTCCCATATACATGTATGACAAGGACGGTAACTACACTGTTACTACTATGGGCGAGGTATTTAGACCCTGCGAATCGTTTGCTTGCTTATATCAGTCGAAACTCTTATGCCCCTGCGTTGATTTCGATTGGTGGTGGATTGGTTAGACTCGATGCTGATGTTGTTGTAGATTCTTCCGAATTCTTTTGGGCCTGATGATCTTGACGGTGGTGGTTCTTCGTAGGTTGTTTTTGGAGGCACTCTTTTGCTTTTCAGTCAGTGCCGGATGCTAGGGTGCTTGAGTCTAAGCATAGGACTTCGTTAGCTAGTAAATAGCTTCATGCGTCTATTGCATTGCTTTTTCCGGCTTGGTGTTGTATTCATTGTAGGCTCGTCGAGTAGAAAATAAGAGTCAACTGGGTTAGTGTTACAGTTTGCATTATATTGAGACATGCACAGGTTTGTAAAAGATACCGTTGAACATCCATGGGGTCTACAAATCAGTACATTCAGGCAGTCGGAGGCTGTATCCAATATAGGCCCAAGGTGATAAGACAAGGAGGAAAAAAGATAAAGGACATTCTAACACTAATCGTTCAGATCCATCATAATTGTTACATCTTCAGGTATACTCGCTTTCCCAATCGTCTGTCATCTCCATCATAATATAATGTTTTCCATCAAGCAACAAAACAAACGCCCAATCACTAATCCAGATGTCCACCTCAACTGAGAAGCGGAAAACCAGGTAAATTAGCCTCAATAGTCTTGTTACAACGCAGGAGGTATTGTGTCAGGTTAGACTAGCCAAATTGACAAATACATCCACTACGGCTCATCATCTTCGTCAACGGAGGCATCCTCGACGCCGAGAAGCTCGTCCTCGTCGTCGACAACGCTGGCATAATCGCCCCGTCGGGCTGCGAAGGAGCCTCGGGATGCGTATGGCCTTGAGTAACCGTGAGACCTACCGCGTCCGACCTGCGCATATCCACTAGCACTGCGCCAGAGGCTGGTGACGAGCAGTGGAATGGCTCGTGCGACGGCCACAATGCCGGCTATGACTGCAATTGGGACAGTGACGAGCAAGGAATCCCGGGATAGCAGTCTTTGAGAAGCGCCGGTGTTCTCGCCAAGGCGGATTTGGCCGAATTTGCCATCCCATTTGCTATAGACGAAGTAGCCGGCTGCGCCCGCAACGAGGACTGGTATGACGATTGCGAAGAATAGACCGGCTCCGCTTATTCCGTGTTTCTTTCGGTACTCCTCTTCCTTGCTAGGGCACGGTTTGGACACTATTTGGTCGTACTTTTGACCGTCCACGCATGTCGTTTGCGGAATTCGTCGGTAACCCGTTGGCTCCCAATATTCGATCCTGTCCGGGTCTTCCTTGCAGATAGCCATTGCATCGGGCATGGGCAGCCCGGGAACGAGAGCACAGCTGCCATCACTCTGGGGCTCGTAGTTGTAATCACTAGCAAAGGGTCAAGGTTACTATTGCTGCCTATTGCGTTAATCAAAGAGGGGAAGGCGACTCACCATTCAAAATCGGCCCGGGTACAGGTGCAATTGTTTCCGATACTGTGGACATGGGGTTCTTTCCATCCATTCCAACACTGGGCCGACGTCTTCTTGCGATGGTACTGCTCAACATGACCAAAGAGGCAGTTATCCTCCTGGAAAGGGTGCTTCGGTTCCCAGAGGTAGTAATCGTCATTTTCTTTAGTCTCATCCAGAGAGCACGGTCTGTCACGGAGCCCGCTAAAGTCAATGTTGACGGTGACTAGGTCGCTGGAATCCGTATGTCTGCCCCAGAGGAGAAATTCCTTCGAAGTATCGGAAGGCACTGTGGTGATGTCGTCAATGTACATGTCCTCATCTGAGAAAGCGAACTCTTCCCAGTTGTCGCCCTCGTCGGTACTATAATATAGAACCTTGGTGGTGTTGAATTCAGGCACAATCACAATGACGGAGCCGGCGTCGCCGAATTCATATATATGTTTTCCTTTCTTGACGAATTTCCATGTAAATCCTCCGTCGGTTGTAAGAAATGTGTCTGCATCTTCTATGCTAGCCAGCTGACTGCCAACGTTGCCCATGCCCATCATGAGGCCAATTGCGGAGCCTGAGGACATCGTGTCCCTCTCATCTTCACGTTCTGTGTAGCCATGAAGATTGAGAGAACACTCTTCTACACTCTTTGTAGAGCATTCAAAAGGCTTGCCTCGGGCATCTTTCAGGGGAGGGGGCAGCAACACCCACTGTGCTCCATCGTTGTGGGTGATCATCGTTTTGATCGCTTTCGGGGCACCCTTTGATACTGCGTCTGTATTGCTGACAATGTTTGCAAGTGCCACCCCTTCCATGCCCTGTATTTTCTCAAAATCAACGTAGCCTTCATCACTCTGACTCACTGCTGCAAGGCTGAGAACATAAGTGGTGCCATTGCTGTTGCTCTTGATGATGGAGCCGTATCTACCACCATCGACGTTACCCACTGTCACGTGTAGGAAAACGGCATGGCCAGAGCTGTCGAGGACGGTGTACGCTTTTTGTTCAGGCACCTGGACATTCGGGGGAAACTTTACCCTTGCGAAAGTCTCGCCATCCACGCTGACGCTAGCAGCTAAAGATTTCGGGTCGTTCGGATCGGGAGAAGCCACTATGATAAATTCGGACATGGTGGCATAATCATAAACTAGGTCGAAAACTTCCTTTGCCGGAGTCGTGAAAAAGTCGTCGCTGGACAGGAGCCGTATCTGCTTGTTGGCAGCGTTTTCATCCCTATGCTGTTCGCAAAATACGAGATTCATGCTTTCAACAACATTCTCTCTAGATCCAAACTCGCATTTCTTAACATAGCGAAGAAGAAGTTTCCAGTCATGGCCACGATTATCACTGTAATAAGCATCGGAATGGCAGTTAATAGAGGGGCAGTCCACCCCTCCAATCCAGATCAGCCGATCAGGGTACTGCGGATGGAATGTAAGGGTGGGAATCTGGCTATTCTTGACTGGAGGAATCGGCGCTTCAAAGACCTCGAAGCTTTGCCCACGGTTGACAGTATAGAATCCCTCACTCCCGGATGTGAGAAAGAAGGCGGCCTCACTATTGTAGGGGTGCGAAGCGATTGTAATGATTTTCTTCTCTTTGATGCGTGCAGGCTGTTGCCACTCCTTACCGTGGTCGACTGAGATGTGAAGTGTGGCATCAGTGGTAAGCATTACAATGGCCTCATCATCTCCTCGGTTTGTCGGCTGGCGTTCCAGATAAACATATGCCGCAACGGCTTTATCGAAGCGACTCTTCTTTGGCTCAACAGCTCCGGATGGCGGTTTATTTTCGGTCCCGTTGCACGACCTTTGAATTTCCTCGTCGAGATTCTTGCCACCATCTCGGTTGCAAGCGTTGCCCGGAATAAGCCTCCAACCCGAAGGGGCCATGTATGTGTCAGATGAATCCTTGCATTCACCTGCCGGAGGTGATAGCGATGGAAGGATGCAGCCCTCTCCATCCTTATCATGTTTGTATTCGCACTCGAAATCTTCGATCGCACATTTGCATGGTTCGAAATATGCCTCGAATTCCTCAGGTTTTCCTTCCACGAAGCAATCAGCATCGGCCTTTCTGCGCTTGAAGTATTGCCTGCGACCCATCACGCAATTGGATTCGCCCGTTGCATTGAATCGAGCCGGCCATTTAGTATCAAAATCCTTCTCTTCACATTTCCGCATACGGATATCCTTGAGGTCGAATGTATATATGACATGCTTCCCGGTTTTGCCTCCGTCTAATTCACCAATCAAGATGAATTTCAAACTGACCGGGCTGGGAGCAGTCGTGATAGTAACAGGGCGGATTTTGTGCTCGAGCTTTGCCGTCTTCCAATCTTTGCCGTGATTGAAAGAAAATTGGATACTGTCCACTTTGTCACCGTCCTCGATCGCTACCACTATTGCACCTTGATCGCCGAATTCGTATTTGTGGGGACCTTCAAGGGCAAGCTTCCAAGTGGCACCTGCGTCATTTGAAATAAAGAAGTCGCCATCCAGAAAATCTGTAAGATGGCTGCCTGTATTTCCTATCCCGGCCACTAGCCCCGGTGCCGTTGCGCTTGAAAATAATCGCCCGATATTCTTCGTGGTGGTCACTGAATGAAGATGGAGGTCGTCCTTGCCAGCTTTCAATGACTTGAAAGTCCGGCCATCGTCAAAAGAAACTTTACTAACGACCTGCTTCTCTTCACGTCCGGAGCTGACATCGTCACTGTTCTTCACAGTATTTACCAACATGATACCTTCAATACCAACGATACGCTTAAAGTCGACTCTTGTTTTTTTGCGATTTGTATGCTCAAGGTTACGGGTGAAGTAGGTGCCATTGGCGTTGGATGTGAATAGAACGCCCATCTCGCTAGTTTTGCTTGTCAAGACGTCCACTTGAAGACTGTGGTTGGTACCATCCAGCACCGTATATGCATCTTCTTCAATCCGGTGATCGTCAAACTCTGCACGGTGCCAGTTGTTGGCGTCAGTCGTAACGTACAAAGCAAGTTCCTCGGTCCCTTTGGACTTGGCTGCAGCAAGAAGAAATTTTTCTGTTGCTACAATACTTTGGACGCCCGAAACTGTTCGTCCTTCTTGTAGCTTCACTTCGGTACCGCCATCATCTTTGAAGTAAGTGTCCGAGTATACAAGACGGTAAGCATGCGGAAGTGGTATCTTCAAGCCGGTGACGACGCAAAGAGAGCGATCTTCAATCTCCTGGCGTGTTTCTGGGTTTTCGGAGAATTTGGGATCACCTGCGGCCCATATACACCCACCAGTACCCTCACGGAGGAGATGCACTGATTTGAAATCATCCGTTGTATAATACGATCTCACAATGCAATATCGTCCGGCGCATTCGTCGCTCTGCAAGATGACTTTGCTGGAATTCCAGCCGTGGAAGACCAGAGGAGAAAAGTACGACGCCGGAGTATCCGCGACTTCGAAAGACTTCCACGTTTTTGCCTGATCAGTCGTGATCCAGTGGCGCCCATTTATCGACAAGGCGTAGGCTTTCTTGTTGTCGAAAGGATGTTGCCGGATCATCAGAACCGGGCCCACGGCCACACCCTCGGTTTCGACAACTTCCCATTCTTTCCCTCCATCGAATGACCGGTATAGTTCTCCGTCGGAGAGGTGGGTCAGCACTGTTTCGGTGCCTTCAAAATAGAAAAGCGCGGCGGGTGATTCGTCGAGCTGAAGCGTTTTTGGTTCAATTTTGAGCTCATCTTCCGATTTTGCAGCTGCGCCTATCTGCATCAAAAGTGCCAGTATGAGGCAGCTCACTAGGGAAGCCCATCGCGGAATCATGGCAGTTAGTCACAGGACATTGGTAGAAGGTTGCCTGGTAGCTAGCCTCCTTCTCGTTTGGGTTATCAGGTGGAGAAAGGCTGCGCTAGACTGATAATGAGAAGTAAAGAAAATTGCAAAGAGGAATGGAGAAAGGAATCAAATCGTAGTATATGATATGATACCAAGGGATTGAGTTGTTGACGACAAATATGCTGAAGCGCATGTTGGTAACTAGCTGCGTGGCGCCTCGGTGCGATATGATCACGTGTTGATAAGATTGATGATATCAGCGCTACATGGTTTCAACTAGGCAGCCATGAACAATTTCTAATACTAGACTTTACCGGTAGATGGAAGTAAATCATTAGCATCATACTGATGATTGATACTTATAGTGCAAATCATAATGCTACTCATATTACGCAGTGCTAAAAACACAAGGGAGTAAACGTCAAATAATTGGACAGCCCAGACGTTGACCATGAGTTTATTGGGCGAATGAAAACACGATAGCCCATACATGGCACGTGGTACATTGCATCAAAGGCTCGCTCGAAGGATTACAGTACTTATTGGGTTAGACTCTTCTTACCACTTGTAGAGGATTGAGAGAAAGGGGAGCTGGTTGGCTCTTATGCAGAAACTAAGCCGAGATGGCATTTAGACGGCTTGGAATGCATAGGTTTGAACCGCTTATTTGCGAATGACCTGAATTGTTTCCTGAAGAACAGTTATATGAAAGCAATGAGATAACAAACACATCTATATGACAATGCACAGAGGTATGGGAGACCAGAGGGTATATCGAATTGTTCAGGTACTCCAAAAAAAAAAAAGAAAAAGAAAAAGAAAAAGAAAAAGAAAAAGAAGAAAAGAAGAAAAGAAGAAAAGAAGAAAAGAAGAAAAGAAGAAAAGAAGAAAAGAAGAAAAGAAGAAAAGAAGAAAAGAAGAAAAGAAGAAAAGAAAAAGGAGTCCAAAAACATAGGACGATGCGAGGGATCAAAAACAAAGTAGTCTCAAACTGAGGAGATAAGAGTGGCTTTTCGAATGGCATCCTGTGATATGATATCGTGGCACATGGCGCAAGTAATGCCGTGTAACGGCATTTTGCTAGCCTAGTTATCCTTTGGCACTCTAGTGATATGTAGAGGTCCCAAGAGAAAATCGAGCGCTTTATTGTCTTCGAACCTTGCGCCATATCTTCTTGACCAACCCAGGTTCTCTCGTGCCTAGACTACCAACTTGGGGTGCAGTATCCACCTGGCGCAAACTCGCAGGCTTTAAGCTATCATTATCTCGGAATGAGGCGGCGGTGGGTGACTCTGACCGTAAATCGGGTCTTGTCAACGTCATTTTCAAAGTCATTTCGCGGGTTGGAGAAGCAGGATCAGGCATTAAAGCCCAAGTCCGCCGCTGCGCGTCGGTGTTGCCGGAGACCGACTTCTTATCGAGAGATGGGGCGGCGAAATCTGGAAGCTGCCGATTTTGTTCAAAAGCGTAACTCTTTCGAGGACCATTGCTTTTGTTGTCCGGGGCCGGAAACCCGAATCGGAGTGCTTCGTCGAACTTCTGCGGCGATAAGGAAACGCGCAACTTTCGGCGAGCTTCTGGATCCCGATAGTATTGAGCATTTGGTTCAATGCTGGAGGTTGAAGACCGAGGTGCGTGGTGAGCCGGGCTTTGGGGGGACAATGGCCGAGAATCAGTGTTGCCGTTGACAATGTTGGTCAAAGTCGGTTGTGCGGCAGCAGACTGGCTAGAATGTGGGAGCTTCCTGTGGGACTTCAAGGTCGGTCTTCGACCCATACTGGCGGAACTGAGGGACAGTGTTCTCCGAAAAGATGGCTTGTTTTGGGGGGTTGACCCCAAAACAGGATTGGAACTGCGCGCATGGTATTTATTCAGAGTCAAGTCAAGATCTCTGTCCTCATCCAACCACTTCAATCTGTCATGGATGAAACCACTTGTGTCCATATTAGGACGTTCGATGATTGCGATATAAAGACAAAGAAGGCTTCCACCAACAAATTCGAAACAACGATGACGGGCTTTGTCGCGTTTTCCGCAATCGATCACGCGCCTTGTCACGGGTGGAACAAAGTCAGCGGTCGCGGTGTTTTTGATAGGCCTTCGCTCGCTTCTTTGCAATCAAGCGCTTCTGTTGGATTCTTGGTGAAGGCGAACGAAAGCATTGCGGCTCGACCTAAGTTGAAAGGTAGCCGGCGCAGGAGAACCCGGGACAACGGGTTTTTTAAGATACGCGTGGGTAAAGCCGCTTGTGGCAAGCGACTCGTTGGATTGAAAGACTCCACAACAAATGAGGAATAGTGCCGAGTCGGGAAAAAGGGGGCGGGAGTTGGTGGAGGGGATCAGAGCCACGCAGACTATTTGACTGGCTTCACTGGTCCGCTGCTCTCCGGCTTGATAAGTTGATAGTCAGTCCAGTTCCACTCGGGAGGGGGGGGGACGAGGTCAGTTCGTGCTTCGAGAGGAGATCGGCAGCCATGTATTGCGATCCAAGGCATTTTGCTATACAATTTGAGCTCTCATACATATTATGGTGACTTTCATGACGCTGTTTCAGTTTGAGAAGGTCTCGAGCATGCTCCAAGTATGCCCTCGAGGAGCTTGCATTAACTCAAGCCATTACATAGTAAGTGATAGTTCGACTGTTCAATTTCAGTAGTGCATAGATAGTGCCCGAAACAGCGAGCAACCCATCTATTAAACTAAGGAGAAATAGCCTAACCGTTCAACGAACCATGGGGCTGGCCGACAAGGGCAATCAGCTTGGTAGCTTACCCCGGTCTGGGACCAAGGTAATCTGTCGGGAAAATCTCGGAGTGACCCCTAATTACAGGGTGGAAACATGAACATGAAATGAAATGGAACAGAACGGGAAAAGATGACGAATATGGGGAAGAAGAAGAAAGGAACAAAGGCAAATAATTGCTATAATTCTTTTCGCAATAGACAGCAGAGATCATCGAAGTCTTCACATTCTTCTGGAAGTACTGGAGAAATAAATTACAGTAACGTGTGGTGTTCAGCAGAAACGTTACATCGTTATATCGTAACTGAACCTGGTAATAATCTAATTTATAACCATGCTGAAACTTATCCAAGACCACGCTCAGTTAATATATACCCATGCTGAGCTGTCAGCCCTACATAATTTGGTCCTTGGAGATGAGACGGCTCAACAGATCTTGGTGGGAGATGAAAGTGAGAATCATGTAGACGTGGTGATATACCGATCCTGACGCCATTCTCCACCATGGAGTCAACGTGCGATCTATATTCTAGAAATTGTAGACCTATCTTGATGACGAACAAGTCGCCCATAAGCCACTGGGTAGGTATTGGGAGGAATGGCAGCTACCACAGAGCCTCGTCAATACGCGACCATTCAAAAGGATTCGATTACTATCAGGTACCTAAGTTATGGCGCTAAGCTTGGAGATAAAATTTGGCTCAAAGCAAAGCATCAGGATTCAATCTATGGCATGGACAAGGTTGTATGTGGTGGTTGATCATGAAGAACACTAGCGTAAAGGTCTTTCCTAGTACCTGACAGTATAGGGGTCAAAGAACAAATTCTTCCTCCAAAGAAAAATCACAGAGTATTTAGGACATTTTGCATCTCCGCTGTGTGGGAATCTTCCCTTCGTGAAACATAGGCTCTGACCTCTTGTGCACTGAGTCCAGCCTCGGTCTGCCTTGGACCGCGTCCATTGTTAGTCCCGGTATTACTGCCAGCTTTCCCGCTTGCAGTGCCAGCACCATTACCTCGGACTCTTTCACGCAATGCTTCAGAGCCGATAACGAAGAGACTGCCAACCTCCAGCAAAACATCCAATACGCCACTAGGACCCTTGATTTGCTCATCAATGTCCCACGACTTGAGGAGATCTGTATACTGAGTCATGTCTTTCGTTACCATCAGACCACCCGGTCCGTTGACGGCAAACCGCTTGAAATGTTCAAGGAGAAGACCGCGCGTTCCCAAAGCAATCTCGGTAAGCAGCTGTCTAAGGTTTGAGCCACTGGATGGCAAGGCCGTAACTGCAGTGTTATGAACGCGGCCTAAAAACGTACACAGCGAAGCACATGTCTAAAAAGCCAGATAGAGATTAGATCAGAGCACCTGCATGTCAACGAATGGAAATGGTGACTGACCGGTGTTTGTAACTTTTCTAACCAAGCTGCATCATCGCCCTCCTTCAGGCGGAAATCATTTTTTCTTTGACCTGCCAACAACTTGGTGGCCCAGGTTAGTGTTGCATCAATGATCTTCTGTTCAATGGTATTAATTTTATCTTCAATCCGCGCTGTTGCCAGGTTGGTCTTCTTTTCCATCTCTCGGCGAATGGTGATACTAGCAGTCGCTAGAGGAATGAGGAGAGTGTTGATGCACATGACCATTAGATTGGCAATGCTAATTGCGCTTCGGACCGCAGGCAGGTATGCAAAGTCCGGCTCCGCCTTTCCTGACTCCTGCGAGGTCGCTATATCCAGAGCGGCATCGAGGCAGACTTCAATGTAGCCCTCCCCCATCATGGACAGGAGAAGACTCAGCAGCGCGAGCATGTCTTTCGGTGTTTCACTGCTCACGCTCAATTCTAAGCCCCTACCAACCCCCTCAGCAAGCCATTTGAGCATTCGTTTAGCGTAAGCCACACTAGGTAAGCCATCCTCTTCGGTGAGTTTGATATCCGATGGTTTTGCCAGGTCGCTAGACTCATTCAGCCCAGCAACCTGGAGAAGCATCGTTCTGTGGGTGGGAGAGTATTCGGAAGATTCGAGTCGGCTGATATAAGCGTCCCGCGCAGATGAAAGAACCTCGCTTCCCGACTTAGACAGTGATGCCATAAATGTCGTGGCTGCCTTTTTCCTACGAGCGTGGTAGGTGGTGAACTTGAACAGCAGAGATGTGTATAATTCCTCAAGAATCTTCTTCTCCCGTTCTATGTAGGAAGAGCCCACAAAGTACGGGACAAACAAGTCCTCCAACTGTTGGTCAAGGACGAGTGCCGTCTGGGAGGATATCGGGTCTGGATGCTCCGTTAAGCCATGTGCTTTCAAATCATCGACTAACGCGCCGATGTAGCCACGGGAGCTCTGTAGCGATCGTAAAAAGGCCAAAGACGAGACACTATTCGCCTTTTCCAGAACCATTTCAAGTCTCTGCTGTATGGATTGTTGGAATACGCGCTGCAGAAATTTCCCGAGTACTTGTTCATAGAAGGGAAACGCTCGTTTGATGATCGCTGACTCCTCCTGCACCACGACTTTAACTTCGTCAACCAACGACTGGAGGCTAGGCTCCACTTTCAGGAGGTCAGCATCAGGGTCTGCTAGCTTTTCCCAGGCTTCTGGATCACCGCCCACTTCTTCGGTCACCAGTTGACTCCGATCAATGAAGAATTGATGTTGATTTACGAACAGGGCGATCACACTGGCGCCCCCATTGAAGTCCTGGAGCACGGTCGCACAGTCCTTCATGCCCTCAAAGTTCGCCTTGCGGTAGAACTCGTCAAACTGTTTCAGGAGGTCTTTTTCCAATGTTTCCGAGAACTTTTCGATGATTTCTCGTGTATTTCGTTGGGCTGGTCCATCCGTTTCCGGGCTCTCCTCTACAGGAGCGCTCCCACCCCCGGCCCGTGCATCGGATTTTCCGCTTGACTCGTTCCAGCTCTTCGGATCAAGTCTTTGGCTGATTCTGAGCAACTGCCGTGCGATCTGTGCGGAGCGCACCTTGGCTTCGCCTGTTCCAGATCTCCGCAGATTTTCCAGAAGGGTAATCTCGCCCCTGTTGCAGACTCCATCCCAACATTCAAGCAAGTAATGAGCATCAAGCGCCCTGCGTCTCTGTCGGTCCAACTCCTCCAACCGGCGACCTGTCTCAACGGCCATACTACCAGTTGTACCACCAAGTTCGCTCGAAGAAAATCCCGATCCATTCAGTGACGTGTCTAGCTGCTGAAAGGACTCGATGGTCTGATTCAACTTTTTGCCAAGGGTACTGAGGTTCTGGGAGTGTTGCGCCTCTGCCCGGCGTACGGCCGCAGAGAGTTCATTTTCTCTGATCTCCAGGTCACCGGAAAGCTCGCCGAGTCGTCGCTGTGCATTCTCGAAGGTCCGAATGAGGGGCTTGGGGTCGAAGGGTTGGCTTCCACCTGCGGGTCCAAGTGTAGATCGCTGGGTGGAAATGGCAGTATCTGAGAGCGTTTCAATGAATTCTTTGACAATGAAGTCGCGACCCGAGAAGTCATCTAAAGTGAAGCTGGGCCCTTGTGGGAAAACGGAACGGGACGTGGGATTCGACTGGGCCGACATGGACACATTATCCGGCATCTTTGCGGCTTGCCGGCCCCCGTGTCAGCATGAGAGGAGGTTTCGCGGAAACTGCGGTTCAAATAGGCATTGACCATGTGTTGACTGCGATTTTATGCATCGGGTCAATGGTCGTGAAGTTGATAGATGACGCAGGTTAGGTGAACGTGAGTGGGGGGTCAGTTATTATGCCCAGATAGCTTTGGAGGTAGTCGTGTTAGCTCCAAGTCAGGTGAGCTCCGGCCCGTTCCCGGCGTGCCAGTAACACTACAGAGTACGGAGTAAAAGGATCTGGTACAACTCATCCATATTGTTCAGTTGGTACATGAGGTAGGTAGGTACTCGGATTGGCATTAATTACCAGGAGACTACCTCTATTACTATCGTGTGTTTTGTTTGGTTGTACCCTGTACGGAGTACATGTACTACATCAATGTGCCATGATGCCAGGGGGCAATATCTAACGTCATTAGTAACTTGTTACATAGACCATTAACTACCCAGAGTAATGGCCAGTACTCATTTGATCCAGTGTCGTAATTTTCCTCATTATTCTATCCAATGGGCTTCATCCTGGGGATACTTCATACAGCCCGCTGTAATCATGGCTACCTAGGATCAGAGTGGCGGGCGGACCGAGGCTCTGGGAAATAAGGTCGACGGAAGAATAACCAACTATCCAGTGATCCACCTTGGTTACCTTGTCTAACTATCCCAGGCTTACAGATGTCAACCTAGCGACTTCACAGGTTACACTTTTACTTCCCACCCACCAAATCCCGATTTAATCTACTGCGTTCCACCACAAATATCGCCATTTCACATATCCCGTACATACCGCTCGAAACGTCGTCAAGCTATGGTGTCCCAGCGGGATCGAGAATTGTTCAGGGACGATATCCGCTCGCGCGGCACAAAGCTCTCTGCTGCCGAACGTGAGAAAATTCTACGGCCATACCTACCAGACC